CCTGTCTGGATATTATAGATATAAACGGATCCATTGCTTGTGCCAACACAAAAGAAGAGCTCGTCCAGACTAGTTTCATATGTAAATGTAAAAATAATGAAAACGCTCAGTAAAGGTATCCATGGTGAATCATAGCACGACTATGGCACCAGGAGATAGACAAACATTTTATATATTTAAAATATCTGCCATACCTGACATCAAATCGACATTGATTACTGGCTGTGTTTTTCACGGTGAATGTACGGATGTGCTCCAGTGTCTCTGAATCCCAATATTCGATCTTTCCATTCACAGATTTCGACAACACCTTATTTTTGGCAAAGCGGATACAATCTATGAGACATTCAGAGTGATAAGTAACGAGTAAAAAAAAAAAGAAGATATAGATAGTATTCATGTGTTACTTAATTTCATCCGCTTTTTTTTTTTTTTTTTTTTTTCAGCATTTACCTATCCTTGCAGAGTGTAATCCTGATTGTAGCATGCGACTTTCCGTCAAAGGCACGACAATAGGTTCTTTAGGTTCCTCATCAAACGAGGGCATATCCCATTCACGGATATCTCCATTGTAGCTTCCGCTCAAAAACGTCGTACCCTGAGTGTGGGGATTGAAGCACTAAAGGGGCGTTTTTTTTTTTAGAAAAAATAGAAAAAATAGAAAAAATAGAAAAAAAAAAAAAAAAAAAAAAAAAAAGATTTAGAAAGGATTAAGAAAAAACAAACCACGACCCATCCTCGAGCTTCCTCCTTCTTAAAATCCTGAACTTACAACTACGGATGCCTTATATTCAAAAATCACCAGGCAGTTCCCTGTAAGGATATTCCACAGGCGAATAGTGCCATCCTTAGATGCTGAGAGTATATATTCATCTCTTATAGGATGTGGCTGGATATCCGTAATAGTATCTATTGGATGATATAACAAAAAGGGGGGGGGGGGGGAAGTGCTTTAGCAACTCGATCGATAGTTTTTTTTTTTATCGTCTATAATCATACTGTGCCATAAGAATCCTCTTCATCTTCATAGATCAATTACGTTTGTGGCCTGAAAGTCGCATAAGCTCCTTTGATCTTGCTAAACTGAGGATATGAATCATTTTATCAGTTCCAGCTGTGGCAAGGATTGCGTCCTGTGGCTGGTTCATCCAACAACATGTCAACATTTCCTATCGATATGGGATGTCAAAACGAGAAATAGAAAGGTATCGATAAATCAATTCCATCATCCAATGCAGTTTTCCATAAATAGAAAAAAAGATGCGGTGTGATAAAGAACTGTCAGTGCTTTTTTTTTTTTTTTTTTTTTTTTTTTAGCGTACCGGAAGTTCTTCAAAGCCTTCTTCGCCAGTAGGATCAAGTAAGAAGTGTGACATGATATCCAAATGATCTCCACAATGTTCATTATCATAGATGTTCGCCTAGATCAAGATAAGAAAGGAGTATATTTAGTCTCATGGTATCTACGAGGCTGGTGTTCGGATCATACAGATCTCAAGATAGAGCTTGACACATGTTGTAATTGACAGTACTCTTTCTTTCTTTCTTTCTTTCTTTCTTTCTTTTCTTTATACCTGAGGGCCTCCAGTAGTAGCAAGGACATTGCTGTTATCTGTTGGATCCTTTAGTATAGCGCCACGCCTTTCTAGGACTCTGACTCGATCTATTCCATAGGGTGTCCTGTTATATCTGTGGTTTTGACAAAAGGCCAATTGATTGATTTCACTAGAGTGGTTTTCTTTGACGATACGACGAAGTCTCAAGTTTTTGAAAATACGTTCCAGCTGAGTACTTGGATCCATAGAGGGATCTGCTGCTGTTGTTGCCGCTGTATCTTCAGCTTTTACCAAAGGAGGTGTTTGCTGTCCTGTTACTGTTGTTCCTACATTCGTCTCCAGTGTAGTTGACGGTGACCTTGGTTTTTTGTAAGGTGTAGGAGAGGCAGATGAGTCAGGTGTAAAGTAGTCATCTTCTGAAGACACCCCAACGGCATCGTCTCGTTCACGCTTCACATGAGATGCTGCTGTCGACATGAATGTATTTGAAGTCCAATGAGCCTTGGTGGAAAAAAATAAAAATAAAAATAAAAAATAAATAAATAAACGAGGTTGTTTTGCCACCAAGACGCGTATATGACTGAGTGGCTTGTGTAGATCAGGGACAAAGCCTGTCTTGTCTTCAAAGTAGGCCTTTTTCAAACACATTAGTTACTTAGCCCAAGCTTCTTCATGGTTCAAAGTAAGGAAGTAAACTATTAAAAATAAATGAAATAAAATAAAATAAAAAAAAGTACGAAAAAATGTTGATGGTGGAGAAGAATAATTGTCAACTTGTTCAAATAAACATCCTTACGAGCATACAAAGCTCCAAGCCATGATTGTTTTTTCCTGGTTCAGAGTTAGATTTTCAACTTTTTTTTATTAATATGCAGAGAAATTAGACGATACTATTGATCCTCCTGGTCTGAATGATGCTTGGGCCGCTTACTATCTCTCCGAGCGTCATCCTCCTCCTCCTCCTCCTCCTCCTCCTCCTCCTCCTCCTGATCGCTAGCCCTATTTTTCTTTTTTGACCCGGCATCCTCCTGATTGTCATCGTTATCGTCATCGTCATTAGTATTCTTCCTTTTACTGAGCTTGTTATTATTCGCACGTTGTTTCCTCCTTTGTCGCTTGGCTCTATTCCTTTCTGTTTTTTCCTCGTCTTCCCTTCGCTTTGCCTCCATTCTTTCCTCATATTCACGCTGTTCTCTCTCCTAAGGTAGTAACATTTAATGATAGCCAGAGAATTAGTACAAGTCAAGCGAAGGATTTTTTTTTTTTTTTAAATTAAAGAAAGAAAAATCAATTCCGCTTCCTTCTCAAACAAGTACTCTTTAAAGAAAACTGCTTTAGTAAACTTTACAAGTAAGTTACTGATTCTGTTGTTCAATTGCTTCATTTTTCCTAATTTTTTTTTTTTTTCCTTAGTTTTATATACCTGTTTAGACTCAAGTTCCATATTCTTTAATCTTGCATACTCTCGCCTACGCCCAGCCCTATAAACATGAAACTCGCCACTCCCTGCACCAGCACTGGAGCCTTGGACATTCTTCACGTAGTTTTTAGGCTCCTTTGGTGCGCCAGTCTTTTTTCCAGGTCGCTCAGGAATATGAACGGGCTTATCAATCTTTTCTAAAAGCTTGTCTAGTTTTTGTTTTTGTAATTCCAGCAACGTAAGATGATGCTTCTTAGGTCCAGCTGATGCTGCTGCCCCTTCATCGTCCGAGTCTTTGTGATTAGTTGACATGTTGTATGTTCGTGAGTAGTTTGGTAAAAAGATTGTGAAATGCTAAAAAAAAAAAAAAAAAAAAAAAAAAAAAAGTGAGAAGAATTATCCACGTGATTCTAGGAAGGATAGGATTTGGAGACGCGTTTTACAAAATCAAAGCATTACTTTCATATTCAATCATAGACTACCTGCGTTCACGTCTTTCACCAATGTGAAAAATATGTATACATGTGTGTACATAAATAGGGAGAGAGAGAGGGAAAGCAAAATAAAGATCTGCTATTTCTTATTCCATTTTTCCTTCCTTCCTCTAGGCAGCTTTTGAATCGCTTATTCCTTACCCTTTTGTTTTTGTTTACGTTCCGCAGGGGCTACCTGATTTAGGTTCTACCTTTCCTTTCAATGAAAGCTTCTTCACTCATGAACCGTATCGTAAGCATTAAGTTTTTTTTTTTTTATTACTTATTATTATTATTATAAACAAAATTGAAAAGAGTTGCACGTTTACATTTCCTGGATATTTTAGCCTGGATCTTCGAGGGAAGAACATTCGTTTGGGTGAATGAATGGATGACAAGCCTGAAAGGATACTGCTTACGCCCTGGCTTAGAAGGATCAGAGGACTTTGAGAGTCTACTCTCCCCTGAATGACATCATATTAGCTTCTAGAAATTTCGCTTGCATCCAACAAGGAGCACGTTTATGGAGTACGTTTATGGGGCTCGTTCTTGGCTTTGTTGAAGCTAGAGCTTGGTCAAAGACTTGTACATCGTCCCCGCAGCCCAAGCAGATTGCTTGTAGCTCCTCCTTAAACAAGTTAATCTGCGTTGGCAAAAACATCTATGATAGTCTGATGACCAAAGTTACAGGATGACGCAGAAACGTTCTTTTTTTAGACCTTTTTCATGCTGCAGATCGTTTCCCAGTTTCAAAAAACGCGTAATTGAAATATGGACAAAGCCTCTGAACTATGCTTTTTTAGAGTCCTCGCCAGAAAGTTGTCGATAAATATACATATTTTCGGCGTTTTTGAATTGGATAAAATAACCTCCAGCCATCGTTTTTTGATTCAAAGACAGTATTTTAAAAATTGTATTAGCCAACGACTTTCTGGCGAGGACTCTACTTTGTATATACCATATCTTCTATCAACTTTTTGTGTGTTCTCTTCTATCTAGTTTTCATTGCGCCAAGCAATCGCAAAAATAAAATTCAGGAGGTCACCAACTAGCAGTGCTTGACAAAACTGCCTGAAACGAAAAAATAAAATAAAACAAAACAAAATAAAAGTGCCCAGCTAAATTTTGCATGATTTGGAAGGCGAAGACAAGGGAGAAAGCACCGTTACTTCGCCTGTTTTATCGCATAGGAGTATAGTTCACTCCTGTTTCCAATTATTCCCGGTTCCTGGAGGATTCACACCATACGGGTGTATGGAATTCGCATGATCAAGAAAGCAGGAAAAGGCGGGAGCACAAATGTTGTTGAATGAGTTCATGCGTGGGCGTGCCCTTGTAACGGTTATACATCTATACCATGTATGATACCATCTGATCGGATTGTTATGGGGGTTTTTTTATTTTATTTTATTTTTTTGTAAAACATGAGATTTACACAATTGAAACCACAATAAATTTCGAAACGGAAAGAGCACAGCAGCAGCTTTGGACCTGGAAGGACAAGTGAGAAAAAGAAAAAAGAGAAAAAAACGAAAAGAGAAAAGGAGAGAAAGAGACAGAAAGAGAGGAGGGGAGGAAGAGAGAAGGAGAGGAGGAGAGGAAGAGGGAAGGAGAGAAGGCCAAGACGAGGACAACGAGATTGACATCGACATCTGTGTAGAAGTGCATGGGACGAGAGGTAGAGCCTACGCTTAGGACCATTAAGGACAGAAGTCATTGCTCTTTTTCTCTCCCTCTCTCTTTTTTTTTTTTTATTGCTCTCCTACCTTTCTCTTACCTATTCTCACATTCTCTACCTTTCCTCCTTTTTTTTTTTTTTTTTTTTTTTTTTTCTTCCACTCTCATTCTCTTCGTCATTTGCCATTTACCATTGACTTTTTCACCATTCACCTTTTGTTCTCATTTCCTTACAACTGGGAATACTCAGTACCACTTTAGCCAGTCATGTTTCCTCGGAGCGAACGATTTGTGGAGAAGGTGCGTGTGCTTGTATCACAAAAAAAAAAAAAAAGTTAACAACTTAACTCAAGCAACAGTAACGAACAGTCAACACACACAGCAAAAATATCACTTTTCTACAACCCCCCTCTTTTTTTTTTTTTTTTTTCCACCTTTTATTAAGTATTGGCAGGTTTTCTTGCAACTGACTGTTTGCTCGCTTCTCTTGTGTCTTGCCACATGAATTATTTGATAAACTTCAACGACAGATTGAGATCACTCCAGGACCAAACCATTATGATGTCAAACTAGGTGACGATGATCCCTATAAGCGCTTTGGGTTCCTGGGCAAGACGAAACGGTTCGATGAGAATGCCAAATCCCCATATGGCTCACACAGCACTATAGCAGGATCAAGAATGTCCGGGGAGATAGGGGGAATAGGGCCATATAAACGAGGCTCATTCACATCCTCTTTACCATCACTCATCATCGACGACGACGACATGGCATCAGTCTTTTCTAATGGATCCACTACACCCCCAGATAATCAACGGAGGCCTGTCAGTTCTCGATCCAAGAGTACTGATAAATTAGCCAGCACCCCAAATTTCAACCAAGCTGAAGAGAGGTTAAAAAAAGAGGTAAAGAATAGCTGAAAAAAAAAAAAAAAAAAAAAAAAAAAAGTGCTTATGCAATTCAACTGCTGTGCTTACAAAATGCACTCCAAGTAATCGGGCAATTGTTAGTGCCATCTTTTTTAAAAGGGGGCCTTACATGATTTTTTGCATTACAAAAACATTGCCCAAAGCTTAAAGGGAAAATCTCCCGCCCCTGAAACAATTGGTCGATGAACATCTTTCTAATTGTTGTATTATTCTTTGTAAACAATCTGAATAGCTAGCAGATTTGACAGACAAGTTTGAAAAGTATCGCATCGCACGACAGAAAGATATAGATCTAATGACCGAAAAGCAGAAGAAGGCCGAAACCATGTACCAAGGCGCCATCAAAGAAAAGAACTCGATCCAGACACAACTTGTTGCCAAAGACAGCGAGATTGGTATGCTTTTTATTATTATCATTATCATTATCATTATCATTATCATTATTATTATCAATGTTTCAATGTCATCCTTATTACTGTTCTTTTATTGTTTGGCAAGCTTTGGAATCCATCTAAATTTACTTTCCTAAAAAAAAAAAAAAAAAAAAGTTTAATGTTACACGAAGCATTTAAGCAACCAACTTATTGGGATTCATTCTCTGTTTTTTCTGCACCAATACATCAATAATTAGCTGATCTTACTGCACGGCAAGCCACACTCAAAGCTTCAGTAAGTCCAATCAACGTTTGTAGCTGACAAAAAAAAGCTCAGTTTCATTTAGTGGTGCTCGATGCGTAACTTTAAGGTTAATTGATGGAGCAATCAGAAATAGCTTTTTTTTTTTTATGGGTGGCTCTTTTCTGATACTACGTATTCATAATCTTTTTAATCTTTTTTGTCTGGTTGGCTCATATTTATATAACCAACACTAATTCAATCAACCAACCACATTTACTCATCCCAATTTAATTATTCCTCTCCCCTCTGTCCGTAGCTCGAAAGGTCAGAGAAGGCTGCAGCTGCTGTTCATGAGAAGATCGGCAAGGGTGCTCATCTCCAAAAGAAGATTGATGAATTGGAAAAGCAGCTTGCTCGCGTCAAACTCTTGTTAGCGGAGCAAGAGGCATCCAATACAGAGACACAGCAGAAATTCGATCTCGAACGCCAGCAATGGCAGCAGCAATTGACTGAGCAACGTGAAACTGCTGAGCATGAATCCACGCAGGCCAATGAGCGTTACCAACAGGCTGAACAGCGTTATCAAGAAAAGATGAAGGCATCAAAGGAAGACTCAGATGGATGGAGAATCAGGTTTGAACAATTAGAAAAGACGTTCAAAGAACTTGAGCAGAGATTGCAAGAGGAGCAAAAAACTGTCCAAGAGTTGAGAGCTAGAATGAAGATGGAAAAGGAGCAGCTACAGGCCCAACTAGGCCACGCAACCGAGGCAATCCAAAGAATGGACCAAGAGCGATTACAGACAGCGTCTGTTACAAAAGAGACCGAAGATCGTCTTCGGCACGAAAAACAGACCATCGAAGATTCTCTGAACGCTTCTCAAAATGGTTATAAAGAGTTGTTGGCTAGACATCAGGCAACCGAACGAATGCTGGACGAGCAACGTGCACAGCACGCAGAAGCTGTCGAGACCATGACCCGTGACTACAATAAGCAGCAGCAACTGTTCACAAAGGAACGGCAGGATCATCTGAAGGCACGACAGGACCTTGAAAGCTCGATTGCTCATCTTATCACAGAGCTGGGTCAGAACCGTAACGCCCTCCTTAAGGTCCAGCAGGAAAGAGCACGCTTGCAGAATGAGTGCCACCAAAGCCAGTTGCAGCTGCAGGATATGTCTGTATTCATAGCTACGGTAGAGCAGCAATACGAGGAACTGAAGGCAATATCCAAACAAGAACATGAGGCCTGGGAGGCTAAATACCAAAAACTCTCTGTAGAGGCATTTGTACAAAAACAAGAATCCTCAATAGAGATTAAAGAACTGAAGGCATTGCTTGAACACAAGCGCGGGGAAGTATCACAGTTAATGAATAGCATTGATGCTATTCAATCAGAGCTGAAACAGGTCAAGTCTCACCGTGATGTGGTCATTGTTCAGAGGGATGAAGGAGAACGAAGGGCCACAGAAACAATGAAGAAGCTCAGAGAACTGGAGCAGGAAAATCAACACGTCTCAACGCAGCTGACAATGTTGAACAAAGATACGGAGACATTGAAAGCTGAGTCTAGTGCTCTAAAGAATGAGGTACATGTTAAAGACCTATCTATCAAGTCACTAGAGGACGATATCGAGTTGATAACGAGTGAGACAAGAGAACGTGAGGCACAGGATAAGAAAAGGATTCAGGAGTTAGAGAACAAGGTGTTAGCTGCTACTAAACAAGCCAAGAAAGCACAGAAAAATGAGCGCGCTTGGAAGGCCAAGGAAGCAGCACTAGATGAGGAAGTAACTACTCAAAAGGATCGTATTAGCTCCCTTCAGTCCCAGCTAGAAAAGTCCAATTTTGAACGAGAGACTGAACGTAAGATCAGCGCTGAGCGTATCCAGGAGCTTGAAGCGCACTGCCAGGCTATGGAAGCCGCTTTCAAGGAAACGTTTGAAAAATCAGGAAGTACAGAGGAGATCGGCCAGGGCGCTCCACATGAAACATGGAGGCAACATTCAGGTGCTATCATCGGCATTCTCGCTTACCATACCTCAGAGTGCTCCATCAGCAAGTCCAAATATGCTGAGCTGGTGGCGGAGGTGGCTGCTTCAGCGCAGTCGGCCGCTACCTTGAGCGCTTCGCTAAATGAACAGGAGACAGTGTCCAAGAAGACACAGGCAGATCATTCGGTACTTCATGACAAAATTACTGAGCTTGAGGATCATATCCGTCATTTGAGAGCTCAGGTAGACTGTCTAGAGGCTGAAAGCATTGGCAAAGACGCCACCATCAAGGCCCTTCAAGATGAGTACGAATACCAGGAAAAGATCATCCGAGGTCTTTCAAAGAACGAGGACGCAGCCAACGAAATCGCGAAACTAGAAGACGAAGTGCGGAGGATGGCAACCCGCGCTCACGAGACGGAGGGCTGGATCAAAGAGGTGCAAGCAGACAATGATAAATATAGGGAGGCCTATGTGAAGGCTGACATTTCTCGTGAAGAGACATTGCTGGACATGGCCAAGCTGCACGAGGAACTTGCCGAGTCTGAACAGGCACGACTTCAGATTGAGAGCCAGCTGCAGGTTGAAGTGGCTGCTATGATCAAGAAGAACGCACTCACGGAAAATGAGTTGTCAAGGCTTTCAAAGATGAACGTGGATTCTGCGCAGAACATGTGGCTTAAACTGAAGGTAATAACCAAATCAATTTATTCTTTTCTTAGTGAAGCGGGTAGTCAAACAGAAATTCATCAGAGTTAGTCTAACCCAACGAGATGCTTTTTTCTATAGATTAAGCAAAATGCCCAACTCAAGGAGGAGGTACTTGCATTAAAGAAAAAGAACATTGCTCTATCCAACACTCGCGATTCTCTACGCCTCAAGTGCCTGCGAGTAGAGCGTGATCTAGAATCCTACAAGGCTGCGCATGGTATAGCCGGAGGGACTGCCGTTGTTGATGGCCCTAATCCCCTTGGCAGGAACCCATCTCGAAATGGATCTATCTCTGAAGGATCTTCAGTCGCCTCATCGCCCTCTACTGTCAGCTCTAGTCCATCCGAGCAAGTGACGAATAAAAAAACCCAGCTACACGGTCTGAAATCAGGTAGCACCCCTACTACATGTACTCGGTCCCGGCCCATTTCTTTAGGAGCGACCAGGGCGCCAAGCAAGCCTTCTGCCGCCAATGGCGACAGCAGACCATGCCTTCGGTCCCGAGCAGCACGAAGCATGCAAACAGGCAAAGAAGCATCAAGCTAATGTAGATTATTTTGTCCCTATAATAAAACAGTTAATGGTATATTTTACAAATCACTTTGATACCAATCTATACATGAGTAATGTCCTACGATCCGATGAGAAATAAAAAAGAAATAATAAATCAGCTTACTTACTAAACAAGATCTTTCCCCCCAATATCCAGCACTGCATCCACTTCTAGGACTAAAGAGTGGTGTGATTGAAGTGTTCATTATGACAGTGTGGCAAATTATGCTTCATAGTAGATACTTGTCTACGATGTCATGCTCATTTGTAGTTCTAGGGGATCGACCTAAAGGAAAGTAGATTAAAAAGAAGACAGCGTGACCTATAGTATTAGCAAACGTACTTTTTTGAAACAAACATTCGACAAATAATAGTACCTCAAAAACTCTTGGAGACAACCGATTACCTTGCTCCATGACGTCTCAGATAGAGGCACACCAGATACAACCACGAGCGTAGGAACTTTGGGCTTCAAGTTTAGGAGTCTTCTTGTCCCCCAGGTTTATCATCGAGGAGATTTTTTGCATATGAGAGCCAATAGTGATTGCACATGCGAATTGAGAGTGGTCATTCATAAATCTAATAAAACGCACAATACTCCTCGTAGGGTCCTTTGGATGTGGCGAGACTGCGACAGGACAGGTTTTATCGACCAAAGAAAATGGTATAGACATTGGCGGAGCGTAACTTCCATTTTGAGCGTTGTCGGAGAATTGTCGCTCATTGGACTCGTTGGAACGGATTGAGAAGTATCGGGTTCCCAAGGTAGAAGGATTAAGTTACTATATTTTACTTTATTACTTTATTTATTCATTTTTTGTCAAAGCACTGATACACCCCGTGGGAAAGTGCAGGACATGTTAAAGTCATTGTTCAAGGGGCATAGGGCAGCCAATAACATGTGATAGTGTTCAGATTTTTATACGGTTTCATACGGAGCCTAGTCAATGCGCCGCAGTTGTTAAACCGACAAATTGAATGGCAGTCCCAATCACGTTTAATTTCCAAAAAAAAAAAAAAAAAAAAAAAAAAAGTTCTAGAGAACGGTTGGAGTGATTGGAGTTTATGCTTTCAATTCCAGTCCAGCCAGCTCTCTTAGGAGCTATTGGATATTTGCTCCTCTTTTGTAGAAAAGTAATAACTCGTAAAGATTTCATAACAGCATTGGAGCGGTGGTACTTTTAGTCTTCTGAAAGAAAACTACATAAAAGGGGAGCTGTTGCCGGAGAGTTGTTAACAGAAAACAAAATACCCTTTCAACTCCTCCTATCAAAACACGCATACAACTTTGCTTTTTTCTTTTCTAATAATAACAAAAGTAAATGAGAAAACGAATGGAGGAATCAATACCATCTCACCTACTAAAGGATCCTAATCCTTCGATCAACACTGGTCCTCACGGCTCCTCTCCCGCCTACAAGATGGAACATGATGAGAAAAATCCAAATGATCTTCAACTGTGTGATATTGCAGTGAAAGATCTAGAGGATCAGTTGACTTTCAATGGAACCGATTCCGCTCCTGCCACCCCTTTGCGCCGTGGTCTCTTGTTTTTTGGGTAAGTGAGCTTTGTGTCTTTTTTCACTTGCTTCATTTCATCCTTATTCCACTATAGATCGATTTTTTTTTTTTCTGTTGCTAATATGGTTCCTCTATCTCTTTAATCCTCATCTAGATAGAATGTTTTTGGGCGCCTTTCTCGCAAGTTTGGATATTAGTGTCATTGCAGCAGCTCTTCCACGAATTGCTTCTGATTTTGGTGCTCAGACCCAGATGTCATGGATCGCCACAGCCTACCTTCTCGCCTACACGGCCTTCCAACCTATTTATGGTAAATTCTCTGACATCTTTGGCCGCAAGCAAATGTATCTAGTCGGCAGTGTTATCTTCCTTATCGCGTCGGTTGGATGCGGTGCCGCTCCTTCGATGACTGCGCTGATTCTTTTCCGCGCTCTTCAGGGCCTTGGAGGCTCGGCCCTCTTTTCTGTGGTCATCATCATGGTCTCGGACATGTTCCCTAATGTTGAGGAGCGTGCCCGTTACCAGTCCATGGTCTGGCTAGCCTTTGCAGTCTCCAGTATCACGGGGCCATTACTCGGAGGTGCCTTTGTGGAGCATGTGAGCTGGCGCTGGTGTTTTTACATCAACCTTCCCTTGAGTATTATATCGATTGTCCTGGTGGGCTGGTTGTTCAAAGTACCTTTTGAAAAGTCCAATCTCTCGGAAAAGCTCCGTAGGGTCGATTATGCAGGATTGGTCCTTGTGGTCGCTACCGTCCTCTGTTTGCTTTTACCTCTCACTTGGGGTGGTGTCACTTACTCCTGGAATTCCACCTTGATCATCGTCCTCTTCTGTGTCTTTGCTATGTTGGCTGTCGTGCTCATTTTCGTAGAAAGCCGAGTCAAGGAAGCCATCATCCCCCCAGCCGTCTTCCTCAATAGGAATGTGTCGATGAGTTTGGTTATCCTTTTTGTGTTTGGTGCGACCTTTATGGGTTGCACATTCTATCTACCTCTCTACTTTCAGGTTGTGAAAGGCACCTCTACTACGGATTCGGGTCTCCGCATGATCCCAAACTCTATTGCCATGGTCATCAGCACTATGGGATCTTCGTTTCTGCTCAAGTACATCAAAGACTATCGCCTGTCCATTCGAGTAGGGACAGGTGTGGCAACATTCGCTACTGGCCTGTTGATCCTGTTTGATGTCGATACCAGCTTGGGAATGCAGCTCGGATTCGTTCTGATCCTCGGCCTTGGGCAGGGACTCATTTTCCAGAACTGTACGTTGACTTGTCAAGAATGTGCTGCAGAGGAATATATGGCTGTGGCCACAGCGTTGGCTGGGTTCATCAATAGTATTGGTTCTGCTGTCGGTGTGGCCATCTGTTCCGCAACCATCAATAATGCGTTGCTAATCAGACTGCGCAAGTATCCAGAGGAAATCCAAGTGGTCCTGAGAGAGACAGGTGCAATCAACAATATGGAAGCAGTGGTTGATTTGCCAGATGATATCCGACAGCTGGTCATCCATGAGTATGCAAGCTCATTCCAGTTCCTGTTCAAAATCCTGACTCCAATGATTGGTCTCGGATTCTTGCTATCGTTGTTCCTCCGTAGACGCGCTTCGCTTGCACAAAAAGCATAAGTACCTTAGCAAGGAATAGATATATACCATAGTTATATTGTAGTACTACATAGATATAGACCATAAACATTCTGCATTGTGTACATCTCATTAAAAGTTAAACAAGGTCTTTAAGTGGCCGTTATTTTATGAACATGTACGTAGACGGGAGACAATGGCACATCTTCTGCAAGCGAGCTTCCATTCAATAGCAGCACTCTCATTGACATCTATATCCAAAAAGGCCTTGAAAGATTGGGTTTATTGTTTGTTTGGGGGATGTAAGTGCGAAGATGCCATTGGAAAAGCAACATCTTTTTTAAAAAAAGAAAGTTTTTATTCACAGATCTTCACAGATCACTAAACAAAGCTTCTTCTCAATACGTTCTATCCTTTCGCGAAGAATTTCTGTGCTCGCCTTTTGATTTCAAGAGAGATATCGTTGTTAATTAAACATGATCTGAAATGGGAATGTTTATCCAATTTAAAAATGTTGGAAATATATTTGTCGACGATTCTTCCTTCAGCTGTGGCGAGTTTTAATAAACAGAAGGCTGTCCACGCATGAATTAACTTGCTTTCTCTCTTCATTTATTCCATTCTTAATCAACTCCCTCTTACTTTATCATATTCGCGCATCATCATTATATTCATTGTGCTTTCAAGAAAGTATAGTTCGTTGTGATATCTACTAACTGTTTTCAATGATCCTTGGGTATAATCGGTCTGTCGATTGCTAATCTACACGGCTGTGTCTATGCGTCTTTCGCTCTAGTGGATTCTGAAATATCCTGAATTAAGTTGAGAACAAGGGGTTAGTCGCCCAAGGATACTTATGGCAAAAAGGCCAAGGAGATCCGGTGGCATTTGTCTTCATCTTTCGCCCAACATCACTTCAAATTATGAACTGTATAAATGAAGATGGCCCCCTATCCACCGTCCTAACGATCTTGAGTCTTGAGGAGGCTTTTACCACCTTGCTGTTTAGACATTTATAAGAGTGACTATCCTTGAACGACAAACACCAGCATCACTCGTAAAGTGCCCTCGATCTACTTTTAAGTACATCTCTCTCCCTCTCTCTCAGTTTGCCTTGCTCTCTTTCTGCTCTTTTCGTAATTGACTTATCTATCTTTCCCCTTTGCTTTTTATTCTTTACATTTATTGCGCGTGTCAATGATTACTTTCTTAATCCAACCATTTTATTTTATATTCCTGTACTTTCGAAATAATATTCAACAAGGTTTTTGGTACCTAATGTGATGCGAATAATCCTTCACAAGGGCCAACGTATACGTTTAACTGAAAAGGTATTGAGCTTGTGCAGATTATAATAATAATAATAATAATAATAATAATAATAATAATAATAATAATAATAATAATAATAATAATAATAATAATAATAATAATAATAATAATAATAATAATAATAATAATAATAATAATAATAATAATAATAATAATAATAATAATAATAATAATAATAATAATAATAATAATAATAATAATAATAATAATAATAATAATAATAATAATAATAATAATAATAATAATAATAATAATAATAATAATAATAATAATAATAATAATAATAATAATAATAATAATAATAATAATAATAATAATAATAATAATAATAATAATAATAATAATAATAATAATAATAATAATAATAATAATAATAATAATAATAATAATAATAATAATAATAATAATAATAATAATAATAATAATAATAATAATAATAATAATAATAATAATAATAATAATAATAATAATAATAATAATAATAATAATAATAATAATAATAATAATAAATAAAAATGTGCTTCTTATCATAGTAAACAAATAACAAATATCCGTTATATTTCTCATCAAAAATATATACTGCGAACAGAGTTCACAGGTTACTGCTTGTTTTATTTTAAAAAACCTTAGCGAGGTCCTAATGTCGGCTTAATTACTAGAAGTCATTGGAAGGACATGGATCAACTCCTTTTTTTTAGTGGAGAAAATATGACATTGCTTTCAAACATCCTAATCATAGTAGCCTCAGTGTTCTGTCTAGTAATCCGTCTTTCTAACTTGGAGAAACAAGGTAGAATGTTACAGATGACAAAGCGGGTTCACGAAGTTTCCATTTCCAAACCTAAGTGACTCTATTTCATTGATTAATGTTTATTAAATGAAGACTTAATGATATGACAAAACACTATTCACATTGAGTACGTACCAGATAATTTCAGATAATAGCTAGGGATAGACCTGTAAGGACCTCCCAAAGGGCTCCATCAGTGGAAGGGAATTGAACTAGGGGGGAAGTGATCTTGCCGACCATATTTATTTCACTCTGTCAACGGAATAGAAGCTTTATCTGAAAAGCGCTCATGGTTCTAAATTGCATAGGATATTGGGCACAGCTGATTGGTCAGTTCCATAGATCGTCCTTGAACCTTGAATGCAAAGTTATAATTTCATGTGTGATCTGATAATCTCGCTGATCTCTGTCAACAAATGCGTCGGGTCGTACAGATACGCATATAAAAGATCCCTCTGTCTCCTCTTTTCTCATAGTTTTATTCCTCTCTTTCTTTTCATCTGTTCATTCTTCTTTCTCTCTCTCCAGTCCATCTTGTCTTCTCCTTCCTCTCGTTGTCTATTCTCTTAAAATTAATAATGGCTTCTCTTCTTCGTCGCGGATTCGCAACTGCTGCCAAAACCAACAAAGTCACCATTGGATTGATTCCTGCAGATGGTATCGGTCGCGAAGTGATCCCCGTAAGTTTCAATGCTTATTCTACAATAGTTCTTCTCATTTTTTTTTTTTTATCCTTTCTGTAATAACAACAATGTTGGCAGCAGCAACGGTATAAAAAAAAAAAAAAAAAAAAAAAAAAGTAAAAGAAAGTCTAAGCAATGTTACAACTTGGTGCGAAAGCTGAATCTTCAAGCTCTTTTTTTTTTTTTTTTTTTTTTTCTCCTTTTCTATGAAAATCTTGTAGGCTGCTCGCCAGGTCCTGGAGTCCTTACCCAAGAGCGAGTCAAGTCCCCAATTTAACTTTATTCATCTGGATGCAGGATTTGAGCATTTCCAAAAGCATGGTGTTGCTCTCCCTGAAGAAACGATTACTCGTCTGCGTGGAGAATGTCAAGGTGCCCTTTTTGGAGCTGTCAGGTACAAAAAAAAAAAAAAAAAAAAAGATGAAATGGTTCAGATCCATTATTCTCCTCTCCCTTTTTTTTTTTTTTTTTTTTGCTTTATTATTATGGAACTTTAAAATCGTTTGGCTATGAGATTGTGTCCAGCTTCAGGAAACCATGGAGATAAATGAACGGAAGCAACGGGAAAGCGAGGATGTGAGTTATATAGGAAGATCAGAGAGATAATTAAGTTCGAAGGAGATTCGATCTCGATACGAAATGGTCTTCAAAGAGATCAATGTTTGGAAAAGCAGTCCGTTTTTGGTTTCATGACCATTAATCAAATCATATCGATCAATCACTCACTCACATTTTTAAATGGCTTAACTTTTTTTTTTTTTTTTTTTTTTTTTTTAATAATAACACGTATATAGTTCACCATCGCATAAAGTTGCTGGATACTCATCCCCCATTGTCGCTCTCAGAAAACATCTTGATCTATATGCCAATGTCCGCCCTGTCGCATCCGTTGCTGGTTCAGGACAGAAGCAATTGGACATGTTAATTATCAGAGAAAACACAGAGTGTTTAGTAAGCTTACTCCTTTTTTTTTATTTTTTTTATTTTTTATAATAAGGTTTCTCGATACAATATAAAGGACTGGATAAACTGACCTGATCTGATCTATACATTCCTGTAATATCAATAGTATATCAAGCAAGAAAGAATCGAGACCGATGCTAATGGCCAAAAAGTCGCCTATGCAGATCGTAAGATTTCTGAATACGCCTCCAGAAGAGCCGGTCAAATGGCATTCAATATGGCCCTTATGCGCGACAAGTTGCGATCACAAGTCCCAGCTTCGGAACGCCTCTGGCAAGGCAAACCCAAAGTCACTATTGTCCACAAGTCTAATGTTCTCAGCGTGACTGATGGCCTCTGGCGTGAAACTGTCCGCAGCGTGAAGGAGAACAATCCTCAGGCATATGGTGGAGTCGATATGGATGAGCAATTGGTCGACTCCATGGTCTATCGCATGTTCCGTGAACCTGAAGCCTTTGATGTTGTAGTGGCTCCCAATCTCTACGGAGACATCATCTCAGATGGCGCTGCTGCCTTGGTTGGGTCCCTTGGATTGGTGCCCTCAGCAAATGTGGGCGATCACTTTGTGGTAGGCGAACCTGTGCATGGATCAGCACCCGATATCGCAGGACAACAGAAAGCAAACCCCGTTGCTGCGATCCGTAGTGCTGGGTTGTTGTTAGAGCACATGGGATATGCAGCAGATGCTGCCAAGATCTACCAAGCAGTCGATGGTGTCCTAAGAGAAGGACAGATCAAGACACCCGATCTTGGAGGCAAGAGCACAACACAGGAGGTGACTGATGCCATCTGTAAACGTCTTTAGAGAATAAATCATTTTAATCACGTGCTAGCAGGATCTGCTTCGCCGCCATAAAACTTTTTTTTTTAAAAATTGACCATCATTCTTGGATTCGATCTGATCTGATTCATAAAGGGAGTGGTACAATGGATGAGCATGCTCCGATCGTGTACGATCTAACACAGTATAAAGAAGAGACCAAGAGCTGGAACTCTGATCCTTCCGCATACTTACTTCGTTATTATACCAAGTATTATTTCCTAGCAACAGGTTTGGATGCATTTATTTTGATTATCTCCATGTAGTAGTTTTTTTTTTTTTTTTTTTATTATATTTTCTTTATCATTCTTTTTTTTTTATATTTTATTAAACAAACCTTTCCTCACTATACTATACTATACTGTACTGCACTATACTATTGTACTATACTATGTTCTAGATGGAAAACAACAGCAGAAGGCAAACCATACAGATAATACTACAGAAAATCATATCATTATTGATCAAGAAACAGGATTAGAAATCCTTCGTGGAGATCAATACGTATACCAATCTCCCAATAAACTTTGTATCACAGGCTTAGCACCAACTCATCCTTTGATCTCTCAACAGGATCGTTACAAAATCCTCAATCTGCGTTTTGATTCCAAGATCCAAAATGCTCTTCCTCAACCTACAGCAATCCCAGCCAACTCTAAAAAACAGCCCCCACCTCCTTGTCAATGTGAGACTGTGATCTGTAAGATCGAAGCCCTGGATTTATGGGCTCTTGACTCCCTCAAAAAGGATTTACTTAAGGACGATGATATAGTAACTACCGTACCATCTTTAGAGACCTCTGGATCTGTAACTACTACAACGGCAATTCCAAGGGCAGCATTAGCATCAGCAGAAGCAGAAGCAAAAGCAGAAGTAGAAGCAGGAAGCTTAGTGGGGGCTCTACAGTCACAAGGACCTACATCAACCACAGAGAGCACACCAACGAATCTAGGATCAAAAGAAAGCATAAAAGATAATGCGGACCAAATTTCCCATAATGCAGGGCCTATCTCAACATCAGCATCAACACTAACATCTTACTCAACCCCGACAGAGACATCAACATCAACATCCATGCCGACATTAGCAATGTCCTCACTCTCACCTTTGTCTTCAAAGTCATCTCCAGCATCGTTGGTATCAGTGAATGGATCTCAGAAGAATGAGACGAAGCCAAGAGAATCAGTCGACCCTTCGCGCGTTATCTTTGTTATCCGCGGTGCGATCAATGGCTACGTCATTGAACTGAACGAGAGGTTAGTTAGACGAGGGACGTCCGCTATCACCGATCCAACTGTCATCGAGACCGTGCTTCAAAAGGTAAAAATAATTCCCATATAGGCTTTAGAATATTGCTAAAAACAAATAGAAACAAAACTTGCAACATGAAGATGCGTTCTGATAGGTATATATTTTTATATGAATTTAACATACCGTCATAGGCGTTAACACATGGATTCATTGCAGTGATCAAACCCAAAGTTGACAAGACCGAAATCGCATTGAGGGATTTGTGCACCATGGAGAGTTACGAAATCTTAAAACAGCAGGAATGCATCAAGAACAAGGAACAACTCGAGAAGTAAAATAAAAAGTTTACACACAGAAAATTCTGTATTTGTCTAATGTTTATTGTATTTTGTTTACCTTTTATTTTTTACAAAGCAACGAGGGATATTGTACATTCATAGAAGATGAAGAAAGGTCTTTTTTTTGACACATCCATTAAAAGAGTAGGGCGTTGTTTTTTTTTTTTTTTTTTTAAGCATTCATCCAAATTTTAGGATGAGCGAATGCTTTTGATACCAGTTTCGAACACCTCGAGCCACTGAGAAAGATCATGGACAGTCATTTGGAGCTCTTCCATGAGGTCATCATCCTTGCGAAGCGCATCTAAATGTAATGACCGTGGTTCGGGCGGAACTATAAGCATATGCATTGGAATGCTTGGGTGTTGTTGGGCTTGAGTTTGCTGAGTGAGGAAGTGGGCATTATTGTTTTGAAGATGGTGATGGTGCAGCTGTTGACTGCCGTTGGTCATAGTTGTGGATGTAATTGGGACATTATGAGATTGTATGTTCACACTGACGTTGCTGCTATTCATCGCATTGTTGGCAAAAGCGGTGTTCTGGTAGTAGGATGGAGCGGTGACATTCATCACGGACTTGGGGTTGGTGCTGCCAATAACAGTAGGAGTAGCGCATGAGGATGACATCGCATTGCTATTATTGTTATTATTGGCGGTAGCAGCGCTGTTGGTACCAGTATTGTTGCTGTTGGTGACTAGAGGCAAGGATGAAGGAGAGCTGGAAGTGGTTGTGGGTATTGACGATGACAATGCTGACGAAACTTGGGCCGGTAGGGTAGTTCCTGAATTTATTGGCTGATGGCCATGGGCTGCTGCTCCCCCATTACTGACAGTTCCTCCATTTGTCTGACTAGTAGTTGTGGTTCCAGACATACTGCCAAAAGATGATGATAATGAGGACGATGAAGCCACAGTGTGAAGAGCAGGTCGTAGAGGGCTCGAGGACAGTGTTGGTGCCGTGATGTTTGACGATGCGATGAAGCGGGCTGCTGAAGGTGACGGGGGCAGTAAGAGCGGGTTAGGTGCATAATCATCTACAGAGCTCTATAATACATTGATATAAAAAAGTTATTAGTCATTCATATCATTTGGGAATTTCACCATGATTCAGTCTTTGGGACTCATAGGAATCTTATTGATACCAACCTTTTTTGGTGGGATCATGATGACGGAATGTCCTCCATTGAGATTAGTCATGCTGATACTACGTCTACGCGGCGAGCTAGCTCTTCTATAACGATGAATGTCTGCTGATCCCGATTCATTGGGATAAGGATACTGCTGCTGTTGGTATCCTGAATGCTGATTATAATGACTTTGAGCTGTTGACTGCAGGTTTTGTCCAGAGAAGGCGCCACCATGTGGCGGTCGACTAGCTTGAAACCCATTTTTTGCCAGTCCATCCTGATCTTCATTTCGCCTCAGCACGCTGGCGGAACGAATCCTCCTTGCAAAATTCTCGCTAGATCCTACCGTCCTCAAGCCAGGCCTCGGCATCACTACTCCAGGACCTGGGTTTGACGTTGTAAATAAGTTATTAGCTGCAACCGGATTAGACATAGACGTAGAAGATGCAGAAGATGTGGATGAAGACGAGAGGGACGATGTATGATGAATAGTCGAGGCGGTATGCAACTGACCAAATGTTGGGTCATTATTGACACTTAATGCTGGTGATAATCCATCTTTATCGCTCGAGCCAATACTACCGCGATGACGATCAATATTCGGAGTAGAGGAACTGTCATGTAAAGCGTTGATCGTCCTTAGATGCGCTGGTGAATGCCCGAATGGAGGTAGTTTTTCTTCGCTAATGTTAATTGGTTGTAGATTTAACGCTGCAGCCTCTAATGAAATATTTGCCAAGGATGCTGATAACGAACTTGTACTTTCAATAGCCTTAGACGAGCCGATGATAGATACAGAGTCTAGCCCATGGAATGTGGAGCTCCTTACTGCTGCCGCACTCGGTGGTCTTAGCGGTAAACTAGGACGCAAGTGAGATTGACGCTCTGCCTGCGAAAAATCGAGGCTAGCCTTCCTGTATGGGATTTCCGGTGGAAGATTGCTTCGTGTATCATTGGAAGCACGATTTCGCTGTTGATTCATTGCCACAGCTGTTGATGTTATCGTAGGTGAGAGACGTCGCTGTCCATTGATTCTTGATATTTCTTTTGAAGCGTTTATGACAGTGCTACTTCCTGTCGTTGATCCATTCGTCGCTGCTAAGGCCGGCCCTGCTGCTCCTGTTGGAGGTATCGCTGGAGAAGCAGGTGTGGAATTAGGCCTCAAGTTATGTTGCTGACTAAGCTGATGTTGATTTGGGATGATAATCTCGTGACTATGGCTACCTTTGGGTGGCAATGAACTGGGAATATCAGAGTCCTGTGTTCCCTGCTTCGAATGAAGGCCAGCCAATATCGAAGACTGAGGTAGCGGTGGTACTGCGCGCGGAGATGTAAGTGGCGAACTGCTGCTCGTACCACGATTCAACAAATGATTGTAAGGGTAATCCGGGCCTGGTGCTGATCCTATCAAGATAGGTGCTGAGGGTCTCCTATCGAATCTGAAAGGTTTTGACATATTGAAGCCAAACGGTAGGCGTGATGATTCTGCTGGTCGGTTTCCAGCTCCTGATTGATGTTGATATTGTTGTTGCATGGACGATTGGAGCTGATCTGACGTAGAGCTGAGTTCATTACTAGGGACAGACGATCTTGATGCAAGTCTGGCGTTTGTGATTTCATCGAGATTAGGAATAGTAAGGCTAATTGGTGCAGAGACGACATGCTGGCCAGGATAAGAATATGTACTGTGGTTTGTTGAGACATCCTCCTCGCTTGTACTTTTATTATTTACAAACAATCGCAAAAGGGGATGCGATTCATGCGAAAACACCATAGGCTGAGATTTGAATGGGATTGGCGTTTTGGAATCCTTAGGCAAAGATGAGGACGATTTAGCTTTGAGCGTTGGAGATGAGCCTTCGTTGGAAGAGGGTATAGGGGCTGCATTGTCCTGTCCCTGTTGAGCATGGTCCGATTGTCTTCCTCCACGGCCTTGCATAACAACACCGCTATCCTGAGCAGACAGGACAAGATTCTTTGCGCCATTGATGTGCTCGCCATTAGAATCCAGTGATGGTCGGCTGATGCTAGATGCTCTCGATGGTGCCAGAGTGGGTAGTGTCTTTGTAGTCTACGATTCGTGTCAAAATAAGAATGTAGATTCGATATTTAAATGATGCACAATCTAATACTAAAGAAACAGGTTAAAATTAAAGAAACAATCTATCAACATATTGTCGAAGCACCTACATCAAAGCGCCAAGCATCTTCTACTTCCATATCAAAACTTTCAAGTTCTTGGTCAATGTCAATATCACTATTAATAAAGAAAAGAGATTTAGTATGGCTGCGACAGGCAAGATATATTCATCAGTTTCAAGGGCGTGAGCGTATTACCTATTGTTTTCGACCTTATTCAAGGCAGAATCTAGTTTATGCTGCTCGAACTTCGCTACAAGATCCTTCAATAGAGCTGTAGGATTCTTGCTAGTGTTCTTGATCCATTTTGTTTTTAATAAGTCCTCTGCCGATGGTCGCTAAAAATGCCAAACGAAATATATTGTAAGCCTGCCCTTTTTTTTTTTTTTTTTTTTTTTTTTTTTGCTCATAGCCAAATATATACTCCAATGTCCAAATTCTCTGGAACCTATTCTAACGGCATTTTTTGCCTCTCTCCTCATCCACTCCTGTCTACCTACCTGAATAGGGTCTTCATGTAGACACAAGGCAACAAATTCCTTCATTGCTGGTGACCAATCACCTTCCAATTGAGCTGGCCTGGTCTTTGGAATCAACGACATTGCTCGCATAGGATCCTGATCGGCGAATGGTGGGTTTCCTGTTGCGATTTCGTATATAGTGATCCCCAATGACCAAATATCTGCCTAAATGCAAGGGCTAGTATGTAAGTTGATTATTATCCTCCATTTTGTAAGATCTACAGAATTAGCCTAGCCTACCTTATAGTCATATGTTTGGCCTTTAATCACTTCTGGGGCCATCCAATATGGAGTACCAACGAATGAATTGCGTTTCAACGAGTTCATTGTCACCTGACCCGCAACTCCAAAGTCACAGAGTTGCACTCGTCCTTCGTCCGTCAAGAGAATGTTGGCCGCTGTTAGGGTGCAAAAACAACGGTATGAAGGCAAAATATTGTGAATGCGAACCATGTAGATAAAGTCCAAGCAACACAGCATTCCAGACGACAACATGGATTAAAAAGTAAGAAGAAAGAAAGTCATTGTTAGTTTAGTCCTTTCAGTGCTGATTAGTATCAAGGACAGAGGATATCCCACCTTTGATATCTCGATGGATGATACCGTGCTTGTGGAGGTAGCTTAGCGCTTGGAGAACCTCCCTGGCAATGACCGCTATGCACTTCTCATCGATCTTGTTCAAAGCTTGTAACTAGCACATACATTAGCCAAGAGCAAAACGAGCAGGAGTTAAAATTTTCATTTGCGAAATAATGAAGCGAGAGAGAAGGTGTTCATAGTTTGTCGTTATGCCATAGAGCATTTTATCACTGCTCTCCTTGTCAATGTACATTCTATCCTTGGCGGCCATCATCCACTGGTACAATTCAACTAATAGTATATTCTTATTTTCTCATTTTTTATATATTATTTTTTTTATCGTATCCCTTACCAGTGATCGTATACTTCCTCCTGCAGCATAATCCATGACGATCCATAATTTAGTCCCATTTAGAAAACTGCCATGATATCGTGTTATATTTTGAGAGTCGCAGTTCTTGAGCTGAGAAAGAGTCGCAATTTCTCGTTGGATGTCGGAAACGTCGTCTTCCTCTGTATCGAGGTTAAGCACTTTGATGGCGACCACTTGTTGCGTTGCGTTTTCTATCCTATTATTGCAAATCATGATAAATTACAGAAATGGTCAGCCCTTGCTTTACTCCCAGACTCATACTGGGACCTAAAAGCATCGCATGGAGTATATGACTACTGTGTGTACAGGCATATGTCGCGCGATTATTATCGTTTTTTAAATACATCTCAACTCCATTTGAATGAGATAAATACTCAAGGTTTTCATCATTAACAAGATTGACAAGAGAATCAGGTAATGTTTCTAATGATGGGGAGCAGTAATAGTGACACATACCCTTTATATACAGCACCGTAGGCTCCACGTCCCACAAGCTCCTGTCTGGTGAACAGTTGGCTTGCAAAGATGGTGTCGCCGGTCGCAATTCGTTTGTTCGACATTGGCCGGCGCAAAGAAGGTGGTTGAAAGGGTCGTGTTTAACTTGGTTGAGCAAGAAGATAGAGAGGAAGACGAAGACGAAAAGGAAGTGCTCCGGCAAAGGATGAATTACATGCAATAACGCTGTTCTTGTTTTGCTATATGCATATGTGTGAGTGCTCTGTCCGTGCTAATGTGTGTGAGAAAGAAAAGGCTGAATGTCTGAATATGTTGAGAATATGTTTAAACAAAGGGAGGAGCAAAATAAGTCGAGTCTAGGCACATCAGATTTTTAAAAAAACGTGCATGTAAGCTAGTTTTTTTTTTTTTTTTTTTTTTTTTTTAATTCCAAGGGAAATAAGTTTTTATTATGCCACATCAAAAAATAGACCATTATGGTGCCCCTGATCGATCACCATTCGAAGGGCGGTCTGGCTCAATGCTATACACTGGTGTCGCAAGCTTTGCAGGACTATTGAGATATCCTCCATAAGATGGTGTCCCATTCTCCTGATATTCACTTCCAGGTTTCGAGCCAGGCAACATCTTTTTTTTTTTTTTTTTTTTTATGCCATGCATCATATAATTCATAAGATGAGGCAAAGGTCAGTTAAACAATACAAAAAGAACGCACTACTACTTACTTTACATCAGTTTAATGTTGTAACACTAACACACACCTTATCCAAAGACCGCCCGTTTTTGTTTGGGAACTGCGTATATTGGTCCATAATCTCGTTTGCAGCATCTTCAGCGTCAGCGTGATCAAGTAGGAAAAAAACAAATGGAATCATTAATAACTAGACCGGAGAAAATATGATAAATAAAACGTTGCACTCCCCTTCCTGGTGTTCCTACATACCAGTAATATCTTGAATCTCTGGTTCGTACAACTCTCTCCAGGTATCACCAAGACACTCGTTCAAGTTTTCATCCAAATATTTAGCTGCAATATGTACTGCAGCCAATGCAATGATCTTGGGAGGGTAAAGTAAGCATAGCGTTGTTCTCAAACTAAAAATAAGCAAGGATCATGATATCAAATTCAGTATGTAAAATCACCGTCTAAAAAATGAATAACAGATAGTCCTTATACATGTATAAATATGCATGTATATTTTACAAAGCTATGCTCTTTACCTGTCATTAATGAAGGCCCATGCAACTGACTTTAATTTTCTCGCACCTAAAGTCCATTTTTAAAAAAGTTGATTACATTGCTATTGTTAAGACAATGTGACTAAACCAGGACTTGTCTTTTCTTTCCTCTTTTTCCAAGCGCCCCCTGTGTACACGTACGGTGTTCATCTTTAGTGTAATGATTGGTAAGCAAAGAGAGCATGAACTGGTATGGATGTTCGACACTTAGCTCAAAACAAAGCGCTTCCAGCAAGATCTCCTCCGTATAAATGATGGTATCTTTCCAGACACGGAACTCCTATTTAAAAGCAGGGAATCAATGTTAGTGTGAAAAGTATGTTTTTCTGTCAAATCAATGCAGATCTGGCGATAGAAATCGCCATGCCTTTGAAGAATCTTCGATCGGTGTTTCTCTCTTTGCTGCCTTTTGCGCGCATGCTATAATCACATCTTTAAACTTGCGTGTCGATTCCTCTGTTTTGCTGGCAAGATAGATACATGTTGCACCAATATCCTATTGAACAATGAGTCCATTTGATTAGTAATGATAAAAAAATTATAAGACAATTGCAATGGTGCCTTATCGCTTTAACCCCCAATGTATAACCCCTGTTCCTTTTCAAAATTCTGTTTTCAAAGCAATTCAAAGCATAGCGCTTACATAGAATTTGTAGTCTTTAAGAGAGTGTCGCATGTAAAATCGGTGGAAAAACAATGCCGCAGTGGCCATAGTTAGCTGTGGCCTAGAAAATCCAGGAGAGCCCACCGGATAGAAAGCAATTAGCGCGTGCGCATGTGTGCTTAAGCAATCCACGGGTGCCAGGAAATGGACACCTCCAAGCTGTTGGATCCTCTTTGCTTGTTCAAACTGCAGCAAGTCTCAGTGGACTCTTTATTGACTCTAAGCAAATTAGTGAACACTCACAGCTTGAGATACATTCCCACTTGAATGATAAAAGTGACGCCCTTCATGCGGCTTTCTTTCTCAACTTGGTACGAAAGTCCTGACATCAATGACGGTGTTCTGTATAGATCTTCCTTTCTGAAAAGCCATTGATTCTCTGTTGTGCTGCTGCTCATTCCGTGCTTAATTAAATTTTAAATTGAAGTGAGGTGTCAATGGTTTCCAAAAAGTTACCGACGCTTGAATACTGGATGTAGAGGTTGACGAGAGGTTAATAACAATAAAAGATATGAGTAATAGGGTAAAAATCCTAGATGAATTGTGAATGTGGTTTATTAAAAGATGTGTATTCAGACACTCCTTTTCCGCAGAACAGGTTACGTATATCACGTGCAATTTATTTTCTCCACACCAAGCTCCTTTCGACGCTCTTGTTCACATTTACATATTCCTCGCTTGACTCGAATTGTGCCTGGCTTGCTCGTCTGTCCAGATATAACATACTCATGAACTCCCTCTCCCATCTCATGGCAATCTACACAGCAGAATAACCCACTCTTACTGCTTGAAACCGCGGAGGAGCATGAAGGACAAGCAATGACCAACTTGTGACAGCCAAACCCATCGCATTTGACATATCGAGCACATGGCCTGCCGCATGCTTGACAAGAAGATATCAGTTTATCAACTACTTGTTCAGTGTCACTTGTTGTTGTAGGGCCTTCAAGCCCTAGAGATTGACGTGCATCAAACACATAATTCTTTCCAAGCCATAATGAATCCTTTGCCATCCCTTCATGCTTGATCCATTCAAGATAATTATGAATGCCGCCCTCCAGCATCAGAACTTGAGATGGTTGTACATCCTCGTCACTTCCTAAAGATTGACGTAGATAACTGGTAGCCTTCTCGCTAGAAAAGTTGATGGGTTAGCGTCAATTGACTGTGTGAACATAGATTGAAAACGCCATCTTCTTTATGTTGCTTTAAAGTTGTTTAATACTAACCAACGAATTCCTCCAGTACAATACGACAAAATAGTTTTCCCTGCAAACTGACTCTTATTTCGAGTGACATAATCTTTAAACGAAGAGAATTTACGTATTGGCGGTGTAATAGCTCCAGGGAACCGTCCAATACTTGATTCATAGTAATTACGCACATCCAGTATGACAACGTCGTCGTTCCCTTCTAGCTCTTTCAATTTCTGGTGAAACTCCTTCGGCGTCAGTTTGCCTCGCTTGTTTTCTGGATCATTGTATACATTCAACTCAGGGGCTCCTAGCGGACATATCTCTTCGACAACCTTAATCGATATTACTTCATCAAAAACATGTCTACACCCCTCTGTTGGTTTGAAGAATTTAAATCTACGTTCTTCAAGAGATATCTGATCTGTTTCTGATGCGGACGGTAATGGTTGAAACAATTCAAGCGACTGGAACTCTGGGTGACTAGTAAGTCTGTCAATATACATTGCAATTGATTCAGATGACCCTGCAAGTGTAGCATTAATGCCTTCGGTCGCCACCTTGACTTTTCCATAGAAATTTAATTCCTCTGACCACAATTTGTGAAGTTTGGCAAGATCCAGTGGGTGACTAATTGGTAAATATACATAGAACAGGATCACAGTCCCCTTTGACGGATCGCACGAACAGTCAAGGTTTATAGGGTCGCTTGCATATTTATGAGCCCTTCTAGTCATAAATTCTAAGGCGCTTTCATCGAGTTTTGGCTGTTGGGCAGATCGTTCTTGAAACTGTAGTGTTCGTTGTTGCAATATATCACCGTGGCTAATGGCAATATGTTTATACATTTCAGGAGCACTCGAGCATACCCAGCCGCAGCATGACCACGTGGCATCCTCTGACTGTCTCTCCTGGACCATCGCATCATGGGCAGTGTTCCTGGCTTTTCTGGCATTCATCATTTTGATTCTAAATTAATTATGCACGGAGCAATGGAACTACAAAAAAAAAGCTCACAATGCAAGCCACATCGACTACAGTCAGCGACCTGCCGTTCATTGCTCAGCCTCAATTTTTACTTGGTCATAATTTTAACCTTTTCTATTTTTTTGCTGCTTTTCCTCCACACGCAGATCAACATTAGTCCCACTCATCTTGTTCTCGAGAAAATACCTGTACAACACAAGCACTAGATTGCATTTTGAAGTTGTAAAGATTGCATTAGCAACTGACTCTCTCCTCAAAACTAACGAACGTCACATAACCTCTCGCACTTGTGCCACACAAATATCTCGTGCTCGCGATTTGAGCACATTCTATTGCAAGTTGCTATTACTGTATTTATTTCAATCTCAACAGAGTAATAAATGCTTTTGATGACCATATTCATGACCAAGTTGAAGCCAGGTGTTACTATGTTCCAGTCCTTGTCAATTGCGCTCTAACTGTGCTTCAAAATCATTTAGATCCAAGACAGATTTAGGTAGAGTTAGTTATCATTTGAATTAATATTTGATATCATCCCCTTATATATGGAACACGATCTGTCGGTCAGTATATATATCTGGATTAGCGTGATGAAAATGAAAAGTGTTTTTGTGTTGCCATCTATCAAAACTGTTGTGAGAATTAGTTCCCCGGTAACTGAAACGTATAAAATTAATTAAAATTAGATCGACAAGACCGCCTCGCCGATCAACAATGAATTATATACCCTTAAGAGAAGCATACCCAGTGATAATATCGAACCACACATAGGAGGAAGCCAGGACAGTGGTGCAGATTACCAAATGCAGGAAAATCACAATTACCCAGGTAACGATATGAACGACACTAAACGGCGCAGAATCCACGGTGAGGAGGAGTTCTCCGACATGTACACCACTGAGAATCATAGGATCAATGGTGGGGACCCGGGAAAAAAAAACACAAGCGAAAATGAAGTTTCATTATCTTCGACGCTATCAGGGAAATCTATTCGCACGTCTACCAGAACCATAAAAACAAGTGCAGTAAACTCTAGTGAGCTCCTGCGTTGCAAGAGCCAGCTACCTGAGACCCCTACAGGTCCTAGGTCGCTCGAATTAAGACAGCAAACCAAGAGAATTAATTACGCAGAAGAGGAAGGATCAGAGGATGAGGATGAGGCTCAATATGAGAGATCAGCAACTATACGTGAGACACAAACTCGTGCAAATAAGAATCAATCAAGGACATCATCACGATACCATCTCGAGAGCGCTCAGGAATCTGATTCCGATAAAAGCACAGGACTAGGGTCAGAACAGCAATCAGACGTTTTTACATCACGAACGCTCCGTGACCGACGACTTATCTCTGCTCCAAAACCATTTCCGGTCAACAACCAGCCATCGCGTCGTTCTTCAAATACTAGGCGGCATAGCGAAGCACATCAAAGTGGCGGACGGTACGAAAATTCAAATAGGATGTACCAGTCTAGCTCTCGCTCTGCAGCTGCGAAAAGAGCAATACCTATCTCTAGACCTATTACAGAGAATATGAGGATCACAAGAGGAATGAGTAGCTCGCTGTTACCCGATTCTGCAAATAGTCGCGATGTGACGCCGGATCAACCAAGTCGACAGAGAGGCAGAAGCAATTCACGTTTTCATCGCAGTGATTTTACTGACGAAGAACAGGACCTGGATGATCACGAATTCAAGCACGATGAAGCTGCAGATATGGAGGATGAAGAAATGGAGGGTGGGCCAGCTGATGATGAGCAAACGCCTGGACTAGCTAATGATGAAGGCAATACATTAACTCGTATGACACGCTTACGGGCACGCGTTCAATCACAGTCTGCGGTCGGCTCAAGACATGCTTCACCGAGACCGTCGCGCTCAAAGGCTACTCACTCTAACCCACAGCAGGATGGCGACCGAAAGTATGATCTTAGAGAGCGACCCAAAAACAGACCAGCTTATATCGCTGATCGGCCTATTCCGTCCCCCAGCAGACCCAGGTCTTCACGGATTAACAACTTCAGTGGACGAGATACTTTTGCTCGTCCAAGACAAGCTAGATCTAATCTGCTCGAAGCCCTCGCACGTGCAGCGGGTTCTTCGAGCGATGAACTACAAGCACCCAACTTTAAGAGGCGTTCAGGTGGAAGTTCTTCATCACGAATATTACCAATGAACATGCATGAACTTGCTGACTCTAGACGGGATATCGTAGCTGCACGATTTACACAACCAGCTGATACTGACCCGCTTTCTGTGGGGAATAACGTTGATTTTACTAAAGTTGGTGGACTGGACCATCATATCAAATCATTGAAGGAAATGGTTATTCTACCGTTGCTGTACCCGGAAGTATACTCGCATTTTCAAATAACACCTCCCCGGGGTGTCCTCTTTCATGGGCCTCCAGGAACAGGAAAAACTCTTCTAGCCCGTGCATTGGCATCAAGCTGCTCTACCGAGACACAAAAGGTAGCGTTCTTCATGCGCAAAGGCGCAGACTGCTTGAGTAAATGGGTCGGGGAAGCAGAGAGACAACTGCGTCTTTTATTTGAAGAGGCCAAGGCTTGGCAACCCAGCATCATATTCTTTGATGAAATTGATGGTCTTTGTCCAGTACGATCAAGTAAACAAGAACAAATTCATGCATCCATCGTATCAACAATGCTTGCTCTTATGGATGGCCTCGATGGGCGAGGTACGTATCAGTTACACAAACAGGCCTCATGTGTTATTGTACTTTTGAGTCGCAGAATTTAACTTTCTAATATTGTATATTGTATACTATTTCAGGGCAAGTGATTGTCATCGGCGCCACCAATCGCATAGATGCCATCGATCCGGCACTTCGTCGTCCTGGACGGTTCGACAGAGAGTTTTACTTCCCGTTGCCTAATGAGGCCGCACGTAGGGCTATCATTGATATCAACACATGTGGATGGGCTCCCCCTCTAGATGAAAGGTTCAAAGATGAATTGGCAAGGATGACTACACAGTATTGTGGGGCAGATATTAAGGCGCTCTGTACCGAGGCGGCCTTACGGGCAATCCGGCGGCGATATCCACAGATTTACGAAAGTAACGAAAAACTCCAAATTGATGCCTCAACTATTACAGTCGAAGAGATTGATGTACTGAAGTCAGCCAAGGCTTTGACGCCTGCATCCTATCGCGTCACTGGAGCAACAGCATCCCCTTTGCCTGAAAATATGAAGCCACTTCTTCTGGACCAATTCGATAGAGCTTGTAAAGTTCTTAATTCGATATTCTCGGGTTCTAACACTAAAATCGAAAAAGACGGCATGCTTGAAGACGATGATGCATCATTTCAATCTATGGGATATCGTAGCTTCGAAAAACTCAAAACATTTAGGCCAAGGATGATAATTACTGGTGATCGGGGAATGGGGCAGCGTTATATCGGGCCTGCTCTTTTGCACTATCTGGAAGGATGTGCTGTTCAACAATTTGACTTGGCAGCTTTGATGTCTGAATCAAATAGGACACCAGAAGCAGCATGTGTTCAGTACTTCATAGAAGTTAAGCGACATGCACCCAGTGTGATCTATATCCCACATATAGATGTATGGTGGTCGGTAGTTTCTGATACTGTAAAGGCCACTTTCTCCAATATGCTTGAAGACCTTGGCCCACAAGACAGAATACTTTTTCTAGCTACGAGTGAGACAACAATGTCCAATTTACCCATTACCGTGCAGCGTTGGTTCCCGTTGGGCGGGAAAGATTATGTCGAATTAGCACATCCTAAAGGCAAGCACCGAGGAGCATTCTTTCAGGCGCTTATTGACGATCTCGCACGGCCACCTTCTGACTTCTTACCACCACCTACTGCACTCAGAGAGCCAGAATTACTCAAGAAGGCGCCGCCACCCCAGCCTCGCGTCCCTACAGCGGAAGAAAAGAAATTACTGGCGGAGCATGATCAATATGTACTTCGGGAATTGCGTATTTCACTTCGAAATATAGTGGATGAACTATACAAGGAACGCAAGTTCAAACCTTTTTTTAGGCCGGTAGAGCCAGAAGAATCGCCGGATTATTACCAGATCATCAAAAAACCCATGGATCTGATGACCATCAGTGAAAAAATCAATGACAGGATGTACTTGGAGGTTAAGGAATTTTTGGCCGACATCGATCTGATTGTTGACAACACAACTCTGTATTATGATATACAGGACCCTAACAGAGTCATCTACAGGGTGAGCCAAGCATACTCTGAAATATATTTTTTTCCCCTCTTTCTTTTACTGACTATTGTTTCCTGATAATTAAACATTGATATTATAGGCACGGGCTTTCCAGGACGTTGCGTACTCTATGGTTGGTCGACTTGACCCAGACTTAATCACAGAGACTGGAAAAACGGCGACGCGCGTTCGACAAGAGGCAAAAGTACAACAAAAGATTCCAGGAGAAAGAATGAGCCGCCGCATACTTGGACTTGAAGCTACCGCTGTATTGGATGATCCAGAGATGTTGCTTCGAAGCCGTACTACTCAGGCAAAATCGGCATTGGATTTTACTCGCGAAGGCATTGTGGGTACCTCTTCGATCAAAGCTGATGAGGATCAGAGCCAAAAGCGATCTCAGAATCAACAACGTCTAGATGCCTTGATTGCAGCTCAAGAAGCTGTAAATGACCAACTGTCCAAGGATGACGCTGATGACAGTAGTACATCTCTTTCGATACTTTCATCGCGTGCAACATCTAGTGTCCTCAGCGTGACAGCTGCACCATCAGTAGCAGATGAATGCGAGGAAATGATGCAAGCGTTGAATGGGGAAATAGAAATAGGTCAAGAAAACCTCGAATCAGCGGATATGTCGACACAAATGAAGGATAACTCTGATATCACTAAGAGGCTATATGCCACGGAGTCGCCCGCGGATGTTAAAACAGCTGCAGAATTTGAGCATGAGTCTGAACATTCTATGTCCGTGGAAATGCGACAAGCAGTGAAGACAGAGGAAGAAGAGGAAGAAGTCAACGAACCGAAGCATGTGATATTGGATATGGATGCGGTAGCTCTTTTGCAACAAAGTCTTGTTCGAGACACTGAGGGATTCAACATTGAGGAGCTTGACCGCCTTAGGGCATCTTTATATGCGGATATATGGGAGAATCGGGGCAATTGGGACAAGCAGGATTTACTTGCGGTAAAGAACAGCTCTGCTTATGGCCTTTAATTAATTTTCATGTATCCCCTATTGCAATATTATCAATACTATGGCTCTTTAGGAACCAGAGCAATTGACCTTTCCTAATTATTTTTTTTTTTGCTGCTTGTTTAGGAAATGACAAAAAAAGTTGCTACAGCTGTAAACCTTCACTACAAACTTCAGGAAAATGATCTGCATGCTTCTACTATGTCAGATCTATTGGTATAGTCAGTTATGAATCAAAAGTAAACACTATCTTAACTAAAAACTTGTACAACATTGAATTAATGAACGTTGTTTGAAATAAATTACATTTTAGCTCTAGTTCGCAAAAAAAAAAAAAAAGGGGGGCTAATAAAACGTTTGTCTATGAGCGGTCGTTGAGGAGAGCAGAACTGATTTGCTTTGAGATGGTTTGACTAGCTCGACCTGAACTACTTGAGCCATTTTGCTCATTTACATCACCATCTATTGCTTGCTTTTGCTCTCCTGTCGCATTTAGCGTTTTTTCCGACCTCACAATGCCAGCCTTCCAAAGCTGAGACAAGCCTTTCTTCTCAAGCTTGATATAAAATGGCTTCTCTGTTGACTTGCTGGCATTTTTAGCCTTAACTCCACTTTGTACGGTAGCTGCTGCTACATCTGGAGATACTGTCGACTCTGACACTGCGCTCTGTTGTTGTTGAGTCGAAGCTTGTATTGAAGCAGTTGCTTTCACAGATGATCTTTCTTGAAGAGGTAGAGCTGATTTGAATGGTTCAGATGAATGCCGATCCTCTCCCCCTATTATTGATCTTTCTGGTTCTGAAGGTATTGATGCCGCTGCTATATTACTATTATGCTGCTGTTCTGACATACTTTCGCTGCCTTCCACCGTTATTTGTTCTTGTCCTTGTCCCTGTCCTTGTCCCTGTCCCTGCTGTTGCTGTTGCTGTTTTTGCAATTGCTTGGCCCTTGCAGCTCTTAGTTCATTTATATCAAAGAATCCATAAAAACCCGTGTGTTTATAGATGACAGAACGTGACGATGGCATGTGCCCCGTCCTTTTCAGTTCGAAATCCTTGAGTCCGACTCGAATATAGCCATCTGCAAGTGCTTTTTGAAGCGATTCCTCTTTTTTAAATGTCAAAAATCCATATCCAAAATATTTTTTTGTCTCAGGGCACTACAACGAATGGAGATCACAAGAATACTCGATGATTTAATGTCTTAAAATATTTATGTTGTGATAATAGGGAACCTTTAAAAATAAGTATATTTATTTCACTTACCCTAGCGAATTGATACTGCGTTAACGGGCCATAGTTAAACTTAATATGACTAATAAACACCTGTGCCTCTTCCAATGAATAGATTTTATCCGGACTCCTGAAAAATATACGATATAGCTCTGGATCGTCCACTACGGTGCTGCTACGTTTCTCAAACAAGTCCGAGTAATTTTCCGCATCTCCTCTTTTTTGCTTTTTGTTATAGTATTTCTGCGCCCGCCGGTTATTGGGAATCTTTCGGAAAGGTAAGCTTTTATGAAGATGGTCATCCTGTAAGATAGTGGCATTAGCGCCTGTTGCTGTTGCTGTTGTTGTTGTTGACTTTTGAGAATAATTCCTTGATAATGTGGACAAAATTTGACACAGCCGAGTTTTTGGATTGACTGTCCGCAGCCTTGACAGATTATCTTTGCCAACCCAGAAACTGTTCTTGAGAAGCAAAGCGGCCATGAGATTTCTTTTTTCTTTTTTGAATCAAAAGTGCAGAGGATGTAATAAAAAAGAGATCAGTTTTTGTAAAAAGAAAAAGAATTATCAAAGCCACCTAGACGCAAAGACCACCTTTTTGGCAAGTGGCAAGTGTCTTGGGCCCAAACGAGCTATTCCTTCACTGCGTCATTCCTATTTTTTTTTTTATATAATTATATATTCTCATGGAACCAACAACAGAAAGTGACGATACTCATCGTAAGAGCCACGACCATCGTCATCGCGACCGTGGCCGTGACAGGGAGCGTGAGCGCGAACAAGGCAGAGAAAGAGACAGAGAAAGAGAAAGAGAAAGAGAGCGTGATAAGGACAGAAAGCATAGACATCATGATAAGAACGATGAACAGCACCAAGACGGAGACAAGCATAAAAAGCACAAGTCTCCATCATCCTCTTCCTCGAAATCAAAGCACCATGCTCATAATGAGAAAAAGGATAGAGATCGACATAGCCATCCTCGTCATAAGTCGTCATCATATTCTAGACATGATAAGAACAAAGATGAACCCGGTAGCAACTCTAGGAAGAAAGACAGTTCACATAGGGACGATATTGACGCCCCCATGGCTGAAGCTGATGATGACATGTGGGTTGAGAAAGAGATTCCAGGTATCGATCCACCACCTCTCATTTCCGAAACAACGGTATCTTCTGACTCTTTAGTCGAGAAGCCATCCAGTATGTCAATTCAACCTACTAAAGAGCGTGAGAACAATGATAAACCAAAGCGTGATGCTTGGATGATGGATGACGGCGGCTTGGATTTTGGATTGATGGGAGCAGTTCGAGTCAAAAAACCAAAGGAAGAAAAACCTGATCCGGAGAAGGCAAGCTTCTTTCCATTTAACGGTTAGATGATTATACAAAACATGCATTAATCTCATGCTGTCTATTAATGCTATTTTTTTTATGTTATCATTTATGCTTTGTTATTCACGATATAATCTTTATAGCCCAAGTTCAGCAGTCGCGAATTGAATGTGCAGCTTGTTACAGGTGTTCATGTTGATGAGATCCCAGTCGGTAAGTCGCTCGTTTTTTCGCCTATTTATTTATTTGAAGGAGTGTGAGGAAGAATGTGTTTGAAAGCAGTCAAACTAAAATGAATGGTTTTTGCAATTTAATCTCGCCATAGAAAAACCATCCTATACTATCGGTGATGCAGGTTCGAACTGGAGAATGACAAAATTGAGACGTGTCCTGGAGACTGCAAAAGAAGAGGGTGTCGCCCCCGAAGTTATTGGTATTGAGCGATACGGGGTAGGGAACTACTTCTTTCCTTTGTCCCTCTACAGTACACTCATCTATTGATATGCAATAATCTTTAAAGCCGCTGCGAGAGAATCATGCTAATCAAGTGATCGCACCAAAATTAGTCAATAGAAAAGTTTAACGAAGCAATGGAGGAACGCAGAGAGCTCGATCGACGAGCGGCTCAGAAAAAGGAATCTCGCAGTGGAAGATCGGATAACAATCGTGATAGACGAGATAGGGATAGAAATGACAGACTTAAAAGCGATGATAGAAGAGATATTAGGCGAGATAACGATGACGACGACCATCAGAGCCGCAGCGACAGTAATGAGCACAGGCCATCTTCGAGAAGCGGTCGGCTCTCAGAATTCAGCTCTGCTGCATCTTCACCTTTCCAACGACCCATGGATGAACAGGAGAGATTGGAAAAGGAACTGGCAAAACGTATAAGAGGAAAGGAGCGGGAGAAGGACCAGGAACGGAGACATACACCTATTCCATCGCCATTCGCGACTCATGTATCTTCACCTATTCCAAACCATTCAGCAGAACCTGTTTTGTCACCTGATCAACTTAACAAACTCAGAGCAAAAGCTATTCGCGCAAAAATGTTGGGCATGCCGGACGCTGAAGCTCTTGAAAAAGAATATGAGGAAGCTCAAAAGGCAATAACAGAAAGAAGTTCATCTCAGCCCCCTGTAGAAGCACAGAGGACTGTGGTGATTCAAACCATGGGACGGTCTAATGAGTCCTCCTCACCTGCACCACTTGGTCCTGGCAATAGCAAGGCTAAGGATAAGAAGAAAATTGCTACGCATGATGAACAAGGAAATAGGATGGCCTACGAAGGAGAAGAGAGCGGTTTAGATTTACACGATTTGGTCAGACGTGAGAAGTTGAATTTAGAGACGAATATGGACAAAGAACTAGCTCGTAGGATCACAAGAGACGCCACATTTAGAGTAAGTACAAATGCGCAAGCATATTGTTGCCTTGTCTACTTTTTATATTCTGTAAAAAGTGGAGAGCTGATAAAACTGCTACTGCCACTGCTGAAAAAAAAAAAAAAAAAAAAAAAAAAAAAAAAATACATAGGATGATCTTGATTACATGGACGAAAATGCAGACAAAATTGCTCGAACCGTAAAGAAGAACGATTCGCAGCTTAAGAGTGCAGCTATCTACGACTACCGTAAGACCCAGTCGGCGCTCGAAAACTGTCCTATGTGCTTCAAGGATGATGGGCGCACTCCACCCATCATGCCTGTAGTGTCAATGGGTTCAAGTGTTTATTTAGGCTTACCACTGTATAAAGAGTTCCTGCCGGGCCACTGCATGATTGTACCAGTACAACACATTACATCAACATTGGAGTGCGACGACGATGCATGGGACGAGATTCGTAACTTTATGAAATGCTTGATCCAGATGAATGCAGCCGAAGATAAAGCGGTCATATTTTCTGAGACTGTGATCAATCTTCAATGGCAGAAGCATACTGTGATCGAATGTATCCCTATCCCATGGGATGCTGGCCAAGCGGCACCTGGATACTTTAAAGTAAGTTGACAACTATTACTGGCTACGACACTTGGATAGCAACTTTTTTATCGGAACGATTTGTTTAAGCGCTTAAAACTTTTTTTCTCTCCAATAGGAAGCAATTTTAAATGCGGATGAAGAATGGTCTCAACATAAAAAACTAATTGAGACTGATGCTAAGGATCCATCTAATGGTGGGTTCCGGCGGAGACTGACCAGCAAGCTACCCTATTTTCACGTATGGTTTGGATCACCCGATAAAGGCTATGGACATGTTATTGAGAACGCTGATAAATTTGAGGATTACTTCGTGAAGGAAGTATTAGCCTCGGTTTGTGAGATGGACGCGTTGCAGTGGTCAAGAAGGAACAAAAAGAGGATCCCTGTAGTGGAGAACCCTCGGCGTATTGAGGAGTTCAAGAAGAGCTGGAAAGCCTGGGACTGGACCCGGTCTATATCCGGCAAATAAATCTCATTTTTTTGACTTGTGAAGCAAACCGAACCAATTCTTTAGATGAAGTTAAAATTTATTTTTCCTTAAAGTATTGTTGCAGCCATCTGTATAAGACTGCCAATCATCACCCAACCCAGAAGGACTGTGGTACTGGCTACAATCCCTTTCACGATCTTGGATCCTTTTGGAAGACCTGTAGTGGAAGAGTTGGACAGTCCTATTGCCGCTGCATGACCACTATCTGTTGAGCACTCAGCTATGGTGGAACGCATCGATTGTGAAAACCTATAGGTCTGCCAAAGCGAGTAGGCCAGCGCGACAAACGCTTTGAGTGCATGATGACCATCTAAATGACGGGCTGGAACAATATTCAAAACCGACAAGGCCAATGAAAACGACATGGTGTACTGAATTGTGAGTAAGATTGCATTTGGAAGCCACAGCGGCAGAAATAACCAGCGAGATCTCATGGCCGTCACTTGGACAGTCTCCCAAATATCCTTCGGATCCCCCTGATACAAAACTATTTGTTCAGCCGGGACAAGGCCCGAGAGGCCGCTAACAGATTCTGTAATGCCTGTTGATGTTGATGCTCCCACTGATGACTGTGCTATGAGATAAAGCCTTATGATTGAGATAGGTTCATAGGCAACGAAAGGTCGATAGCACGAACTGCCTTCACCACATGTCGGCTCCTGCGGCGTGCATCGAGCCCGATTTGGATCGGCAAGGATCTCAAATGATGGTAAGCACTGTCCATTCTTGGCTAATACTCTGTCGTTCGTTCCCTGAGATGATATCGGGTTGGGTGGATGCAAAGGGTCAATTGGCGTGAAGCAAGATAGTGAACGGTCTTTGGAATGTCCGAATTGCATATCTGGCGCGAAAAGACAGCAATCGGATGGTTTAACTAGGCCAACAATAAAGTGTAAAAAGCATAAATAAATAAATAAAAATGTACAAGACCTTGAGCATAGATTCTCTGGCATGTCCAATAAAAAAAAAAAAAAAAAAAAAAAAAAAAGTTTAAGTCCATTGAAAACTTCCTACCAAATAGAAGAGTGTTTGGGACACAGAAGCCTGAGACCAACTTGGAAGGTTGGCTATGGAGACTTGGACTTGCCTGAGAAGGAAGAAGAACATCCGACCAAACGTCAAGTGGATTGCCTTTGAGCAAGGTATCATCAACTCGTGTAATCACGCTTCCTGGTTTCAAGACATTGTACAAAGGTGATTCCTAATGGGTTCGTTGGATAGGATGAGGCGTTCCGGTGAGTATATTTCATTAAATAGCCAAGCAATGAAAAGCATAAAGACATTGCTCTTGCTTACAGGCGCTATATCCACAACGCTAAGTCCATCATCCATTTGCTTCCAGCCAATCAGTCGAAATGATAGTTGCAAGGCTCCACTAGAAAGGAAGATCCATGCAATTACAAAAAGAACCGCGTTATGCCATACTCCTGCGCAGATGACCCGCAGCTGCTGCAAAGGAGACATGATTGCCAAAGCCCTCGATGAGATATCCACAAAGGCTCCTGGATATAATATGTACAAGAAGATGCCTGCTGATGATACTTGGGTCTTCTCTCTATTGATGTTGATACAGGATGATGAATTGATGAGAAGAAGCAAAAATACTGATGATCAGACTACGAAAAGCTATAGAGCAAGGATCGACTGCTTATATCTATATAGCCTAGTTATTACCTGGCTGCAGCAACGGCATGTCCAGCCTCGTGAACAATCCCAGACACCAGAAGTGCAATTAGATAGTAAGGGAGATGTGACAGAGGAAGTGTGAGGCCTGGAATCTAAGGACGTAAAAAAATAAAATAAAATAAAATAAAACAATGATGATTCAGCTTTCAATTCGTTGGCAATGGATCTATGCTGATGACCCTCTTGTCATTGGTGCTATTAGATCGTAAATCATCAGTACTTACAACAGGGACAAACACCATGCCATTTTCACCAGAATTAGAAACAGCAGCGGAACTCTGGGAGGGTGCATCAGACAGACTCCCTGAACCATCATTAAAATCTCTTTTCCTGAGGTGATACGACAATCCGCCACTAGTTGCGCCAGTATCCGAGTGATATTTTCCCGGATCCGGTTCAGAAGCCCGCACTGTAAACGATGATGGTGATTCAACCGACCAGATCGTCCACAGGAAAGAAGTCGCCAGTAAGATCAGTTTGATTGCTGCATACATCAGCAAAACCCAACCTGCAACCATGGCCAGCATGGCAAAGACTATCCCCATTCCATACCATATTCTCCAGAAGCGTGTCAAGCTGGGTGCATTTCCCAGGCGGAAAAAAAATGAGTTGAGGCCCGTCGTGGAAAATCGGACATGGAAAGGCTTGACCAACAGCGCACTGTTGCTAGAGGATGACACTATGGACTTTGATAGTGAATTGATTGGAGAAACATTCCCTACACTTACGGCTGATGCTGTTGATGTTGGTAAGAGTTCGTAGTCCTACATGACACAACAACGAGGGAAGTGGCGAAGAGGAATGTCAATTAACATTTAATTTATATGAGATTCGATAGAGAAGATATTGGGCTAAGTAAAGTTACTTGCTTACTTACAGGACCGTTGCCAGGGCCCGTCGGGAGGTTTGGTCGATTGAGAAAGCGCTGAAGGAGGAATAGAAAGGTGTGGATACAGACCCAAGTTAGCAGGAACGGTGCTAATAGCTGAGAAGCTCCCATGCTACCAGTATTTATGCCAGTGTCTTGTGTCTGCGTGGAATGAGGTCGTGCTTAGTGTTTTGAGTCTAAACACTACTCGAGTGTGCTGCTAATGGCCAATTAATGCAAGAATTGGCTGTCAGGATGATGGATGGACAAACAAAAGAAACGAAAGATGAATTGGTTGTTTAGTTTGGACAAAGGGTCTCGCAATATTATTCGGGAATAGCACGAATAGCACAAACAGTCCAACCGTCGTCCAAATAATTATTGTTGCAGATCTGCAGTGATTTCCTTTTCTGTTGGCTTTGTCCAACATGCCAACCTTGGCCTTCCTTGGCTTTCAGATACTCCTCCTCCGTCTTTTTTTTTTTTTTGTAAATAAGGCTATACCTCCGGGCATTAAGAAAAATATAATTAATCTTAAAAGTCTTTAATACAAAGAAAAGTGTAAAGCAATATATTTTTTTATCTATGGTAATATGTCCTTCCAAAAACAAAACTCTCTGGTTATTCTTCCTTTTCAATGTCTCCACTCCACAAGCCTTTTTTTTCTTTTTTACAAGTAATTCAAATCCTGGAGAGTCTTCCTCTTTTCAGGCGAGATGCTGTTCCAGATATTAGAGGTAGTGTTTGAATCCAATGTTCCTAACGCAGCCTTGAGTGTATGAACCATACGAGTAGCAATAGGTTCGGGAATAATACCAGCCACAAGAGCTTCCACCATCACTGTCACCAGGTGAGGCATGTTAATGTTATTGAGTCCAAGAACAGAGGGGTGTCGACTATGGAAAGAAAGGAGTAAATAATAATAATGAAATGTTAGTTTAGTCATAAAGGCATGTGAATATATCTCTTTTCTGAATATCAACACTTACGCATCCATAAGATCCAAAAGATAAGTATATGTTGTTGGTGCCTCCTCCTCGTCATTCAAAAGAGGAAGCGACTGAACCCATGAGGGCAGGACCGTGTTAACATCAAACTTTGAGCTGTTGAATTTACAGATCTTGGTGACTGCAGAGATGGCGTTTTCCGTCACATATACATTCTCAGTTTCTCTCGCTTGAGGTGCATTAATCACTTGGAAAAGTGGAGTTAAAGCAGCACTGCACACTTCTGCATAGTCAGGTCCACCAAACTGTCCACACAATCCCATGCCGTAGCAAGCAGCCTGACGAACATCGCCCGCAGGATCAACTACAGACTCGAGCATCTTGGGCAAGTAGTTCACCATAATTGGCCATGAATTGGGTCCTGTAAACTCGATCAGGTCATCGAGGACACAAATGGCCCATTGACGCGAGGAAGAGTGAGAGTCAGCAAGGAAGGTAGTAATGACGGGCTCCAAAGACTTGAACATGGGCAAGTATGCAGTTCCATGTGTCTTCATGATACTGTGGATAGTACGCGACATTTCTCCCAAAACAGCTTCCTCATTCATCTCCTCCTCCTGAATGTCCTCTTCATCTTCAGCCTCAAAATCTGCGCTGGAACGAGCTTCTTCACGATGCTTCAGGCGAGCGTAGAACTCCTTCAGTTGAGCTTCAGTGGCACGCGTAAATTCCTCGAGCAACTGTGGGCTCAGACTAGGGCCGTTCATAAAGTCGAGGGACTCATAAAATGACACGTACAACTGGAGCAAGAAGGCGGGATCAGCTTCTGTGGCCATGACCTCCAAAATCTTGGAGCAAATTCCATGCCAGAGATTGATCACATACTCGTCTCCAAGCTCAGATTGCTTTGCGCAAGAGATCAACTGCGGGAGTGTAGCAGCTGCAGCATGTCGAACACCATCGTGGAAGTAGAATTTGAGAAGAGGCAGGACAATGTCACGAACCCTCTCAATATAAGGACGGAAACCAGATCCAAGCTCACGTGCGTAGCAGATCAACATTTCAACAGCAGTGCACTTCTCCTCCAAAACTGTAGTCTTGATTCCAATTTGTTGACCATCTACCCCAACAAACTCCCAGCCATCCTCTGCAGAGTACTTCGATTCAATATCGTCCTCAGGGTCCAGAACTGCAAAATCTGGCTTAAGTTGAGCACTAGCCAGAAGAGGAGGCATGACAATGTCCAAGTATGGGACAAAATCGCGTCCAAGTACTTTACAAATACGAGCCCAAGCAGCCAAGAGATAAGAAACCTGAGGATCATCTGCTTCAGTTACACTGGTCTGGGTTTGAACCAAGAGCTTAATAAACTCTTGTGCATGGGGAGCAAAGACCTCCTTACCGACCGCCAGCGCGATCAAACTAGCGCACTCCATGGCCTTTCCACGCAAAAGTCTGTACTCTTTGTTGGTGGCCTGTCGGAGAACGTTGATCAAGAGAGGCATAATGGCGCTGTAATACTTTACAAAGCGATCCTCAGCGCTGTCTGCAACTGTTGCAATAGTGGTGATGGCCTGCTCTTGGACATAGGTCGTTCCAGTGTTAAGAAGCGACAAAAGGCGCTCGAAGATGGCATCCAGATAAGGTTCCAGAGTACCTTTCTCTACTGCTTCACAGAAATTGACCAAAGCAGCGGCGGCATGAGCACGAACACGAGGGAAAGGAGCATCGTCCATAACAGGGATAAGGTTGGTCAAAACGACGGCGTGATGGTTTTTCTGCATAGGGCCGGCAAAGTCTGTGGACATTTGACCAATGGCATTACAGGCTGCATAACGAACGCGAGGGTGAGGGTCCCGCAAAAAGGGTAGTACCATGTTGATGATTTTTCCAAGCTCAGCCTCCATGATGCGGACACAACCTTCGCCAATGGCAGAAACAGCAAAGAGGGCAGCATGACGAGCCTTCCAGTTCTCGTTCGCAAGCATCTGAGGAATGTAGACAAATGAAACAGGCAGCATAGCCTTGCCTCCCAAAGCGCGGGCCAAGCGGTCCATGGCATGTTCTCCAATGACATAATTTTCATCATTATCGCCCTCATCCAAATCATCAGTAGTATACCAATCTTCATCTTCCTCCAACTCGGTCATCATCTCCAAAGCGACTGGGACGATGGTAGTAGTATAATCTGGAACCTTGCGAACCATACCGGGAGCACACTCGGCCAGAGTGAGCAACAGCTCCAAAGCCGACTGCCTAGTGCGATCCTCGAACTCCTTCTTCTTTACAATCCCGATCATGAAAGGAAGGACGTCAGCAATGACATGACGGAAAAGACGAGAGGAATTCTCCGCCAACTCAATCATGACGACTAAGCCGTCGATCAGCGACGCTTCATCTCCTGTAGTGACAAGAGCGTTGAGAACTTCAAGCAATTGAGGCATCAATGAGGCCATCATGGTGCGAGTGGAATTATTGGTATCCAGCATGAAGGAAATTGCAGCCTTGACAGCAGCAAGGCGAACCTATAAAGCCAAAACAGAAACATACACAGAGCTTCTTTAATTAACAAAGCTTCATGGATAGAATTCCAAAGTCTAGACATGAGAAAGCAATCTTTTCTATTATTTTTACTCCTTTACCTGAAGGTTCTCGTCGCGTAAACTGTTTGCAAAAACAGACTTGAGGATATCAACATGTTGTCCAGAAATCAAATTGGGGACAGAGGTAAAAATGCGGAAAGCTGACTCTCGGTGTTCTGGGGAAGGCGATTTTGTGCATTCAAACAGTGCAGGGAGGAGCTCAGGCCAAGGCTCTAATAAACCAAATGACAAAGATATGAATACGTCAGGTTAATGGCTCTTTTTTTTTTCTTTTTTTTTTTTTTTTTTTGTTAACCACATTATGCTGAATATCTTGCATGAGGCTGGGGCTCATGTTCATGCCAAAAAAAAAAAAAAAAAAAAAAAAAAAAAAAGACATACGGCCTTTCAAACTGGAGGCACGAGCCATTTCTGCAATTGTATCGCAGATTTTGTTACGGACAGACTTGTTAGATTCTTGTGAAAGACCTTCCAAGAAATGGGTCTTCATAGCCTGTCGAGTCTGCTCCTGCGTAACATCCCAGAGTGTAACTTCTTCGGCTTCGGGATCCTGGTTGGGGATACCCTTGAATGCAACTCGGCGAGTCAAGACAGCAGCAAAAGAACGGAGCTAAATGTCGCATTGATAATAAAAAGAATAAAAAAGATATACAAAAGAAAGAAAAAAAGTACAAGAGGAAATTCAATCCGAATCCAGTCATTGTCAATTTAAGATTTGTTGGGTCCGATCAATGCAACAGAAACATTCCAGGAACAAAAAAAAAATATAAAAATATAAAAAAGGAAGGAAGGATCAGCCCATCTGAGAAACAAATGCTAAAATACTGAATTCATTTAATTGAAAAGTAAGAAGTACACATACATCAGCCTCCTCACTGTGACGGGAGAGGTAAGCGAATCCAGAGAGAAGAGCATCAGGACTCTTGACCATCCATTCATTGTTTAGTTGTTCTTCTGCGGCTGAGCGGACAGCATTGTCATTTGAGACGAGGTTTGCCAAGACCTGCACCAATTGCTGCAAGACATCTTGAGGAACGTTCGACATTGGTTGGACAAGGATTATTATAAAAGATGAATGATGAACAGAACAATGCGTAATATGTATTTAAAAAATAAACAAACAAAAAAAAAGTGCTGATTAAATTACAATGATTGGAATGCAGAAAAATAGAGTGAACGTGAGATAGAGAAATAGAGGAGAGAGAGAGACAGAGAAAAAGAAGGGAAAAAATGCTGGGCAGTATGAAGAGGAGTAGAGTAAACCAGAAGAGTGAAGAGTAGAAAGAAAAAAAAGGTGGCAAACAGGACCAGAAAAAGGAGAGCGTCTGTATCCCGGCGCTTTTTAACGCACGTTGCACATGGGTAGAAAAAAAAAGTTTTGTTTGTGTTCAGTACAGGAGTAACCCTTAAACAAACGTTGTTTCTTTTTTTTTTTTCAAATAAACATTAAAAGCAGTCTTTCATTTCTTCAGATGCAGGTGATCACGTGCACAGTTTAACAATCATATAAATATATCATGTCAATTAGAACAGTCAATTCACTCCGTTACTCAAGACATGACATGTGGCTATAAAGAATACTCAAAGGAGAACCATTTGATCGCTGGGACTGATCGTCCGCACCCCATTGACCCAATTAAAATACACTTTTATCTTATAGAACACCTACCGTTTCTCTTCACATATGCAGTTGAAATGAACGAACACGAAGAAAAATAGACTTTATGTAGACAGAAGATCCAACCAATCAGGTGTTGAGACGCCTCTTTCTCTTGTTTCTCTTTTTCTCACACAGGCTCATTCATGTGCAACTCTTGAACTCAATTCATCTAATCTCTTTCGCACACACGCACGCTCAAATATTCATATTTTAATATTATCTTTTTATATATACATCTTTTTTTTTCCTTTTTTCATCTCTTTCTCTTTCTTTTTCTTCTTCATTGTACATTCATCTCCCACTCATCCTACAGTCACCATGTTCAACCTCAAGACTACACTCAAGGCTCTTGTCTACAGTGCTCTCGTTCTCGCCTCAGGTATTAACGCTTTGTCTGGCTTCATAATTTGCAACACCAAGGACATTTCAATATAAGGGCTACTACTGGACTTTATGATACCAGAAAATAAGGAAATGCAGAAAGAAAGAAAGAAAAAGAAAAAAAAAAGAATGAAAGAAAAGAAGAAAAAGAAAAGAATAGGATGGAAAAAATGGAATGGAATGGAATAAAATGAAATGAAATGGATAAAGATTCAGAGTGATTGATGGCCAATCATAACAAACACAATCCCATCAACTCCTCAATTGTACTCGCTCACTTTCAAGTATCTTCCACCCTGTGCTTATGGTCAAAAGAATGGAATAAGGTGCCTATGTTCCGCACTATGCTAAGCAAAATGGAATATCCAGCTCAAGAATACTGATCGATTTTTTGTTAATACTCTTCCATATCATAGTATCTGCTGTACCTGTGTCTGACCATCCTAGTGTCTCTGTCTCTGCTGAATTCCCTAATGCCATCGAGGGCTGTAAGTTTTTTTTGTTTTCTTTTATCCCTTTTTTTTCTATGATGAAGAATGATGTTTTATTTTTGCAAATAATAAAAAAGTGTGCACCCATAAATATGGTTTTCCATGACAAATGTTGATCTCATTTGTCTCTTTTTTTTCTTGCAGTAACTCCCTCTATCATCTCTGGAGAGGCCAACAAACTCAAAGTTACCTTCCGTAACTCGGGCAAAACTGATTTGAAAGTTAATTTAATCACCGGTACCATCGCTGAGCCCGATGACTTTAACAACGTCATTCGCAACGTATGTCTTTTTTTTTTTCATTTCCTGGTTTCTATCTATCTTTTTTCGGTTAATTTTAAACAAATCAATGGAAAACACTGATTCCCCTTCTACCTTTTTTCTTCGTGAAATAGTTAACCTCGTACAGATACAGCACTGTTCTCAAATCTGATGCTACTCTGATCTTACCTTATACTATCAAGGTTGATCATGCCTCTCGCGAAGTTGGCTTGACCTTGGTCGCCGATATCATCGACTCTACCAAGAACCACTTCCCTGTAGTTGTCTACAATAGCACCGTCACCTTCTCAGAGCCTATGCAGTCTTGGATCGATATTCAATTGTATGTTGATACAACTTCTACCTTAATGATGCTATTTATAATGCTTGTACAAAAATACATTATATTAACTCTTTTATATATATTTATATAGGATCTTCTTGTACATTTTGATTGCTGGAATCTTCGGTGGTGTTGGTATGTTCATCAAGGGCACATTGTCTCCCGAAGCCAAGAAGCCTGCCAAGAAGACTCCTGCCATGACTCCTGAGGAACGTGAGGCGGCTCTTGAGAAGATGAAGGTCTTGGATGAGGACTGGATCCCTGAGCACCACAAGAAATCTCCTCGCGTCACAAAGCGTCGCTAAAAAACTTTATAGTTTATTCTTGTAGTGGTAGTCTGCTGTCATGGCATTTTTTTATTTTCTTTCTTTCCGTTAACTGCTGTGTAACATAATACATTTAGAAAAAAAAAAATTCAAAAGGAAATTGGATCGTGGATATAGATTACAGGAAAAAAGTGTTACAATAATTGAAAGGAATTTTGAACCATTGATCTGTGCTTTTATTCAATTGCTTGATACTTCTGCACTAGAGTTTATTTCGGTGTAGGAGGTAGCAGCCGTCGTCTAGAGTCGCCAAAGCGTCTGGAACGTGATGGTGTGGCAAGCACAGTGACTGGACGTCTAGGTGTCGTCAACGAGTAGGTTCCAGGATCACCACGATATAGCTTTCTATTAAAGTAGGTGCAGGGTTACGTGGTTGGCTTATTTTCACTCTATACCTGAGAACTACGCCTCTATATCCGTGAATGGCAATAGACCTACCGGTTATTCTTCGGGAGTCTGTACATGATCATCTTGACTTGTCTTTTGGTCGTTGCTTCTGGCCCTTCTTGCTGGATTACGGCTTCTAATCCCTGTTCTTGCAACAACATTTTTTGGTCTGCGTGACCCTCAACCTCGCTTTGGGCGTCAGAATCAACTATAGGCCCTGTCGCGTCAATACTTCCTGATACTAGATCTTTTTCAGTTGTTTCGGAAGGCGCGCAGTGTCGCTTGATTCTGAAGGGAAAAGATGTGGCCGGTTGAGCTTTGCGGCAGCGCTTCTCGAGTGATTGTGGCCTTGGTAATTTTGAGGCCTTCAAGGATGGAGTTGATGGAGGAGGTATCGATCGCTCTACTACTATACGACAGCTCTTATTTGTTTCTCCACAAGCACCATCCTCCACATCCTTTGCTTTACCGGACTTTGAAGCTGGGGATGAAGTGGGGGATATTAACGAGGAACCATTCACCATGAGAATCGGAAGTTTGGAACTAGCCTCAGTATGACGCCGAGGCCGGGGAATACGTGATCCATCCAACGAAGTTTGAGACATATGCGAAAGAAACTGCTTTGGCGGTATTGATGCCAGGTACTGCGCTGTGAGATGAGTACGCCCTCCCATCATTGAATTAATATGTTTATTTGAACGTTTACGGGCACTGTTATTAGTTGTCTTGAAGCTATTCATCCTATTCAAACCACTGTCATGGATAGGCGAAGTCTCGTTGTCGGCTTGTATGTCGCTGTCTGTATGATTGTTTCCATTGTTGTCCCAATTTTCAGTATCGCTAATCATATTCTTATCATTAGTCTTCGCGATGTCGCTCACTTCATGAGCAAATGTACCTTCAGTATATGACTTTAACCCTACAACTTTTTCTGGCGATGCCTTCTGAATTGGCTCTGCTGTTATACTCCGCATAGGTTTGTTGATAAGATCGCGTCTGTATGGACTGATCTTGGCATGTCTTGTTGAAAGAGATGTCCGCATCGCTGAGTTAGGCTTTTGATTTCGCACTATCGATTCCAGGCTGCGTTGGACCTGTTGTGGAGTACTTGACCTATTGTGGCTTCCCGGCAACTCACGGGATATTCGGGTAGGTGATGCTAATTCGCTTGACCCTTGCAGCGATTGATACATATCAGAGACGCCCCGTTCATTAATTGAAGGCAACCTGTTCACTTCAATTGGACAGCATTCCGCCTGTAAAGTACATGGTTTGCTGCGTTAACATTGTATCAAATCGTTCAAGTCATGAATCGAAGGTTCGCAATTTACAAACTATTATGACCATACGCCTACCGATGCTCTTTCATACGATACTGGCCTACGGTTTTGCTCATGTGTGTTCACATCAGCACTGTTACCGTTATTGTGAACTACGTCTTCAGATGACGCGTGTGCAATTCCATTTTGACTGTGCTCTACCTGATGTTGAGGCTGTATGGTGTCTCTTTCAGCTGAACAGGAGGGGGAGAAGAGAGACAAAGGTAGGTCCACAAACAACGGGTCAGAGAGGGGCTCATTATCCAACAATACCGTCCGTTTGGTCGGCAGATGCGAAGGATCCATCGCTTGGCCTGAATTACACGCAAGTTTTTGTTGCAACGGTTGAAATAAATGCTCGGCTGGTGTGTCTTTACCATAACATGTTTTTACTTGACGTATTTGTTGATTCTGCTGCTGTAACAAGTAGAGTACTTCCTGATAGAGATGTGCTGTTGAGTGAAAGCTGCTCGTGATGGAGTGTAGAATCTGGTGCTCAAGCTAATTCCATAAAAATTTAATTTAAAAATAAGCTTTGATATTTAACGTATATCGATCAGTAGCGCCAGTTACCTCAAATATATTCTGAATCTGGTGCAATTTTGACGGGATATCATATTGTGAAAGTAAAGATGTGCTTTCAGAGGAAGAGCTTGCTTGCTTTTCAGCATGTGAATGTTTCGGCTCCGTATGGCAACGCTGGTCATCAGATATCTCGCTATCCATCCTAGGTAAAGTCACCATATTTTTCCACGGCGATATTCGCTCTTTTTGTGATTTTTGACACCCTGTCGAGACTGTTGATACTTTGTGCAAATCCTGCACGGTCCCCAGTTGCCGTCCCATCTCCCGAAGTGCAACCCTTAGCTCCAAATTTTCACTCTCCAGCTGTGAGAGTTTATTTTCAGTATCCCGGATCTGAACAGATTTGAGAGTACATAATCGAATTATCTCCAGATTTTGACGAAGGTGTCGTTGATGTTCACTGTCGCAAGTGTTACACGTGTTAGATAAATGCGATTGAGGGTTTTGGCCAGTACAAGGCACAAGAGGCATACGAGATAAGGAGGCTTGTAGGTTTGCGGGTAGTGTAGCATTAAAGGAGGGTAGTTGACGTGGAATTGGTGTCAAGGAGGGGTTATCTCGTGAAAAGGGTTTCATAGTAAGGAAGGCCAACGGGATAAGACATAGAAGAAAGGATAACGAAAAACAAAAAGCAGTAGTGCTATTTCTAGACTTTACAAGGAAACGCAACGCCATTAAAACTTAATAACAAAGAATTAAAGAATACATATCGTCTTTTATTACACTTTAGAATAAAGCCCATTTTCCCAATCTAGCCAAGGACAGCATCAAAGGCCTCAGCAGCATGATTTGAGTGCATTTGAGGTGCTTCGTCCTCATCCTGTAGGGTTTCATCCGCTGCCTCTTCCTCCTCCTCATCGTCAATGTCCGGTAATGGAAAGTTGAGTATAGCTGCGACCCCAGTGAGCTGATTAAGATCTATATAATAAAAGCAAAAAAAAAAACCAAGCTGCATTCAGTATGGTATAGAACCCGCATAGACGTCAAGTGTAAGAAGCCATATCCCGATTAAGCACTCACTCTCCCCTGAAACATGTAAACTTGAAAACACAAAGACTTTGGCGCCAGTAGCACGTGCCTCTTCCACAAGGGCAATGTACTTTCGTCTCTTGGCAACATCAGCTGCTCTGAACAACTCATCTGTAACCAAAAGTGTACCAATAGCCCCGCGCTCCGCTGCTTTTGAAACGTCTTTAAACCCATAAAACGCCCTATCCGGGTCATTGTTCATCATCTCATAAAATTGGTCTAACGCCTGAACCTCTTGAGCAGCCTTAGTATCCGCGAGTTTGTTTTTAATCGAGGGATCATTCATGACTTCCTGTAGTGCCTGCTTATGTCCAGTAGATGTGTGAACCATAATAAACTTTGGACGGTTCTGCAAAATGGTCTTGTTGTCCGTCCTCTATTGATTTTTTGTTGCCCAAATTGAACACAATGCTTAGATCTTTTGTCCTGCGTAAGCTATTGCAGCATTTTCGTTATCAGCTTACGTAATTAGGATAAAAAAAATAAAAAATAAAACCGTACAACTGCCTCTGCAAAGATATATTCGTAAAGTTGTTCCCGGACAAATCCTGGACTTCCCAAAATAACACATTTGACGATCTCAAAGTCAATGTGTCGAAGAATGGCTTGGTATATTTGCTCAAAGAAGCGTTTCATCCCCTAATTGGCCAATGACAGGAGAAGCAAAGGATTAGATGCTTGTACAAATATAAGATTATGAATGATCAATAATAGCTTCCAAGGATTTTTTTGTCATCTTTGTTTGTCACGGTCCCCTAACCTTTTCATAATTTGCAACTGACCCTCTACGTTTCCTGGGAACAGGGCAGTCAATATGCTGGCGGATGAGTGTCATGCTTGAGGTCAATAGGCAAACATTTGCTAAGCCTTCTTGGCATATTACTGCGGCAACATCAGCTTTCTTAGTGACATCACATCCTTCTTGAACTCTCTCTAGTGCAATGACGTCCCATTCTGGTTTGATCAGAGTGAAGCTGCGGTTCATCTCCAAATCAATGGTATGAAAAGTTCCCAGCTTAAAAAAAAAAAAAAAAAAAAAAAAAAAAAAAAAGAGTATGAGCTTTCATTGAAGTAAATCTAATGAGAGTGAAGTCTTCTTTGCTTTCTATACTTTTCTATAGGTCTAGAGGTAGAGGACACATACATACCTTGACATATGGGTTTTCAACGATAACACGACCACTTATCCGCAGTACTCCAACTTGGGTATCAAAATCAACATTATCAACCGAGATGCTGAGAGTAAGCTTTACCCTTTGACTATCGACAGACCCCGTTGAGCTTTCAGATTGGATTCGCCTTGAATATTGAAAAAAAAAAAAAAAAAAAAAAAAAGCATTGTGCTATATCAGCAGCTAGCCTAGAAGTGAGCAAGAGTTCTACTGGAAGAATTTTAATTTACCGAATAGTGACCGCTCGGAGCTGATCGTCCTTTTGAATGAGGTTATAGACATGCCACATGTCCTCGAAATCTTCCGGGACAAGAGTGACATATCCTGACTTGTCTTTCTCGATGTGTTGTTTTACGAGTTTCATACTTTTAAGCCTTTTATGATATTGTATTTGAAATAAAGAAAAAAGGTTTTGCCTCAGCAACCATGTTAAATGTGCGAATTGTGCCATATCCACAAGGCAGTCACGAACCTCTGACGTCCGTCGGTCATACAGAGTTTTGCATCTCTTGTGAGGAAATCGATCGATCAAAATTTCCTTCAGTCAATGAACAAGGAAGAGTAAGCGCTGATTCTCAACTCATATATTACGTTCATTACATATGCTGCATCATTTAATATATTTTGCTCCTAACCACCCATCCTCGTGTTTTGGGGTTAATATTTGCTGATATCAACCCTAGTTCGGAGATGCCTTCTCGCAGTCCTAGTCCAACACCTGATGTTCAGGCTGCTACGTCGGGAGGTGATGCTGTAGCTAACCTCAACAACAGCGACAAGAAAAAGGATCAGACAAAGAGCGACAATGACGCCGACATAAAGAGCACTCGATCTCAATCGCATCCAAGGTCTCGCTCGCGTTCGCGTTCACGTTCGCAATCAGGTCCTCGCTCTGGCTCCCCTTCACACCCGCGCTCTCGATCGCGCACTCGGTCGCAGTCTCAGACACGCTCGCGTTCACGCTCCTTAACCCCTCGTTCTAGATCACGTTCTCGAGCTCGCTCTTATTCCAGATCACCTTCACCCAAAGCAGCTGATGATAATCCACGATCTCGTAGTCGCTCTCGAGGGAGATCCTTAGGCAGGACAGCTAGATCACGTTCGCGCTCTCTTAGCCATTCTCGCTCGTCCAACCAGTCGCCGCCTCGCAAACAGCTACGTCGTAATTCGAGATCGAGATCAAGGTCACCTAGCGACAACCTCAAATTAGCTTCAACAGTCAAGGTTGGAAATTTAACCAAAAATGTGACGGAAGCCCATGTCATGGAGATATTTGGTGATTATGGAAAAATCAAATCGATCTACTTCCCGATCAATCCTCGCTGTAAGCCTTTTTTTCCATTATTTTGCTACATGCCCCTCGATGACTTTTTCTAATTGATTTTAGAGTGAGTTTGTGATTGCTTGCTAAAGCTAATGCCTCGTTCTCTGGACTTCTTCTTTACTTCTAGTCCGTTTCAACATGGGATATGCAGAGATTGAATATGAGACTCGTGAGGAAGCTCAATTAGCATTGGAAGGATGGAACGGCGGACAACTTGATGGAGAAATTATTGAGGTTGTGTTTGCAACAAAGTCTACTAGACCACCACCACCATCACAGCCATCGTTACCACCAGTGAATGATAAGCGAATGCGCTCAAGAGCCGCGCTTTCACCACCGCGCCGGGGCGGTCGCCATCGCAGTCCTATACCTATAGCACCGAGCCGCCGTCGAATGGAAGGTAAAGATTGTGTTAAGGATCATGGTGGAGAAGACCACAACAATCACCGCTGTGTTTAACTCGATATTGTTTTCTTCTCTTCAATCACCTTTTTTTTTTTTTTTTTTTGAATAACAAAATAGATCACTATTCGCCTCCACGTCGGGGCAATTTTGACTCAATTCCTCCAGGTCGACGTGATTATTATTCTCCTCCACCAGCGCGCCGTGGCAGGAATTATTCACCACCACCTTCATCAGGAGGGCGTCGCGGCTACAATATGAATAGTTATTCGCCGCCACCGCCTCGTCGCGTCAAAGGACCGAATGCAGCACCTTTGGGGTCACGGATGTCTGCAAGAGGACGCTCACCTCTCCCTATTCGTGGTGGCGGTGGTCGGGGAATGAGGGAGAGATCATATAGTCGTTCCATTTCGAGATCACCTGTTGGACGAGGAAGGAAGAGATCGCGTTCATATAGTTCATATGGATCTAGAAGTCGCAGTAGGACACCACCTCGTGGTCGAGGTGGTATTGGAAGACGCTACAGTCGCAGTCGCAGCCGTAGCCGTAGCCGTACCAGGAGCCGATCACCGCTGCCAAGGAGAGGCAGGAATATAAGCCGAGGAAGAAGTAGAAGTAGAGGCCGCGGTCAGTACGCTGATAAGGGTGGAGCAAGACGATCATGGTCACGTAGTCTTTCGCGATCCAGATCGAGATCTAGAAGTTTAAACAGAGGCTTGTCAAGGAGCCGCTCTCTTAGTAGAAGCAGGAGCAGAAGTAGAAGTAGAAGTCCATATTCAGATCGTGGAGGTCGTCGTGGTCGATCTCTGAGCCGCTCAATTTCACCGCCAAGACGCCGCAGATAATTATGCGGATATTGAATAAACCAACTATTGACACCAATATGCCAATATCTTTTTTTTTTTTTTTTTTTTTTTTTTTTTCCTCAAAATAAAAAATAAAATAAAATAATAAAATAAAAATAAAAAACAGAGAGGCTGTTCGACTTCAGATGCGATAAAGGTTTGATATTAGGACTTCATATCATCATTAAAGACAGAGTATACTAGAAGAACCATCATTAAGAAATAAATGAAGGCGCAAAGCGAGGGCCAATCTCATACCATAACTTTTTTTAATAAAGAGTTTAATTTGTAGTCGTGCTCATTATTGTCGTAATTTCAGTTATACCAAGGAACATCGCATTGACTATTGGCATATCGGATTTTTAAGCACCCTTCGCAATACTATGAGATTAATTTAGGCCACAGTTAAACTTGCAATGGACCCAACTGGTCTCCATCAAAGAGAGAGCCCCTTATCCATCGAACCTTATCTGTAGCCTCATTCCTTATTGTCCTGGCACCACTACCGAGCATCGGAGAAATCAATGCAATCCCTTCGCCTGGCTTCTTTGAGCTCATGAGTCTATTGGTATTAAAACGCCTTACTATATGCATTTTTCATTACTTCCTTTCTTTCTTTCTTTTTTTTTTTTTTTTTTTTTTTTTTTTTTAAGCCAAGGATTGCTTTGATGGAACAAGATCGGCGCTCATTCGGATAGAATTAGTCCCAGGTACTTTCTTTGCCTGAATATTTCCTACCACCCCAAGTTGCCCTTGCTCACGTAACGAATCCCATAGCTGAGTCGAACGAAGTTTGTTTTGATAGCATTCCGTGTTGCTAGAGGTAGCAAATCTGAAGAGGGCTGTTGTATCTGTGGAATCTTGGTCCTTCTCGTGGAATGATGAATTATGAGAAGAATATGCTTTATACTCTCGTTTGAGCAATAGACCCTGCCATTCAATAGGCTGTTGTGTCTTGATGATCTTTATAACCAAGTTCTCTGCTGATACTGAGTGTGTGCAGTCCTGAATAAGCCTCGTTGTTGTTGCTGTTGCTGTTGTTATAGTAGTGCCCGGGATATGAAGTACAGGTTGAATGGTCCATGTGTGCGATACTTGAGCCTGTGAGCAGTATTTGAGTGAGATCTGTTCCTTTTCCTTGTGCTCAACTGTTGCGCTTACAGAGAGTGGATCAATATTAGAGGTATGAATAACGAGGATTGCATGGCGCGAAGTTTGATGCAGGCTGATCGTAGACATGAGAAATCGGCAATCGTATTGAAGGAAAAAAAAAAAAAAAAAAAAAAAGGCTCTTCTTTTGAGAATGAGATCTCTTCTATCACCTGACAAACACCATTAACTTGGAAGAAAGCCCATGTCTTTTTTGCCTCGTGGCACATTTACTTGTTCTGCTTTTGTGTTCCTAGTGCCACTTCATTTCCTAACCCATCCATCGCAACTGATGGCTTTACAGCGCCAGTTCAACTTCTTCGACAAGGTCGAAGTCAAAGACCCTGAAGACCCGTCCAGGTCTCCCGAAGTTTTTCAGGTGTGATTTTTGTTCCTTCTGTTTTTGCTTTCAAAAAAAAAAAAAAAAAAAAAAAAGGTCTTTTACTCAAAGAAAAATGGTTCGTTGCAAAAACCCATTAGTCTATCGAACCAAATGTAGCAACAAGTGGTCGAGGGCATATGGTTATTGCGGATCGATCAGGTCTGGTACATATCATTGACAAAAATCTACAAGGAGAATCTTTTCTTGCCTATGAGAGTGGTCGAGTCACTCACTTGAAACAATTAAAACAGCGTAACATTCTGGTCACCGTTGGTGTAAGTTTATTCCTCCTCTTTTTTCCTTAACATAATCTCCTGCTTTTCGACGTCTCCTGAGATTTTTTTTTTCTTTTTTTTCTTTTATTATCGTGGGATCTTAGGAAGAAGAGAACGCGCTTCAGGTCATTAAGCTGTGGGATTTGGACAAACCCGATAGAAACAGACCAGGTCCAACATTGGAGCGATCTATTCGTGTCAATCAAGCTGGAAATACGTTTCCAGTATCTGCTATGGCTGTTCTGGAAAATCTTTCTCAAATTGCTGTTGGACTGGCCAATGGCACTGTTGTCCTGATTAGTGGTGACTTGATGCGAGAACGAACAACTGCTCAGAAGATTGTCCATCAAAATGACGAACCTATTACAGGTATAACGACTCTCTATGTTATTTTATTCTACTTGAACAGCCAAGTGCATACCTAGATAATGTACTGGTGACTTGACCTTAAACAATCGATAAAAATATATATTGTAGGACTTGGTTTCAAGGAGCAACAGAGAGGAGCCTTACTTTATATTGCGACTACAGCCAAAGTTTTGTTGTATAATACCTTCTCCAGACATACACAGGTATGTTTTTTTTTTTTTTTTTTTTTTTTTTTGCCTTGATACTGCAACGGAGATAAAGAAGGATTTTCTCATAAAGCGCGTCATCATACTTATACAATAGATACTCGATGACCACGGCGGAGGCCTCGGATGTGCTGTGATGAACGAAAGCACGCAGGAGATGGCAATAGCTAGAGATGAAGCTATTTATTTCTATGGCTCTGATGGTCGAGGACCTGCTTATGCGTATGACGGTAAAGATTATTTCGAGTTGATTAGACAGTGCAAAGCTCTACATCCATCTAGTATTTAATATGGACGTTCCGAAACTTATTGAAAGAAGAACTATTTGTGTTGCATAGGACCAAAGACCTTCATTTCGTTTCACAAATCATATTTGATCCTTGTCTCCCCGCCCAATATCCCAGCAGCAGCTTCTCGGACATTTGGTGTCCATTCTGCGGCAGTGTCTGCAAATGATACTACTAGGCTCACCATTATTGACACGGCTAACAAGTTCACCGCCTATCAGGCCGCATTTACTCAAGGAATTCGTAGTGTTGTCTGTGAATGGGGGAGTATTTATATTGTCGAAAACGGTGGCAAGGTAACTTTAACAAGCTGGTATCAGGTTTTTTCGTTTCTATATTTTCAATTGCTGTGGCATGAAATCTGACAGATGCTACCGGTTCTATTGTGTAGGTTTTCCGTTTGGACGAAATGGATACCTCAGTCAAGCTGGATATTCTATTCAAGAAAAATATGTACCTCCTAGCCATCAATCTTGCTCACAACCAAAAGTACGATAACGCCAGTATTTCAGAGATTATCAAACGATACGGTGATCATTTGTACAGCAAAGGAGATTACGACGGAGCGATGGCGCAGTACATCCGAACAATTGGGCGCTTGGAGCCTTCATATGTTATCCGAAAGTTCCTGGATGCACAACGTATCTATAACCTGACCTCTTATCTTCAAGAGTTACATTCAAGTGGTTTGGCCAATGCAGACCATACGACTCTTCTACTTAACTGCTATACAAAGTTAAAAGATGTTAAGCGTCTGGACGAATTTATCAAGGTTTGTAGTGGTGATGCGGATGTCCAAAGTATTTTTGCGGTAGTAGTTATTAATTTTACTAATTTGTCCATCTGTTTTTTACCTATAGACTGATAGCGACTTGACATTTGACCTGGAGACAGCTATTCAGGTGTGTCGTCAAGCAGGATACTATGAGCACGCTGTTTATCTTGCAGAAAAATTTGAGGAACACGACCTGTAAGTGGCAAGGTTACGACATCGGTATAAACTACAAGACGATACAGTAAAATTGATCTTTTTTTTCCTTCCTTCCCTAGATATCTCACAGTTCAAATTGACGATGTGAAGCACTACGATCATGCTCTGGCATATATGCGTCGCCTTGGGCCTATAGAAGCAGATAAGAACTTGCAAAAGTACGGCAAAGTTCTATTGACACACTTGCCTGAACAAACTACACAACTTTTGATCGATTTGTGTTCAGGGACGCTGACAAGGGGAGGCACTTCTACTCCAACGCCCGGCACTGCATCTCCTGCGGCTACGGCCAATGTTCACCATGGGGGAGCCTTTAGTATGCTACCATTTACTATGGGAGGTAACGCCAGTACAAGTTCTACTCCAGCGCTATCTAGCGGTGGTGCCAGTCCAAATCTTAACAATCATGCAACATTTTCACCAAAACCTCGTGGCGCCCATCATCACGAACCGGCCAAGTATGCTCCACCTTCACCAAGGACATTTATGAGCTTGTTTGTAGACTTGCCTTCATATCTAATTACCTTCCTTGAAAAGGTGTCAGCGAATCGCTGGCCGTCAATGCCGACCGCTCAGAGCTCCCAGTCGATAATGGTGTCATCTGGAGCATCACTCAAGTCGCCCGCGGGCGCAGTGCCGAATAGACCAGGCAGCATTGGATCTTCAGGAAACAATGTATTAGGAACTAAAAAGAACGCTACAAACATGGATCAATTTGATCACGCTTCGACCAGCGGAGCTAGTCGATCCGGGCTGATATCAGAATATGAAATGGAGGAACGTAAATCAGTTTGGAATACGCTTTTGGAGCTCTACCTTGCAGACCCACCGACAACAACTAACTCTGATCAAACCAGCAAAGGCTCGACCATGCATGTAGCAGAGATGAACCGTAAAATGAAAGAACGGAATATCAGGAAAGAGAAATGTCTCAAGTTATTGAATGATACAGAGATTCCCTATGACACCAATCATGCCTTGGTCCTCTGTCATATGGCAGGCTTCGATGAGGGCATTGTATTCCTGTATGAGCGGATGAAAATGTATACAGATATTTTGAGGCTCTGGATTGAGCGTGACAATACTGCGAAGGTGATTGAGTGCCTGCGTAAATACGGGTGAGTTTAATTAAGATGAAAAGACTTTTTTTTTTTTTTTTGTTTTTTTGTTTTTTTGTTTTTTTCCTTATCTGAGAGGACTTGAAGATGTTGTCACTCATGCATAATGTTCCTGGTAACCCTAACTATAGACCACTGGAACCATCGTTATACCCTCTGACATTATCATACTTTTCATCATCACCTGGCCGTTTAGCAACAGCTACGCCTGAGTTGCTCAAGGTACTTGACCATATTGACCAACAGGACCTCTTGCCACCACTTCAGGTTGTACAGGCGCTCTCTCAGACATCAGTGGCTACGATAGGGATGATTAAGAGCTACATTGGTCGTCGTATTGAGGCGGAAAGGAAGGAGCGATTGGAGGATCAGAAGCAAATCCAAAGTTATCGTCAGGAGTCAGAGAAGAAACGACGCGAGATTGAGGAGCTCAAGACGTCAGCTCGTGTGTTTCAAGCGACAAAATGTAGTGCATGTGGTGGGTCATTAGATCTGCCAGCGGTGCACTTTTTGTGCAAGCATTCATATCATCAGCGCTGTCTGTCGGATGCAGCGGATCGGGAGTGTCCTAAATGCATGGTTGAACAGCGAACAGTAGCAGACATTCGAAGGATGCAAGAGGCGAATGCAGAGAAGCATGATTTGTTCTTGTCAGAGGTAAAGTCTTATTAACAGAGGTATTTTATGAGAAACATGGTAATACAATCTGATGAGCTAACAAAGATTTATGCTTTTAATATATGTAATATAGCTTGAGGATGCAGATGATGGATTTGAGGTGGTTGCCAAATACTTTGGGAACAATACAATGGCCTTTGCTCGACTAGTAGATGGATCCTAGTAAGGTAGCAAGGCAGTAAGCCAGTAAGCCGGTAGAGGAACGATAGTCTACATTTTAAAAAGTCATACAAGTGACAAAGTACATCCATGTCGCATTACATAAACATTAAAAATTTGCCGTTTTCTTTGTGCTCTGTGCCTTTCTTTTTTTTTTTTTACCTCCTTCCCTTCTTCCCTACTTTCCCCCCTGACAACCTATTTCCTTTTGCTCTTTCTTTTTTTTTTTTTTTATTATTCATAAGCCTCTTGGTTAGACAAAGCTCAACCTCTCTTGACCTCCATTTTCTCTTCTCATCTTTGTCTTTTTCTCTCTTTCCCCTTCATCCGTCACTTACATCTGTGCTGCACTGCACCCGCTTGGCCGCGTTTTTTTCCCTTTTTATTTTTATACTTTCATTTCTCGCGCTATATACCCCACCCCTGCCCATCCTCCTTCTCTGCCATCACTTGTACAAACACACCATTTCCATCCTCCCCCAGCTCATCTTTTGAAACGCTCATCTCTTTCTTACGTTTTTTTCTCCTCCATCTTCCTCCATCCTTTCATCTACCTTTCTTTCTCTTTTCTTCTGTTTCTTCGAAAAAGAATATTTATTCTCATCGCAGGCGTAACTGAAATAAATAAAGCATGGCAACAGCAACACTGGCGTCCTTGATGGAAGGCGCTCAGCGTGAAGACCCACGTGCGCAGTATCTACTTGGCAAGTACTATGAAGAAGGTCAGGAGGGATCCCAGAAAAATCCAGGTCAAGCTCTACAATGGTATACAAAGGCTGCCTACAATGGCGAAAACGATGCCCTCTTCCGAGCAGGCTATTGTTATGAAAATGGTATTGGTACAGCCGTCAATCTCAAAGGAGCAGAAGATTGGTACCTTGCAGCTGCGAACAAGGGACATCTTGAGGCACAATTTCATCTTGCAGAACTCTATAGCCGTGGAGGGCCTGGAGTGGCCAAGAATTCCAAAGCAGCATTTGATCTGTATCTAAAGGCGGCCTATGCAAGTCATACAGCCTCGACACGAAGAGTTGGGGAATGTTTGATGCGAGGAGAAGGTTGTCAAGCCACTGCAGAGGGTGCTTCCATGTGGCTCGAAACCGCTGCTAAGAATGGAGATGCAAAATCAACAATTCGTTTAGCAGAACTTTATACGACAGGTGTAGGAGCCGAGTTTCCACCAGATGCAGAAAAGGCCTTTGGATGGTGGATGACGGCTGCAACGGCTGTGGAAGGTTCAATTGATGTGATTGACAAGTCCTTAGCACAGTTCAAGGTCGCAGATTGTTTATTGAATGGCAAAGGGACAGAAGCGAACCAGCAAGTGGGGATGCAGTGGTTGATTCAATCTGCACAGGAGGGTCACCCAGAGGCAATGCATGTCTATGCAAAGATTCTGAACAACCCATTATCACCCGATGTCCCCAAGGATACTGTTCAAGCAATGGAATGGCTCGAAAGGGCTGCAACAGCAGGATGGCCAGAATCGCTGTTGAGCTTAGGAAATGCACATCAGTATGGAATGTATGGTAAAGCCATTGATTTTGATCAAGCATTTTATTTTTATGAAAAGTCTGGTAAGTAAAATAGCACCCCGTTTATTTTTGTGTTTTTTTTTCATTTTTTTTTTTTTTTTTTTTTTACTATAACTACTGCTATTATTATATAAAAAGAGAAAAAAAAAAGGGTGCAACAAGAATGTCAACGATTTGTCTCATCAATCTATCTATAAATCTATATTCGTATATAAATATATAATATAGCCGAGAAGGGCAATGGAAAGGCAATGGCGACATTAGGCAACATGTATTCACAAGGATTGGGAACGACAAAGTCACCAGAAAAGGCATTCGAGTGGTGGCTCAAAGCTGCACAGCTTGGGGTGCCAGTAGCTCAGAACGAGATTGGATACTGCTACAGGGATGGCTGGGGTACAAATCAGAATCTGAAGGGAGCAGTCGAATGGTTCACAGCTGCAGCCAACAATGGACATGCAGACGCATGTTGTGCTCTTGCATTATCATACATCAATGGACGAGGAGTGCAGGCTAATATGGAGATGGCGTTTGAATGGTTCAACAAGGGAGCAGAGCTGGGATCTGGCAAGGCCATGTACAATCTTGGTATGATGTATAAGAAGGGTGATTTCGTGCAAAAGGATGACAAGAAAAAGTTTGCATGGTATGAAAACGCACTCCGGAATAACTATGAAGAGGCAGCTTATGACTTGGGAGTATGCTATCTTAACGGCGAAAGTGGATCCAAGGACCCTGTGAAGGCACGGGAGCTATTTGTAAGAGCTCATAACAATGCCAGCTCTGCAGAGGCATGCATTAACCTTGCGGCTATGGCGGTGAACGAGAGAAATGACTGGGCTGAAGCTTTTGAATGGCAGATGGCGGCAGCAAGTAAAGGCCATGCTATTGGAATGCGTCGTGTAGCTATCATGTATAAGGAAGGCAAGGGCGTCAGCGTTAATCCCAAGGAGTCATTCTCGTGGTTCTTGCGAGCAGCACAAGCTGGGGATGTCCCCTCGATGGGTCATCTTGCTAATTGTTACAAGACTGGGTTTGGAACGGAAAAGAGCCCGGAAAATGCAACGACGTGGGAGATCAAGGCAATGCAGGGTCAAGTGGTTGCACAGGGAGCCAATTTCAAGTAATGATTTATATTCTTTTTTATAAAAAAAAAAAAAAAAAGTGGTAGAGATGATATAACAAAATTATAGAAAGTAAGAAAGTAAGGAGAAAAAAAAAAAGTAATAAACCCCTACACTAATCGCGTTGAGCTCCTCACAAAAAAAAATTGTAGGAACATGGTTTGCGAAATGAATGAAATTCTAAACTTCATGGCAAAGTTAGAAGGTAGTCACATAGCTCAAGCAATACTCAAGCAAATACGTCGTGACTTTAGTCGAAAGAAACAGATGCATGGGTTTCATTTTGTTCATTCATCTTTTTTCTTTGTTTCCTTTTCTCTTCTTGACCAACGAAAAAGCGCTTTCCTTAGTTACTGTTTAGACTAACAGCCTCATACATTCTGAAAGCAATCCATATAAGATAAACAATCATGGACCAACAACGGTTACAGGATAATGAACAGCGAAAACCACTGCTGTCTCAATCACAACAACCATCTGGTTCCTATAACACATTGTCAACAGTATCAACATATATCCCTACCAGCCATCATGATCAGAACAAATCATCATCATCGTCATCATCATCGATATCACCCTTATCATCATTGACAAATTCTCAACAATACCATGAAGATGAAAATGATATCAACAAGAACATATCCAAGGATGACAATAGTTCCTCAGGATGGAAAGCTCGGTTTCATACAATCTCCAAATTCTTTCAGGGTTTGGGCAAGTTTTTTTTGATTCTTGCAGTGGGCACTATCATCCTCGTTCTAGTCTTACAATATACATTACCAAGGGTTGATGAGTATGTATTGTCTTTTAAAACAAAAGAAAGGAAAGGAAGAGAAAATGAACTAGCAGATGATGCCACATCTTGTACCTCTCCTGATTTTGCTGCGCTCTTTACCAGAAAGACAAAAAAAAAAAAAAAAAAAGAGAGCACAGCTGATTAGACTGCAGCTGCGCTTCCCATTCCTATATGACCGTTGAGCCAGAATATATTTTATTTTTCGGCAGATAATTGGGTATCAAGGTTTAAAGTACCTTTGGATGGTCACTCATACGTTTTTGTTATATTTTATATTAAACTTAGGGAACAACGCAAGGACTTGCATTTCCCACATTCATTAGAAGACCTGGAGGCTTTACGCAAGATCCTTGTTGTATATATGGATAAACACTATTATCGGGTCATGTTTGGATTCCTAACCATTTATCTTTAGTAAGTAATTCAGGAGATTTTTCTTTACTGATGCTTTGTATCACATTCATTTCCTTCCTTCTCTCTCTTCCTCCCCCCCTTTTTTTTATGATGACTATTGCCACTCCAGCATTTTTTGTTCAACGAATGGACGAATGGAACGTCTCCCCTGCAAAAAAAAAAAAAAAAAAAAAATTCAGCAATGTAAATATGATATATGATGACATATCTGATTTTTTATTTTTTTACGCCATGCATCATAACAAAATGCATCATGATGATTATTTAACAGCTTGCAGACATTTTCGGTACCAGGAAGTATGTGGCTCAGTATCCTTGGAGGAGCATTGTTTAAATTCTGGATCGCTTTACTCATAGTTTCTATGGTGGGTATATGTCTATGATGTGGTTGTGTACGTTGTCTATTGCCTTGATCTGATAAAATTAAACAAGCTTTTTTTTTTTTTTGGACGATATATAATAGGCATCAGCAGTAGGTGCAACCAATTGCTATCTGCTTTCAAGGCATTTCTTCTCCAAACTGGTGAAACGAAAGTTTGGTGAACGGATGGACAAGTGGAATACTCAGGTATATACTATAAACGGTGATGATATCATGGCATAAACCTGATAATATTTCATCCGGAATAGGTGTCCGTGCGGAGATTTATTATGGACTGCTGATCAGAAAAATTTATACCTCCAACCAATTGTTTTGAATCCATGTAAAAAAAAAAAAAAAAAAAAAAAAAAAAAATCCTAGTTAGAGAGACACCGCAATAACTTGATGAGTTATATCATTCTACTTCGTCTCGCACCATTCCCTCCAAATTGGTTTGTCAACATCTGCTCTCCTCATCTTGGAGTCCCACTATGGCCTGAGTTTTTCATTGGGACATTGATTGGTGTTACCGCTCCATCTGTAGTGCATGTCCAGGCAGGAATGGTCCTTGAAAAGCTTGTGGAGGATCATTCGTCCGGCGTCAATATTTTTACGTTCAAAAACATTGCAATGTTGGTTGCCGTTGCTGCTCTGGCAGCACTACCGGTCCTGATCCGATGGGTTTTGGCCAGGTACGAAGCCAAGAAGGTTGGGATTGATGTGGATGCACTCGACCAAGAAGAAGAAGGAAGAGTCAGTCGCGCTAGTATCAGCGAAACAGACCCTATCTTGGAACCCTTGGATCCAACAGGGGTGATTATTCCTCCAGAGAATCAACACTTCTTGCGGAAGACTCTGTCTCACACTTTACCAGGCCACCATCGTCAAGAACAGCGACCTCATCACCCTTCGCAACCTCGATCATTATCTCACTCGTAAGGAGACTTGCTATCACTTTCTTCCTCTCCCTCACTCTTTTTTGGATTATAAGCCAAATTAGGGAGAGGATCTGAATAACAACTTATGAGGGAAAGTAGTCCTCTACGGCACTGTTTAGCTTCCGAAAAGGCGGTCAAGGGTTGTTATATCTGTGTAAATTTATAGAAGGCAAGGAGAAAATAAAGAATTGCTGAGGTGAGTGACTAATTAGTCACATTGATAATAATTTATGTCGACAAAGTTAATATATTGTGTATAATTTGTGTTGGAGGTCGAAGAAAAGGAAGCCGCTGCGCCCAAAAAAAAAAAAAAAAAAAAAAAAAGAAAAAAAAAATTACGAACGGGAGCTGATGTCATTGGACTTTTTTTTTTTTTTTTTTGCGGAAAAAGATAACCTCAATGGATCCGCCGCTGAGAATCCATTTGCTCACATTACATGCACTGCATGGTCAAGTGTTGGATTGGCTTGCATGTGCGCAGCATGAAAAATCAATTGTGTAAGTCAAAAGGACGTGATATTGCGCGTAACAAAAAAAATGTCATCCGCCCATGCACCCACTCCTCTTTCGCTTTGTCTCACACTACAGACGGGTTCTTTTTCACTGTCATTGCAGGTCATTCGACTTACATTCTCAGCGTCATTCCCATTCTCTTTTGCATAAACACCTCTTCTGTCCTCTTTTTCTCTTCCTCTCCTTTTTTTTTTTTTTTTTTTTTTTTTTTTCTTCCTTTTACTCTCTCTTTTCTTTTTTGTCAAACAGCAACAATACCTAAAAGACAAGGCATGCTCACAGGACTATCGCCTGCTCCATCACGTTTCTTCTTTTGAACCTCCTCTCAGACACATGTTAAACCATTCTCCTCCTTTTTCTTCTCCTTCTTTTTACTCTTACTCTTTCTCTTACTCTTTCTCTTTCTTTTCCTTATTATTCTTCAACTTCAACTCCTCTTAACCTACTTCTTTTATTTTCTCACGGGAAAACAGGAGGCTATTGCACCAAACTCAAAAGTCTTCAATTGAAGAAAAAGCAACGAGCAATCCTGAATAACGCAGCGCCCTTCCTTCCTAAACCTCTTTAGACTGTCTCCAAGCCATACGGTTGGAGCTATCTTAAGCACAAATTTATATTTATATTTATATTACCAGCCATGAGTTCATCGGACAGCACAGCTGGATCAGATTTTGAATTGGTCCATGATACTCACTTGTTGGATAATTTGAGTCGAGTCTCGGTTAATCATACTGAGCAAGCAGAAGGCACTTGTGGAGATATATTTACTTTTTCAATCCCAACTACGTCCATCAGCGGTAGTAGTAGTTATAGCGGCCATAACAATAGTGACAGCAGTGCTGATACCTTGAATCATAGAAAACCATCAATAGCCACAACAACAACAACAACAACAACAACTGTAACGACAATAGCAACGGCAGTGTCAGAATCAGAATCAGAATCAGAAACAGAAACAGAAACAGAAGCAGAAACAGGATCAGAAAGGATAACAACCTCAGAAATGAATAGGACGACCCAAAGCACCATCAGCAACAATGCTCTGATCGCAACGGATAACAAATCAAAGCAATTGAGCCCTTCAGACAAAAACGATAAAAGCCAAAATGCGGATGCAGATTGCTGTGACCCCTTCTGCGCTATCTGTCTGGATCGAATACAGCCTCGACATCATGCAAAAGGCACCCTTGCCTGTCGCCATGAGTTTCATTTGTCATGCATATCGTACGTTTGGCTGCATTTTTATTTTTATTTTTATTTTTTTATTTTTTTTTTAATTATTCATACATGTTCGATATAACTAAGAGACATTTTTTTTTTATCATGTATGTGTGTATACAACAGAATGGCATTCTCAATGAGTAAAGATATGGTGTGTCCCCTCTGTCGATATGTACACAAGGATCAACCGTTCATGAACTTGGATTCGGAAGATGATATCAAACCTACATCAACGACTACTGCAACGACCACCATGTCAACGATGACAACAAGTTCAATACACTATCGACGTCTTTTCCAACGGCCACAACAGCAACAGCAACAGCAACAGCAACATCATCCATTTTCACATCCTCCTCCTACTCTATCATCAATGTCAACTCTTCATGAACATCCGACCAGCGGTACTATTCTCTCGATGATGCCTTCACTCTTTGAAGCCTCCATAGGCCATGGCCCAACTGCAGGTACGATCCGTACTTCACCTGATGGCATCTTTTTGAAAACATCCACGTGGCTACTGCTCTATGCGATGCCTTTCACTGTTGCACTTTGCTTCTTGGCCTTTGTCCTCGGAAAGGTGGAGACTATGTGGTCAAAGGTCTCATGTTTAATTGGCGCTGCAATTTGTTATATGGTCTGTTGGGGCCTTGTGGTGGCGATCATGGATCCTGATCATGAAGCACGAGCTATCTTGAACCGATTGAATGAGATGCAAGAGCAACAACAACAACAACAACAAGTTGGTAGCATCACAAACATGAGTATTAACACACGCGGTAGCAGTAGTATGAGTGTCAGTAGTGGCAGTGATAATAATGTTCACGACAGTATATTGACCGCATCCACCATTAGAAACGTGGATAACGACACTATCTCTGAAACATTATATGAATCAAGGATTGATCCTGCAATCGATACTAGTACATTCGATCTAAATCTAGCTTCTTTGCCGGGATCATCATCATCATCAGGACCGCCAACTCTAGATGTCCCTCAAGACTTCTCTTGGACTGAGTGGGTTCATCAGATATATACTCAGGTTCTCCAGAATAGAGTAAAGGACCTGGCTGCTATTCTGGACGATATTCCAGACATGATGGGTGAATGGTGATTTGAGTTTTTTTTATTTTTTTTTATTTTTTTACTTTTTTATTTTTTTAATAAGGCCATCTTTAAAGCACTATCAATAAAAGCTTTTCTAAAGAGTGTTTAACCGAGCTAAAATGAGGCACCTACTTTCATCATCATGCGGCAAACATTGTGTATAGTTCAGGGGGGAGAAAGTCATACGAACGAGATCATCGAACACCTTTTTTTTTATTTTTATTTTGGAATTGAGTTTATTAATTAAGTCATAAGCGAAGGGTGTGATAGACATAAAAAAAAAATCCCTTCGAACGCGAGAGGCAACGAGGGGGTATAAGACAATCAACTGCTGCATCTATAACAACAGGTATTCCGGGCCGCGCAAGGAAAACAGGACGTAAATGTTCACATGTAACGATACAACGATTTGTAAGAAAATAAAATAATGAAATAAAAAAAAAAATAAAAAAAAATACAGGATGGGAATGCAAAAATAAAATAAAAATAAAATAAACAGGATGGGATGGGACGAGATGGAATGGAATGGAATAGAATAAGGATATTTCCTCGCGCAACATAAAAAATAATTGAGGATACTTTGAGCAACCCCACGTTACATCGGATGAGGGACAAAGCCTTGCTCGGGGTGGGCTACTGGTGTTGATACCACTCCTGCTACTGTCGCTTCAATCGTACTCATTGGTATCACAGAAGTCATCATCCCATGCCCATGGACAAGGGTGCTGTCTCCTGTTGTTGGAACTAAGTACGTATGCATACCGCTCACAACAGCGCCAGTCTGTTGAGCTAGCGGTTGCTGTTGCGCAATTACCATGGGATCAATCGCAACAGGGCTATGAACCATACCGGGTGGTGAGGATACACCATGTCCTGCTATTGAACTCAGCGACATCGTCACATCCATATTCATCGCCATAGGCACTGCTACCGTTCCAGGCATTACAGGATGCCCAACACCATTCATTGGAGAAGGAAGCGATGTGGGTCCAGTTAGAGTCGACGATGGCAGTGCTGCTGATGTTGAGAACCCTGGAGTACCGGTCGGAGTTGCCTGGAGACTCGAATTCCCAGAAGAGATTGTGACTCCAGGCATACTCAAAACTTGTTGAGGTGATTGCTGAGTCGGCGGCTGTGGCTGTGGCTGTGGCGGCTGTGACAAATGCTGTTGCTGCTGCTGCTGCTGCTGCTGCTGCTGTTGTTGTTGTTGTTGTTGTTGTTGTTGTTGTTGTTGTTGTTGTTGCGGGAATGTGCCGGTGGCCACCGACATTTTTTGACCGTCTAATGCAGACATTGATGCACTTGTCATCACCATTGATATTGACGGAACAGATGATGTAGATGAGTGACTGGATATTGTCGGTTTAATGATGGTGCTGGGAGTATTAAATCCTGAGCTGTATCCTGACGGCGTCGCTATCGTTCCCGGACTAGGTGAGTTTGTTCCAGATGACAGTGAATTCGCCGTCAAAAGACCTACATCTATAGTTGATTCAGGTATCATAGCCATATTAAAGTCTGTGTGTTGATTATGTTGACTTTGTTGACGCTGATGTCCATGATTCCTGGCGCCTCTTATTGATCCAGCTGTAAAATCGGGATGATACGGGTGACTATAATGTGGATACTGTTGTCCAGACGCTGTACCGGTAGATCCTGGGGTAGTCGAAGCTCCGGTACTCATATCTGAAGAGGACCCTGGTGTAGTCGCGTTAGATCCAGGTCCACGCAGTGCTCGAGAATGGCCAGTACGTTTAGCCTCATGTGCAAGCTCATGCTTCTTGAGAGAACGAGCATGATAGTATGCCTTGGGACAACCCTCCACAGGACAGATGAATGGCCGTACATTGGAGTGGGTCTTGGTATGTGTGGTTAACGAATCTGGCCGTGAAAATTTTTTGTCGCATCCTATAATAATAATTAAAAGCAGAAAAAAAAAAAAAAAAGTAACTGGTTAACATACATTCATCCCTAGTTCATGAATGTGTTTTCTAGAATGCCATGAAGTGCTTACCAGGAACTAGACATTTGAAAGGCCTCTCTCCAGTGTGTGTACGCAGATGATTATACATCTTGTGTCTCTTCGTGAACGGCTTTTGCCGCCTGTGACATCCCTGCCAGTCACAGCTATAGCAAGCTTTCCCGCTCCCAATATGGCTTCCAGTAACGTGTTCATTCAACTTTTCCATAGAATCAAACGGAGTGTTGCAGTCTCCCCACAGACAGACCAGCTGTTGTGGTGCATCTGGACCTGTACTCGATCCGTTGTCGCCGGCAGTTGCGCTGGACGATCCTTTCCGTAGTGTTGGTGATCGAGATGTTTGCCCGTTGACTTCCGCCTCGTCATCATTATCCTCATCTTCAGCATCGTCCTCATTTTCTTCATCCTCTTCATCAGCCTCATCATCCTCATCGTCATCATTATTGTTGGGAGCGGCAGTAGAGGCCTGTGTTGCTGGTGGTGACTTTGAATCTGTTGTTGATTGATGTTGCGAAGTAACATGATTCTCCAAAGGCTCTTCTTTAACTGCCTCTTGTGCTCCAGACAATGGCTGTGGTGTTGGTAATGGTGGTGGTCCACTTGGGGTAGGTAGGATCTTTAAGGTGCCAGCCTGCTGATGACCTTGTGAAGAAGGGGGGTCAGAATGAGGAGCAGCTAAGAAGAAAAAAAAAATTGGACGAGTTAGTATATGGTCAATCTCCTATACCAGACTCTCAGTCTCGCTCTAACTACATTTATATGTTTTGCGTCTTACTGTGTAGTTCAGAATCCTCTTTTACTTCGATCTTGGGTTGACTGGCTCTTCGCAAGGCAATAGAATCCTCCATTTGTCGTTTGTACTGCATCACCTTTTCAATTAACTCAAGTTTCGATAGACCAGCAAGCTCAAGACGTGTGGAATTGGGATCCATAGCTTCCATGCTCTCAGATTGGGCTGTCACTGCAGGCTGAGGATCGTTTATGTTGTGAAGCTTGAAGTTGGATGAAACTTCCATGATCGTGTCCATTAAAGAATTACTAATAGGTCCCATCGTGGGTGATGGCCCTGAAAGTGGTCCTGGAGAATATATATGCCCTAATTCTGTTGGGGATGCCAATGCGGAAAGGGAAGGCATAGCACGTGCTTGGATATCAGCAACATTAATCTTCAGCCCAGCAGTAGCTGTTGTTCTAGGAGAGCGGCTCTGGTGAGGCTCGATATCGGTTCTATGCATACTCTGATAAATAATCTGTTCCTTAGCCGCCATCTTTTGCTGTTGTTGTTGTAAGAAAAAGTCCTGGTTCTGTAGGAGAATCCGCTGTTCGGGTGAATGGTGTCCAGATGATGGATGACGACGATGACCCTTTGAAGAGTCAGCAAGCGAAACAATTGCGCCCTCCGGTGGGGTGAACGCAGGTGTAGATGTCGTGCTTAGTGGGAGAGGCTGCATAGAGGGAACCAAAGGCGTGAAGGCTGCCATAGACTCTGTGGAAGAAAGAGAAGTTGAATACGCCATTTCTGCGTGTGAAATAGTTGTTGGCGCATTTGAATTATCCAGCTCCACATTGCCTTGAGTAGCAAGGTTAGGTTGTTGCTGCTGTCGCTGCTGCTGCTGCTGCTGCTGTTGTTGTTGTTGCTGTTGCTGTTGCTGTTGCTGTTGCTGTTGCTGAGCCAAAATAAGGTGTGGGTTCATTGTAGGGCCGCTAGAAAGGAGCTGATCCTGTGTCATAGCCATGGGTGTTAAATTATGATTAACAGGCAAGATAAGACCCATCCCTGAATCAGCTGGACTGATAACTCCTTGCTGCACCGTACCCATGGCTGCTGCCATAATGTGTTGAACTTGTTGCTGATGTTGCTGGTGTTGCTGTTGGATTTGCAGCTGCTCTTGCAAGTGTTGTTGTTGCTGCATCTGTACATTTAACATTTGAATATCGATGGGTGTGACATGTCCATCAAGCGACAGCTGGTGACGATGCAATCCCCCGCTTTGGGCAGGAGATTGTTGTGAAGGAATCACTGGCGCTTCTGCAGGGACCGTTTGAACATTGATTTGCGACTGCTGCAAAAGTAAGCTATTAGGATTCAATGGCATCTCTGACTTTGGTGTGCTGTTGGTGAGTATTTGTTGGACGTGCTGTTGCTGCATCTGTTGCTGAAAATGCTGTTGTTGCTGTTGTTGTTGCTGTTGTTGTTGCTGTTGTTGTTGCTGTTGTTGTTGCTGTTGCTGCTGCTGTTGTTGTTGCTGTTGTTGCTGTAATTGCTGTTCATGCTGTTGTTGACTAGAATTCATGAAATGGAGCTGCATATTACGCATCTCAACCGCCTGCTGAAATGACATTCCTTGTACTTGGGTCATGGACTGCGGATCCAGTGAGGTAGTTGGTGGACTGACGAGCAGTGTCTGAGGCTGCGATGAAGGTGGACTCATGGGAAGTGTCAATATTTGGGTCTGTTGCTGTGGCTGTAGTGACATATTAGCTTGAAGGGATTGGGGCGATACGCCGCTGCTCCCTTGCAGTATCAAAGATTGGTCTACCAAATGGTGTATCTGCGGTTGTTGCTGTATCTGTGATTGTTGGTGCTGGCCTTGCTCTTGGATTGACTGATTGGCTGTAAAGGGCTGGTTGTTATGTGAGGACTGATCAGACATGACAATTCCCTCCATTGTTTCTATTGTATAAGCTGACATAATTGATCCCTCTGTCCCAAACGAATGATTATGAGCATGAATTGCTGTACTGGACACGACGGGTTGCTGACTGACCATTTGAAGATGCTGTGGTTGCTGCTGTTGTATCTCGCACCCGCCGTTTGAAAGTGGAGAAACTCCATCCTGTACATTAGCTATGGCATTGGATGAAGTTGGAGGGGTCATATTGCTCATATCACTGGGATTGCTGTTCATGAGATGAAGGTAATCGCTATTGGTATGATGGATGGCTTGGTCATTAAGGGCAGAAGTGAAGCCTGTAGAGTGAGGTATGAGATCACTCATAGAATGAGCAGAGCGAGCGAATTACTGGTATTGATAGAATTATTGTAAAGATTAGTAACGTACAATCGTACAATAGTCCGCCTCCCCTTTGACAATCAAACAACACAAAAATAAAAATAGCTTCAGAGGACGTACCTAGTGCAATTGGTTTGCAGTACGACTTGATGCTAATTTATCCTTTGCCTTGTTATTAAATTCTATTGAAATAAACCCTGAAAATAAAAAAAATTGCCATGGAGTCAGTATAAACAAAAAAAAAAAAGTAAAGTAAAGACGTAAATAATCAAGGGAAACAAAAAGGGCTTTGAATGCATCGCGTCCATTTTTCCTGTGGGAAGGGTCAAGCAAGGGGATGTGATTTTATTGCCTCTATTTCCTTTTTTCCTGTTTTTGAATAAAGGATAATTACGGGGCAAAACTCCGCAGCATTGTGTTCAGTTACTGGTTCCTTAACAAAGTGCTAATCCAATCGGCTGATCTGATTATACCGAAACTACAATCATCCACTGTAGTCGATTCGTCCACTTTGTTTAAAGTCGTAATCCAACATTAAGGATTAAAAATTGAATGCTTTTTTGTGCCTGCGTAAGTTTTTCTTTACGTTTGTTTCAATACAAGAGAGAGAGAGAGAGAGAGAGAGAGAGAGAGAGAGAGAGAGAGAGAAAGAAGATTTATAGAGATTGAAAAGATAGGATTTAGAGATTGGTGAAGAGATAATAGTGGAACTGAGCATTTACCCCTTGTTCAAGTAGACAGACAATAAGAAGAATATGTATTATATGTGTATTTCAAATGGTGTTTATGTGAATGAGAAGGAGAAAAAACGCCGACAGATGACAAACTAGTTGAAGGAGGTGGTAATTAATAGTGATGTAAAAGAAAAAATAATAATAATAATAATAATAAAAATAAAAAAGAAGAGAGAAACAGAGAGAAAGAGATAAAGGATGATAGAGATGGGATGAATAAAATAAGATAAAAACCAAAGGAGGAGGAAGGGGGGAAGAGGAAAGGGAGAAGGAGAGGAATAAAAGTATGTAAAGGAAAGAATGGATGGGTCAAACGATGTTTGTTTTTGTGAAGGAGGAGACGGCTACCTTGACCCATTCGAGACAATAAAAAAAAAAATCATAACACAACACAGTGATTGAAATTGATTGAATCGACAAATATGTCTTCTCAATATTAAAAACGGCGCTTGTCCGACCAGACAAATACAGGCGGGAAGGGAAAAATATAAAAATTTACTGGGGAAGGATTTATTCCCTCTTAGTGCAAGATTGTTCATCACAGCTCTTATGCATCCTTAATTTATCAACCCATTCCCACGTCTTTAGTCGATCAGTCTCTTCTTGCGGAAGAAGCGCTTGAGATAAAAGATTTGCCAGAGCCCCAGTCCAACTAGAATGAACATCGTCAAGGATGAAAAATACTTGACACGCTCGTTTGTAGATTCTGTTCCAAAATAAAATATAAAAAAAATTAAAAAACAAAAATAAAAATAAAAATAAAAATAAATATTCAAGACATCATTAGTTCCTTATCTTTCGAGTTAATTATTGGTTTCCATCAACAACCGTTACGTTTACCATTCGTGTTGCGCATCTTTTCTTCACGCTCTTTGAGGTGCTCCATATTCGCGATAATATCCTTAACCAAGTCCTCAAGCTTGCGCAACTCCAACTCCATGGGTTTCAATCTTTCTTCCCTAGCAAGCTTCTCATAGTCAATTGTCTCGGATCCGATGTCGAAATCAATGTCCACAACACGCGTGTATCTTGAATCAGGCTTATAACCTTTTATATATATATATACAACGAATATAGAAGAAAAGACGACAAACTGAGTGTAAAGATCTTCTTTCTTTTTGTCATTCTGATGATTTCAAATAATATTCTTATTAAATTACCATCAGCAAGGACATTGGTAAAGCAGGCAAAAACATCACCGGCTCGCTTGGTCAAGAAACTAGCCAATTGACGTCCCTCCGACAACGAGTCCTTTCTCCAAAGTTGATTTTGATGTTCACTGTCGTCCGTAATCTATTATAATAACATCAATAAAAATACGCAAAAGTAAAAAAAAAAAAAAAAAAAAAAAAAAAGTAAGCTCATTGTATATATTTGATAACACTCAGACCTCTGTCAATTAAAAGTCTCTTGTAAAGAGGATAGTGAATAGGCCAAATTAGGTTGCTCTTAATGCTCACCTCAAGCAAGGTCTTCTGATGTGGTCCAGGTCCAACTTTGACCTTAACTACAACATGCGTCTCATCGTCTACATAGTGTGAGATGCAAAATGGAACAGCATCTTCAGGAACCTGAGCAGGCAGCTCAAACTTAATGCCTTGAACCGATGACAAGAACGCAATCACCAAGAACACCGTGACAACGTAAACCATAGAAACGAATCGTGTCATCCTGCTCCAGTTTTGTTTTGTCGTTTTCTTTTTTTTTCTTTTTTTTTTTTTTTCTTCTGTGTGAATATATAATATATTTGTGAGTGTATTGTCCTTGTTTTCTACAGTGATTGATTGTTTCCTTCTCTTACTTTTTTGTTCACAGGAGTCGAATGGTTGTGTGTTCTTACAATTGATGAACAGATTTTTTTTAATACAGTCTGTGACGTGCCACTAAAGAGCGTGCACACAGAGAGACGCGTCTTGTCTTCAATGGTCAGTGCTTTTCATTCAGGCCTAAAAAAAAAAAAAAAAAAAAAAGGCTTCTAGAACTCTGCAATAGGCGATCTTTGTCCCATCTCCTCCCATGAAAAAAAAAAAAGAGGACCTTGCGTCAGGGACGCCTACAGTAAAAAAATAAATAAAATATAAATGTATAATATATATATATATAATCAACTTGGCACATCACCAAATCACCATGTGGTTTCTTCAGGACCACTAAATCACATCCACTGAGGATGACCCGGCTCCGATGGCAACTGCACTACTGAATAGAATATTTATACGCATTTATAGAAATATACTTTCTAAGTAGAATGTCTCTCGACAGTAACATTGTTGGTTTTTGAAACTTTTCCATTGCCCAGTCTTCTTTTTCTTTTCTTTCTTTTTTTTTCTGAAACAAGTGCGCTGGATCATAACCTATCAAGTCTCTTGGTTATGGGCTGTTTTGTCAGCACTGTGGCTTATATCATGCAAAAATGAGGCTTCCCTTAAGTGCAAGAAAATCGACATGCTCTACATGAAAGAACAAGCAGTTGTTAGACGTATGCATTGCATGCATTCAATCATCTAATGTCTAACTCCGAAATCTGTTTATTAACATGTCCCTATGGACATTTTCTTCAATAATATTAATTTTAAAGATATTCTAAGCCCACCAGAAAATCCGCTCCCCAAGGCAATCCCCAGCCTTTTACTCCAGCCTTCTTCCAGCAAGCCCTAGGAATACCTAGATCTGTCAGGAACAACTCTCCCGTTGTGGATCTAGACCGACATCCTGCTTTTGGCGCTCCGAGACAAAGTGTCCATTTGGGACGAATACAGAACTTTGTCTTATCTCCTTGCCCGGTAGTTCCATTCACACCACTAGGCATGTCCAGGCTAAGGATTGGAGCTTTATTGTCGTTAGCCCAATCCATCAGATCACATATCGTCTCCCGCTCATCCGAATCGACAATGTCTCGGACCATATATTGATAGCCGAGCATTCCATCCATAATCAAATCCACGGGTGATGATGCTTGAGGGAGTTCCGCAATTGTGTGAATCAGCTCACCTCCTGCAGCCAAAAATCCTCTTAATTGAGATGACGCCATCTTTTTTTTTTTTTTTTTTTTTTTTTTTTTTTTTCAAGTAATACAACATTATTTAAAAAATAAAAAAAAAATTGTCAAGCTCAATCTTGAAACATGCTACACATTTGAATAAAAAAAATAATAATAAAAAACAATAGTCTTACCGGATAGAGCTGTCCTTCATGATTCGAACCAGCAATGAATGCTAATACTACACATCCATGATTCGACAAGTGTCTTGCGGCGCATAGTGCGTATGCTCCTGTTCGATTGTTGCCTGCTAGAATAACAACTATAGGTGCAGAGTTATGGTTGTTGGGCTGGATTCTCCTTGATCCTCCAAGAGCTTGAAGACACATCATAGCCGCACCACGACCTCCATTTTCGATCATTTGCTCCTCACTCAGACCCATCTCTAAAGCAGACAGTCGTTCGATTTCTTGCATCTGAAGTGGGGTCACAGTTGGACAGGATACGCCTGAAAGGGTCTGAATCTTGACACTTCTTTTCTTCCCGCTTCCTCCAGTACCACTACTGCCATCACCGTTGATTTTAGCACTGATTGTAGATGGAGAGGACGACCCAAGCGCAGCAGAAGCGCTGCCCCCACTTGCTCTCACCCTAACATCTGAAGTAGTGGCCACTGGTGCGGAAGATTCGTCAACGCTGCTACTGTTCCATGAATCATCATCTTCACTCTCATCATCCTCGTCTTCTTCACTCAATCCTGATCCGACATGATTTTTGTTATTCACCTTTTTATATGCAGATCGCTTAGGTGCAGGGTCGAGAACATTTTCCGTTGGTTTAAGTTTTCTAAGCATTGGACTTTCCTCTACTGCTCGTGCTCTATTTGGATTCCGATTCAAATTAACCAACAAGGACTCCGGTGCCGTGTCATCTGCCTCCTGAGAGAACCGTTAAAGCAACGAATGTACATATTAGCATAAAATCCCCATTATTCAAAGTATTAGCAGAACAACCATTCCAACAATCCTACATACTCGAATTTCAGCAAAGACAGCAGCTTTGTCAAAAAGTCCCAAATTGCCCTGGAAATCAAAATCTTCGTCCTTGAAGTCGTCTGTGTCACCTTGTGCCCACTCATGCACCGGTTCCTTATATCTGCGTGAAGACCGCTTGCCTGATAATATGGCAGAAAGATTGAAAACATCGAGAGTTTAATCAGCGGCTGTATGTTGATGACAGAGGTACTTGAGCATGCCCTGCTAGGCTCATAATCCAATTTAAATAGTGCGTGATACTCTCTCAAACTACCTGATGCTGACTTGTGAGAAGGTCGCGGTGAGCCATGATCAGACATATTGTTATTATTGGTACCGTTTACATGATTACTATTACTGTAAGTTGACCTGCGTGCCCTTCTGGGCCCTCGACCCACGGACTCCGTTGCGCTCGAATCTGCAATGGTCTGACTATCATGAGCCTTGTTGGTTTTGGCTTGACTCATTGGCTGAATAAAAAAAAAAAAAAAAAAAAAAAAAAAAAGATGGGCGATGCATATTCAACTATGAATAGATGTCCTTCACTATCATAAGTATAACTTAATTCTTATATTCTAAAAAACTGACCTTGATTAATATATCTAAATCCTCATGTGGCTGCTGCGTCTGCGCGGGCGAAACACTAGGCTTGAACTAATGAAAAACGTCATGAGCCAAGTGAGGCTATTCCCTTTAAACTGAGCGCCGATGCATTTTAAACAAGTGTAGCCCTTACAGAAATGATTGCAGGATCGTGGTAAATCATTCCACTGATACTGCTTCCAGCAGAGATAATCGCAGGATCATGGAATGGCATACTACCACCGCTTTTGGGGCTGCTTACAGACACAGTGCTTGGATGCGGATGAGCTGGCAACTGTCTAGGCGAGGGTGCCACCAAAGTTGCGTGCGTCTGTTCTGGGTGAAGATGCGTTTGATTGGGGTACTGTGATTTAAAAGATGCACCATTGATGGCTGTAGAAATTGAAGTCGATGAAAGCGAAGGTGAGGGGGAAGTTGGTCCCTCAGTCATTGAGCGGGTATCGGGTTGTGTAGGAAGGACTTGGAGGTCTTTGATCTCTCCTCCAGCAACACTAAATGATTTCATGACTCTGACGGTATTTTCTTCAGCATATTGAATCACAACTATTATGAAAATAAACGTAATTATATAAGATATAAGACTTCTTTGTACAGCATGATCCTGTTTTGACATTAGACGAAGACACGTGTAATACCCTTGACAACATAACGAAAATGTATATATTTACCATCTTGCAACATGAGGCGTTGAGTAATTGGATCGACATCTGCTACATGTCCTTTTAAAGACGTACCAGTTGTCAAGAGTACCTTGACACTGAGGCCGATGAACGCAGATGCCATAGAAATGACTTTTTCTGCTCTGAGTTGATGCTTTGATTTGTGCCCGTAATAAAGATAATAGCGAGGTTTGATAATAGCAAAAATCCGGTTTAGAGAAATATCAGACTAAATGACTCTGAAGAGAGAGAGAGAAAAAAGAGGGAAAAGAAGAATGCACATGGAATCAGTCCATCCTTCCGTTGTAGTGCTAAAGAACGAGTCCTCCAAATATGTGACTCCCCTTAACCAAAAATATAAGTTATTTCCATACAAGTCATACAGGCCAACTTTCACATATATATTTTGGCTCACATGACCCGTATAGTCCACATGACTTGTATGGAAATAAGTTATAATTTATAGTTAAGGGGAGTCGCGTATTTGGCTAACTTGAGCTTCTAAGGGGATTCCTTTTTATGGTTGATCACCTTTCTTTGCCCCGCATTCCATCTAGTTGACCAACTTACTTGAAAAACGATTCTCAACAACATGGGAAATAAGCGCAAGGCAGGGAAAGGACAAGTTGGTCCTGGTAATGGGAAAAAAGCCAAGGCAGACAACCACAAAATTGGGAAGTACCTGCCTGGTGGATTTCCCATTGACCCTAAGATGAAAGGTGTTATGGTTACCTGCGCTCGAGGCAAGGAGAGTCAGGCAGGCAAAGAGGCCTGCGATCTACTGTCAGAGGTAAATCAACATTACCTTGGAGACCCTGAGGCTTAAGCTCTAAGTCATTCAAGTGTATCATTCATCTGACATCAGAGGCTTTGATCTACAGAGGAATACTTACATTATATTTATATACACCAGTATGCTGAAAAGCTCTATGGATCAGGATCAAATGAAGAAGTTGACGAGGATGAAAACGAATCTATCGAGGACGCTATCGCTCGTGAGGTAGCACAAGCAAAAAAAACAAAGGGTGGTAGGCAGTTTTTGCCATTATCTACCGGCACGGACTGTGGTAAGATGCAGACATAAAGAAAAGCCTCTCCATTTTTTTTATAAAATTGTCAAGGACTCTAATTATGGGCTGTATGGTGAGACATGCTAATCCAATCTGTTTAATATGGGGGGACGTGCTATAGTGATTTTCATTCGCGCCATGGAAATCGAACCATCGTCGTTATGCCACTATGTACTTTCAGAGCTTCAAAAATCCGGGACCAAGCGCACGAGGTAAAAAAACCTCATTAGGAACCATTGCTCTTTAAAACTACATGCCATGTTGCTATACATCCGCATATTCATATGTACCCCACGCGATATATAGGTACTGCCAACGTTTCATTCCAGTAGAGGAAACAAGCTATGCGAATATGGATGACATCAAGGTTATGATGGAACGTGTCCTCAAGCCTTACTTTCATGCAGAGGATCAGCAACCGACAACCGTATGTAACTAAAATTGCAGTTCGTACTCGACAGAACAAAACTTGGCATACTCGAATGATACGACGCTGTTGTTAATGGCTCGCTTTGACTCTATGGCCCTTTACGTGACGCTTATAGTTCAAAGTACTGCCCAAAGTTCGACATAATGACAAGGTTGATCGTGAAGTTCTTGTCAAGACACTGGCAAGTGCTGCTGGCCGCAATCAAAAGCACGCTGTGAGCTTGAATGACCCAACGTTTGTCATTCTTGCTGAGGTTATCAAGGTAAACTAGGATTAGCAGTCATATTTGACTTTATATGTCTAGATTTTGATAGCTTGATGCTTATTACCCGTATTTATGCTTTAGAGTATTTGCTTCTTAAGCGTTGTGAAGGACTATGATCGTCTGAAGAAATACAATATTCAGACTATTTTCATGGATTCTCAAGGGGTGAAGCTCGATGCCAAACCAGACATGAACGAGAGCAAGAGCATTAAAAAAGCTGAAGCTAATGTCAACGCCGACAATGAGATAGAGATAGAACCAGCTAAAGATGTAGAAAAGAAAGATGAAGTCGCAAATGCTGTGGATCAGAACAACTAGGGTCCAACTTTGAGCCTATCAGTCATCTCTTTGAAATAAAAATAATCCACGTTTTCCTCAAGATAATTTGCCGCTCAAATCTATTGAAAAGACCTCTTGGCCTTCTTCCTCTCTATCCAAAAGCGCATGGATGTGGGCGTTGCACATGTACCTGAATATCCAATTAATAAATCTAATTGTAGAGAAGCAGAGATGGCTATTTACTGGTTGCGATAAATGCATTATTGTGTATGTAATACAAGCAATCTTCTATTTAAACCAGGTCCATTTGTCTGCAGCCCCATCTGCATGTATGCATTTTTCCCTCCCGTGACGAGCTTAGTTTCAAGCGAATTAGTTGGCTACCGAGGAGCTTTTGCTCAGCCAAAAAAGGGGGAAATTTTTAGTGGACATGTGGGTCGGTTGGCCTTCGGCTCGCCACCCGTTACACACATGGGCGAACCGCTACGTATCTCTACATTGCATGGAATATTTGAGCCAAGCTTTTTTGATAATTGTCCAATGTGGGGTTTTGATTTTATTATTTATTCTTTTTATAAAACATTATATCATTTATTGATTATCGATGGGAGGACACCGTGCATAAAGACTAATTACATACACATCATTGACAACTACAACGATCTGGACAGTATTCTAGGGTAGTCTAGAGGAAAGACCGAAGATTGTCTTGAGAAAGATCATGAAGGATATACCTTCCATAGTGCCTGAAAAAAAAAAGAGGGGGGGGAGGAGGAATGGTAGTAATTAGTAGGATAAAGATGGAATTGACTTTTAAAACATTGTCTAGTATGTTGAAGTCGCTATGTTTCGGTTTTATATCTCTGGCTCCCGCCATAGCCAATGAAGTCAGGTAAGGTTCGCCTGGGGCAACAACTGTACAAAGCTCACAACTCGACTAACCAATACAAACTACGCTGATCAAGGACAATATAAAAAAGTTTGAACAGGCAAGAGTGGAGTGCAGTGGAGAAAAGTAGTAGAATTAGTGGGGAAAGAAACGTGCGTGGGGTGGAATACTGAAATTATTGAATTCTATTTCACCCAGAGCCTAATTTCTATACATGTACACAAGTTCATGTTGACGCTATTCATAATGCATGTATTTATACAGAGTACAATATTCAAAACCTAAAAAAATCTCCTACATTTACATTCTCAGAGACACTGACATGTGTCCCATTTGAGCCCTATCAGAAAAAAACAATAAAAGGAAGGCATTTTAATGATGATCCCCATCCTTAACCTTCTTCCTCTTAGTCAACAATCGAGCTTCATCTGTGACGGTTCATTAACACATATATCCCCTCTACTACTTCACCCTCTCCATCTATCTCTACATCACGCAAACAATTTACTTGTAATCCTCTCCATTCCTTTTTATACTACATTTAGTCTCTCTCTATCTTTATTCCTGCTTCCTCTCTTCATCAGCCCAGACAACATTCACATTTTTCCTAGATCCATCTTCATATCTGCTTTTTAAACCTTAGATTTATAACCTGATACATCATGGGCGTCTTTGGAGAAAAACACACATCGCTTACTCGTGAGCAGAAGCGTCAACTGATTCACCAAGCTGACACTTACAAGTTGCGGCCGACTGAAGTGTGCGACTGGGTGCAGGCTACCTGGGGACTTCGAATCGCACGAGTAACGGTGTACTCAATCCTTCACAAGCAGCGTGCATCCTTGATGGCTGGCCACAAAGATCTCTACCAGAATATCCAAAGCACACAAAATGGATCATCACAAATGACTGATGCACACTCAACAAACACTCACTCAGCCAATGATTCATGTCTTTCAGTGAATAAAGAAACCGGACGTGTCAATAAATACAGAGCCAGTCCAAACAAAAACAAAAATAAGAATAAGGATAGCAGCAATGATAGCAACACCAAGTGTAGTCGAAGCAGTAGCGTCATGAGCGACGGATCCTCGACCGCTTCCTCTTTGGATGGAACTGGTGAAGGTAAATCATTAAATCATCTTTTCACGTACTTCTCCCACAGATTCAATTGCTTTAAGTGGGAGAGTTAAAGAAAGCGGGAAGAGTGATCTCCACATCGGGAGTGGATTCAACCTTATTTTTGTCATATGCTGTCTGTGTGCGGTTGCAAGCCAACTTTGCAGTTTTTAAGGTTTTCAGGACTTGTTTTCCGAAAAATCCTTCCTTTGGAGGAAATTTCTTTCGGCTCGCATCACATTTTGTCCTTTGCTTATACGGCTCGCTTCGGCACACCCTCTGCTCTTAACACCTTCCAATCCCATCCAAACTTTAAGCATTTCGATCGGCTGATTATAAAGCTTTATTTATTTATTTTTATTTAATCATAATAGGAGCAAGATGGGAGGGGCAACTCAAGCGCGTGCGAGAGCCAGCCTCGGTTGAGCTCGACCGGGCCATGGTCGCCTTTTTGAAGAGCCCTGCCAGTGTTGATAGCCAAGGTCGTAGACTTAATGACGCCGAGTTGCAGTCACATGCCCTTAGGCTTGCTCAATCCATCCCTAGCGCCAAACGTATGCGATGTTCTTTTGGTTGGTTACGGCATTTCAAGCGTAGATTAGGTGTCCAGTGGGCTGCTGACAAGCTTGGTCGGTATCGTTGGATCGTCGAGATGGACCATCAGAAGGCAGATGAACAGGCCACTAGTGCTGATGCTAGTATGTCATCTTCGTCCACAATCGAGATTAAAAAAGAACATAGCATGGATAATGGACGCCAGAGTTCGACTACAGGCTCAGAAGATGATGAGGAGGAATACCATTCCACATATGAGTTTGGATCGGAGGCTTCGCCCAGTCCTTCGCCTATGAAGCAACCCAAGAGCACACCCCCAACTACCACACAGCAAAATCAAGATCTAGTTGCCTCTACCACCCAACAGAATTCGACTCAAAGTCTTTTGAACTCTTACTCCCACTTGTTTGGCACCCTTCCCCCACTGCATGTCCCAAGCAGCACCGCTCCCCTGAACACGATCTCGCCCCTCGCCACCACTCTTGATCCAAAGCTTACATCAACCGTTTCCCCTTCGACAACTATGCCAGCTTCATCCGCGTTCGGCATGAGTGTTGATGGCAAAATGCGAAAGGTTCCTACGAAGGAAGAAGCCTACGAGATGCTACAGAGTTTATTGATGTACTATGAGCAAGATCACTCTTACATTGGTGAGCAACAAACACTTCTTTTGCCGCGCTGGATTCATCAGCAGCGCCAGATCATGCAGCAGGATACGGAAGCCAAGATGATGTGGATGCGTCAGCAACAACAACAGTTACACCAGCCACTAGCTCAGCAACAGCCATTCTCCTTTTACCAGCCTTTGTTGTTCCCATTCCAGGCCTTGAACGCACAACAGCAGAATATGTCATCAGAACCTCATCATCCTTATCATCGCTACCACTCTTCCTTCTCTTCAACATCAACAGCACCATCCACACTCTCATCTTCTTCTCCAGCATTGTCACCAATGTCACCTGTATTGCCACTTACACCTCAAAGCCCTACCGCTAATCCTTTCAGCTTTGGACTCAGTGGAGTGACCGCAACTTCAGTTAGACTGAGCGATCCATTCATGTCTGCCAAGCCAGATCTCTCCTCAACCTTTGCAGGTTTTGAGCAGCAAATGATGAACGACCCTTCGCTCTTGTTCTAAAGACCCTAATACCGTCATGGCTAGAAAACGAAGGCGTTCTTTGAAATGTACTATTATTATTTCCTCTCTATCTGTATCATATATTGAACATGTATTATAAGAATAAAAATATTTTTTTGATTTATTTTTTATTTACCATTTTAATCCTGAAGTATATACACTACAACTATCGTCTCAACTACCATGGATCCGCATCAAGAGCAACAGGCAGCTCTGCTCAATAGAATTGCACTGAACGTGGTACTGTGCTTCCCATTATAAACTTACTATTGTTTAATGGTAAATAAAAGTTAATAAAAATAAAAATAAAAACTCATTTTGTCCCTTCGCTGCATAGGAAAAGCTAAATGAATCAGTAGAGCAATTGAATGAAAAGTTGAAGCAGATCAATGAGGAGAATCATTCAACAGCAGTGATCGCACAAATCTGGAATAATTATTCTAGGAATGTGTATATTATGCTGGAGGGTCTTGGTGGATTGCAACCACCGGAATGATCTCGACAATGACAGCTTCTCCCAAAAGTATCCAAATCCAGGCACATAATAATATTAACGATAATAAAATAAAAAATAATAATAAATGGCAACCCTTCTGCTGAGGGTTTTTCACCTCAGGTATATAGATTAGGGCAGCGCGCTGGGCGTCTTTTTGTGTCTATTGATGATGCTTACAATAGATGGCTTCTCATTACAAAAGCTAATGCTACAGTTCTATTTTACAACATTGTGTTTAATCCGCTGCAGATTGAGGATACACACAATACGTGTTGTTTTCAAAAGTCTGCTTAACTATGCCAAGGCAGAAGGTACACTGACTTTATGGACATCAGTAGGAGAGCGATACTGTATCAGCGGTATCACGTAAATTGATCTTGCTTGCCTCGTGTGTTTCGTACCTGTGATCCAGAACGTTTATCCAACAATGAGACTAGTTCTTTTGTTGCTTCACGAAACAGGTAAATGTACGGAAGGTCGAGGAGGTAAAGGTTGTCTTTATTGCTATGAGACACAAGGCTTCTTTTATATGCTAGACGCATTGGTGTTAGGGTTATTCTTTCACCTTTCGAATGAAAACGGAAGTGTTATTACTTTTTTTATTTTATTTTCACGTTGGATAAGAGATTTCCAATAGCAATATTGATATGGATATCAAACGTCTTACTGCCAACAGAACTAATTGTGTCTTGAGCGTGCCAGAGTCCAATTCACCCACATGACAAACATATGCCCTTAAGTGCTTCTGAATCTCGGATAGCTCCTGGTATTTGCTAACTACAGTATCAAGGTAGAATTCCTGCAAGCAATAAAAGTATACAGCAATATCCCTTGATCTGTCAGTCGGGATTTGTTCAAATATCCATGGGGAGAAGAATGGTAGTGCTCGAATATACGAAAGCTATAATTACCTTACTTACAAATTTATGAAAGGAGAATCGACCTCCCAATCATTGTTACCTCAAGCGCTTAATGTGCTAATGATGGAACTCTTTGTAGTCCTCGCTGCTGCCAAGCTGGGTTTAAACCCTTCGGGTCGCATTTAAGATGACTTACGCGCAAAGTATACCCCACCAATCACGTCGCGACCAAATGAAACACGCATCCGCGGTAGTTTTTAACCATGATAGGACTGATTTTAGGGAACTGCTGAGGTTGGTATGGTGGTAATGCGTACTAGCAGGATATCTATGAATGCCGTATAGCAGCTTGGCCTGATACTATTGCTGTTAGAGACAAAGGCTTGCGCCTGCAATCAAGATTTTTTTAAGTCTTAAATAACAACCATTCTTAAATCAGTATGGAGTTTCAACAACATACCTCTAGCGAAAAGGGGTCGGGAATGTGTTTTGGGAGAAGGAATGAAAATGGTATAGGTTACTAGGTGTACGAAGGAGTAGAGGCAAGTGAATGGTGGACGTAGTGTATCGTGATGAAATAGCTAGATATATGCTTTTTGCCGACTTTTTGCTGATTGGTTTCTACTGATTGATTTTTTCTTCCTTGGCATGCGATAGACGGCTGTTTCTCCCAGTAGAAAGCACAGAGAACTGGATCTGACCTGCCCATGAGTTGGTGGAAGCTAAATAGGCGAATTTGCCTATTTTATGGTCCAAGTAATAAACTAAGTGATTAAGCCCAAAGAAGTACACGAGCCAGTGGCACAAGGGCCAAGGTCTACTTTTTTTTTCTTTTTTTGGAACGCGTAGACCGAAAAAATCCATCAAATATATCGATATCAACACTATCACTAAAAAAAATAAAAGGACGCGTATGAAATTTCAATTAATAGCCATGCTACTCAACACCCATGGCATAGAAATATTCTACGCGTTTAAATGTACATCTAATTTAATCATGCTTATGTGCGTTGCACTAAGGTTCACCGACAGGCTGGTCCAAACTCGAGGTACTGAAAGAACCTTTGTTGAGCCCAGGAGTAGGAGACAAGCCGGCAGCAGCAATAGGATTTGATCTACTACAAATATGGTTATGTCCTGAAAGGATTTCGTCTTAAAAAAGTTGCAAGTATTAGCTTGACTCGTTCAACAATGACAATCCACCAATGAATTTCAACTAGATTGCTTACATCGCGTGCAATTCGACTCGGCTCTCAGCCTCAAGCCATTCCTGTTCACAAGGTAAGGGGCAGTGGCTGTGTTCTTATTATGAGCCGAAGTATGGCGTGTTTGTATGGGTTTCGGAGCGGATGAAAAGGATGCGAGCAGAGAATCCTTTCCGTGGGGTCCCTCCCCTAGAGTCCACTTCTCGTTGGAACCAGCCGTGATCCATATCGCTTCAGCCAGTCGGACCCGGAGTTGTTGCTGTTGGTTGCTCCTTGGGTACGCACATAGTCTATTGCTCTGCGCTAGATTGTACTTTGCTATTAGCTCTCCACTAGTCTTTTTTAGACTTTTGGTGGTACTGCAATTGATGCCGTTCATCTTTCTTTTTTTTTCTAAGGCAGATAAATGGCTATGGTGATACGTAAATCTATACTAACTGTGGTTGTTTTCATCGCTGGTTGATTGGGACCACCATTTTTGGATTAATAGCATCAAGGAAGTTGTACGATTGTGCTTTGACTCCAGTTCACTAACTACTGCCCCGTTTTTTTCCTCCCCCTCTATCTAGCTTTAGATAATATATATAGCTGAGTAGGATCACCGCCAGGCTGAGAAATACTGCTATGCACCAGTCGGGTGGTAAAGCAGACGCAAGTGAGTGAGTAGAAATACCAACTTTTCTTATCACGCTGTTAGATAAATATACAATAGCTGGGGCACATCAAGACGATGTAGATGATAACAAGAGTGACAAGGATGATGAGAGGAATGCTGGCGCGATATCGGGTTAGTGTATTGGTATCCCAAGCTCTTTAAGAAGTAAGGACTCCAAGACACATCTTTTGCTGTAGATAAAGTTTGGTAACAAATAAGCAAATAAATAAACCAAGACTTTACTGGGGCGACAGATGTGGCTCAATGATCTCGATAATTATGTTATATACGTCCCTTAATTCATGACTTTTATTCTATGTATCCCTTTAAGAAGAGCTACTCCTGACCTTCACCATGTGGGAGAGAAGAAGGCTTATCGTAAATCTGATTCAATAAGTGTTCGCAAACAAAGCGGGTTGTCGTGTTTGTACCTGCTTTACTTCAAAAGAATAACTAACCGGATCATTTCTAAGGCATAAGGAGTTACCCAATCATGCAGCGGATAGCTTACCGTTCAGGCCTAGAACAACGGTCGAATCGTCGTTTCAACAGGATCAATGTTAAACAGCCATTTCCCTCTTCTCTTCCCTTTGGACAATATTCCTCACCTCGATCGAGAAAGAAGCGTGTATTTGACCGCCATAGTTGTGCGAAAGAGGCCACGGTTGGATAAGAGGGCTCCAACCTATAGGTGTCTGTGTTGGAAGCCACGCGGGGGCCACGGTCTGGATAGAGGATATGGCACTCGGTTAGCTATAACAAAATGGAGCCTTCGAGTGTTGAAGCAAAAGATATATAAAAAAAAAAAAAAAAGAGTGTAAACATTCTCTACTTTTCATCTGGTGCCTTTTGTGGTCATCTAGGACATATTGTGAGGATAATGAATAATTGGTTGCTTCATGCTACTTTAAAGAAGGCGAGGAACAATCTATAGATTATGGTTGGATGCTCAAGCTGCTACGACTGTCCGAGCGATAAAGACCGATCCTTAGACCCAGTAGTCAGTATTTGAATTCAGCAACCATTCCTCCCACAATTACGTTAGAGCGCAAGCTGAAGGAAAATATGGTGATATGCTTGCGTATATATGTAAGAGCGCCTTCAGAAACAAGCGGATAGCCAGTAAAAGACATGATTACAAGTAGAGCAGTATTGCTCGATACTAAAGAAGGAAGAGGAGGCCGCATCCCATTTGCCCTACCAGCTAAATAACTGATGGCGGAGCCAGTACTATGACGGGGACCACATGGAATTACTCCGTGCTGTATTTATTTTTTTTATTATTGGACTGAACACCTCTCTGCACCTCGAGTTCTGAGTCTGAGGCCATTGCGGCAAAGATTGTGAGGATTCATGACGGCAAAGTATGTCTATTCAAATTGCTAAATGAATAAGTAAATTAAGATTAAATATCAAGTTTAGTCAACAGATAGTTCTTACAGGAAAATCAGAGGAAGGGATAGAGAAAGCGCAGAGGGGGGGACGGAGAAAGAGTAGAGGGAGGGATGGAGAAAGAGTAGAGAGGGACGAAGAAGTGGTTATTCTTTTCTTTTACCCGTTGTATCCATTACATTAATCCTTCAGGCAGGAGCGCTTAAAAACTCTGGAATTTGTGCAGTTTAGCCTCATTGCTTGAAATGCTTTGAATTCTTGCCTTCCCCAATAGCTACTTGATATCAAGTGCTCCTGGAGCAGAATAATATGTATATTATATATTTAAGGCCATTCGCCAAAACTGCGTGTTAACCATCAGTCCTTGGTTTATGTGAGAAAAAAATACCTTTAGGGTTTGTGTAATTGTAAGCATTGACGCTTGAAATACTTGAAATCCTACTCATAACTCTGTTCCGTACCTCGCCCACTCTTCGATAATCGTGAATTGTCTGGGCGAATTGCTGGCCCAGTGGCTCGGCTCTGAATGTGCAGCCATTTACCCTGCATATTTCACAGAATAAATCAAAACCTAAAAATATCATTTTGCGCCTGTGCGTCTCATACGTGTAACCATGGACGCGGTGTGTGGACCTGCATCCTATCCTTACTTGCTTCGCCACCTGTCCACTTCTCTGTCAAAAGCTTTTCATGCACAACAGCCCAACTCCATTGTGTACTATTTGCCCAACACCTCAACTACATATGTATAGTCGACTGAAAAGTGGTATTGGGATTGCATAAAAACTAATCATCTCCAATCCATGACTTTTCTGTAGCTCAAATGTATTGTGTACCGCTTATCCAGCGGCTCACCCCTTGCTTGTACCTGTATCATGATCTGATAAGTGCTTGGAAAATGCATAAAAACCCTTCTATTTCCTCGCAAGGGTTATCACACAAACAATCTCCATCACAAGAGCCATTACAAGAACGATCTCCCTCAGAGAACCCTCACCAGATCAGCCTAGATCTCTACCCCTTGATCGGACCAGATCCTTGTAGGATTATATTATTGGACTTTTGCATTATAGTTAGAGCGGTATATATTTGCATCCATAACTGCCCATTTTTTAAAAAATCACTCTTTTTTTTTTTTATTAAATTCTATTCAACACATCTAGTATTCATTCTTAACAATCTTCACAATGACCATCCCTTATGCTCTTTTGGTTCCCTTATTACTTCTGAATTCAGTCTCTGCTAGCCATTGGACTTGTTACAGAAAGCGAATGTTAGGTCTTGGTTGAGGGGTTGATGCTGTTTTTGCAGACTCAAATGGCATTATTATTCCAAAAACTAGTTGGCACAATGACTTTGCCGACGTTTACACAAAGAAGAAGCACAGAGTGAGGATGGATATTAGAAAAGATTTCAAAAGTTGGTCTTTCGCTATTGCTTACCAGATGCATCCGCCATTAGAACTGACGGGCCCACAGTTCCAAACGTTGAGTGACCCTCCTGCAAACAGCGGCCCAATCGAATGTATTTCCGGTTTTGGACTCCAATTTCTGCTTCGCTAATACTTGGCCTTTTGAACTCAATGTTTGAAATTTCGATATCATCAAACATAAAAAGACAATCAGCTCTCCGAACTATCAGATGGTTCGTCATATTCTGAGGATGCATCTGACGGATAGTTCTAGACGCTAGCATTGCCTTTTCATCACTATATATACAAAATGTTAAGTTAACATAGAATACTAGATATCTAGAAATAAAAAATCAAAGAGTTGGTTTGATCTTACGTGTGTATGGAAACCTGCTTGGTTAATTTTGAAAATACATTGACCCAATACATAAGCACGTCAGACTCTGAAGAGGGTGCATTCTTGAATGGTGGGCTGCAAATGAAGTCGCAACTAAAAGTAGATATTCATGTTTGAATATAACTTCGGCTGTAAAAAAAAATAAAATAAAATATACAATAAACAATATACAATATACAATATACAATATACAATATACAGTGCTTACATAGTTGAGAGTATTCTGAGTGTTCGATCCTTTATATCTGCTTCATTTGATGTTGCTCCTTTTTCCAGAATCTCTGCATTCAACAAGCCCAAGTCGACTGCAAGACGCTTTTTTAGATATTCAATATCATACTCAAGGACAAGACCTGCATATGCTTGAAGGACTGTCCTGCATGGGTATTCATCAATGTTTTCAATCATACAGGTCTTCCTTGCATCTGCTAGCATATCAGGTGCTGCTTGCTGGAAAAAAGAATTTGCTCTACCAATGATACAGGACATTGCGACTCTATTCGTAGAACAGCACCTTAGTCTTATTTGTCTTGTTTGTCATCAATGATAAATTTAAAACAAAAATATACAGTTTGAAGCATCCTTTATCAGAATGATGTCTCTTTCATTAACATTCTGAGTTTGATATGACTCCAAAGTCTCAACAGCATGTTGAAAGAGGAGCAGATGAGAAATATGTGGCTTTGGACATTCTGGAAAGACTAGGATTTTCTCTCCATTCACCTGGCAATAGAGTAACACAATGGAAGAATTAATTCGGGTATTGAATAATGCCAGCATATTATGGCAGAGTCACTTACGATGCGAATAAGGCATCTCATAAGAGATTGCCATGGTTGTTCTGTCTCATAGCTAGTCCGACTCTTTTTTCTCGTGGCGCTCTTAGATGGTGAGGATGCAGACTTTGGAGCAGATTCTGAACTTGACAATGACGGAGATGATGGTGATGACGATGAGAGCATTGCTCCTTTATCTGAACTCGTATGCTATGAACCATGTCAAGGATAAAAAAAAAAAAGAAAAAAAAAATTTGTAAGCAAATATTGCCAGCATAATACCAACCAACTGAGATACCTACCACATGGCTGACGAATATAAAAATTAAATCTAATTCCAAGGAAGCGTGATTTTAAGGATCAGAAACAGAAAAGTTTAATAAATTGATAACAGTGATTCGAATATCAAATACCTTTTCTCAAGCGCGCTTTGATCGGGTTGAGGGCAGAGGCATTGAAGTACTTGAAGTACTTACGGCAGCTATATGAGCGCCCTTCAAATATCAAAACAAAAATTTGCCATCTGCCATTTTTAGGCGAACGCAATAGTCGAAAAGTCATGACATTTTTTGTTTTGATATTTGAAGGGCACTAATATTTTAATATTTTCATACTCTTTTTTCAGCAACTCAAAGTCAAGCTTATAGTTTTTGGCAGCTGAATCTCCGGCTCTCTTTTGACGGCCAATGTAAGCTGTGTAACATGCATACTGACTGTCGTAGCCAGGATGCTTGTGACAATCAGACACAACAAATTCTTTAAATGTCTTCATCCTATTGCGAGTCTCAAGTTGTAAATAGAGTATTAATCCTTCAACATAAAAACATTAAACATAGTGCAAAAGCAATTGAATATGAAATAAAAAACAGCCCCCCTCTCTGCCGGCACAAATGAGACATCAGGTGAGTGACAATGTGCATAACCAGGCGCAGAGGCACCCTGGACAGTGGCTGAAAGGCACCCACCCGTATGAAAATACAATTGATAGTATATCCCACCCTCATATGTACGTCAGGGGCAAGAAAAAAATTGAAAAGATGAATAGTAGAGCTTCCCACTGGCGCTAATGACATTACCTTATGAAGAAGAAAAAAAAAATAGAGAGAGAGAGAGAGAAAGAGGAAATTAGGAAAATTTTATGATGGCAAGTCATGTAATACGCTTAAGAATTCAAATGAAGGAATAAGGGAAGAAATGGATTACCTGTGCTAGGGAAGTAAAAGCGTAGAAGAGAAGATCGTAAATAATGTATAAAGAAAGGTTGTGTTAAAAGGTAGTGATGGGTAAAAGCATGTGATTGTGGCCAGTGAGCGTTGGTGACGAGCCTAGGAGACAGCGCGTAAACTTTTTTTTTTTTTTTTTTTTTTGATAACAAGGATCCTCAGTAGGAGACAGCGCGTAAACAAACGGAGTTTCTGAACAAGACTATTGCCACGGCTCATTACCGTGTTTAGTGTCGAAAACATACTACGAAATCGCCTTCATCCTTTCCAAAAAACTGTAAGCATATCACGTGATTACAAAAGTAATATATTATCTATAAATTATCCACTTTTGTCGTAGAGCATCTACTAGTGATCTCTGGAAACTAGTAGGTAATGATGAAAAATGAAGAATTGGGCAAGAGCCTCGTGGTTTTGGGATACGATAGTGATCCTAAGTAATGCTTTGAATGATTTTGAGGATGCTGCAAAAGGGCATCGATAATAAGAAGAGAGATCTTTAATAACTGCTAATTTTCTGAGAATTCATAATGAGAATAATGAAGATAAACTCACCTGCAAAAGGGCATCGATAATAAGAAGAGAGATGCCGTTTTTGCAGTGAAGGAAAAAGCTACTTAAATACTATTTAAAAATGGTAGAAAATAGGATGATAGGAAATAAATAAATTGAAAGGAAATACATATTTAGGTAAATGAATAGGCGTCATTTACGACAAAGGTGACGTGGAAAGACCTGTCAATGATCCCAAAGATAGACAGAAAATGAACAAAATGATAATAAAAAAATTGGACGAAGTGCCAAAAGATAAATTCATAAATGGACAAAGTGCCATCCCCTCCTGTCTAGCCCAGGGGCCGGGTTCGAGTCCTGGTTAAGGCACATAAAGTGAAGCAAACATGTGCCAGGTCAGGGATTTGCTTGAGTTTTTATACTTTCTCTCCAAGACAGCCTAGTGTTCTCCGCTAAGGCTAAGATCGTGGGTGCACTACCCTAAGTCGCCTGGCTGGCCACATGTCTTAGGTATATATTCCACCCCCCAGCCGAACCAGCGGTACATCTGGCAGCACATCCCCCATCCACCCACTTGACTAGGACAGCGATGATCACAAAGTTTGACGGAGTCCAAAGTAGAAATTTCAGACCAATTCCGCAAGATTTGGGTCCACATGCCAGTGGATTTGATCGAATAGAAAAAATTAAAAGTCGTCCTTAGCTAGAGTCGGCACGCCAGCCTCCGCGGCTTTTCACGGGCGCAACAGGCCACATCGGAAGGATGGACTTCGAGTACCGATCACGGTGTACATTGGTAGAGAAAAACATGGATACGAATTGGCTCTTCACAGCCATCCCGTGCGAACTTTGAGAGTTTCGCTTGTTTCATAGTTGAGGGCGATATCATTACTTTAGAGCGAGATTATGAAATAAAATTCCTCACCTCTGTGGGTTCTTGTTAACAGGAAAAAAAAAAAAAAAAATAAATGGACAAAGTGCCAAAGGAGGATAATCTGACAAATAGATCACTAAAGGATCATAAATCAACAATGATAGTCCTGGAGAATGCTGCAAAATAGCATCAAAAGTGAAAAGAGGGATCTTTAATAAATACTGATAAGAACGAGCTTGACTTAGTAAAACTACAAATAATAATAAAAGTCGCTCACCTGCAAAATAGCATCAAAAGTGAAAAGAGGGATGCTGTTTTGCAAAGAAGCCAAAGTGATTTAAATACTAGGGTTGATAAAGGAAATAATGATACAAGTACTGAATGATGATGGAAATAATGAAGAAGAGGATACGTAAATAGCAGATTTACGACAAAGGTTGTCCTAAATCGAGGCAACTTAAGCTCACGTCCTATAACAAGTGACGTCATGGTAGGTAGGACCAGAGGTATACCTATAGTGGTACCCTCAAACCCACCCCGTCCTGCCTGGACGTGAGCTCAGCCGCCCGATCCTCCCCGCTATAATAAATAGTGGACTCTCCGTCCCTGAAGTGTTCCCTACCTTTATCTTGGTACAACACTTCAGGTATGCAACCTCATTCATCTCAGCACTAGTTACTTGTATAGTATTATATGTATCATAAACTAATAAAGACCTTTATCTTGGTACAACACTTCAGTGTGTTCTATGTATTTGCGTCTCGTTGCGGTTTTTAAGGGCATCTCAGTATAACCCCCCGGTTCTTAAGACAGTGATTTTTTCAAGGTCATTGATTTATAAATAATATCAATTCAATGCTGCTATTTCCAATTATATTTCCTTTATTTCCTGAGCACGTTCATGGGTTTCTAGATGGGGTCCTCTGTTCTGTACAGCACGACCCTCGTGATGATTGAGGACAACGGCTAAAGGATGACCTTCGCGCACAACAGGCCAAGTAGGGAGTAGAGCCGTGCCACAGGTCCTCTGGGACCAAGGAAGTCTACTCAATGCTGACGTGGTTTATGAACAGGATGTAGTACTGTGGCAGTATGACGATGCGGCTTCGGTCGATTATTGGATACCGCTTTATTTGCGACCCCAGTAATGGGGCAACCCATTTATAGAGCTAACATCTAAATAAATCCTACATGACCTCGTGGGTCCTTGTTATCAAAAACAAAAAAAAAAAACAAAAAAAAAAGTGTTCAACCTGTCAAATTTCTATTGTTTTATTCCAGATTGTGAAGGAGACCATGGTCAGTCGATAAAAAAAAAAAAAAAAAGAAAAAAGAAAAAAGAAAAAGAAAAAAAAAGGAAGAGTGAAAATGAAAATGCTGTAGAAAGAATTGATAAAGTATTTAAAGATACAGGTACAAAAGCAAGAAAGTAAGAATAAAATACAGCCGCTATAAAGAAAAATAAAGGCTTAAAGTACAAGTTGCTTAGAGAGTTGGTCTTGTTGCGAGCAGAAAGAGCTACGCGCTGATATGATATTGGTAGAAAGCTATTGAGGTCGGGTGTGTTAATGTTGGTCGAGCATGAGAGATTTGTCGTTAATAGTCATAAAAGGTCATTAGATTGGCTCAGAGTCGATAGCATGGCCATTGGTAACACCCAGGCCGGCAACGTATTCTGCGCTCTGCCCACGCTTCTTGCGTCGGCGGACCGCATTGCCCTGAACGCGAGAAATGGATCCCATGCTACGCTTCATAGGCCCATGTCCGTTCGTTGCAGATGAATGTAACGAAAAGACATCCTCCTCATCAAACGAGCTATCATCATCCATGGCTGCAAGCGGGCCACGCACTTCGTCTTCAGATCCCGAATCCTCATCTCCAGATATTATACCAGTTTGACGATAAGCATGGCGACTATAGTGGTTACGTGAACCCAAACGCGGGGAAGACTTTAAGCTTCTCGTTGGGGATCCTGTAGGGGTAGCATGACCATGGGAATGATGAGTATTGGTAGAGGAATGTGGTTGTGTCTGTCGCAAAGAATATTGTTCTAAACCAGCTCCGGGGAAGCCTCCAGGCATAGTGCTTGGTGCGCTGGGGAATCCTGTTGGTGCCCAGCTAGGCAAACCATCACTGTTCTGAGGTGTCATTCCAACATAACGAAGTTTATCCATCCAATTCTCTGCCTTGTCAACAGAATCTTTGAAGATGCCCGCTACAGACTTGAGCATATCAGAAGACTCGTTGGCGAAAACGAGAACACGAGTCGCCCGCTCTGAGGTTTCATTCAGGGCTGCAATTTCATCAGGGGAGCGATCAATTGGACCCAAAGATGGAGATCCAATGGGAGTAGAAGGCACAGATTCATTATTGAGGGTTGCCCAACGGACAGGCATAGACAGGATGAACTGACGAACGCTGATCTTGGCAGGGTCAGGTAAGCAGGCGCCCGCGTAGCGCGAGACAATACTGATCACCTTGCGGAGAGTATCTACAACTTCCTTCTTAATAGAAGCCAGCGTTGATGCAGCGGTTGAGGGGACAATTTCTGTGCTTTTTGAGGGACTAGCCAGAGACACAAGGAATGTACGTAATAATCCGATTTGGTGCTCAATGTGATGTACCGCATACTAAAATTTTAGTAGAAAAAATAAGGCTTCAGTTTGCTTTCTCTTTTTGTAAAGAATCAAATATGCGACAATCCAATGAGGTTTTTACCTGTAGCCATTGAAGGCAGTACTTGAGACTCTTCATGCTCTCTTCACTAAAGATGGCCACACCAGCAGCGGAGGCTGTTCCTACTGAGGCTACGACTCCTTTCCAACCTGAGAACTGCTGAGAGGGGGCAATTGCAACGGACCCAACCTGGCCAGATTGTCCATAGCTGCTATAATGATTGTTGGAAACTGATTGAGTCGAGGAGTATTGATAGTTAGACGATGTTAATGGTCGTTGTTGTTGGCTCGATTGTGAATCGGAGCGTTTTCTCAGCGAGGCTAGATTATGTTTACACAAACAATAACCACAAGTGGATTTTAGTTTGACATCTGACATCATGTACAACATAGACTATCTCCATCATTGATCAATGCGCTATATTATTATTTTATTACCTTCATCATGCCGCGTGGTTCGGGAGCGACGAGAATCAAAACTTGGTTGACGAGAACTAGAGCTTGAAGAGACGCTATCAATGCTGTCGTTGCGTGATCGATGAGCGAAATAGTTGGAGTCAGGACGAATCATGTCGTTGGAAGATCGAGCCGAGTCTGTAGGTGAGGGAAGTGGTTGAGTATCTGGCTTCAAGTACACCTGTAATCATAGCAAAAAATGAAAGATAAACAATGATAAGCAATATGAATAAAGGACTGAAGCACAACTAATCATTTAACCTTTTCTATGTTTTACCTTATCCAGTTGTGTACGAGCGAAGTCATCGATCTGACCAAGAGTCGGCTCGAGCTTTTCAAAGACCGGCTTTGATAAAGATTTTACACTTGACTCGACCATTTCAGCCCCATACTGAAGGTCATTAGGAACAGCAAATGATGAGTACGATTAGTACATGGATATACGATGTTAATTGTGTTGTAAATGAACAGGCTATGGTAGGATATGGTTCTTGAACATACCTTCATAACTTTACTGTTCTGTTTGCCATTCTCATATGCCTTTAATGCAGAGTTGACCACGGGGAGACTAGACATACGAGAGAACAAGAAGGACGATCCAGCGCCAGAAGCTGTTACCGTAGGGGTACGAGCATTGGCCATGCCACCTAATGCCTCAGCAGCCATCTGTTCATCTGAATCTGGTTCATCGCTATTGATATGCCGTCTGTGGTTGCTGTATTGATCAGGGTCTTCTTCATTATCTGAGGACTGGCTGTATACCTCATGACCATTGCGCTGAATACGACGATGATTTTTGTTTCTATTATTGTAGGATGACAGTTGGTCTTCATCCTCAGAATTAAGATTCAGAGGATCTTGATCCAACTCATGTCCAAGGTTGTGGATCCCCTCATTCGTATTATCATCCTGCTGGCAAAGTTGGGAAATGGACATTGGCTGTGCTTTGGACATTTCCTTTGTTGAAGGCATCGTTAATCAAGACACCTCTGTGTATCTGAGAACAAGTTGCTATTATTATTATAATACGGTGGTTTCGGTCAAGAAAAAAAATGAGACGTTAAGAAAAATGAAGAGAGAGAAAGTAAAGCGTAGATGATATGGAGCAAAGGTTTGCTGGAGGTCTTCAAATAAATAGTAAAATGAAACAATGTTTTATCGATACAAGAATGAGATTGTATGTGAGCAAAGGGAGCTGATGTACGGCTTTTGCCCATATTACAGGAGGCATGTTTAGTTGGGACATGTGTGCTGCTTCTGTGTTGTGAATGGTGTCATGCTGCGGCCATAATGAGTGATTGTTGTGTTGGCTCTGAAGAGTGCTGTGTTTGCTCTGTGTGCAGGTGTCTGTGTCCTGGATGTAGTTCTATTTCTATACATCTACGCCAAGCATGGGTGCACTGACACACACATTCAGATATCATTGACTTGTACTTTCAAAAATACACAAGCACGGGCAATAGAAATGTAAGAGATAGTTGATGAAACTCATCATGCTTAAAATGAGAGAGAGGATGTGTGAATTGATGCTTAGAAATAACAGCTGATTAGATAGGAGAGCAAAAAAAGTGTGTTTCTTGATAATTCATGTAATTGTATCTGTAGTATTGATGCTGTGTTGTGGCATATTGATCCTGTGATAGCTCCAAACAGGTGTAGCAATTGCTTTTATTTTTTATTTTTTACCTGCGTAGGAAGGACAGAAGAGAGGTAGATAATGTACTTTTGTGATTGTGGGTAATGAATTGGTATGTGTGCGTTTAATTGAGGTACAGAGGAGAGAACGGAAGTGGTGAAAAAGGAACGTGCGAGCACTGATAAAATTGATCAGGGGAGTGGAGCAAGTGTTCCAAATAGGTTAAAGGGTCAATTGCAACTGTTGAATGAATGAATGAATGTATGAATGAACAAACGAATGGAGGAATGAAGAAGAGGGAGGTGAAAGATGAAAAGTGAAAAAGTGAGATTGTGAAGTGAGAAGAAAAAAAAAAAAAAAAAAGAGAAAGAAAGAAGCAAAAAAAGGCTGGGGATAATATGATACCAACAAAATACCAACCTATTTCAATTCAAATGTTATATGAACAATTTATCAAATGAATTGGGGACAGAACAGGCAGAACAGACAGAAGAGAAAGAGAGCTGCTCAATCAATTACGGTTACTGACTGAATGACTGAGTTATTTTATTGTATTGTGCCAAAATCATTTTAATATCTCAATCGTTATAAGCATCTTTTTCAATTTCACATGGGAAGAAGGGGGTGTTGCACAGTTCATGTAGACAAAGTCAGTCAAAAGAGATAGGCCGAAGGTCTGTCTGAGACACATGTCTGGTTCTTTTTTTTACTTTTATATATACTCCGCCCGAATGGTGTAGTGCTACACGTGCCTGGCACGAGCATAAATAAAAGATAAACGAAGTGATTAACCAAAAACAATCATAATCATCAGATTGGGGAAATGAGATCTCCAAATCTCAAGCGTCTAACCGCAAGAAATACAGCACACTTTTTCAACAGCCATTTGCCATAGCATTTGACATACACACAGTATCTCCATTAGGTACATATTAGGACCCCCTTTTTTTTATAAATATGTATACATGTACCTTTGTCTCCTTGATCTTCGAACACGGACACAAAAGTCTCGTAACAAGTCTATTAACGCACTCAACAACCCCTGCCCATCCTTTTGTTCATCTTTCTCTTTGCATTGAATGTCTGTTTAAATATATCTGGATTGAGCTTGCTTGGGCTACACATTAGCTTGCTTGCTGGTCAGCCAGCCAACCATTGCTTTTGCCGTCTATCCCCGACCTTTATTTTCCGCAAAGAAGCTTTGCTCTAAACGTTTAAACAAGTCTTCGGAAGCTTTTCTCTCTCTTGCTCTCTCCCTCTCTCTATCTTTGTGGAGGAGTTTCGATCGTTCGAAAACTCTATTTTATATCTCTGTATTTTAACAGCATTAGTATATACCCTCTTGTCCTGGATCTAGATCCTCCTCATCCTCTCCTTTTTTTCACTTATTTTCATCATAGTTAGTGAAGTGATGCTTGATAGAAAATGATACTTCAAGATTCAGTGAACACATCAAGTAGAAAGTGTAAATGTATGTAGTAATTTCCACAAATGATAAATGCAAACACGCGCTTTTTTTTTTTCTGTGCATGTGTTTTATTTGTTTATTTACTCATGTTTTATGTTATTAATATGTTTAACAAGCTCTCCCATGAACAAAAACAAATTTTTTGTTATTTTATCGAAAGCATTAAGCATTTTCATACGCTTTTGCCTTTATGCCTCTCTTTCTACCCCATTTTGAAAGTGAAGCTGCTCTACGAAAAAGTTATTAAACCTGCCGTTATATATATCCCTCTACGTTTAACGATTTATTTATATAATGGTATATATATATAAGTGTATTGTGTTTCTTCGATTGAGCATGACAGCCCAACTCTAACACCAACTCCCTCCATCATAGAAACTTGTGTCTGTCACAAGCGCAAGGAGTAAAAAAAACTATATATTCCTACACACTTGAGTATTTATACGCGTTTTTATGTGTGATTACCACATGTCACTAAGCACGATGTAGACTTTCTCCACAGGTCCTTCTATCATGGAACAGAACGGCATCCTGCTTACTCACACAAAACAAATATATACTCGTTGACCTACCTTATTTTGAATACTATATGTACATGTACATTTGTTTTAACCGTGGGTACAAGCCGAGTGAGAAAAAAAAGAATAGGAAAGAGAAGGTAGAAGCACCCGTTTCTATATATTATACAGTACTCAAATATAAATACTAGAACTAAACAAAAATAGAGATTAAATATATATCTCAATACTCATTCATTCAATCATTTGTCTTAACCGTAACCGTAACCGTAACCGTAACCTTTCAATCTCTCTCATTCTTAAGCACTTCCTTACCCAAACAACTTACCTAATTCAAAATAAAAAAAATAGAGCCGTGCTTGCTTACTTTTTTTTTTTTTTTTTTTAAAAAAAAAAAATGGGTGGTCCATGTCCTTGTTATTATATCCAAACATTATGTCTATACAGAAGAGCCGAGTGGGCGGCTAGCTATTGCTAAGCAACTATGAGAGACAAACACAATAGCCATCGGTTCGGCTTGTCCATGACTCCTGTGCTTGTGCTTAAACTAGCATACTCCATAGGCAAGTGTTCGAGCCTACAATACACATGGAGACTTGCTCCACTTTAAAGTGCTACTGAACCTTGTGTCTGGAGGGAAAAATTAGAGCACTATGAACATATATATATATGTGTGTATTCACTACACGAGCAGCAAGAGATATAAACATGTATATTTATCGCGTGTTTGCGTGTTGTAGTTTCTGAATATACTGTGTCTGGGGGGGGGGGGGGGGTTTTATTGTAATGTTCAGGATTAAGACTGTGTGATATAGTGGCAAAGCTATCGAAGGCGCAGCCGTTAGTTGTCGCAGACCGTAATTGTTTATTTTTTTAAGACCTTTATGTCCTATTCTTGCCGAAAGTTAGAGATGAGCCAATATCCTTGCCACGGAGCTTGACTCCGAGCGCGCGCTCTAGCTTCCCGAGAATCTGTTGGTTCGGTATTGCGCGGCTAGCTTCATAATCATTAATCTATTTTTTTTTTTTTTTTTAAAAAAAAAAAAAAAAGCATACAGAGAAAATATTAGTATAGCATGACTTTAATGTTCCTCAGGGAGGTACAGGTAAACATAAAGAGATCCACCTACAACTGTCTGCTTCTCATTCACTTTGACACCCAACTCTTTCTGGCTCAACCCCAATTCGTTACGGGCCTTGGCGATGGCGATCCCAACATTTAGAGGGACCGATTTGGGCGCAATGATATCTTCCGTTTCTGCGACCTTGGCAACCCTCCGAGAATCCTCGCCAACGTGACCTGCATTCGATACAGTCCTACGTTCTGTAGCGACCACTCCACCGCTGCGGCGGGCTTCGTTAATCTCGGCGGTTGTTCGCGTCACTTTGGCATATTCAGGGCGCTTGCGAAGAACGATTTCATCATCCCATCCAATGTTTCCAGACATATTTGTTGGAATGGTAGTAAAGATAGTAGAATATAAAAGTGCAGGTAATATAGTGGTTTTGCTGATCTAATATGCTTAAAATAAGTATGGAATGGGGAGAGAGGAGAGACAGATGAGGGATTGGTTTTATTAATGAAGCTTAATCTTCTCTCGACATCCAATTTATACGCTCCAATGCTTCGTAATTTTAAGTTTAGCTGCGGATATGGACGGACTTTATTGACTCCACTGGTCCAATGCGACTGGAATTTTTACTTTTTAAGGAAGGAAGGCTTAGACCATACTCGTATATCATCACTGCCAAAGTTTCGATATTCATCCGGGACATGACGGTTGTAGCTATTGTTAAGCTCTAGACAACTATTGTTTTATTTTAATGTACACTTTTACAGATACAAAACAGCAAAATTATATGTGGTAATGTTTATAATGATAGTGGCGCTTGATTACATGCACATCACAACGCGGATAAAGAAAAGCTAAACTGCAGTACCAGATCAGTCTGAAAAATCCTCAATTGGATCATCCTCATGCTCCATCTCATACATACTTGTATTAGCTTGCTGCTGTTGTTGCTGTTTGCGTTCCTGTAGCCTGGATCTTGTGCTTGAGTTAATGATTGTGTGTTCAGGCGAGTCAGAACATCCGACGTTGTCTCCTCCTACCTCGCCACTCATACCCGGGCTCACTAATTCCTCCACAAACCCCTCATCTCCTTCACCGAATTCTTTTCGGATCATACCTACTCCCTTGCCGTAGTTTGCTGAAGATGCTCGAATAAAGTTCTTAGAGCTTGGTCGAAGTGATTTACTGAAAATCGGCATATACGGGTTTGCAATAATGCATTTGTGGAGCATTGGAACGAGTTCCTCACGAACGACACGCTTGGGAAAGAAGCCTTTTATATATGTCAAATTAGCTGTATATGTGTAAGTTCTTATAGTCCTAGTACCAACGCTCATGACTTGCTTCCATGATCGAAATCACAACGTACCTGACCCAGTAACATATCCTGACGGTAATCCTTGTATTTCATCTCCCACCAGATCAGCAGTGACTTCCGAATACTGCTGATCATTCGCCCGCATAGCTCGATTAACAGCAAATAGCTCTGGCCACCAATGTTTTTTTTGTCCTCCTCTAACGTTACCTCCATACGTTGGGCCTGCCAATGTTGGAGCATACAACAACCCACGAACTGCCAGTGATGTCATGTAAGGCTGCATTTGGATAATTTGAGTAAAATTGGCACTGCTAGCGGAAGAGTTTGAGAACTGGTCTGCAATACACAGATATTCGATTGCAGTGAGGCATTCATCAATTGTGGTCATATGTCTTGTGTAATTCTGATGCAGCATTAAGGTGAATAAATCAGGCTCAACAGGCAGTTTCTCAATTAACTCCTATAAACCCATGGTAAGCGTGAAGATTGAATCAGTCAAAAGACACAGATATCGTAAAGATGAAGACACCTGAAGCATTTTCCAATGCGTAGACTATCAGTCATTCACATATACACGATGAGTCATTACCTTCTCGGGATCGAAACGCAAAGGAGGTCGTCCCTTGGTCCAACTCTGTACAGGAACCTTGACTATATCACTATCAAACGTTACATTAGGCTTTGACCAGTCACCTGTTGAAGCCGATAATAAGTCTCTTACTTTGTTAGCCATAGGCTTTCTATGAAAAACTCAATAAAAAAACATGACAATGACGGCAAACATAATGAATTTACGCTTATTGTAAAGCACTTTGGCAACAGCGTGGAACACTCCTAAAGACGAATCTTGTCCCACAATCACCCTAACCAAAAAAAAAAAAAAAAAAAAAAATGGATGTGAGTGTTAGATGAAAATTCTCTTCAATCTTCTTTGACTATTATCAACTCGTACTGCCATCCATTACTTATTCTCTGAATTATGGACCATCAGCCTATCAGAGGCATTTAGTTCCTCTTCTGCTTCCACCGCTAAGTTCCTATAACATCTCCGTTTCTTAGTCGGGAGATAGCACAGAAATTGGAGCGCGTTGATGACTGCCCGAATGTCCCCATCATGAATTTCGATCAGTTGGTCCACTTCGGCTGTATCTGGTGCATGTGAATGCGAGGATTTGAACTCAAGCTCAATCAATCTCCGGATCGCCTTTTTCATGATAGTTGGCGCTATAGGGTTAAACCTTGGGTGCATAAACGTGCCAACGCAAAAAATTAGTATCAAAGCCTCTAATCCTGTATTTAATAGAGTAAAAAAAAAAAAAAAAAAAAAAAAGCTTAGATATCCTTATTACTTAATCTGCTTGATTCTCGAATTATTCCTGCTCCCTGAATCAATTCGATCTAAGACAGAAGGTGGTAACAGTGTCCTGATCGTCAGCGCCGAATCTCTGTTTTCACTCGTATTAGAAAATAGCATCTCCGTGTTCTGTTTTGCATAGACGTCGCTCACGATGATGACCAAAACAGATGTAGATTTGCTCCGCAAGTTGCTGAAGTTTTTGATGGTATCCTGAAATATCTTCCGTGATGAAGATGCAGATATAGGCGGTAAATCCTCAATCAAGATCAGATTTTTATTAGTGCTGTCACTGTTAGGCGTTGACGGGAATATGGGTTCCTGACAATGAAGAGAAGCAGCAAGTGTTGTTTGTAGGGGCCTAAAGCGGTGCGCTCTTGCAAAAAATTCCTGAAATGCTCTCATCACTGGAATATACTCTATAGAGGAATTGCCGATAAATACAGAGTTAGTTAGCCCTAATAGCCCGTTTTTCGTTGCTGTGAGGTCGCTAGTACCATCAAATTACCCTCATCGACTGAAGATGGTCCCCAGTTGTCTTGCCCTGGCATTTTAGGTCGTTGAATTACATTATTCTCATTCACAGTGTTGATCCATTCTACAATGTTTAGCCCCATTTCTTTTGCTAGTATCCGGAGTACAGTCGTTTTTCCTGACCCTGCAGGTCCGCTCAACACGAGTATAGCTCCGCCTGAAAAATCTCGTTGTGGGTTCCTTGGATCCTGCCAAGCATTGAAACAATAGAATTAACGTTTCAGCATCAACGAAATCGGCTTTTTTTTTTTTTTTTTTTTTTTTTTTTTTTTTAAAAAAAAATAAAAAATAAAAAATAAAAAATAAGAATAAACCTACAGTATAAATTTGAAGCCATTCTCGGACGTTTGCAATCTTCCCAGGATGGACTGCAACCTCTTCGATGTTTGTAGGCGCGTACTTTTCTACCCACTGATCATCCTGTTGAAACTCATCTACATTTAGAATATGCCATTAATCAAATTAAACTGTCTTTTAGACCTCTGCAAATGTCAAGAAATAAAAGAAAAAAATCGATCAGATTAAACCTCCGAGTTTATTTGGCTCTTGTACCTTTAGCCTTTGGGCTTGCTTTACTGCGGCCAGAACTAGAGTGCGATCCCGAGGGCGGAGAGGATGTAGGATTCGTTACTAATGGAAGGAATTTCACATTTCCAGCCCGTCTCTTTGGGCCAGTGACAGAAGAGGCCATTGTATGCGGAGATGTCGTGCTTGATGAGGAACTCGACTTCCGACTAGCTGCATTTGGTCTTGAGGTAGAGATACTATTATTATTTTGTCCCCTCCCCCTCCCTGTTGCAGAGGCTCTCTTTGGCAGTGATATCTCAGTTGTTGAACGTGAAGCTGGCGTTTTCCCGAGATTCCGTTGTATTCTTTTTGATCGCTTCCGCGTTTGAAGTGGCCCTTCAAAATCATCTGAGCCTTGAGTTTCATCATGGCTCTCTTGATCACTTTTATTTACTTCGGTTTCAGAAACAGTGTCCTCAGGATCGCTGATCTGGTCTGAGAAATCGTCCGAGCCGTCATCTAGATATGCCTGTGCCTCTTTATACATTGATGCTGTGGAAGCAACTGCACGCGTTTTGGCATCCCGAGAAGGGGCCTTCCGCGTCAGCACAGGCACAGACGATTTGTTCTGGTTAAAAAAAAAAAAAAAAAAAAAAAAAAAGCATTAGGACCCCATATTAGGTTGTCAACAAGGTTCTGTTTGTTAACCATAAGATCGTTCACCCTTGTGCGCTTGGGAGGCATAAGATGTCGAGCAATCCGTCTCTCTTTAATCAATAGAATGAGAGACGTGCTCTGTTGATCAGAATGTGCAATAGTAGAAAGAAAGACGAAATGGGTTTGGAGAAATGAGAAGCAGAGTTAGTTGTTACTCTATACTTGAGCATCGCCCTCCGAAGCCACTTGACCTTATACCACTACGCTGGCCCCTTTGCTCCTTTTCTCTACATGCCATTCTTGGCTAGAATCCCATGGAGACACTCATCAAGGGCATTCTTGCCCAACCGACAATCCCACCTCAGGTCAAAAACGCTGCTATTATAAAACTTCTGTCAGGCACAGCTTCACTTTCGGAGGCTGACGCCTCGATATTACTTGATTTCGCGATGGAGTTAAGGACAACAGTATGTGCACAAGAGCCAACCTCTGCACAGACATTTCTGACCTCCTACAGTTATATGCCAAAGATATCCAAATATTACTCACACTATCCTCACTGCTATTAGTCTCGCAACCTCCTTGGGATTCAAACAGGAGATCGGGTCCTCACTGCTGTCAGTGTCACGCACCGTGATCTCTTCTGGGCTCGGTTCAGTGCAGACTGGCTGGAAAGCCTGACTTCAGGAACAGTAACTGTAATTAGACCTTCGGCAAACACATTCGATATTCTGGAGCCCCTTGTATTGTATGCGACCAAAAAGATACAGAATATATCATTAACGCAATGCCTCCATACTTTATATACACGGATGATATATCTGAGTAGAGTCAGGATTATCTCAGAGATGTCTCGTTCATAACATCCATCATGAAGCGGAAATTGGGTTAGTCTTGTTGGCTAGAGTTACGCTTATACTAGATATCCGCGCTACAAGGATTCAAAATACGAGAGAGAGCATATCATGAACTGACAGTTTCAGTTAACAAAATGTCTCTTCTTAGCCACGACCTTGAATGAAGACGATAAACTGGATCTAGAAAAAGAGATGGCTATATTACGGAGCTTTGCTGAAAAGAAATGTATTGATGCTACACCACGACTTGACTATCCTGTCCAGGTATACATTTTCGGTCCTACATCCTTCAGCGAACATGAAGTGATCATAAATGTACATGCTAATGCATTCAAGGTTGTTAGTCTGCATTTATTGCCATGTTTGTAGCCCTGCCCTCTACGCGACCATTGACGACAAGCAAATACATTGAGGTAGTTCACTAAAAAGATATAGTATCATTAGCAACATCATAATGAAAGAATTGAAGGAAAGAAATCCTCCATAAAGAGCATTTACAGATCTAATCGTCTTAATTTGAGTAGTTTTTAGTTGATTTTCTGGCTGCCATACCTATACCTACCACTCCCGATTCAGCCTCACAGCCGTCGGCATCCAAGAGCGCAATATCGTTACTACAGCAATGCTGGGACAATGGGTAAATGCTGAAATAATTGACAGTAAAAAAGAAAGACACCCTTCAAAGAGGCTATACATTAGATTGCTTAGCTTTTTTTTGTTTTTACTTGATCATCTATAACAACCCTGTGATAGACCAGACAATGTATTTGTGACCATGCCCCAGCTATTCCTGAATCTCTCTGATAATGAGAAAGAGTGTTCTATTGGGATCGGTTACTTACTGCAAGCTATCCCCGAGGCCTATACTTCTGGTAAAATATAGACTTTCAAAAAATAGCAGAATTTCTGTCGAGCGAGCTTAACTGTGTACAAACCTGATACTTTTTATATCCTATGAACAAATGCCGGTACGGTATTAGTGGTCGACCCATTCATCCAGGGATTAGACTCATCTGCCTTGTGGCGTCTCAGATTCACTGTGCAGAGGCTAATTAACTGGCTAGTAACCATTGACCTACCTGGAATAGGTAAAACAGTATAAAAGAAAAGTAAGATCCGACTTACTTCTAGCACAATTAAAACTAGTGCTACGTATTATTTTTCACTTCAATGTATTAGCGATCTGGATTGTAGCTATCATGGAGAGCCTTGCTTCTCGTGGAGAATTCATGCTACTACGAGAGCTTGCGGACGAGAATGCGTATAAGAGTAAGCAGCAAATTATCAAATATGTCTAAGCACTATTTCTTTCGAGCTTCGTAAATCTCACATTCTCTCCGATTTCCTATTTTCTATGATAGTCGCCAGGCAACTCGCATTTAAAGCGCGGAGGAAGGATGCATTGCTAGTTTTGAGGTTCATGTTACTTGGCTATCATCATTCGCCTGTCCTATTCAATAATATTGTCCAAGGCCTCCTTCCGCTTGTTGCTAAGTGCCGGAAGACCTCAGTATGCTCAACTATTTCTAGTAGAGACCGTCTATCTGCATCAAGCCCAAAGGAGACATATTCCCAGCACTTTTTTTTTAACTCTTTTTTTCTTTCTCATCTCTTTTGTGATAGGAAGATATTACATTTGCAGGCGAAATTAACAATTTAGCTCAGATACTTTTGATTCATTTTGGGGACACAGACGCCGTTAGCACAAAAGTACAAAAAGCACGGGCATTCCTGGACCTGGTAAGACTGATACACTATATTGATATTAAGCCTCGGGATTGCTCTAAGGATTTAGAGTCAGGCTAGGAAAATGACACCAATATGCTTTTAGCCTGTTGTTTCTAGAGCAGAAGCGCTGCAGACAATGCAAGAAAACTCTTGGAAGAAGAGTCTTCATATACAAAGTGAGTACGCAAGTATTAGCTATATTTATTTATTTTGTAAAGTATATATATCAGTACTAAAGCCATTATTTATTTCTACAAATTCATGTGGATTAGACACCTCTGCAGGCTTCCGCCGCAGGCCAGCGTTTGCACAGCCTCTCGGGAAAGTTGGGTTAGTCAACCTGGGCAACTCTTGTTTTATGAACAGTGCACTTCGTGCTCTGTTTTGTTCAACAGAATTTAAGCAATCGATCTTATCTGACACATTAAAGTAAGATACTTTATTTCTGACTACACAACCTTGCTATTCAAAAACAATAGGCTGATTTTTTTTCTTTTTTTGACCACTTTTGCATTCACTGCCCTTCTCTTACCTTTACCCTCATGCTCCCAATCAAGAGTCGAACCTTCCAAGGTTATGACAACAAGGTTACGTGAGACTTTCAATAACCTTTCGACGCCACGTCTTTCCGTCGTCACTCCATCGGCTCTTTATAAAGCACTTCCTAACTGGCTAAACGATGGTCACCAACAAGATGCTGCTGAATTTATAAAGTAAAAAAAAAAATGTATTTTTATTTCTGGATTGGCTAAAAAAAAAAAAAAAAAAAAAAAAAGCTAAACCTGAGGCTTCTTTCCTGTTATGGTACCCTTGGTTTATGGAATAGAATTCTGTTTAGCCAACTGGAAGGTGAAGGTCCGATCCCAAAAGAGGCACTATCGTCTTTCCAAGGGACGGCTGTCAATCAGATTGCATGCGGCACGTGTGGAACAGTGTCCTCTAACAAAGAGGAGTTTTACGACTTGACAGTGCCACTTCCACGAGCAGGTGAGGGGAAAAGCCCAATATACAATCCCATATATCCCTTCGTTGGTAACAAAGTAATTGACATTGTCTATGATGCATTTATAAGATATTGCTGAACTGCAAGCTCTCGTCGATATCTTCCCTACTATCGAAAAGCTGAATGACGAGAATAACAACAAGTACTTTTGCGACAAGTGTAAATCGCTTCAAGATGCGACAAGGGTATGCTACCCAATCCTTTATTAGGTGACAAGTGATAAAACCTAGAAAGAGCACATTGATGTTAATTATATTCTTTACCCATAGTCTACGATTCTGGAATCAGTACCAACAAATCTGATCATTTCCTTAAATCGCTTTGAATTTGATGTTGTGCGAGCACAGCGGATCAAAATCAATACGCCTGTATGGTATCATCAAACAAAAAGGATCCAGTTTTCCATTTTTCTATAGAAAAAATTGAAAACTGATGTGTGCTTTTTTGCTTTTCCATACATAGCTCCATTTGTCTGAAAATATTAATATCAAGGTCCGAGATGGACAAGAGGCCCAAAGTTACAGTTTGTATGCAGTCGTCATTCATACAGGAGACTCTGCTAACCATGGACACTACTATACATATGCCAGGGATAGCGCTGCTGTAGATGTCGTTACTGCTAAAGATCAAGATGCCGCAACATGGCTTATCTACAACGACACTCGTATTACAATTTCGAGCTTTGAGGCTATGCAGCAGTCTTTGGAAAGAAGCCGCGCAGATACCCCATACATGCTTTTTTTCAGAAAAATTTGTCATATCTCACCTAAAAATGAGGTGACACAAGTGATACGTGTAAAAAGATCCGCTTCCAATCTTTAGATGTAATTACAATAACAATCGCAATAATAACAATAAAAGCAAAAGTAGCATAAAAAATAAAAGGCTTATCATGACGCACGTTCATCGAATATCTGAAGCCGTTTTGGCAGCTGGGATGACTGCCGAATGGTTTTCTGACTTAAGACACGGTTTAGCTCCCACATCATAGCCGTCGCTGCTGCAGCCACGTTCATGGATTCAACTGCTGGGTTCATTGGAATCGATACGCGAATAGCCTTCTCCAGCAGCCTAGATTTTGCTCCTTGATCATCTTGGTGTTGACTCTCATTACTGCTCGTATAAAACTTTGCTATAGCCTTGACGCCATGATGTTCTGAACTCATTATTAATGCAATCTTCTCTGGAAGATGAGTTTTGGATAAGGACTTTGGCCAGTTCCACCAAACAAGCTCATAAGGATTCAGACAACTGACAGAATGATCTGTATTATCTGCTGTTGCTAACCCATGAGCTTCCTTTAAGTTCAATATCCACTTTGGCATCATATCGGCGACTAAAAGCGTCAAATCAGGGTTAGCCTCCAGGAATATTTCTAATTCACGCCAGCTGCCAGTCTTAGTAGGCCAATCTAGACAAAGTGCACGTGAAGCTCGGACAACCTTGTTGTTGTATTGATCCACGGTACCGGGGGTATGCCAGGCCGCATCCCACGAAAGAGCTTTTGCTGAACGAATGATTAGACCCATGTTTCCAGGGTCAGAGATTTGGTCCAGTACAAGCAGTCTTCTAATATCACTGACTTTCCTCCTTTCAGTTGCCTTCACTTGTGCCCTTTCCTTGACTTTCATCCCCTTCTTTGATACATTTAAAAAAAAATGGTCATGGTTGGGTATAGCAACCTCAGCCCAGACTTCATGTGCAGATGTAACGGAATCTGTACCTAAAATTCGAGTAGTCAGCTTTGGGGGTACGGCTACAAATTGGTCCGCCTCATAATATCGTCTAGGTACATGGAGAAACTGTTTGCCTTTATGCTCTTCCTGCAATGCTTTCCGTTTCATTTCATCTTTTTCGCCTTGGCCGTCCTCTACATCTAATTGTGGCTGATAATGTTGCCTCTGCTGTTCTTGCTCCTGCTGTCGAACCTTCGTGATCACATCCAAAGCTGGTGATCGGATTGGAAGCTTATGTTCATCAAACGTAACCCCAATCGTTCGGATACGATGATGGCCCTTGGACACTAGCTCATCTAAGGTCTTGATCCCCTGTATTACAACGTGCCCTTCCTCTTGTCGTGCAGCCTTGGATGTTCGAATACGCTCTAGTCTCTTAACAAGATGGTTATTGGAAGCGGTGATCCTTAGAAATCGAGAAGGAAGAGTACTCATTAGGAATTAAGAGTTTAAAAATGCCATTTGGAGTAAAAGTGATCACTCTTTTTGCTGATACCTTTTTCCTGGGAGGTCACTAAGCCACAAAAGCAACAAGCTACATTAGTTGAGTAAAAGGTGTTCTACTGACGGGCTTACCAAAGCCTTTTAAGCAAGATGACATTGTTATCTAGCCAATCTGCCCATGGTAGGGAACATAGCCTTTCAGATTACCTTCAAAAGGGCTTTTAAGATCGGTTGTTTGAATATATACAATAATTTAGGAACAAGCTAATCGCACAGCCCCGTGCGCACCTTAACACATTGGCACCCGTGCAAATAATTTTTTTATTTGCAAATGATATATGGTACCTGGGCTGCCAATTAGATTAATCCAAAAGGATGAAGTTAACTTATTTGCACTACCCGTACATACCTTATTTACACCCCCGTGCAAATAAAAAAAAATATTTGCACGGGGGTCTTTTTTTTATTTGCACTAGGTCTTTATTTCATCTACAAGCGGCAACGTGTATCCCACAGACTACATGATTCTAGCTTTTTATTTCGAAAGAAATAATCGAAGGTGAGTCTAGAGTAGAGAGGAGTCTGGAGTTATTACTATTGGAAGTTGCGATACTCATCGCGCTCTGCTGCATATTTCACAGTATGCAATATTATGATGGCCTAGTTAGAAAAATATTGGGAAAAATACTGAGTAAAAAACCAATAGAAATTAGTGGCAATAACGCGCCACACATAGACGCGATAAATCTTTGATATGAAGTTTTTAGAACGAACCAATGTCATCTTATAGATAGATACGTAGTTACCTGGTATAAGTTCCTCTACCAGAAAATGAATAAATACCCCATGGGTGTGGTGTGTGGACCCATATCTTATTCTCACTTACTTTTCTACTGCTTACCATCTACAAAACATTTTTCACGCTCTATTTCGCTCTACAGTCACCCAAAAGAAAGTTTAGTCAAAGTGGTTATTATTTTTTTATTTTGAATCTCTGACAAACAGCTCAAGATGGAAATTTTCGCTTTTATTAATGAGGCCAATGTGGATAATCACTGAAGTTCTTGGGCAGTACATGCTAAGGGAAAATGACAAGAAATAGGATTGAGGGCAGTGATTCTCTTTTTTTTTTTTGACCAAACTTTCTTTCAGGTGATTGTACAATATGAAGCTAGTCCCTAGACGCAGTGAGCATCTACATGTGCTGCTGAGTATGCGACACTGCGTGCTAAAGACGACCCAAGGCAAGTTCTGGCTATTTTATTGGTGAAAAATTAACCCTAATTGAACATGATAACGAACTTGGAATGTAATGAGACAAAAATAAGGATCTTTATCAACGTAACAGAAAAGAATATTTATGTCTCTTTTCTATCACTATTAGTCACGGTTATGCTATTAAAGTATTTTAGCCACTAAGATATAGAGATATAGGTGATTGTGCACGTTCGGCTTTGAGTGCGAACTGTCACCAACTATCAAAAGACAAGTAATATCGGGTAAGAAGATAGATATTCCACAAAATAAGCTGAGGTCTACCCATTGTATTTTGATGAATTTGATAAACAGAAAGGGAAAAGAAAGAGAGTAGGTAGTAACACGGCACGCTATACATCGTAGAAATGAGTATGATTGTATGATTGTTTGTACATCTACCGACACAAACTACACGTTAGAGATTCCTAATAACTGAATTCATCGTTGTGTGCTTAATAGTGTACGGAAATACCTAAGATGTATGCACGCGTTAAATGAAAGAAAGCATCGGGGAACCATAACAATGCAACCAACAAAAGTGCAAAGTAAAGCTGCATAGTATATTTCAACTATAGATAAATCATTTGTAATTCTGTATTTAGTCCCAGTCGCATAAAGAATGCCAACATCTACTCTGAGCTACATACGAACTTGATAAGATATTCTGGTCAGTATTTGATGCTTAGGCAGCGGCTCTAGATCTAAGCCTGTGTCATGGAAGGCTTCCTGGTTATGGTGTTTAGGGCTAAAATAAAGACCCCGTACAAATAAAATAAAAGACCCCCCGTGCAAATAACTTTTTTTTATTTGCACGGGGGAGCGGTGTAAATAAGGTGTGTAGAGTAACGAGTTCTATTCCTGTACGTTATGATCTGCAGAGTCGGATACCAAAATACGTACGGAAGAAAAAGTAACAGATAAGCAAAAGTAATCTCTTTGGCCGGGAATTGAACCCGGGTCTTCCGCGTGACAGGCGGAGATACTGACCACTATACTACCAAAGAATCGAACTGAAAGGTGTGAAAAAATCACTGTCTTAAGAAGCGGGGGGTTATACTGAGATGCCCTTAAAAACCGCAACGAGACGCAAATACATAGAACACACTGAAGTGTTGTACCAAGATAAAGGTCGTGCCCAATGGCTGAGTAGTATACTCGTCAGGGCACCCCCCTGTCTAGCCCAGGGGCCGGGTTCGAGTCCTGGTTAAGGCACATAAAGTGAAGCAAACATGTGCCAGGTCAGGGATTTGCTTGAGTTTTTATACTTTCTCTCCGAGACAGCCTAGTGTTCTCCGCTAAGGCTAAGATCGTGGGTGCACTACCCTAAGTCGCCTGGCTGGCCACATGTCTTAGGTATATATTCCACCCCCCAGCCGAACCAGCGGTACATCTGGCAGCACATCCCCCCATCCACCCACTTGACTAGGACAGCGATGATCACAAAGTTTGACGGAGTCCAAAGTAGAAATTTTCAGACCAATCCCGCAAGATTTGGGTCCACATGCCAGTGGATTTGATCGAATAGAAAAAATTAAAAGTCGTCCTTAGCTAGAGTCGGCACGCCAGCCTCCGCAGCTTTTCACGGGCGCAACAGGCCACATCGGAAGGATGGACTTCGAGTACCGATCACGGTGTACATTGGTAGAGAAAAACATGGATACGAATTGGCTCTTCACAGCCATCCCGTGCGAACTTTGAGAGTTTCGCTTGTTTCATAGTTGAGGGCGATATCATTACTTTAGAGCGAGATTATGAAATAAAATTCCTCACCTCTGTGGGTTCTTGTTAACAGGAAAAAAAAAAAAAAAAAAAAAAATGTACCAAGATAAAGGTCTTTATTAGTTTATGATACATATAAACATATAATACTATACAAGTAACTATCGTGGGTCCTTGTTATCAAAAAAAAATACTATACAAGTAACTATCGTGGGTCCTTGTTATCAAAAAAAAATACTATACAAGTAACTAGTGCTGAGATGAATGAGGTTGCATACCTGAAGTGTTGTACCAAGATAAAGGTAGGGAACACTTCAGGGACGGAGAGTCCACTATTTATTATAGCGGGGAGGATCGGGTGGCTGAGCTCACGTCCAGGCAGGACGGGGTGACCACTATAGGTATACCTCTGGTCCTACCTACCATGACGTCACTTGTTATAGGACGTGAGCTTAAGTTGCCTCGATTTAGGACAGGTGTCGTAGAGCATCTACTAGTGATCTCTGGAAACTAGTAGGTAATGATGAAAAATGAAGAATTGGGCAAGAGCCTCGTGGTTTTGGGATACGATAGTGATCCTAAGTAATGCTTTGAATGATTTTGAGGATGCTGCAAAAGGGCATCGATAATAAGAAGAGAGATCTTTAATAACTGCTAATTTTCTGAGAATTCATAATGAGAATAATGAAGATAAACTCACCTGCAAAAGGGCATCGATAATAAGAAGAGAGATGCCGTTTTTGCAGCGAAGGAAAAAGCTACTTAAATACTATTTAAAAATGGTAGAAAATAGGATGATAGGAAATAAATAAATTGAAAGGAAATACATATTTAGGTAAATGAATAGGCGTCATTTACGACACTTTCAACAAGTTGTCTTTGGTAGTATAGTGGTCAGTATCTCCGCCTGTCACGCGGAAGACCCGGGTTCAATTCCCGGCCAAAGAGAAATTTTGCTTACCAAGGCATCCTTCTTGTTTGTCCTTGAAGCTTCGCCCAATTGTTCTCTAGAGCGTTCTTTTTTTTTTTTTTTTTTTTTTTTTTCAAAGATTCATTAAAAAAATGTGTTCCAAAATATGTCTTTGTGCTAAATATGTATCGGACACATTTCCTTGTAAGTACTTTTTCTTTTTGTTTTTTGCGAGGAACAATGATAAAGTGAGCTGATCTTTATTGTAAACAAAGTAGAAATGCAAGTTGGAGGGAGTGTGACGGCAACATCAGGCAAACCAAATAGAACAATGGACATTACTCCATTCATTAGGGTCATTTCTGGTGAAGTGCTCAGGAGATGGTGGCTTGAATACCAACATATATATATTATTTTTTTTTCCTTCGATGCTACTTTGCACTTCCACACTGAAACTAGACAGAAAACAACTAATAGCCGTGGGATTTACAAGGATAGCTCCTTCCTCAGGATACGCATGACTCCATCACTACACGCACGTGGTCGAAGTAGACAGAGCGGTGCAGGGAGAAGGGTGAACGATGGTATAATAAGGATATTCAACAAAAACATATGCGCTATTAGATCATCTGGAGTGACAGCAAAGAGTGAAGAAATTGTTTCTAGTACAGTAGCACTAAAAGAGGATTCCGCTTTGGGTGACTTTTACCTAGTGGGTTTGAATCGAGATGCATCACTCATCATCCCGTCCATAGTTCCCACACAAGAAGCGCTCTTGAATTTGAGCCAGTATCATAGCAGCAGCCGAGATGATAACATGAACTTGGAGAGCGAGATCTACGGCCGAGGCAACCCTCTTGCAGCAACCATTTCTGAAGAAGTAAGTTTCATCATGCCTATGCCCTCAACGCAATCATCAACTCCATCGTCCTTTGGGCATCAAGAGCACGCAAAAGAGCATTCCCGAACTCCATGTTTCCGTTATTCTCCAGAAAAAACGAGCGAAGTGTCAGCGGAAGCAACATCAGCAGTAGTAGAAGCAGCCAGTAAAAGAGAATACGACGATGAAAATGAAGATTCTGATCCAATTATGGACTTTGAAGACACTGATGAAGAACAAAATCAAGTGCAGGGAAATAAATCCGCTAAAACAGGAGATGTTCATATGGATTCAGCATTTGCCTCGTCCTCAAAATCCACTCCACCCAAATTTCGCCAGCAAAACCAAAGCTCACCCAGTTATGGTACTTTTCAGCCCTTTGGTTTGAATTCACCGCAGCCTCCGAGTCGTAGGTTCATTTTGCCTACAACCACCACACTTGGCGCAGGAGATCCACTAGGAGGGGTTCCTTACTCGCCCAATAAGCGGCTTCGACCTGTGAGTGAGCTTCCTCGACCTGTTGTACCCTTACAACCATTAGTACAAAAATCGGCGAGTCGTAAGGGTACTTCACCACGGAAACAGAGGGTTGCTCAGGTAACTTCACCTAAGAAATCGCCATCGTCTGAAACAATAGAGGGCCTATCAGTGCCTGGGAAGTATACGAAAGGCCTGCGACCACCCCCACCACTAGGTCCTAAGTTGCTGCGGATCGCAAATGAAGGAAAGAGGAGACAGAAGCAGGGGCTTCAGCAAGGAGATGATGAAGAGATGGAAAAAGAGAGGCCCATTCGCAGATCAATACAGCAGAAGCCAGGTGATTTATATCCAAACCCGGCTTTAAATATTAGTAATACAATGTCGATATCGCTTCTTTATGACGAACCTTCACCGTCACCTTATGTCAGCTCTCCGGAACCAGAGGTAACAACACCAACAAGGTCAAAGCCCAATACCGCATCCTCGCTATCAACAATTGTACAGGATGAGTTGAAGAAACAGAGGCTACTAGCAGAAGTGGCAGCAATACGCAAACCATCAATACCGCTATCAATATCAGAAGGATCCTCAGGCCTGGAGCCGGCTTCCGCACCTATCTTTGAAGCGCTGGCCCATACCATAAAGAAAGAGCCGCTTACACCTGCGCTATTATCTACAATACCCACTCTCCAGCAGGGTTCGAAGGCAGCACCGCACCAACCCCCCCAGTCTCCTCAGGAGCCACATGGGTCCGAGAGGATTGTATCCTATCCTTTATTGACCCCTCCACCGCCAAAACTACAGCAGATTAAAAAACCGCTTCCAAATATAATCCCTCTTCCAGACATTGTACTACAATTTGCACCCAAACTCACACCAATCGAGGATATCAGATGGCCTCCTGAAAAGCCTGGCCGATTTCACATCCTGGCATTGGTTCTATTCATTGGCCCTGAGAACCAAGTTGTGATAAAGGAGAAACAAAAGGTGGTTGCTAAATGTGAGATTACAGTTTGCGGCCTTAGTGCGATGCCTTTCAAACTCAATCTGTGGTCGAGTTGTTGTGAATGGGTGCAGGGACAGATGTTTAAAGTAGGAGACGTTGTTCTAGTCACAGGTGTGTGAGGGCATATTGGATATTTACTGAATTATGCCCTTCTGGCTTTAAGAAAAAATGACTTTTGACTTTTGTGTACTTGTCCCATTGCAGCTGATAGCAACCCCTTTGTTCAATTCATGGGAAATTATAATAGATATTCGCGTAAAAGAATTTAAGCAATCAACAGCCAGAGGCTTAACTGAGAAGGTTAGCGGTAATACAAGTTGGTGGTCACGGATGGCGAGGTTGGATGGTTCACTACTACCGTTATATCGCGGCAATTCAACTATCGAATCCAATCTAGCTATTTTTATTCAAAAACGTCGTGCCCTTGCTTTTGATTTATTGGACAAGGAAAAAGGCATCGTTAAGGACAGCTCCATCTATGTCACTTTACCATTGTGGTCATTTACGAGTCAGGCGAATGAGGATCAAAGTCTTAAAGAAAAGGACAGGGTGACTATAAGTTTAAATGGTGATAGCGCTATGGAGACCAGGCGAAGTAAGCACGGCTCCAAAGTAACGGCTTTAGTACCAATTGGGTCTGCCGCAGCCGTAAGTGCGGCACAACCCAACACAAAGTCCGTAGCATCAACTTCGAGGGACGTTCTACCGAAGCATGTCACTGGGGTATCTATACGGGTATCCGTTGCTTACAAATTGTTAATGGTCGCTGGTGATGAGAGTCAAGGATGGGAGATAGGTTCCATAACGCCTAGTGGGCATTTCATCAGAATCCAGTGGTATGACGGATCTAACAGATCAAAGAGTCTTTTTTTTTTGTTGAAAAAAAAAAAAAAAACTAATTTTGTATTGCTATTTGTGATTTGTAGTCATGCAGCCCCTTGGATCAACGATGTGTCACCAGGGCGAGTGTTCCAATTTTTTGGCAAGCTTCGGGAAAAATCTAATGTTTGTAAGTCATGCTTGCTTACAATTGCTGTCTACTCTTCACACGTTGCCCGGTCTTTTAATCGATATCTACTGTACTGAAAAAAAAAAAAAAAAAAAAAAAAAAAAAAAGTACAAATAGATGCTGAATCACGAAAGCCTTACATGCACGAAAATCCTTGGGTTGACTCTGTCAATCGTGTTGCAGCACGACAGTTTAGAACCATTCGTTCGATTCGGGAACACAGGTTTATGGGTAAGGGCAAGGGGGGAAAGAGTGTAAAGTGCACAAAGCAGCGAACTTATTTCATGGACATGACGGTTGGCGTATAACATATACATGTGCTATTTGTTTATTACCCCTGTTGTCTAATTCTTTTTATTTTTATCTTCTAAGGTGACGGAGTTGTTGATTCTTATATCTTGGCAGTTAGTTTCCCTCAACTTGCCTTGAGCAGCACTGATACGGAGCAGCCACAACAGGGCGATGAATTTACCGGATTCATTCAATGCTACTGCGCCGGTTGTTATTCCATTGTGGTGCCATGCCCTCAGAATCCCACCATCCTTTTGTGCCGCGAATGCCATCTAGATCCTCAAAAACGCCAACAGCCGCTGAAGTGGATGTATCCTCCTTTCGAATTGATACTAGGCGATAAGCCTCGGATAGCAGCAAACCTAACGAGTGAAAGTTTACAGATACGATGCCAGTTTGAGATCGGGGATCAAGTCTTTTTATCTGTTCCTGCTCGGCGCTGGATGCAGGATGAAGAAGGGTTCCGGATTGCAAAGGCTAGATGGCAACGCCTTTATAAGCTGATGAATAGTGACCATGATAGTTATTATGGTGATAATGGCGGGGCCAGGAGCATGAGTGGGAGCAAAGAAGGAGAGGCATCAGACGAGGTTGGAGGGGACATCAAGCGCCCTGCACAAAAGGTGCGCGTTGAGTTTAGAATGGGCGTTGGCATGGTGGCTAAAGCTCTGAAAGTCGATTATCTCTGAATAGGAACCAATTACTCGATCATTTTTTCTCATCTTTTCTTTGCCAACATCGCGTAAGATGTAACGTAACCTTCAGATGTCTGTGTTTTTGCCATTGAGTTTTGCTGCCTCACATCATTATGGATTTATCAGTTGGCTCTCTTGGATTCTGTTATAAATATGTAGCCGTGGAGTCTTTCCTTCCATCTTGCCTCCGTTCCCCTTCCCGCGCCCCTCCTAAAAATACAAGTTTTGGTCGTAAAACGTGGTTCCTGTGTAAGGACCGCCGATGCATTACACAAGACCAAGGTTTTCGTGTAACGATAGAAAGCCTCATCTGCCATCTTGGGTTCGTGCTCATGAGGCAGGGCAAACTGCAAAATGAACGATTTCTGCCATTGGCTGTTGCTTGCACAGCCCAAACCACGCATGTCAGCTATTTTTGCGAACATGGTCCTTATTTGCGTGTACATGTACATGAACAGTCGAAGCTGGAAATCCATGGTGAATTTCTTTACCAGATTCGACTATACATAAAGGTCGTCAACACAAACAAACAAACAAAACAACACAAACAACACAAGGCCTTTGAGTTGTATTCTCATTTGTATAAATATTGAGACAAAACCCCCTCCATCCCTCACGCAAACATGTATATATAAATTTACACCTATTCACTTTTTTTCCCTATTAAAGTGCCATATAATCTCTCTAACACAGCTATTGGATATTTCCTTATTTCACGCATCCATCCTTTTATCCAATCTGTTATCTACGACATATTTAATAACTGTGCGATCCCCAGGCGTGAGAAAAATAAAGCCCATAGATATTAATAATGGAGACTCCTATTCACCGATCAAATACCCTGAAGGAGGATGAAGATCAGGGCTATCTAGACAATCTCATCCGAACAGCGCGTCTCCAAAGATGTGCCGCGTCTGATGATAATATGTCGCTTTCTGTTCCTGCTCCTGCATATGAGGTGTCTGTGCATGGGCATTCAAACCATCACATATTAGCCCCTTCTCGTACATCGACACCAACGCCACCAATCCCTAAACGGCCTACATCTGCCTCAATAACAACAATGCTTCCTTTATATGCTGGCTCTCCCAATGAACTTGCACGACGCGCAAGCACTGCAACATTGCTCGAAATCAATGTACTTGACGACAATTACGACCATCATCAGTTGCAACCCAGTGACTATAGCCAAAGTCATAATCATTCTCTTCACCCGTCACCTGCGCAAGGGGCCGCGTCTTCACGAAAGGCACATCAGCGACCTCACAGCATTTATGACTATGGAATGCCTGTCAACTATAGGACAGGTGCCAACGTCGATGATTACGATAGTACTGAATCCGATTTGCAAGGGAACAGTGTTAATGATGTGACTCGTCCTGTAAGTGCACATGTTCCGTGTAATAATTTTCGATGCAGCCTTCAAGGGCATGATCGCCTCAAGAATTCTAACCTTTTGTATCAACAGCAACTTGCACGACATGTACGACAGGAAAAAATGTTAAAGCGATCCTCCCAATTCCGCCTCCCTGTACATCGCCGGAATTCCCCAGACCATTCACTCCCACATGGTTCGCAAGAACAAGGATGGGGGCAGCGTTGGAGGAAGCTGTCGAAAAAACTAAAGAGCAAGAAGATCTCGAGTTTGGGAGTTGTAGAGCCAGATAGTAATGACCGTAGTCAAGGTGTTGATGACCATAAGAACAATGATCTGTCAGAAGACGAAAAGGCCAAACTTAAGGCATTGATACAAAAGAAGAAACTATCACATGATCAGTTGCTTGATGTGAATGTAGATGCTAGCCAACATATGGATCGACCAAGGTAAAAAAAAAAAAAAAAAAAGACAATTGATAGTTAATAGTGGTGATTGATCTAACATTTTTGTTATTTGTTTTATGTAATCTACAGGAGTTGTATGTCATTAGCTTGGGTGACTGTTTTGATCTGTATGTTCATGTTCCTGTACAATGGCGTTCTTAGCGTTCTTGTCTTCCAAGCAAGCCGGTTCCCGAATGGTAAAATTATCAAACGCAAAAGGTGTGAGAAAATCACTTTACAGGCTTAGTTGCTTATTGCTATTGCTATTATTATTACTACTAGTAGATACAAGCGTTCCTATCTTTGCCTTAGGCTTACTTCTCGTATTCACTGCGATACTTCCAATCTTCGGTCTCTGGGCTTGCTGGCTGCTGGTTCGCTCTTATCGTTCTAGCTCTAATTCGCCATCCAGCTCGAGAAGGCCTCAAATGCTGTTCAAGATTTTTCACCTTCTCTATTTCTTTACTGCTTTTGTGATCTTTGGCTGTATGCTGGGTTGGTTGGGTCTGAACAAGATTCAGACGGGATCTTGGGATCGTATGTCCTTAAAGGCATCATCGCTACTAGAGTCTTCTCCTACTGGTTCTCCGTTAATTCTGAAATTCGAGTCGATCCTCCGACCGGACCCTATAGATCCAGATATGTGGATCATCAATCCTATAATTTGGATCGTATCATTTGCAACAATTTGGTTAACGCAGGTTTACTCTTGGTACCGTCTCGTAGCATTTGCCAAGAAGATGCGGCGCGAGACCATTAAATAAATCTTATTGACAGTATAAAAAAGTAGACGGAAATGAAAAAAGAAAGAGAACTATATTTCCGAATTTAGTTTTGAATACATGAAAGCAAGGTGTCATTGTGCACGGATTGTCAATCCCGCACAGACACGCCCCTTTTTCTTCCTTCTCCGCTACCTGTTGCACATGTGCCTGTAAGACGGTAACAGTAGGAAAAAAAAGACTTTCGTATGTTCTTCTAAAGGCTGGATTCGAGCCTAAGGCGTGGATGTGGCAGGCGATCCCGAGTTTTAAAAAGGATACAACTAATTCTCAACTTACATTCTTGTAAGACATGCGAGATCAATCATTGCCATCACTAGCTAAGTTTGATCTTGAATATCCTTTGAGGAAGTCGCGTTCAATGCCCTTTATCACTGACAGGCCTGCCTAAAAAAAGAAACCCTGGCGGTATTAGTAGCGGGAAAGATGCGTGTGTGTCATCCAGTCAAAGAAGAATATTTAAGGTTTCATTTGTTCGTTCCTATAATTTCTCACTCTACTCCTTTTTTTTCTCTCTTCTTTTTCTCCTTTACCTTCTCTTCTTTTTCCCTCTCTTCTCTCTTCTTCCTCCGCTTTCTTCTCTTCTCTCGTTTTTCTTACTCCTCTGCCTCCCTTGCATATATCTCTCTATTCAACGTTTTCTTTACATCGAGTCGGAGTAACAAAATACCTGTAAAAAAAGGGGAATTGCGAGTAAATCCCTGACCTTGTCGATCATGAGCCTTGTGGACTTGAACACACACAGCACATTCGAGGAGCATCAAAATCGCAGTGTTCAACCTACCCTTGACACAACCATGCTTCTCTGCAAGTCTTCCTACCCTACTGATACCAACACCAACATCACCGCAGGCAATGACTCACCTGCGGCAGCAACAACAACAGCAACAACAACAGCAACAACAATAACTATGCCTGCGGTAGCTGTACCCTCTACAAAGTCCCTCCATTTCAATCCCTCGGGACAACCATGCAACTATACGCACATTGCTTCCCAAAAAGATATCCTGAACCCCCTTGCATCCCTATCATCTCTCTCTCATTCTCCCGCAACTAGCCTTCCCCCTGTCTACTCTTTTTACATTGACAACAACAACAACAACAACAACAACAGTATGAACAAGAATATGAGCGAGAGCAACAACAGCGACAATTGGAGTTATGCGAGAGCAAATAGTAACGGAAAGGACGCTAATTGTAATGGAAAGGACACTAAAACATCTCGGACACGGACAGTTTCAATTTGCATTCCACTATCAGTACCAAGAATAACAACAAAAACAGTAAAAACAGAGGGCTCAAAAAGTCACCATCTCCCGCCACTTAATCTCTCTCTTACTCTTGATAAATTAAAAGAATTAAAAGAATTAAGAGGAAGAAGAAGATCAGTTCACGTTAATAGCAAGCTCTCATGGCCAATTTCGGATAGAGATAATAATAAGCATGAAGCTATCTTGTCTTTGCCTCGTAGAAGACGACACTCTTCTTACCATCATCACAACCATTGTCTTCAAGCCGACAGTTACCCTCGAAATCTGGCCCAAGTTCAAGAAGAACAGGAATCCCCTTCAACTGCAGTGGAAGATCCCAGTAAAGAAAGCCTCTCTACTCAATTCTTTTACAACGGCGAGAGCAACAGCAACAATAGTAGCAATAACAATAATATGAACTATCGAGATTCAATCAACTCTATGTCAACTTGTGTCAATTCGCCAACAAGAACATCATTATTGCCTTTGACAGCTGAGTTGTACTCGAAGTGCCAAGGATTAGCATCTCTGAAGGGCACCAGCATTATCAACAAAAACAACACCTGCTTCTTACCGCACGGAGAACAAGAAGGGGATATAGGAGGAGCTGAAGAAGAGACTATGAGTGATTTTGATGAGGATCTGGACCTGTATTTGTACGGAGACCAATATGATGACGATGATGAGCAATCCATTAGTCAAGATGAACAGAGTAACTTCTTCACTTTTTCTGAGACAGCGATGGTTGCGTCAACGGATGAGGATGGTCAGGATCTGGAGTCTATTATGGAGGATGAAATTGAAGTAATGCCTTGGGTTCAAGAAGCCATCCAAACAGTTAGTGCGCTCGAAGCTAGGCTGATTGAACTGGAAGAAGACTGTCAAGTGAGTGCTTTTCCTATCTCTTTCTTCTCGCCATCCTGTGGTTCCCTTTCATCGTTCTTCCTTTCTATACCATTTATATCTAATTTGTTTCCGAATATTTCTGCCCTTGTTTCTTTTGTAATGTTCGTTAGTCAATCCCGCTGTACGAGCAAGATAGGATCCAGATGATCCGTGTCATTCAGGATCTAGATGCAACCGTTCAGAAGGACCGAGCCTGGATTGATAATGCCGAGACCGCTATCCGGTGGACATCATTTGCTCTTGAGGAAGCTCTACTGGCTTCGTCTACTCGTCGACCATCCCATAGCGACAATATGTACAAACAACCCTCTGTTGCTATGTCGCCACATTTCGATCATGACAGCGAGTTGTCACCAGTTCAGGCCTATAGGCAAGCATCAGGAAGGTTCACAGTTGACAATGAGGGCCCACAACTAATACAGCGTCGGTATCAACACACTATGGAGACTGGAAGCCGCAGCCAGCGTCAAGATGCATTAGAGATAGTATACAGGAATGCTATGCTGACAGCATTGAGACACCTGAAAACCGTTGAGAATTCACAGGAGCCTGGTAGAGAAGCAACAGATATGGAAGTGGATCGAAGAGTAGCTCAGGAGCTGGATGCTCCAAATGCAGCGCTACAGGAGTGGTTAGATAATACGAGCTTGGTGAGTCCAATTAGCCAAAGGATCCAGAGGCAGGATGACGAGCCAAATATGGCCCTGTCAAAAGCTGAAGAGAATAGCAGGGATACTCTGAGTAACAATGGCGATGGCGACGATGAAGCACGGTGTCCAACTATTTATTCCGATACTACGAGAGTGGAGGATAAACAGGACTCTAGCCTGACCGTTCCAAACATGCAGCCCGCAACAGAATTTATGACGGGATCAAATCCCTTGAGTCACCCGAAATCTCATCTTGCTTTCACTACCACTGCCACGGACAAGGTACACGATCACTCAATTTCTGTAGCCTCATTCCAAGCGACGCTATCGGGGACCCCTCAACCGCTGGAGGCAGATGTCGCCGGTGGCTTCATGGATGAATGTGTGTTTCTGAAGCAGCATATCCAAGCATTGGACCGTCTTCGCCTTCAGGAACTAACCCGCCACCAAAGAGCAGAGCAAGTTCATCAGCAGTTAATTGCAGACCTGACTCGCTTCTCAAACGAGCTACTTCTGAGTGTGAGCGACCTTACTTGTGCACAGGCAGCGTTAGATGAGGCGAGTGAAATAGCCATGATCACTTTAAAGTCCATGGAAAGCACAAGTGCGTCAGAGCAGCAAGGATCCGGTAATGACTGTTCATTGCCATCAAATGCAAGTAAGAGGAAGCGATTGATTGCAACATCATGCAAGGGACTTTCAGAAAGTATGGGCATGGTTGCACAAGGGATCAAGCGGATGAGGACTCTGGCTGCTGACTGTGTCGGGATCATGGAGCTTGCTCAGGTCCAAAGTGCCACTGCTCAGCCAGCCTCAATAAGCAACAATGAAGAGACCCGGTTGAGCAAGGAAGGAGATGGAGAAGAAGATAAACCAGAGGTGGCTACTGGAGCTGCAACAACAACAGTGCCTCCTACAGATTCTGCCACTGCAACGGAAACAGCAATGCAGGCAGCATTGCCGCCATCGCTATCTCCTCTTGTTATCAGGCCCAACCTATTGAAGACTGAGGCTTCCATATCCTCAATGTCTCCTCAGACAAAAACGCCTCCAACACCGACAGCAATGGCGTTGTCACTCCCGGTAACAGCTATTGAACAAAGACCACCCTCGGTTTTTGTAGACAATGTGGCATTCCAAGAATTCGAGAGTCACTTGGCTCTGTTTCGGGTAAACTCAGAATCTATACCCAAAAGGATAAGCTTTGGGCTTGGCTTCGGTCGCAGGAAGAGCACTCAAAAACCTCTATCATCCCACGACGTAACTGGAAATCCTATTACTAATACTAATCCCAGCGGGATGCAGTCCGTAACAGGAGCTGTCCCGCACCAGCAACAGCAGTTTTCACATAATATGCAAAGCTCACCATTTATGAAGCGCGTCCTTGAGGAAGATATATACCCTTGCTTACTCGTCCATCCTCGCCCAGCAACAATTGCAAAACAAGGCAGTTGGATCAATTCATGGTTACAGTCAGGCACACCGTCCCCTTCTTCTTCTGTACCTGCACATTCCTTGCTTTCGCCGAAGTCTTATGAAACCAACTCACAGACATCCTGGTTCCAACAATTGCTCACAGCTATGGAGCGGAATGAATGTGAAATCGAGTTTTGGAAAAAAAATACTCATCGCCGTACATCCATACAAGAGGTGCCGCCGCAGCAGCAAGATCAAGACCATGACAGCACTACTCCGCCAAATGTCCCGTGCTGCCTATGTGGTATCAAGCGTTCGTGTGAATTCCGACTGCGGATTGTGAATCCTCAAGGAGACTTCAGCGCCGGATCTAGTACAGAACCTCCTCATCTCTCTTGCCCCTCTGTTTCTTCTACTCTCTCGTCTCCTCCATGTTATTCACTGGACCGGTTCTGCCGTGACAGGATTGTAGCCGTCTGCGACTTTTATATGTTCATGACTCATCTTCGACAGGGTTTGCTAGATCATCAATCGAATTTGGAGTTGTTTAGGAGAGTACTTTGTTTACGACAGCGCATGGGATGTGCTCGTATCGGATTCATGGATATTGTACATACCCCCAATGCTGCTCAATTACCACCGATTGTTGTACATTCACGCTAGAGTAATAAATTTTTGGATGAAAGAATATATATATATATATATACATATACACGTATTAATATATTTATACAGTAGTAATTTTATTGTCCCTATACACCAAAAGAGCCCACGAGACTAAGACTATACATCAATAGGGAAAGAGAAATCAATAGTGGTGGCAACATTATCTCTCTCCGTTCTCTCTATATTACAGCAGTTATTCTTGTCTTTGTTTCTTCCACCAAATACATTTAAAGCAAAAAGTTTATTTTATTCCGCAACGTTATTCACAATTGGAATTCAAGGATAGTGCATATTTGGAACTCACAATGCTACAGTGTTGACTTGCTCTCTATATCTTTAAATTCTTAGGATTTTTCATCCTTGATTCTAAATACACATTTGATTACAAAAGAAAAAAAATTCGTCGTTTATTTTTTCATTAATAGCCACAAGCTTGGTAGAACAAACTGTTAAGATTAATTGATAGCTTTTGTTTTCTGAGAAAACTTTATGTTATTGTTTTATAAAGTCTTTTTTTTTTTTTTTTCTTTTATTTTTTTTATTTTTTTTTTATAATATATATATTTTGCTCACTTCAGTTGGTCGGAGACAAGAATTCTTGAGCGTTTTTGATTTTGATTATAAGAGTTTCGATTGTCGACTGAGTTCGAACCAAGTTCTGAGTAGAGTCAGAAAGCTGACGAGCCGTGAAGTGGAGATTGGAATGAGTCTGACTGAGTGCCTGTTGCGTACTCTTGAATGGACCAGTGGCGATATCCGAAAGGGCCCGATGACCTCTGTCTAATGAACTAGCAAGCTCCTCGAGAACCGGGGGTGAAGAGGAAGGAGAAGAAGAAGAGGGGCCCAAAGATTCTAACTGCTGTTGGTCGTAATGATGGCTTTGAGGACTTGATGACATTTTAGGATGGTTGTTGTTCAAAGTGTTTGTGCTTGTGTAATTATTTGTAGTAATAAGACTGTATTTGGTCCGATTGGTTTGTCTGGGAAATTCCTTCCTTCCTTCCTTATTCTAAGCCCTATATAAAAAATTAAATATTAGCAAAGTTAATTCTGATTTTCTTTTTATGGATAATCTCAACAACTTAAGGCATAGCCGCGGCTAGCAGATTATGTGTAGGGGATTGCATGTAGTTCTACAAGAGTGTGTGCAGCACGTAAGAAGGATTGTATACCTTGATCAATGTAAAAGCTAATGGAATAAAAGGGAATGTTGGTAAGTATATACAGTAATAATGTAGCGTGCTCATGTTGCTCAGAATGATTGCTATCTTGCTAATATCATAGGAAACGTGGAAAAGGGAAGATAGGGTGGGGATGGGGCCAACATGCTGGTTCCCAGACCAAATACGATATGAATGATGGATATACAGCCTTTTCTGAACCACATGACATGTCCAATGAAAAGCCATTTGATGGTTTCTCTAATTAAGGATTTCTGCACTGCCCTTGTTTTACTCCGCCACCAAAAGAAAGGAAGAAAAACAAAGGCTTCCCATTTCGAATGTCACTTTTTTGATTCAGAAAGAAGATTTAGTCCTTATTAATACTCACTTTAGTGAGCAGCTGAAAAAGAGTCCAGTAGAAGCAACTGAATATAGTCTTTTTTTTTTTTTTATTTATTTTGTATATATATAATTTATGTTTTCTTTTTTAATTGCTCAACAGTGGAGTATATATAATGATTGTACACAGGAGAGAGTATGGACGCATGGGAGTATGAGTAAAAGATAGCAGCTATTGGACGTAAGCAGATGACAGTGATCTTCAATTGCGTTCTTTTTTTCTTTTTCGGTATGTAATTTCTTTTGTTGGAGGTACAAAATGTAGGATTGTCTGAGCTGCATGAAATACGTGCATAGTCTATGTGTGTGAATAAAAAGAATCTATGATTCGGCGTCATATACATTTAATAAATACAAATGTACAAGCAGGTATTGTGATCAAACGCTCCGAAGGGGAAACAAGGCCTGCAGAGCCATTTCGCATTCAGAGCATTGCAATGAATAGACTAAACTTTAAGAATTCATCAAGGGGTGGGGTAGGTGACACATTGGAAGACTTGTTTTGCATCGCGTCAAAGGATGGAGATAAAGTAATTAAAATAAAAAAGGGGAACCACACAAGCAAAAAAAGAAGCAGAGAACGTTCGATGAGGAAAATTCGAATGGAGCAATTCAAAAAAAAATAAATTCCCCTTTGTCTGTCTATGAGAGTTTCGTAAAAAAAAAGAGACCTCCATTCTCTTTCTCTCATCTCTTTAAAATGCTCTTTTTTTTGACCTTTTGAATAGGAAAGAGGATTTCCGTTGGTATTCATGTACAAATGAATTAACACTATTTGCTTCTCATAAGTTGATTTAATCGTCTATTGTAAATACATGTACTATTGTATACAGCTGTTGTTGTAATGCAAAATGAATGTGTATGCCGCGTGCTTACTTTTTTTTTTTCTTTTTGCATAATCTTTGTTTTAATAATCATTTAGTAAGACCTCATCGACCAGACCAGATCAAGTCAAAATGAATGCTGTCCAAGTCCCTTTTTTCTCTATTGTTCTTTTGGATCTTTCGGAACATTTAAAGAAAAAAAGTATATAAAAGCAAGAACCCGCCTTTTCTTTATCACCTTTTTTTTTTTCTTTATTTTTTTTCCTTAATTTCATTTTTTTTTTCCCTTCTTCTTCCTGACTTTCATTCCTAGCCGTTCCTGTGTCTGTTATCATTCTTTCTGTCACGCTTGTCCCTCTCTTCTATTCAGGTTCAAAAAAAAAAAAAAAAAAAAAAACCCCTCATTTGCAAGCAATTTATTTGTTTTCGGAATCTAATCCTCACAGCCCTTTTCTTTCATTCCCCAATACGACATTACTCCATTACACCAAAACTACAAAATCGCAAAACAACAAAGTAGAATAGCAAAATATAACGTCTTGCAGTTGATTGATCCCCAAACTTTTCACACTTCCATTCATTTATTCATTCTTTCATATATTCCTAATGCGTGTCATCACTGTCCCTGTCCTTGAAGGTAAACTGAAAGAAACGTACCTGTTTAATATACCTGATAGGGTTTATATGTTTGTTATGTTTGTTGTGTGGGGTGTGCAAAAAAAAAAAAAAAAAAAAAAATTAGAGCGTGTGAGATTGAAGATTTCGTATTTGAATAATTCAATTGAACGCGTTTATTTTCTGCTATGCTACTGGGTAGTTCACCAAAAAAAAAAAAAAAAAAAAAAAAAAAATCAATTGCTCACTAATTGTTTCTTTTGCGTCTTTATTTTTTAAATAGACAACTATTCATACATCATCCTCGATGAAAAGACATCAGAAGCAGCTGTGGTTGATCCTGTCGAACCACAAAAACTTATGCATATTCTTCAGCATCTGGGCGCGAAACTGACCTCAGTTCTCTGCACACATCACCACTGGGACCATGCAGGAGGTAATGTGGAGCTGATCGCAAAAAAGCCTGGTCTTGCTGTTTATGGCGCTGATGCCCGCATTCCTGAGATCAACTATGTGGTCAAGGATAAGGAGGAGTTCAAAATTGGAAACGTGACCATTCAGGCGCTCTGGACCCACTGTCATACAAAGGGTAGTATCAGTTATTATGCAAAGGATGGTACCGATAGAGCCGTATTCACAGGTGACACCCTCTTCTTGAGTAAGTCTTTTTCTCTCTTGATCACTTACACCGAATGTCCTACTCGTACCCTTCCTTTTTTTTTTTTTTTTTTTTTTTTTTTTTGAGGAGCATTCATTGACTGACCAAAGTGATTTTCCTCCTGTATTAACCAAATAGGTGGTTGTGGACGCTTCTTTGAGGGCACTGCTGCAGACATGTACAACAGTTTATTGCACATTCTTGCAACGCTTCCTGTGGAGACAAAAGTCTATTGTGGGCATGAATACACCAAGGCAAACCTCCAGTTTGCACACCATGTGGAGCCAGATAACCCTCATGTTACTCAAAAGTTGCAATGGTGCATGGATGATAATGTTAAAATCACTATTCCTGGTACTATTGGCGAAGAACTATTGTGCAATCCATTCCTACGCGTCAAGTAAGCTTTTTCTTCTCTGTTCTGGAATTTAATCTTTGTGTATCGTTACTTGGCATTCATTCTAATTTTTTTTTTATAGTGAGCCTTCCTTGCAGGCATTTACTGGCAAGAGTGATCCTATTGATGTAATGCATGTCCTTCGAGAGTTGAAGAACAGCTTTTAGCTCTTGGAAAAATAGATAAATAAACAAATAAAAGTAATAGAGAATATAGTGGCAAAGCTGGTCTCTGTCCTGCTATTCTCTTCACTTATTCACTTGCATTGCCTTTATTTGACTTGTAATGTTTGTTTATCATATTTCAAAAGTGCTTGGCAGTCACAAAAAAAAAAAAAAAAAAAAAAGTATCTTTCGAATAAACTCATCGCTTTTTTTTTATACCTCTTAGTCCTCATTCAATCGTCGTCATGGCACCCAAATTCAAAAAAGCAAAACTGAAAGCTGCACTTTTCAAGCTTCAAGATACTCACCAGAAGCGGCAACATGCAACAGAAGTCCATGAGAAAAAGGAGGCTGCTATTGCAGCTAGTGCGAAGAAGGCTCAACAAGGTGCTAACGGATCTACTATACAGAAGGCACAACAACTAAAGGCACAGAAGAAGGCTATGTCTAAATTGCCTCCACCTCCTTATAATGACCAGGATACGATTTTGTTAGTTGGTGAAGCCAATTTCTCGTTTGCCAAGAGCTTAGCGTTAGAGATCCTGAATCGTGGAGACACAATGACAGCAACCACATTAGACTCCTTTTCAACCATGACTGAAAAATACACGGAGGCACAGGAAAATGTCAAGGAGCTCGAGGAAGCCGGCGCAACTGTATTGTTTGAGGTCGATGCCACAAAGCTAGACAAGATCAAGAGCTTTAAAGGGAAAAGATTCTCCAAGATTATCTTTAACTTTCCTCATGCAGGTAATATGTAGTTTTAGTTTACTTTGCTGTTATATGGATTGAAAAAAAAAAAAAAAAAAAAGAAAGTCAAAGTGAGCCAATTGGATAGGATATATCGAAAGCAAATAGCAGAATGACTACTAATTTTTTTCTTTCTTTACGCCATTATCCTAATGTTCAATTAGGTGCTAGTATTAAAGATCAGCATAGAAATATTATTAGCAATCAAAAGCTAATACGATCCTTCTTTGAGTCGGCGGCACCCTTCCTCACGGATACAGATCAGGGAGACAAAAAAGCTGGAGAAATCCATGTGACATTGAAGTCGGGACAACCTTATGACATGTGGAACATTAAACGATTAGCGACAGGGACTGGTTTGCTGGGTGTGAAGACATCGTTTCCCTTCAGACCGGAGCAATATTCAGGATATGAACATCGTCGGACGATTGGTTACAAGGAAGGTGTGAGCCAAGGCGGGAATGCAGAAATCAAAAACAAGAACCCAAAGACTTTTGTCTTTGTGAAAAAGATGGTTAAGGAAGCTGATGTGGCTAAGGAGCAAGAGTCTGCCAATATCAAGAAAAGAAAGAGGGCAGGCGAGGATCTATCGGATGATGACGAATGATAATATCCCAAAAACAAAAAAATCACATTCTGTACTATAGGACTATATGATAGCATTCACATAGAGTTAAACACGAAACATTGGCTATTCATTCATTTCGATACGAGTTCCCATTGCTTTGTGGTTGAATTTGTGTGAGCATATTATAGTTTCCACGTGCTCTAATTGCTCTACTCTACTAAATACATAGACTGCAGTCGAATATTCATTCTTAGCAATAAGCTGATGCATTAAGAAATAAAAAACAAAAGGAAGGCGATGGCATACATGTATATATACAGTAATTTACAATACTGCAGCATGACAGAAAAGAAGCTTCGAGAAGTGACTCTACATGCCTTACTGTATCTATAATTGACAGCGTGACATGTCTGTAATTTCTCATCTGAAAGAAAAGAGCATAGAGTCGGAGCAGATAAATGATGGTGCTCAAACACGGAGCGAGATGCGCTCAGGCCCCTGAATTTTGTTTAGCACTTTAAATAATTGACCCATCTTAAGCAAAGAGTATCCCATGTGGCCAGGAAGGCTTCTCTTCTATTGTTTACATCTTTGGATCTTTGGATTGGAAAGATAAATTGAGTGGGTCAGCCCCCCAAGAGTTGATAACACAATTAGAGGTTACGTTGACACATGTACTCAAATACCAACTGTTGGGATGCAACTTTTGCGCTATGTCCTCAAACATTAACATAGACATGGATACATGCATGTTTGCATAAGGTATCAAAGCAAAGATCATTCTCTCGTGTGTTGTTTTGTTTATGAATTCATTCGAATATTGTCTTGGTCCCTATAAAAATAAATAAAATAAATAAAATAAAATAAAATAAAATAAAATAAAATAAAATAAAATAAAATAAAATAAAATAAAATAAAAAAGACAAAGCTAAATGAGGAGGCAGTGTGGAGACATATCCACATCCACAGGTAAGGAGAATGAAACGGCCCCTTGTCTTCTTTAAGGGAAAGAGTCGGTTTTTTCTTTTGTTGGCATATACAGTAGATAGCTATTTCTTGGCTGCTATTTTTGCCAAATCAAAAAAGCAAGCCCTACCCCCTCCTTTCTGGCTTAGTTGACACTTTTGAGAAGGACTAAAGTAAGGGCAATGACGGAAAGAGACGGCATGCGAAGGAAAAATAAAAAAAAAAACACAGTGAGCAAGTACACAAGAGATCCTAGACATTTTGTACTCACCGAGGCATGTCAAATGGGAAACCGTGCGCTGTTGCATTTCGCTTGCCCCACCTTTGTGTTCCCTTTGTTTACTCACTACAATGAGACAGCCGTAGCGTATAGCCGCAACAGCTGTGATTGTCAGATTTCCATGAGCGAATGGCAAAAACTGCTCCCGAAATGCAGATCAACAACGGTTCCTCTCTTTCTCTTTCTCTTCTCTCATTCTTTTCTTTCTGTCCTTTCTCTTACTATTTCCCACATATTCCAACCCTCCTCTTTGAGATATCTGCTGTCACTGTTATTAGTCTCTGATCTTACGGCATCAAAACATCTTTGGCAGTTGCTTACATTTGCATTCTGCTTTCGCTTATTCTCCACTGTCACTTCACGATCTTCATTGCCTGTCTGGACTCTAGACTCCATTATCTTAACCTCGATTTAATATCTTTCTCACACAAGCATATTCACACAGTTCACCTTCTTGCTCAATCTACCTCTTTTCCCTCACTCATTTTGAAACATCTGTTGACTACACTCATATATATAACCTACTTCTAATCGTTCAGACAACTAATTCTTATTAGAGACTAGCGAAAGGTATGGCATGAGTATTTTAAGGCTGGAAAGGAATGTAAAACCGGGAATAGGATACATCAATGAAGCATGTCAACGAAGTGTTTATGTTGATTGAGTAGACTATATGTCTACTTGCATTTATCATAATCGGCAATATTCGTATCAATGTAACGTTCTACTAAAAAAAAAAAAAAAAAAAAAAAAAAAAAAAAAAGCAATTTGATACGCGTGTGTAGATGAATGTGTGGAGATAATGTTGGTATATAGTCAAGGGGTGATAAAGTAACGTCGGTAAATTCAACTTTCAACCATTTGATTGACATTACTTCGCCTCCCTGTCTATTTTGGTTATCATAAATAGGATCTCCACTAAAATTGCAAGAAGTGTATTGGATCGAAGCAGATCCTTTGCATCTCCCATCACTTGCATCTCTGTGGTGCAACTGGACAAACAAATAGGCATAAGCGTTTTGCATAAGCAGACTGGGCCAAAGTCCAAAAAGCTATTTTTCTTGACACACCAACCTACCCCGTGCTAAAAAAAAAAAAAATGGCCACACCCTTCCGTATGTCTACTACATATTCCTTAGTGCCCTCTCCCATGGACAATCTCCCATGCTCACAACCAAATCTCCGCCAAAAAAATCCCCTTCGCAGAGACAGCAAAACCATCCACATATCATTGCCTGTGGCTGTTGCGCCTCTTTCTTCAGCACAATCCCCCACAGGTCCAACTTCATCTTTCTCTCCACTCAATTCCACTCATATCCACCACGAGTCACTTATTCCCTCGTCTCTGTCTCGTCGGTCATTGTCCCCTATCAACGGCGCTGCCTCAGTTATGAAGAACTTTTTGCGGAGGAGGCGAGGCACCATTTCCAGCAGCAGCCCCGCAACATCTAAACAAACAGACATCGTCGGCCATCATCAAAGTACAGCATACGATACTAGACATAGCTCTTACGAACTTCCTACACCGCAGCCATCCATGAACATGCATTCTTTTGTTGTTGTTGGAGGGTATGGAGCCAAACCTGGTACAACCGTTGTATTGTACGACTCTGAACCAGCACTACCTTCACCAATCAGCTCTCCTAGGCTCGTACAATGTGAATCACCCGTTATCCCAGTAGCAAAATCCACAATGGCGCCTGCAACTACTATCCCAGGAACAACAACAGTACCAATATCAACGCCTTCATTCTCGCAAGCCATGATGGGTCATTACAGCAGCAAACAGGATATCCCTCATAAATACCAACCCAGACATGGTTTCTTGATAGAAAATACATCAAGTGGTGATGTCGAATCAAGCTCGATACACTCAAGTAAGGCACTATCAACAGCATCCTCAGCACGTTCCAGCCAATTGTCTGCAAAAACAACAGGTTCTTTCTCATGTACAACAATAAATAGACGGACCATATCCATGGACAGCTTACAGACTCTTAATACAACTACTGGGCTGGATCCAGTAGGTGAGAGGCAGGAATCAGATCAAGGAGAAGGAGCTGCATCCGATATTATTTTTCACGATCAGAGTACAGTGTCTCAGTCCTGCAAGAGTCAATTCGAGCGATCATCCGCTACAGCCTCTCCGAACAACACCGACACTATGCCCGATCGAAATGAGGCTTCAAACGATGCTGAGTGTATAGAAGAATGCAAAGTCAATAATAGCGAGATGATGAATAACCTGGGCTTTAGCAATGAGGTATCTCGAGCTTTTGATGATCTAGGTACTTCAGGGAACAACTTCACGAGCCATTTCAGGACCAATCAAGATCTAACAACCAGCAAATTACGAAGTCAACAGCAGAGAAAGACACTTTATCATAACTCTATGAGCTATCTTTCAGGACAACTATATAACTACTACAGCAATATGCCTGGGATTGATGACAGAAGCATTTTCGTCAGCAACAACAATAGTAACAACGGCAATAAGGACACTCAGGATCAGAAGAAAGCTGATCAAATTGAAGAACCCCGACCTTATACCCCCGATCAAATTTCGGAAGCTATTGACAGTCCTGCTATCGTGGATTTTCAAGATACTTACCTAGTGGCGGAGAGTATTGAACAAATCATTCTCCCTAGCATCTCAAGCATGGTTGTTAATAGAGTCGAGGGGATGCAAGGCAGCCTGACTTCGGGCGCAGACAGCACTCTTTTAGTTTCCAATTGTTCATCCCCTACCCAGTTCTATGATGCACCGCAAACCAGGCGTGCCCTCCGCATGTTCCTGACAAGCAGCGATCAGGAATTTGATGAGATGGTTCAGGTGGGCTTCCCTTCCAAAGTATTCAGTGACTACGACTCTGACATGGCTGAGGCACAGAGCCTACTTGAGCCACAAAAGCAAGACAATGAGCGACCATCTAGTGACCGGTATATGACCTTGCGAATCACTTTGACTCCATGGCATGCTAGAGCGGACGAGGTTAAGCTATATGGCGCGGACGTGACCCATGATAAACAAACGCAATTCATATCTAGGTTCAACAAATTTTTCTCGCGGTCAACAGCTACATCTAGCGCTACATCCCCTCCTTTCTCTCTACCATCATCAGTATCATCGTTCCAGCATGTACGACCTGCTGTTGCCTCCAGGACGTCATCTGATCAATCTGTTTCAACCCTCAGAAGCAGCCCATACTCAGAGCATGGGATTCGCCATACTTTGTCTTCAGAATCTATCCCTTCCCAAGCAAAAACGTGCAGGTTTACTCCTGACAATATCTCGCTTTCGCCTAGTATCGCTAGCTCTAGTCGTCGCTCTATCGCCGACAGCATTGTTAGTAGTCGCACTAACAGTCGCAGGTGCAGTGCGGACCGTGACCGAGATAAAGTCTGCTTTTCTCCTCCACCTTCTGTAAGAGCCGCTTCTCGAGCTGCCGCCGCTGCCGCTGCCGCTGCCATCGTCGCATCCGAATCAACAAGCCCGAATCATAGGTTGTTTTCCCCTCCTTCAACACGGTCACCGTCGCCTTTGTCCTGCAGTGACCATAGCGAATCACATATTCAGGATGGTGGAAACAGCGATAATACGACCACTATGACATCTTCCAGAAAGGGCTCTTCACTAGACCAACCGTTGAGCGAGCACGAAATCGGACTTGATAACTCAAGTGACACTCAGTGTTCTGTTGACAGCGAAGTCAGTCCATTTATGGCTAGCGCTCTGACAAAGCCTACGATAAGCAGTGCCAGCCATGCCGGTCAAGATCGTACTGTAGCCGTAGTCAGCCTCAGTGGTGACCCCAGCTCTAGCCATTTGGAGACAGCTGCCCAGGCACAAGAGCCACGTCGTAGCACACGCTACCCATATCAACAGCATGCCATGCATCAAGAGAAGAAACAGTACACCACCTTACCGCGTACGAGTTCTTTGAGAATGAATTGGTCTTCGTCGGGTTCGGAGGATGCGTATCCACAGCCGATCCACAGCCACATGACATTACAACCTGCTGGATCGAGTGGCTCCAGCCAGCGGATCTCGAGCCGTTACGCTGGCCCTGGTAGCTCCAGAGTCAACAGTAGCAAGACAATCCATCAGGATGGCCAGGACCAATATCGACATAGCAACGCAGGCGCGGAGATCTCCTCTTCCTCTTCACGACATGGCCCAAGATTTCTCAATTTCTCCCTGCGTTCTAAAAAGAATGACAAGGTTAGCAAGGCTATTGATCGCCAAACTCTAGTCCCACCCCACATCAGTGCCAAGAGTTGGAGAAGAGGTGGTCATGGTGACAGTGGTCGAAAGGGACAGCTAGTAGAGTCAGAAAGATCAGTAACTGTAGCGACATATGGACATGGCTGTGCGTCGTCATATGACTATCAATGTCACGATGACGCAAACCGTAGTGAGCAGAACCCGGAGGCGTATTTTGAAATAAGCATGGATGATCAAAGTTATGGAGGCTATGGTCGCGGGCAAGGGAACGGCTATGGGTGTGGACGAGAGCAAAGACAACGAAGAGGAGAAACAGAAAGGATCAGGAAAGATGAGGACTGTTACAGTAGTTATGGTTAGGCAAGAGATGGGACCACAGTCCAAGGTGGAGGGCACTGGAGACCTATCAAATACCACCAACCAGAAGTCGCAAAAACCCACGCGTGTCCTTGAAACTGCCTTGAAAGATGTTGATGGAGAGCCACTCGTCCAATGACTTTCTTCCTTTTTTTTTCTTAAAAAAGGCTTCTTTATAATGTTTTTTGCTTTTTATTCCATAATGCCGTTCTAATGCTGTAATGACCCAGTCTCCTGTCCTTTCCTTATGTATTCATGTATATAATGTAGATAATGTAGAATGCTGTTATTTTCTTTCTACTCTATTGCCTGTGTAAAACTGCTACGTTAAATAAAATCTAAATGACCATTCACTGATCGCAAAGCTAAGCATCTATGCCCTAGTCTACGAAGTAGCATTAACTTCAAAAAAAAAAAAAAAAAAAAAAGTTTCAGTCCTTTTTTTCGGATTGTGACTTGTAAAGAAGATCAAACCAGATGAAAGTGCCAACTCGATGCCAACCAGCATGCTCCATGAAGGCCATGGTTGGAATATTATCGTCTAGACAGTCTGCATGCGCATATAAGGAAGATGTCGGTATCGAACTACTGTCCTTGCCTCCTAAAGATGTCAGCATCCCACGTGCTAATTGGACGTGGGTGAGTGCGAGGCTGTTCAGGACAATTCTTCCAAGACTCAATTTACGGTACTCTGGCAACACATGCAATGCTGCAATCGAGACTAATGAGAAATAATAATAACGATGGCAAAATAATAAGCCTAGTTAAAACAGGAGAACATTAGATATTTTTTTTTGTTACACCCTCACATATACTTACAGTCTCCGTGTGTGCCTGCCCAGGCTACCATCTCACCATCCTTGTCTCGGAAACACTTTGACAGTCTGATAATTTTCTTGCCATATTCTTCTGGATACTTGACTTTATTGACATCAAGCATCTTGTTGACATCGCTCTCTCTCATGGAATCAAGTATTAATCCATGCTCATTCTCCAAGCGCCTGCATCTGGAGAGGAGCGTAGGTTCACCTTGGAGCAATGTATCTTCACTGATCACAAACTTGACGGCTCGGGTACTAGTCTTTAGGCAGTTATTGTTACCCAGTTTAATTAACGCCTCTCGCCAGATATCATTGACGCAGTAAAATTCGTCCTGTGTCTCAACACTTTGGCCCAAACGTACGCGCTCGGATAACTGGTACTCTAAAACATTAGTAATAGCTGACAGAACATTCTGATAGTGTCCATGGATGACCGAACCAGGTTGGCCTTGGCTTTGCTCTAAGGCTTTAGTAAAGCTCTCTGACGTCGCGTTATAGGCCTCATGCGATGAGCCAGTGGTCTTTGAGAGGCCATTATCTGTTGCTGAACCACTAGTAGCTGCCTGCATCAAGAGCGGTTCGCAGCGCGCATAAAATGTCAACGCGTCACCTGAAATTGTCAAATCAACCTTTGTGGAAGTTACTATTTCCGTCTGTGCACCATCATTTTCTACTGCTATTGGTGCTTCACCTTTCTGTACGTCATCAGCATGTCCCTGTCCTTGCTTATGGGTCTCATAGCTTTGTATGTGTACAGGCAACGGTTTGGATCGATAGTGTGGCTCCTTAAGACCAGAGGAATGCGCGGATATTGGCTTTACGGTATGAAGTTTTGTGGGATCTTTTTTATACTCCAGGGCTGTACTCAGGACTAAACCAAACTGTGAAGCAGCTAGAGGTAGCTCTAAGTGTAACTCAGCTAGGTAGCTCGAACATGCTTCCTCATTTGAGATGGAATGAAAAAGCGACGGGACCGATGGTGGAATGGGATGATCAGGTGTTGGCATTATTTCTAAGAGGGATAACAATTAAAAAAGACAGATACGAATTCAAAGACAGGCAGGTGTAATTCAAGGTCCGACAGCGAAACAGCGATCCTTCCAAAACCTTCTCCATTCTTGAATATTACCACATGCCTGGTCCTGACTGTATCAGATTAGAGGGGTTTGACTGCACTCGTGTTTCATTTGATGATGGAAAGGCTGCGCGGCTTCTTTTTCTTTTTCCTGACACGTGCCATGCTTCATTATATCTCATTAGCTCTTTGTCCTCTTTCTCTGAACAACCACTGACCTTTGAGGCATGTTCTATAGCAAAGATATTCTCACTCGTAAAGACAACAGCCTCGGTTTGATCTGGTAAGAGTACAACTACACTCAACTGTCTATGTTAACCTTCATCCTAAACACTCAGTAAATCTCATCAGTGTTAGCCAAAGTGTACATGTTGGAAGATCTTGCTCCTTCAAGCCATGCAATGTATCCCAGCTTTGTTGCTAATCTTCAGTAATACATCTGTACTTGATACAATTTTTTTGCTTTCTTTGTCTTGATCATCGAACCGCCTGGAGGTTGGCTGCAATGATGGGCTCTCATCGATCCGGAATCAACAAACTTTCCAAGAAAGACGTGAATAATGTCAACATCGTCAAGACTTGGTAAGCCTTACCACACCGTTGATCGAAAAACTAGTCATGACGACACACACTAATTTCCCTTTACTATCTTTCAACTTCTGATCAAAACTAAAGTATGGATATATCACAACCTTCCGAACCCTTTGCATTACGGTTCTCTTCTAATTTGATGGTTGGGGTTACTCGTGTATATGCCAAACAATACAGTTTTTACCACAGTAAGGCAATATGGCTGTTGCATTGTCAGATGCCTGAATAAGCTCTTATAAAACTTACGCGTCGTAACGAAAAATTCAACCTACATTTTCCTGTGACGCGTCGTAAAAAAAGTCGATGTCAATAATATGTGGGTGCGTCTCAAACGGGACCTTGCGGAAGTGCAGTCGAGCGATATCATTATGTTACAGCCTGAAGCAAGGTTAGTCGACTTTCTATCCTGTACTTACATGCAGTAGAGGAGCTTTATACTCGTATTAGAAAGCTAACACCATTTTTGCTCTGCATCCACAGGATAGAGTCGATTACATTTGATTATGATATGGCCGTCGAGCGGGACACTCTTCGGCCAATGACCCATGCTATCCAGAACATCGATATCGAGACTTCGGTTAGACCTCAATCGTTTGTTTAGAAATTAGAAATATGTCTTTTTTTATTCAACAATCAAAGCTTGAACATGACTCATTTACGCGTGCACTTCTAAAATGTGCGTGTATCAGCGTCGTAATCATAGCAGAGAGCTTGCTATTGAGTTTGGTTGGGCTACTCAGCCTGCCATGGATCTTAGAAATAGCCAATCCGAAAACCTATCATGTTCCAACAATAGTAGGGACATTACAAGAGTATATTATCTTAGACTTTGAAGGCAAACATTCTTATTGTCTACACTATCATCTAACCTTTACTGCGACTGTAGTCTTAGTAGTGCCGGCCGATATTGAAAGACGCCGCAAGATAACACTTGATGAGCATATGCAGCCATCCGATACGGAGCAAGTGATCCCCGTATATCGCGGACTCAATATGTCCGATGAAGCTTTTGTGATGGATGACAGTAGGTATGAGTCTAAGGGTTCACATCTCTTCATTTTAGGGGGCGCTTCGATGTATTCATATCAATTCAACCTATATTTAACTGACCTGTATCGGTATTTAGTCTATTCATCGATGCTGAGGGTAATCTTGTTGGATACATGCCCACCCTAGGAGTTGATGATTCCCTGGATACGGCTATAGCACCGCAACTCCCCATTGCAAGGGGTGCACTTGGAAAACGCAGGAGGGATGAGCAAGGCAGAGACCGCGTTTTGGAAGTCATTGAAGAGTCCGTGCATGCAGAACTCCCCGAGACTGAAGCTTACCAAATACTAGGGCATGACCTGTCTCTCGAAACCGGAATAGGGGCAATTGTTGCTCGTAAAAAGCTAAGGATAGAGCAGAGACAACCTAAAGCGACACGACTGATTATTGACGACCGCACTATGCTATCACCTAATGAAATTTACGAATCTGGCAAGAACTTCACACAACGTCAAATAACGCTCATACAAGAGCGCAATTTTAAACAGATGGTTGCTTCAAGTAAGACATTCATTGATGTCCTCCTAGGTCGACCTCTTTGTGTCTCTGGCTATGATAATGAGCTAGCAACCTTCTGGTCTATTGCGAGCACACGTGCTTTTGAAATGCCCCAGATGGACTTTCGGAAGGGTCTAGTAACCTCAGGACAGGTTCGGGTTGCCAATGATTCACTGTTATACAATGCTGAACAGGTTGATGACACTGTAGCTGAGGTTCCAGAACTTGAGATTCGACGCCGCCACGGCAGTTCAGATAGAGCATTGACGCCATTGGACCTAGGGATAAGTGGCATAAGTACAGGGAGTGCCGCAACCAATAGACAGAGCGCTCACATGCCTTGGTCTACTGAATTGCGCACTAGCGTTAGTGTTCATAGTGAGCATTCTTCAACCGGATCGGACCGTCTCCGTTGGGATTTTGAGGCAGTTTTTGATCCTGTAACCGGACGCTCGATCCAACGGCAAAGACAAAGGTCGGAATCAAGCCGCTCTGATTTAGGGCCGAGAGACTTGAGGGAAGAACCTCTGGCTAGACACCATCACCGAGCTACAAGTCGGTCACGATCTCATTCACGCGATGCTTTTATGACAGCTAATTATCAAAGACCAGAAGGAGGTGGGCCAAACTCGTCAATGGATGCCTACGATTTTTTTATGGATCTACAAGAAAGAGCCCATGATTTGAATGGGCAAATGGAGGTATCCACTGCTACACAAGAGCGCGCTGCTGTTGAACAAGAAACAGATAATTTCTTAAATTACATACGCTCTATCCTTCGAGAAGTGAAAGCTAGTTCTCTTTCACTTATGGATCTGGTCTCCACGCATCGTCGACGCGATGTTGTCGCTGCTGCATTTTACCATATACTTGGTAAGAGAGTCTTTTTTTTCTTTCTGTAACTAATAGAAAGAAAAAAAAAAAAAGTATCTCAACTGGAAGGTATTCCATCCATTTTGTATCATGGGAATGCTTTGAATTAATAATTAAAAATTGGTATGTGTCACAGCGCTTTCAACCATGGGATGGGTGCGTCCCCTCCAGGAATCGTCATATGGAGATATCCATATCGAAGTGATCAAGCAATAATGAGCCTTAAGGAGATAGTTATTTGTGACTTCAGCGCTATTCAACACAATTTTGCTACAGGGTGCAACATGGAAGAAACCAATAAAAAATCGACCAGGGAAAAAAAACGTGGCTTGGCAATTTTTTGTTTTGTTTACAAGCTTGATCAAGAGGAGCAGTCTTTTGGTTTTACAAATTGAGTATAAAAAGGAAAGATTTTTCCCCTTGTGTGTTTCTGGGGTTTTTTCTTTTGGTTTCTGGTTTGGTTTCTTTTTTTTCTGGTCTTGGGTTCTTCCTCTTTCTCATTGTCTACCACCCATCCGTATCCTTCCTCCTTCCTTTTCCACAACATCTCCTACACAAAAAATAAGGACCCATCATGACTGTCCAGGCCAAGTACCCCGACCCTGTCCGAGCCCTTCAAGACCTCGAGGCCGCCGGAACCAAGAATCGTCGTGATGGTCTTTCCGCCGAGGAACTTATGGACTCGATTACACAGGGTGGTTTGACCTACAATGACTTTTTGATTCTCCCAGGCTACATCAATTTCCAGGCCAATGCCGTCCAGCTCGAGTCGAGAATTACGAGGCGCATTACTCTCAAGACGCCTTTCCTCTCGTCACCCATGGACACCGTCACAGAGACTGACATGGCCATTGCCATGGCTGTAAGTCATTTTGATGTTTAATGTTTTGTAACATTTTAAAGAAGCATGTGGATGCTTTTAGGGCCCATGCGTTTGCCTGTTTGTTTTATATACATCCCCGCAAATTTCTTTATTTGGTCAAGGCCCACGCTGTTATCTCATAAATTCACACGTTATATGTAAAACCTTATTTTCTATTTCACTCTTATCTTTTAGTTGCTTGGTGGTCTAGGTATCATCCATCACAATTGCACTCCGGAGCAGCAGGCAGAAATGGTTCGCAAGGTCAAGAAGTTCGAGAACGGCTTTATCACTGATCCTGTCTGTTTGTCTGAGAATCACACTGTTGCTGATGTACTTACCATTAAGGAGAAGTACGGCTTCTGTGGTATCCCTATTACCGAGAATGGAAAGCTTGGTTCCAAACTTGTTGGTATTGTCACCGCCCGTGATGTTCAGTTTGTTAGTGATCATACCACTCTTCTCAAGGACTGCATGACTACTGATCTGGTCATTGCTCAGGAAGGTGTTACTCTCGAGGAGGCTAACCATATTTTGCGCGAGTCCAAGAAGGGCAAGCTCCCTGTCGTCAACAGCAAGGGTGAGCTCTGCTCTCTCCTTGCTCGTTCCGATCTACTCAAGAACCAGAACTACCCTCTGGCTAGCAAGGCAGCTCATTCGAAGCAGTTGCTCTGTGGCGCCGCCATCGGCACTCGTCCTGATGACCGCGACCGTCTTGCTCTTTTAGTCGCTGCTGGGTTGGATGTTGTTGTCTTGGATTCATCGCAGGGCAATTCTTCCTTCCAAATCGAGATGGTCAAGTGGATCAAGGCTACTTATCCTGATCTTGACGTTATTGCTGGAAATGTCGTTGTTTGGGAGCAGGCTGCCCGCCTTATCGCTGCTGGCGCTGATGGTCTTCGCGTCGGAATGGGCTCCGGCTCAATCTGCATTACTCAGGAGGTCATGGCTTGCGGTCGTCCTCAAGGTACTGCCGTCTACAAGGTTGCTCAATATGCTTCCAAGTATGGTATTCCTGTCATTGCAGATGGTGGTATTGGAAATATTGGTCACATTACCAAGGCCTTAGCTCTCGGAGCATCGGGTGTGATGATGGGAGGTCTTTTGGCCGGTACAACTGAGTCTCCCGGCGAGTACTTTTACTTGGATGGCCAGCGTCTCAAGAAGTACCGTGGAATGGGATCGCTCGATGCGATGGAGAAGGCCGGTGATGGCGGCAACGGCTCAACCAAGCGTTACTATTCCGAGGCTGACTCTGTGAAGGTTGCTCAGGGTGTCTCTGGCTCGGTTGTGGACAAGGGCTCGATCAAGAAATTTGTTCCTTATCTCTATACTGGTCTTCAGCACTCTCTCCAGGACATTGGTGTTGACAGTATTGATACTCTTAAGGAGGGAATGCGTCAGGGCACAGTTCGTTTTGAGCGCCGCACAGCTGCTGCTCAAGCAGAGGGTGGTGTTCACTCCTTGCACAGCTACACTAAGCGTCTCTTCTCATAGAAGAAGAAAAAAAAATAGGAGAAGATGGTGGTAGAATGCAAGATTGCTCTCTTTTTTATCTCATTGTAGTCTATCTGACTTGCTTCACTTCATTTTCGCGGGTATTAATATAATTTCTTTTTCCATTCTCATTGTATAAAACATCCATTCTTAATAAAAATCATTAAGGCATTAAAAAAAAAAAAAAAAGCATTATGCACTTTTTAAGTGAAACCTAAAGTTAGCCACAAATGAACTCTATCAGAGTCCAAATGCACAGCTCTCAAAATACAAGTGTACAGACATAATAATAACGCGTCAAATCGTCATCATTACACGAACTGATCGAGGTAAGCCTTATTACCACAAAAAATTACATTTTTGTGGCGCCTATGCTGGCGGCTTTTGTCATACTCCTTTACATTAGACGAGGAATGAGGAAAGTCTTCTAATCTATTAATGATATACATTTGTATATATTGGGAGCCTGCCTGTACGCCAGTGTAACAGAGATAAACAAGCCTTTTTTTTTTTTTTTTTTTTTTTTTTTTTTAAAAAAAAAACTTCTTTTAGAGGAAAAGAATGAAATGAGTGCAATTGGTTGGTTGCGTTTTATTTGAGTTGGAGCAGATCATTAGAAATAAAATAAAACAAAAATTTTCATAATGATGTCAGGTACAAGTCACCGATGATGCATTTAGTCTCTCACTCCTTCCTAAACACATATAAAAGGGATCCTGGGGCCATCGAATATTGAAGTTCAAACGTTCAATCTTTCTCTCTTCTCATTTCTACACAAATAGTACTCCAAAAACTCAATAAACAAATCACACCACGACACATCATGTCTCTTCTTCGCCACACCGTTCGCCGCTCTTTCAATGTTGCCATTGCTAACAAGAACACACCTGCTGTAACCAGGATCCCTCTTGTTGCCCGCACATTCTCGAGGTAAAAATAGAAAATAGATACAGGCAAACGGCAAACCGTTTTATATTTACATTTGTACGATTTTTAACGGCTAATTAACGGACTTTTTAATTCTATGATCTGTTACCCATTACTCCATAAATGATGTTTTTAAAAAGCAATACTCCTCAATATAACGATCAAAACCTGATCAAGCACGCTCCTGGATGGGAGGAAGGAAATGCATCTGCTAGCGAGGCCAGTGTCAAGGCTGATCGCGAGCCTCACCCAGAGGATGTCAGGCATTTGCAGAATGAGTCTGTGAAGCACTTGAAGGACAAGCACGGAGATAGCGCCAGTATGGTCGATGATCTCAAGATTAAGGCTCAAGATGCGGGTGAGAATATGTCGAACCAGGCCAAGCAATATGCTAACAAAGCCATGAACAGGGGTGAGACTCTTGCACAGCAAGGCAAAGAATATGCACAAAAGGCCATGAACGTTGGCGAGAATATGAGTGAGAGCCTTACGGGACAGAGTAAAGAGTATGCCCAGAAGATTAAGAATGCTGCTGAGGACATGACTGGGGACCTGTCCGGAAAGGGCCAAGAATATGCCAATAAGGCAAAGGGTGCAGGAGCAGAAGCAGCTAAGCAGGGTCAACAGTATGCGGAAAAAGCCAAGCAGGCAGGTGAAGAGGTATCGAAGCAAGGCCAACAATATGGAGAGAAGGCAAAGCAACAAGCACAGCAGGCTAGCGAAACTATGATGGGAGGAGTTAAGGCTGGAGCAGAGAAGATGACTCAATTTGTGAAGGAGTCTGTTGACTCTGCCAAGAAGGCTGTTGGCATGGACAAGTAAAAAAAAAAGCTTTATATTTTAGACAACCTTTGTAAATAGCACACACAACAAATTAAACCTTTTTTCGTCAGAATGTGGAATGATATCAAATATGGAAATATGCATAATTAAGTGGCTAGAAGATCTCATTCAAATAAGAGAGGGTAAATGCCAACATTATTCTTTTTGATTCTGCCACCCCACAGTCACGACGAGCTTGCAGCCGACAGGGCTTGGACAATAAAGGCTGGTAGTGTGTTGTACATGTACACAAAAAAAAAAAAAAAAAAAACAGGAACAAGAACCTGCAAGGAACCAAAAAGCATAAACAGGATGGTTTCTATGCGGGTGCAAAATGGTTCTTTCCTTCCCTTTCTTTTTATTTTATTCTTTCTTCCTTCTTCTCCTTCCTTTTCCTCCTTCTTCTCTTCTTAGTGGCTGTATAATACTCACTCAGCTTCATTCATCTCGTTGCCTCTTTGCCAAAGACCAACAAATCATCCTGCCTCCTTTTTCATCCTCGATCCTTGTGCACTCCATCTTTCTACATCAACTACTTTCTTGATCACATCGCTGCTCTCTTTTTTACGAAATAAGCCATACAGTTCCTTTCTTACCTTCTCACTAACTTTCTTCAAATCATACTCAATATATTAATCTCATCATGCCTGCAGAAGCTATGGATATGGATCAGATTGAAAGTCCTTTGTAAGTGAACAACTGTTTAGTCTCGTCTACCAATAACATGTGAGATTTCATTCTGTACCTGGGTACTCGGTATTTTTTTCCCGATCTTTCTATTTGGGCTACCACGTTTGTAGCCTTTTAATCCGACCTTTTCATTCCGATTAATGCCAAGTTATGCCTTCGATTTGTTTATCTATTTACAATACTTATTGTCTCTTCATTGGTATTGCCAATACTTTTTTTTTATTTATTTTTTTATACAAAAAAAAGGTCTGCTGAACAAATCAAGACACAGGCAAACCAGGAATATAAAGTTGGCAACTATGCAGCAGCCGTAGATCTCTACAGTCAGTCAATCAAGATAGAGCCATCAAATGCAACTTATTACGGAAACCGATCGGCAGCGCTCATGATGATCAAAAAGTACAGCGATGCATATAAAGACTGTCAAACTGCTATCCAGTTAGACCCGACTTTTGTTAAGGTATTGTCTCATTTTTTTTAAAGTGTGTTTATTGGCTATTTGTTATTAGTCATTGGTCATTGGTCGATAAGGTAGAAAGCTAACCAGACTTTTGCGCCCAAAAAAAAAAAAAAAAAAAAAAAAAAAAAAAACCTTTAATTAAATTGACTCAATAGGGTTATCTTCGTGGTGCAAAGTGTCAATTACAACTCGGAAATGTCAATGAATCCATCAGGTTGTACACCAAGGTACTAGAGATGGAGCCCAATAACGCCCAGGCGATCAAAGAGCGGACTCAAGTTAGCCATGTGCAAGCACAGATCGATCAGATTCAAATGTACATGAGCAATAAACAGTTTGGTCTTGGTGCCAACGCTTGTGATCGTCTCATTGGCATGGTCGATGCTGCACCCAGAAGATGGATGATCTGGAAAGGAGAGTGTCTTATTGGCAAGAAGGACTTCAACGGCGCTAGTTCTGTGGCCATGGATCTTCTCCGTCAGGATTCTCAAAACTCTGATGCCATCTATCTACGAGCTCAGGTTCTTTACAGCCAAGGCGAGAATACCAAGGCTGTTACACATTGCGCAGAAGCTCTGCGGTGCGACCCTGATTGCTCAAAGGCTCGTGTCCTCATGAAAAAGGCCAAGAACCTGGAGGCGCAAAAGACTGCTGGTAACGATGCATTCAAAGCAGGTAAACTTCAAGAAGCCTATGATCTGTATACCGCAGCATTAGCCATTGATCCCGAAAATGAGAGTACGAACAGCAAACTTTATTCGAACCGAGCCACGGTGTTGTCCAAGTTGGGACGGTATGAAGAAGCTGTTCAGGACTGCGATGCAAGTCTGAAGCTAGACTCAGGATTTGTCAAAGTTCTGCGTAAGCGTGCAGAGTGTCAACTCAAGTTAGAAAAGTACGAGGAGGCTGTTCGGGATCTCAAGGCTGCGCTTGAATTTGACAAGAGTAATAGGGATGTTCGTCGCGAGCTGCAGGCAGCAGAGCTTGAACTGAAGAAGTCATTGCGCAAGGATTATTACAAGATCTTGGGTGTCTCCAAAGACGCTGGTGAAAGCGAGATTAAAAAGGCATACCGGAGGCAAGCCTTGTTATACCATCCAGACAAGAATGATGGAGATCCAGTTGCAGAGGCCAAGTTTAAGGATGTTGGAGAGGCTTATGCCGTGCTAAGTGACCCATCGAAAAAGCATCGATATGATAATGGCATGGATGTCGACGGTAGTAGTGGTATGGATGACTTTGGAGGTGGTGATGTTAATTCGATGTTCTATCAGATGTTCATGAACCAACAGGGTATGGGTGGGGGATCACCTTTTGGTGGTACATTCAATGGCGGTGGATTTGGTGGATCACCATTCGGACATAGCCATGGCGGCCGTGGGCAACATAGTTTCCATTTCGACTAAACAAATACATTTATGATTGCCATCCATCAAAACCATGAGCTTGACATTAAAATTATTTACAATTAACTTGCCTCGACAGTCACTACAACAGTTAAATTTTAGTACATGTTTGAATCATTCCATTTTATATGCGATCCACATCACAATAGTCCAAACTCACAATGTCATCCAAACGAGTGGCTCTACCATCACTCAACTCTACATCCAAAAAAGATGCTTTGAAGCCAGTTAAGGTCCAACGTTACAGAGCGGGTCAGGTACCCGAAGGCTATGTCGATCCAGCATTAGAGTCCTCAGACGATGAAGAAGAGGAGACGGCAGCAACAGGACGTGGAGGACTTGCAAAAGCAGGGCGCATCAATGTGTCGATTGCACAGGATGAACAACCACGAGTAGCATATCAAGTCTTGAACGTGGAACAAATGACTAAGCAACGACAGCTGGAACGAGTAACCTCTAGTGGTACAGCAGCATCAGCAGAGGGTGATCGACGTTTGGCGCGTTTACAGGCAATTCATTTAGAAGATAGGAGGAGCCGTGGAGATACTAAATCAAGAAGAAGACGTGAAGATAGCGACGATAGTGATGAACAAGATAAAGATGAGGCACAAGGCGAAGAAGAAGATGATGAAGAAGCCGCAGCGAGGAGGCGAGAAGCTGCTAGAGCAAGAGCTATGCGTGGAGATGACGAACAAGAACTGTGGGAACAAGGTGAAGAGGAAGAAGAGGAAGAAGATCATGCAGATCGTAAGAGCAGAGCAAAGCGTGATGGCGAGGTAATTTTTTTAACAAAAAAAAAAAAGAAGTTTGGAAAACGATCAGGGGATGAAGAAGAAAGCCTTTTTGTTTATTCATTATTGCTTCATCTATCACATTGCCCGGTCTTAATAGGAGAGTGAAGGTTCTTCTGAATATACATCGGGATCAGAGGAAGAATCAGAGGATGAAATTGCGTCAAGGCGGAAACTCATGAAGCCTGTATTTGTTCCAAAGTATGTCTTTTTTATTTTTTTTTCCTTTTACTTTTTTAAAAAAGGCATTGGGGCTACACTTCTCTAATCTATATCCTCTTTTTATTCACTTGTTTATTTTAACCACACTAAGGTCGCAGAGGATCACCATCGACGAAGTTAAAAACCCGGATGTTGCGTTTGAGTTGGCAGAAAAGGCTCGGCTTGAGGCAATTGAAGAGCGAAAAAAGGAGTCACATGAGTTACTCAAGCAATATATCGCTCGGCAGGCAGAGGTGGAAGAAGTGCCTGATACAGATAATTTAGAGGATGTGGATGACACTGATGGACTAGATGAAGAAGCCGAGTTTGAGCAATGGAAGTTGCGAGAATTGAAGCGTATCAAACGTGATCGTGAAGAACTGGAAGCGTAAGTTGAAGAAACAAAAAAAAAAAAAAAAGAAAGAAATAGAACACTGGTGCCCATGCGGGAATTGACTACAATTATAACATTTCTTTTCTTCTATTTATCAATAGTCGCGAAGCAGAAAAAGCTGAAATTGAGCGACGAAGAGAGTTGACTGAGGAAGAGCGTGTAAAAGAAGATATGGCGTACCTTGCGAAAAAGGCTAAAGAAGAGCAAGCTAACAAAAAATCGGCTGTCGTTGAAAAGTATCACCATAAGGGAGCCTTCTTTATGGTATGTTATTGCTTATATTGAAATCTAGCTTTACGTTTTTTTTTTTTTTTTTTTTTTTTTTTTTTTTGAAAACATCGTAATAAGGAAAATAATTTGCTCCATCTCTATTTTTGGTGACTTGTAGGATTCTGACGAGGCTATTTTAAAACGTTCAACGGCCGAGGCGACTCCAGATGCAATCAAGAATATTAAAGCTTTACCCAAGATCATGCAAGTCCGCAATTTCGGACGTGCCGGTCAGACGAAGTACACAACACTTAAAGACCAGGATACATCCCAGCGGTCTGGATGGACGGATCCAATGTCAAGAAACCTTATTCAACGACATCGTATGGGTGGACTTCGTGGAGAGGATGTTAAGATTGCTTCGAAAATGAATAGACGCGATGGAGGAGGACGAGGACAAGGACGTGGCGAAAAAGAAAATGCAAATAACATGCAGTTGGGGAGTCGTAGTGATCATTATAGTGGTAGTAGACACTATCGTGATAATGATCGGAGTAGGGACAGAGACAGAGATAGAGGCAGGGATAGTGGCTCATCCTCTCGCGGAAACAGTGGTCGTGATCGTGATCGCTATTCAGAAAGATCATCGTCATCATACCACGACCGAGACAGGGATCGGGACCGCGACCGCAGCCGAGTTGAAAGTGAGCCTAGTAAAAGGCGCCGTTATTAACACTGAAAGCATTTGAAGTGTCATGTGTATGATAATATAATATAATATCAATAATCAGACCAAGTGGTGCACAAAGGATTATTTGAAAGCTTGGTTATTTCGCCCAAACGGGTGCGGCCAATCATAACTGGGAAAAGGAAATCTTTCTGTCGTCACAGGGCATTTTAAGATCTGTCCCCAACCTTTCTTCATTCAAAACATCCGTTAGCATCCTTTGTTTTTATTAACAGCCATTCAATCTGTAGACCCATAGCTTACTTCCTCCAGCATCCACTCGCTCAAGTAATCTTAAAACCCCTTTCCACCATAATGCCAGTCTACAGAGAGATTAGCCAAAACACAGATACCTCACCAATACCAACTGAAATCTCAATACAATGGTCATGTACCTGTCCGTTGGAGGGAGATGGTTCCATTCAAGACATGAACACTATAGCCACTACTACTACCTCCACCACCTCAACTACAGCTGCTCCAACAGATATACCCCCTAATGCTAGTAGCTCGCCTTCACAACAATATTCCTCAACACAGTCCGAGGGGCAACAGGAAGAACAGCATGAACAAGCACAAGAGGAAGAGCGAGAACAAGGGCAACCAGCAAAGAAACACGTTTTGACTTGTCTCCTTCATTCTAGCAATTCACCTGATTTGCTGAAGCAGCAGTTGGCCAAGAAGAAGAGGAAATTAGAGATCGACCAACAACTGCGCAAGAAGAAGCAATATCAACCAAAGCGATACGATCCGTTTGAGCCTGTTCGTATGCTTCCATCCAGGACTTTTGACCTCTATGCTGGATCACAGTTTCGGGGAATCCAACGATCAGGAAGTAATAGCTATGAAGTCCTGGTTGATATCAAGGTAACAATAATAAAAGAAAAAAAAAAAATTAAGAGAAACTTCGGAGTTGGATGTTTTTCAACATGGAAATAATTAATTTTATAATGGCGATCGCTTTTGCCCTATCCGGGAAAACTGTGTAAAAACCTGAATAGCATGTAGATTTGGAGGCTTCGTTCTTGTGCGGATATTTGCGCATCGAAGGTTTGACGGATGAATACCCAGAGTTGACGACATATTTCGAAGCAGAGATCATAGGTCCAAAGTTCTCATTCATTACACAAAAATGGGATGCCACAGAATTGATTGACGAGGAGCATTGGGTAAGGGCTGTGTGCTTTTTTTTTTTTTTTTTTTTTTTTTTTTGTTTTTTTTTCCTTCCTTTAATTCTCTTTTTTTAAAAAAATTGTTAATCGTTTTCTTTTCCTTTATTTTATTTTATTTTATTTTATTTTTTAAAAAAAATATATATTCAGTCTCTATTCAAGCCATTCGACTGTTTGGCAAGTTCTGTGTTTTATGGCGTGGATATGCATAGCCATGAGGATGATAATAACGATGAGGATGATAGTAACTCAGTGCACTGTTCGCATCATCATCACTATGATCCTCATACATATGACCATCAGAACGAGAGCGTAGTGTTTATGCGATGGAAGGAGCATTTCCTCGTACCTGATCATCGAGTTCGAGGGATTTCTGGAGCAAGCTTCGCTGGATTTTATTACATCTGTTATAGCAAGCTCACTGGTGAGATTGATGGATACTACTATCACCAGACGAGCGAAAAGTAAGTAGAGTGAATATGAAAGCAAACGTTGCTAGTTGCTGATTTTAAGTCGATGGAAATGATCTTAATACCACTTTTTTCTCTTTCTCTCTCTCTCTCTTTTTTTATTGGCATAGGCATCAACAGTTGTTATTGCAGCATGTTGATGACCGATCCTTTGGCTTGTTTGAGTTCCGTTAGGTTAGGATTAAGTAATAAAGTATCCTCTTGTTCTGATATTTCCAATTACGATTGGGATGTTTTTCCTTGACAGTTTTTGTGCCTTGTAGTTGCAGCCTGATTGGACCCAGGAATATTGTCCATTGGCAAATGGCTTCACTAAAAGGCCTTATCGATGAAAGTATGAGCAGAAATCTCTAAAACCGACAAGAATATAATTTAGAGACCATGCCTATTTTTTGTAGTTGAATGACGGTTTTAATAAATACTGGGAACCTTACCAGCTGGAGAAAGTATGATCGAAAAGACTCATGGAAATAGGACATTCTGGTGCTGAAACAATCCTTTCCAAGGCTAACCCTCATGGCAGTTTTATTGTTTGCTACTTAGGGAAGGTGAATAGGAAGGAAAAGGTTGGAAAATAAATAGGTGTATGAAATTTTGGTGAAAGAGCATTACGAGCTTTATTTTTTATCAAGTTTTTGTATAAAGAAAAGGTGCAATATGAGTGATGAATGTGGTGTATTCCTATCCGGCTCGCCATTCACCAGTCATCCAGATAGCACTATCATGTATTATCGTAGATTGGTATCTCCTGCCCACTTTACACGATCATAAAGATCACTCTCGTGCTTGCAGAAGTAGTTTTTTCATGGAAGAGTTCAATGACAATAGACTCGCAATTAAAGGTAGGCTACCTAGTAATGATAAGTCAACTCAATAAGTTCAAATTCATTTTTCGCTTGCTGATGGGGAAATAAACCAAAGAAGACACTCTTACACAAGTCAAACAGAATGCAGAAGCCAAGTAGATGCGCGCTGTGCTCAACAGCCTCGGGGATAGGGCGTTGGATGCAATTTTTAGGGGACCTAGACTTGTCTATGCATTCGATAGTGTAGAGAGGCCCATCCGAGAGATAGACGAATGCTTTTTTTTTTTTTTTTTTTTTAGGAAAAAAAAAAAAAAAAAAAAAAAAAAAAAGCACAGACCACAGCAGCTTTTAACTTTAAAACTTTAAATTGGCATTTAATTCTTGTCTGAAATTCCGATATCAGTGTCAACAATCTGATCAAAAGCAGGCAAACATCCTCAAAAAAGTATGAAAAGTATACCTTGGCCACGAGGAAAGGATACAAGCAGGCTCCCACATCTGCCTGTTACGACGCGAATGAGACTTGAGGAAAGGAGAGTGAGAGACAGAAACTGTCAACCAATATATTTAGTCCATGTGCGTCATCGCTCAGTAGTACTTGATATATAAGCGCATCCTTTTCTCCTTCTTTTTTATATATATATAAGAGATATGGATGGGGGTTGATACATGATAATATACAGAGATGCTTCTTTTTTTTTTTTTTTTTTTTTTTTTGTTGATATGCGATTGTGTGATGTGTTGATGCGTGATGTATGGATGACAATCTAAAAAGTCGATCCAGCCAATCGCCATTCCCCACAAGTCCTGCTTCCCTAAGTTCTTTTCTTTCTTCTGTCTCTCACTCCTTAAACAAAGCCCCAGCTAATTTGAATGGCACCATATCTTAAGGAGCCAACCTCTTGAAGGCAGCCTGCGAGGGATCCAACGAGCCCGAGGAGCAGTATATGGAGGAGCAAGTGCCAACCACAGTGGCCACCACAGATTGACTATTGCCAGTGATATGCGTAAATTTGCCCGTTTTGCGGCCCAAGGAATACCACTGGGACATATTTTTTTTGTACTTCCTATCAGCAATTGCTATATAGTAAGATTATAAGCTTTGGGAAGGAATTTGATGAGGCAGAGGCCTTGCTATTTGACGCGAGATTCCGCTAGAAATAGAGCGAGCATGAGGAGCTTATCATTTACCTTGATAATAACAATTTTGTCACCCCACAGAGGACGGAGGAGAAGTGAGTGCTGATGTCATGAAGATCCGACAACAATGGGCGATCTGCTACCGGCAGGAAGTGCCTTATTTTTCAATTGTTGCGAATAACTACATTGAATCATGGCACTACATTCTCCTGCGCCGCTTTCTTTTAAGAGAGACAACAGCGGCGAGCCGACAAAACGACCTATACTCTTGCAACATGAGTTCCACACTCTTAGAAGTGTATGATCAGCACTTTAAGAGTGAGGAGAATGAACCCAGTCCAGAAGGTTGAACTTTGCATGAAGAAGATCGCAGAAGAATATCTTCGTAGTAAGGCTGGACAGGGAGTGAAGCTATCAAGCAGATTAACAATGGGCTGCTCCGTGTGAAGTCATTCATGAGTGTTGGTGTGAAGTACGATGTCGTTATCAACTTCAGCAAGCCATCTCTCAGTCGTATAACAAGCTGCCCCTGTCCTTATTTCACATCACATAGTAGCTGTTGCAAGCATGTTGCCTTGGCCTGTCTTGAGATTCCACAGCTGCGGCTGTGGCACGCTGATGATGCCGACACCAAGAACGCCGGAGACAGCCAGCACATCTACCTGAACAAACCCATAAGAATTACTTGGCATATTCGCAGGAAGAGCTACGGGCCTTCAATATGGCAAACAAGTATTGGATTCGTATTAATGCTCTAAGGAAACCCAACAGTAGAGACTGGAGCCAATTGCCACAGTCCATTTAAATTGGAAAGGCATAAAATGAAAAGGTAATCAGCCCTTGACTCATGAAAATCCTGTAACCATTCCTTTGATTTCTGCATTTCATCTTTTTGACACAGTGTTCGCATCAGTCAATGGATAGCAATGGGTCACATGGTTCTGGTGCGTCTTATTGGCAACAACCAGCTTTAAAGGTAACTATACCTCCCCAAAAGGGGTTGCCTGCTCGATTTTGGAGAGAAGTCTCTGAAGTCACATGTCGGACCTTTGGTTTCTTTCAGCAAAGCGAATGATAACTCACCGACCAACTCTCTCTACTGACCAAACACAACGTAGCCTGGGGCCAAGTTGGTCTTTTGAGTCTGAATATGATTGGTGATTGTTCTACGAGAAATGTTTAGACGTTCTTGCAGGATAACGAGCTGGAAAAGCGCGCTAAAACCAAGCAGCATTTCCCCATCATTTTCGACGGCCTCTGCCAAATGCGCATTGAACTCTTCTAAAAATTCCTGAATAAGGATTGTTTTCCTTGGGTAATGAGCTCTTCCTTACATTTGGAGTAAGAGTGAAACACACCCCACCGAAGCTGCAAGCAATCCAGTCAATTGTGAACAAAAAATTAGAGAAGGCAGTTATTTTTGCAAGGTCACGTCACTTGGGGCATTCTCTTCATGTCATTAAGTCACAACTGTCGTGCATTGGCTGACATTTGTCTCCTTTTTTTCTTTGCTTCCTTTTTATCACCTACAAAGAGCAGCAGTGCAACTACGCCATCCTACCATGGCACAACATCGTAAGCGCACACGCGACACAAAGGCTCAACGCCCTGCACATGCACATCGCCTGCGGTTCTTTAATTTGCTTTTTTGTAGTTCGTTCAGGACTTGCTACCTCAATTACTTACTTCTGCACTTGGTGTACCAACGCCAACAATATGCGTTTTTTCTTTCTGTATTTCGATAGATGCATCTCCATACCATGATGTTAAACATGTGCCCATGATTGCCTCACCACTGTTCAAAGTACCAACAGCTGTATGATTTATTCCACCTCACTCATTAGCTTTGTGCTCCTTGCTACATTTATAAAAAAAAAGAGACTTGGCACTGACTCTACTTTCGTCTACTTGAACTGATGCTCGAAAATTAGATATCGCCTCCATACGATATGCATCCGTTACCTGATGACATTACCCAGCGGGTATGGCCAAGTTCACTTTCCTTTATTTTGTCTACGCTGATTTTACCATACTATTTCAGCCCATTGATTGCATTAGTTGTCTCTTCTATCTGTTCTGCTAACCTCACTTTTTCATTGAATAGAGATATCATGATTTTTCATTGGAGCACAGGATTGTGGAAGAATACCAACGCATTGTGGCTGAGGAGGCTGCCATCACGGAGGCTAGAGAGGACGCATATAAAAAGTACGCTGAAGAACGAGAAGCACGACTAAAACAAGAAAGAATCAGCCGTGCTAGAAAGATTGCGCCCGGATTCTTGGACAGCGAGGACCGTCGGATTTTAACTCCAACACTAGCTACAGCACAGGCCAGGGATCAGCAACAACAGCAGAAGCAACATCAGGCAAATTCTAGTAATGGACAAAGTGCGAAAAACCACTTTGACTATAGTGAATTTGAAGCGAATGATAATAGTCTTACTGATGAGAATGCGCTTGACAAGAGGACCAGCAAAAATAATGATGATAGCGATACAAACGCTAATAATTATAAGGAGGAGCTACTACCGGAGCAGCAAAAATCGCTGCAGAAGCTTCCTCCACAGCAGCAGAATCAGACTAGTCCTCTACAAAGAACAGATTCATCCTTGAACCAAGGCTTTGTTCAGGAAACGGGTGGAGAGGCTGTGGAAGAAGAGGTCATTGTTCAGGCTGTCCCGTTGTCGGAACTTACAGGAATGCTACGTGACAGTTGCTTAGAAGAAGATTCATCAAATACTGCACCGAGGGCTTGGACTGAAAGGGATGTGTCATCAGTGTCGTCAGAGGTATTTGTTAGTCTAATACAGATCGAACTGATGCTTTCATTTGTTACAATGGCTGTTGATAAATCTATTAATTTTTTTTTTTTTTTTTTTTTTTACATGACAGAAATCTGCTTTACCTTCATTCAACGCAGCAACACGATTGGACTTTCGTGAGTTTGAACAAGGATTGGGTCCTCCAGATCCTTGGGAGGCACCGGTTGATGACTTGACGGCTCTGAAAGACGTTATATCGCAGCAAATGGGCCACAGCAGCTCATCACAGACACAGGATATAGCACGCCCACAGCCTCAACAGCAGCAGCAGCACCCTCCAATACAAACATACCCGTACCAACAACAGCCTCAGCAAACACAACCTCAACAGCAACTACAGCAGCCACAAACACAACCACTACAACATCAACAGCAGCAGCAGCTCGGTTCATCTTTTCCACAGCCCATGGATCAACAGTTACATGGCCAATATTCTTATGGCGTCACACCCAACAAAGCGGCTTTTAATTCCTCATCTACCCCTATTGCAGCCTTTCAGCCTCCGCATAAGCCTACAGGGATTGCTCAGCAGCAACAAGCACTACAGCATCATCAACAGCAGCATCGTCATTCAACTGGTGGTATAAGCGGTGGTAACAACGGTCCTCATAATGTGACAGGTTTAACAGCAGCTCAGCAGCAGGCACGTTTTGGTAATGCGACACCTTCTCCACCACCATTGCCCCCACCACCCAACAGGGCTGTGACCGCGTCACCGAGTGTTGGAACAGGTACCGCTTCTGGACAGCCCGTTGTGAGCCGACCACCCCTACCAGCGCGACCATTCCGAGGGGCGGGGATGGATTCGATCACCTCAGAGCCCTCAGGAAGTGCAGGCGTAGGTGTGGAACATGTAACCATAACGGACCGCTCAATGACGCCTCCACGACCACCACTGCCACCACCACCTACATCCGCTCGTGATCCAATTGGAGCAGACAATGAAAGTCAACAGCATTCTCACCAGCAGGTTGTTGCTCCGGCACCTCCTAACGCCAACTCGTTAATTGAGCAGTTGCTTAATATGGGCTTCACAAGGGAGCAAAGTCGAAGCGCACTAGAGAAATATGACTATGATTTAGAGAAGGCAACGAACCATCTGCTGGATTGGGATGATTAGAGAACAAATACGTAAAGCATTAATAATTATAATAAAAGTAAAAAGCAAAAATAAAAACTAAGATATAGTTGGCAGTAATGTCGCGGTGCACAATGTCTCTAATATCTTTTAGCTTCTGAACAGGTGAGATGACCGAATAACGCTTTGGCCAATTATTGATGGGAGAATGTCTTGTAATAAACACTCTGTGGACTGTTCTCCAAGTTAGTAGAGATTGTTTAACCTATTTTCCTTTAAAATCTTGATCATCTTTCTTGCTTTCTTTTTTACTCCCTTGCTACTCTATTTATCCATTGTTTCAACCAACCAGTCAATTTTTTAGACTCTGTGAACTTGAACAGTCGTCATTCATTGCAACCTTCTTGCATATGATGAAAAATATCAACAGCGTTATTCTCAATAGCCTAAGTAGAAGAAGCAGCATTGAAGCAGATAATCATCAACAAACACAACAACAGCAGCTCTTGTATTCAACTCCACACGTCCTAATAGGGTCTAGCCCAACGGTGGGCGAAGCAAAAGCCACAATCCCAGCTACTGATAACTTTTCAGATCAAGATGAAACGGCATTAGAAACAGTAATAACAAAGGCCACTGACATCGCGCCAGGCTCTGCCACCAAGACTGATTTTAATGTAAAGAAAGAGAAGAATAATAGCCTGGGTGGTGATGCAACAGCAGATCTGGATCCAGAGAGTGAAGAGCCTGTCAATCGAGAAAAGACTGCAGACGCTATCCTTGCGCAAACTGTCGAGACCTTGCCAATGCGGCGGCTCTTGCCTGCACTTTTTGGGTAAGCAAATACAAAAAATAAGATGAAAAAGAGAAAGAGTCAAAGTAGGTGCTGAAACAATGCTTGTGCATGGAGTCATGGAATCTTTGTAACCAAGATATTTTCCGCACCCTGATCCCCACTTCGTCAACCCTTATGGTTTCAACGCACGCACACATTCATACGTCCTCCTTCGCACTGTATTCGGGCAGGCGTGGCCCCGAAACTCAGACTCGTTTGAGGAGGAACTACTCAGGTCACGTTTTTTTTTTTTTTTACTCACACGCTGTTTTATACACTTCACCTTGAAACCAAATATTTAATAGGGTTGCGCTGATTACGTTCATGGCAGCGCTGGATAGCAATATTGCGTCAATTGCGCTTCCCAGGATTGGAACCGAATTTAGAGGATCCAACCGGATCGAATTGGCATTTACGTGTTATGTCATCACATTTAATGCATTTCAAGGTAACTATGACAATACATTTGTATATATGGCTACCGTGTTCTTGATTATCCTACACTTTTGCTAATGCATGATACTTAGGCCTTTATGGAAAGATGAGCAACGTGTTTGGCCGCAAACTCACGGTGCTTGTGGCGATTGCCATTTTTGCGACAGGATCATTCCTCTCAGGAGCCTCCCAATCAATGAATATGTTTTTAATCTGTCGAGCGGTTGCGGGTGCTGGAGTCGGTGGTATTTTTTCATTAACTTATATCATCATTGCAGATTTGGTCTCTATTCGTGATCGTGGTAAATTTCAGGGCTTTATTTCAGGCGTATTCGCGATTGCAGCCTTGGTGGGGCCTGCGTTGGGAGGAGCCTTTGTAGATAAGCTCTCCTGGCGATGGTGTTTTTGGATCCAAGTGGGTCTTGCAGTCGTGACTGTACCTATAATGCTGATTACATTGAAACTACCTAGGCCGAGAGGGACCATCTGGGACAAGATCAAAAGCATTGACTGGACAGGAACCCTTCTTATGGCACTAGTAGCAGTGTTTTCATTGTTACCCACCAATCTTGGGGGTAATTTGTATCCATGGAACTCGGCTTTAGTGATTGTCATGTATTCATTGGTGTTGCCGACCATCACAGCATTCTTGTATGTCGAGGCTAAATGTGCGGATCAACCGATCGTCCCACCATACTTGTGGAGAAACCGCAATGTGGTGGTATTACTGTCTATCAATGTTTTTATGGGAATGACCTTCTGGTCCCTTACGTTTTACTTGCCCATTTACTTTCAGGTAAAGAAATCTAAATATATATATATCTTCTGTTGCTATAATGCATATTTTCTTATCGGCCTTGCCAGTAATCCTTCTTCTTACCCATGTGGCGGATGACTCTTCTGTCACTAGATCATTGAGCACGAGACAGCGACTGTAGCTGGGTTAACCATGATCCCGCTCGAGGCTGGTATCTTTATTTCATCCAATATAGCTGGGGCCTTGGCTACCAAATTTGGAAAATTCAAACCTTCTCTCTTTTTAGGAACGGGAATTGCAGTCATTGGTGTTGGCCTCTGTCTTGTGATGGCTAACACGTCAAGCAAAGTGTTTCATGTGGTCACCCTCTTTATCTGTGGTTTGGGCATCGGTCCACTTTTTCCTTGCTTAATTATAGCTATACAAGCAGCTGTGGAACGAAAAGATCTGGCGATAGTGTCGGCCCTGCTCAGTTTTTTCCGAATGACAGGATCAGGATTTGGTGTGGCGATCAATGGAGCGCTTTTTCAGAACCGGCTGAGTAACTCTTTAAAAGCATCGAGCGTCCCTAGAGAATGGGCCGAGTTAGCCACAGTGTCTGCACACAAGATTATCGAGATCCCTGCGGAGTATCGAGGCATTGTGGAAAAGATTTATTTGGATAGTATGAAGACAGTTTTCAAGGCGATGATCCCGATGACGGGGATGATGTTTATATTGACGTTTGGAATTCAACATGTGAGATTGGATCCCAAGACAACAACGCCTACGAATCCTCAACAGCAGCAAGGAAAGAAAAAAGATAGAAATGAGGACAGTGATGATGAAAATATGGAGGTAGTAGTAAGTGATATCGATGTAGTGTCTGTAAGGGAGCAAAACAAGGAAGCAGTTGATGCTCGCTCAAAGTGAACCAAAATTGGCACATTCCACATTATTTGTTCTTTTTCTTATTTTTTTCCGTTGTAGTTTATACTTCACTATCTTTTCTTTGCTCGTTGCATTCTACCTCATTCTCATCAATTCATTCCCACATAAACACTGCTATTTTGATCCGCACCTTCCCTGTCTTCTTTCTTATTTGTTTGCGTGCTTCTGCTATCGTAATAAATTCAGGCATAGCTGATATATAGCGTGCTTCTTTTTCAGATTTGTATGAGAAATGAATATGGAAATATAACTGTATTATTATATGTATATATATATATATATTTGTAAGTGATGTTTTTTGAAAATTCTAATTGCTCTTACTTTTTTTGTGATTATCCTAAGCAGATATGCACGACTGGAACTGCATCTGACATGATAAACCAAATATTCTGCTGAAAAAAAAAAAAAAAAAAAAAAAGAATGGTCGAGAGCCCTTTTCCTTTCTTGCCTGTTGGCCCTTTAGTCTGCGAACCTTTCTGCCCTAATCAGCAGTATTTGTAGCATCTGTAGCATTTGCAGTATTTGCAGTATTTGCAGTATTTGCCATTCTCAACACTTCATACAAATACAAATACAAATATCATATATACTTTTATATATTTTTAATTGGCGGTATCCTTTTGACCCTCATCCAAGACCAGAAGTTGTTTTAATGAAACGGACAATATATGTAATAATATATAGCATTATTGCCCCGATATTTTAGTCTTGTTTAACGCCCTGGAGTACATGAATAAATAAAGTTTGTGTACAGCACAAAAATGCAATCAAGGGAACAGGAACAGGAGCAAATGGTATAATGTATATATCCAAGTGCATACCAACATCCGTAGAAAAGTAACTGAACCCACAACGTTTTGTGTTTCCTCCATGTACTTTATTCAGCGATAGGGCAATTCAACACTATTTTTACAAGCGCTCAAACCCTGCTCAACACCTGTTGCTCTGGAATAACCTTGTAAAGACAAGCTATCATTCCTCTTTTTCTTCTCTCTATCCCTTTTTTTTTTTTTTTTTTTTTACTTTTTTTAAAGCCCATCATCTTTCTTCAACTGTCATCCTGCTTCATCTCATTCTTGGTCATTGTCACATTGCGTTTGCTCGTTTGCTTATTTATCCGTTCCTGAGTGTCCAGCTACTCCAGCCTGACTGCTGTTGCTGCTACATATCAAGAAACTCATCGCCTCGTTAATCTCTCTCTCTCTCTCTCTCTCTCTCTCTCTCTCTCTCTCTCTTCTCTCAAACACTCTCTCTTTCCTCCTTGCTTTTATTCTCCTGTGAGAGTCCTTGGCTTTTTTTTTTTTTTTCGTTCACTTAGTCATCGTCGCGCTCATTTTCCTTGTGTGTATCTCTCTCACCTCTCTCCGTGCATGTGCATCTCGTGTTCGCATGCGCATTGACAGACAATATTCTCATTACTTTTTTTTTTTTTTTCCCCTGATCTTAATCCTACACCATGTTCAACAACAAGACCAACAAACGCATCTCCCTTAACCCTATTGACAAGAGTCAGTATGATGGTGATACAACCCCCATTATGACTGACTATATCCCTTCAACCACCCCTACTTCTGCAACATTTCCTTCTTCTCCCAGACAACAAGATCATGGGAGCGGTAGAGGAGGATATCAACAGGCACATCGAGGAAACGGCGGGGCTTCAGGAGGACGCGGATATGACAATGGGTTGAAATCAGCACCTATCCAGCTGCCGAGCGGAGATTACGGTGACAATCATAGTAACAGGTCCCAACATGGTCAAGGATACAGCAATGGTGGAAATGGTGCGCGCAGAAATAACACCTACCATAGCAGTAGTCCAAACCATCAACAGCTTCGCCATCATGCGACTCATCGTAGCAATAATAGTAGCCATAGCGGCAATGGTGGCGGTAACGGCAATGGTCGTCGCTATCGAAACCAACAACCTATGCCAACGCAACAGATGACATACCCCTCATCGCGAAGCCAATCAGACTTGCATAATGGATACCAATCTTCACAACCAATCTATTCGCCTACGGCATCATCTTTCCATAGCCAATACTCATCATCACCAGGATCTCCTCTACCACCCTATATAGAGCGACCGACCATGAATCCACCACCCCCAAGCTATTCACCATCAACACGCGATGGCAAAGGAGGTCGAATGCCACCATCTCGATCAACCAGTGACCCGGAGTTGGCATTGTATGAGTCTAGTGCATACTATACCGATCGCAACCGAATGCAACAACAACAGAAGCAAATGATGCAACAGCGACGGAAGCAACAACAAGAGGCGCAAGATAAGGAATGCTGTTCCTGTTGCAGAGATATGGGCGAGTTTTGTCCTTGCTTTTGCTTCTGTTGCATGTTTGGTGCAGCGGCTGCATGATATCCCAACTTGCTCTTACTCTCTTTTTCATTTCTATTCCCACTCCTTCACTTCTTTCTCTCTCTCGTATTTTTTTTTTTTTTTTTTTTGCCCCACGCAAAACGTTACCCATTCACTCATTTACCAGATTAATGAACCGTTTTTATTTTTATTGCTATTAATATTATTTATTAATAAAAGTGTGTACAGTACATGTATTCATACGCAGATGGATATGTATAGCTTTGCCCTTGATGGATTCCACTCTTTTCATAAATTTGCAAGCAAGGCTGTAGAAAAATGGCTGCGTTTTAATGTCACACAAAATCTTTTTTAAAAAAGCCCTGTTTCGACTAAGCAATTGGACACATTCAACATGTAAGCATTTTTTAAATCATTACTACCCCTTTGATAATTTTATTGCACCTTTTACCCCATTAAGATTTGCAGCTACAAATCCAAAATTGGAATCTTGTATGTATATATATATATATAATAATAATAATTATTGTATTAGGACCACACTTTTCTGAAGTGAAGGAGCCCAAAACACAGAAAGGAGTACTTACAGCTTGTTACTGGATATGGAGCCTATTTTGCAACATTATCAACACGATCTCATAAGATATTTGTGCTGAAAGATAAAATATAAAAGGTGGAAGATTATACCGAAAAAAAAGAAAAAGAAATGGAAAGTCAAGCATAAAGTAAAAAAAAAATAGCTACATAATGTTCCTCTTCGTTCTCTTCTCTTATTCTTAGGGTCCGGGGTGAGTGCTGACAAGTCGGGTTTTAACTTTAAGTGTAAACAATAAAGGTTTAAAAAAAAATGAACATTTCCCAATCCTGAATTCCGACCATTTTTGGTTGCAATTTTATAAAGAAAACCATCTTTTTTTACTTAAAACTCCAATTAAGCAAATTCTATTATTTACGACTCCCCCTATTCCTAAGCCAAGTTGAAAGGGCTTGATCTCTAGAATCTGTGGATGTATTGAAAATTAGATTTCATTGTGAATGATCCTTTCAACATGTTCATTCAAATGCAGCCATTCAGGTCATAGGCGGCTTAGAGAATAGTCAATTACAAGAATTTTATTAAGTAAGCGACATGTAATTGATTAGATATACCAAAAAGGAAACGATTGAGGCATGTATCATGTGACTTACTGCAGTTACAGGATAAGGGATCTTGGGAAATGATCTAGGGATCGCCATCACACCTTTACGTGTTAATCATGGAAGCTCGGTCACGTATGAATTTTTTCACTTCGCTTTTTAAATCAGTACGCGATTTATTTTTCATTTCTCTCATAATCAACTTTTCTCCATTACTCTTTGCTCGAATTAATTCTCTTTCTCCCTCTCTTAATTTTAATCCATATCATAGGATAGGAGGCAAGTAAATTTTTATTATTTTACTGATGAAATTGTGGCTGGACGAACTAGGGACTCCGTGGATGCAGAGATCTGAGCCTGAAGAGAAAGGGCGTGATGTTCCGATTTCCAGCACGTGCTGGAAGCAAGCACAAACTTGTCGCTCATACAGCACAAGCTGATTGCCCAAACAGCGCGAACCTGTTCTGCACGAACCTGTTCTGAAAACAGCAGAAAAGCACACAGGCTTGTCCTTGAATAAAAAAACCCACAATCATCTGCATGCATAACAGGCTTCTTCTCTTTTCGCACTTCCATTACCATTCTCATTCAATTCTCAGAGAACCTTCTGCATCATCCCTAAAGACACGCTTAATACCACGAACAGTTGACAGACTAACTTTGTCTCGCAAAGCGGCCATGTACTTTAATAATTCAGCAAATGCTCGGCATCTCTGCCTCTACTTTCTCTTTATTACTAATGTTGACTATATATAGTCAAAGCCAACTTCTACTTCCATAGCTAGGTTTCTATATCTCTATATCTCAAAGATCTTAAAGACCAATAATCATCGTCTGCGATGCCAAGTAACACTGATACGATTGTACTAGATTCTTCTCTTGCAACAGCCTTCGCAAAGAGATAAAGGGAACAATCTTTAAACATGTTTAGCCCATTTACTCAATCCACAAAAAACAGTTTGTTCCCCTCGCGGAGGAGAGAACCCTCAATATGCGATAAAACTTTTTTTGTCCATATTCTTGTTTTGTTTAATAAAGTTTTTTCTGTTCTCATTCATTCTCTTCATGCTCCCACTTTCCATTCATCTTCCTGAATCAGTCTGCCTGACCTTGAAACACAATTCCTTTTTTTTATTCAATGATGAATGATAAGAGTGAAAATTTCTTGTTCGACAAAGAGCATGGCGAAGAGTATGGGGAAGTATGGCGAAGAGTATGGCGAAGAGTATGGCGAAGAAAATAGCGATGACTTTGATGAATATCACTCATTCAACCAGGAAGTCAATGAAAATCTAGACGAAGACCCTACTTTCAACGAGAATAGGTGCGAATTCGAGAGTGACGATGACTACAGCGGGTTTTCTGGAAGGCGATCGCCTGTAAGTCTATACCTTTGACTCTTAGTTGCTAGTTAATACTTGATATCCGTTGCTTCGAACCTTTTTACTGACTTCTTCCGTACGCGTCAATGCTTCTGTAGTCAGAGAGCCTCATCGACCGACGCGCCCAGCGGCAAGCGCAGGCGAAGCGTGATATATGGCGTCATGGTCAGGACAGACACGAACAAGAGCAAGTTGATGTTTACTAAAGCAACGATATAGACCATTCTGGCGGAGAATACAATGTCTTGGGCGTGAAGACGCGCGAAGGGCGTTCAAGGTCTATGTTCGAGGAAGTGCAAACACGCCAGTTGCCCCAAGTGACTTCAAGAAGCGAAGCCAGCGTCGCCGCCAGTAGCATCAGGTCTGCCCAAGCCAAACGAGGATATCCTAAGACTCCTTCTCCTCCAACAAATCAGGGACTGCCTATTCAACCTGCCAGACCTAGGTCATTCCTACGTTCAATCTCAGCATCTCATGTTCTTGGCTCACCCTCTACATCCACATTATGCGCTCCGCGACAATCCCCACTACCACCGCTACAAAGGGTCGAGAGCTTTCATTATTATCGCAGTCCACAGCCTAGGTCTTATCTCTCCTCAGTTACTTCATCGTACTCTGGACGGCATAGAGATGTGCATGGCGTTCAGTCCAAGTTGCCCATCTCTCTGCACCAGACCTCTCGGGCATCTTCATCGTCCTCCTCTTTTCGTGGACTTCCTCAGATCTCACGAGATTTAGCCTATCCTTTATCTTTTGACAACCCACAAGCAACCCTGCTTGCAGCTGAAGCTGAAGCTTTGGAGCAGCGTCGACTTAACCTACGTGCCAGTCATGAAGCATCGGAGACACGGTACACGCTATATGAATCGCTTGAACTTGGCGTTTTACCTTCGCCCGAACAGTGCGACGACGCGCCCGCCTCACAAAAGCCTTTGGCACAAGTCTCAATACATAAGTGCATACGCAAGTCTAGTATCCTTGGACATTTCTATAGTACAGATGCATCTGGCTTCTTCGAATGCCAGGTTAAGAACAGTCTCGGGGTAAAGTGTGGCATAAAGTACAAGAAGCAGGGGGCGGCAGATCACGAAAAAAATCATCTCCTCAAAAACCACTCCACAATATATGAGGCTGTGCAGGAATTTCGCCTCTATCAAGGCATGGTCCAGAATGTCAAGTCGTCAAAAGATCAAGATGATGATGATGAGCCCCCTAGACCACAGGGGAACTTCGAAGTGGCTAGAGAGGGATTTGTTCTTACGACTATGAAGAGGCCACTTCCGTATGAACAACAGTTCTTCGAGAAATTACTTTTAAGGCTTATCGCCGACAACGGAGCGACCTTCAATTTAAATGGCTCGGATTCTTTCAAGGCAATATGTTTGCAACTTAATCCATTATACGTAATTCCAAGCACAGACGCTATCCAATCAAACATGAATTTAAGTGTAATGCATATGTGGAGGCAAATCGAGATACATCACTGATCGTAAAATTCAAGGCGCAATCACAGCGGATAGTTGGACAAGCGGTGATCAAAGGAAGTTCTTTGGAGTAACATTTCACTTTCTAACACATGACTTTCAGCCAGCTTCAGTTGTGACTGGCATGGAACGAGTCCAAGGCCCTCAATCGGCAGAAGCCCTATTGGAAAAACTTGGTAAGAATATCATTGCTTTAGCTCTGTCGGTTTACTGCCTGTTTGAGACCAATGTAAATAACACTTTTAATCCTGGAATTTGTTCTATAGAAGGTGTAATCGCAAGATGGAATTTGGAAGGGCATTTGATCTGTGCAACAACGGATCAAGGGTCGAACATAAAAAGAGCCATACAACTTTATAATCTAAAGAAGAGTATTACCTGGCTTCCCTGTTTTTCCCATGTAATACAGCTGTGTATCAATAAGGCATTGGAACGAAGTTCTGGAGCTAAGGCGGTGATGGAAAAATGCCAAAAGATCTCAACCTTCTTCAGAAGCTCCAGTCTTGCTATGGATATGCTTAACAATCAGCGTAGCAAAAGTAACAAAAAATTGGTCAAACTGCTTACAACGAATGTCACGCGATGGAACTCAAAATTCAACATGGCAGCAAGGGTGCTTGAAGTTTCAGAAGCAATTACAGCGGTCTATCAATTAATGAGGGCAGGATCCAAAGACGAAAAGCTTAAGGCTGCGGAGCTCGGGCGGCACCTCCTTGTCGAGGGAGAGATCGAGACCCTGCAGGAAATTATCACGCTCTTGGAGCCGGCTGCCAAGCTTACACACTGGGCAGGCACACATGATAACCCGACCATTTCGCAAATCTATTTGAGGGTCCACACCATGCTCCCGGCGCTTACAACATTCCGAACGGAAGAGACGAGAGAGTTATGGCAAAGCCTGGACGAACAGATCAAAAAATCGTGGCCTCTCGAGGACATTCCAGATACCGTGCTAATTTCTATATTCCTGAACCCCGCTTGCGTAGCACTCGATATCTTAAAGGATACGATGCATGCTAGTGGGGAAAGTCTGTTTATAAAAGCAAAAAAACTCTGCAGCGAAGCCTTTAAGATATTCAAAGAGAATAATACAGTGACAAAAAATCCATTGATTATCAGATACTCTACTTCTCTTCGAATTTTGCGGTAGAGCTCTACGCTTCACAGTACGCTCGCCGGACTACAATCACGATCGTTTTAAAGATAAGCCTAAGGACTATTGGAGGCCATATGGCATCGATGAAAATATCTCAGTTGGGGATCTTGCCCACTTCGTGCGCTCGTACCTCTGTATCCAGTCCACATCAACTGAGTCTGAGCGTTTGTTCAGTAAGGCAGGGCTAGTCCTCTCTCCACTTAGGACCAACCTCAGTGATCGAAATGTGCGCAACATCATTTTTAGTCACAGCTTTGAGAAGATTCGGACTTTGTTAGACTTACAATGAAATAAATTAAGCGTTTTTATCTACACTGCGCGTCAACAGTGTTGTATTTTGTCCACTACTTGTGAAAGTAGTATAAAGTGATTGGCAATATTAAGTTTTAATCGCTTTATTCTGAAAGATGCTTCTATATTTTGGACTCCATCAATGAAACTCGCTATATTTTAATGCTCAGACGGAGGCCCAGGCCGTTGTGATGACATAAGGACATCTTCCTTTGACTTTGCAGCTTTTTTTCTGATTACTCATCGCAATGTGGTAATTCTTCATCTATTAATTCTCGAAGCTAATATCTAGGATCAACTAGAGGATTTACAAACCACTCATCAATTTCAAAGAATGTATTGATCAAGCAGATGTCGGGCGCGTTTCACCCCTTTTTTTTATGAGAGCGTTCTTGAGTTAGAAGACAAGTCAACTAATAGGACATTGGATAGGCCAGAGAGCAACTTTAACATGGCATTTTGTTTAAATTTTACTTTGGTATCCCGATGAGAATATGCCGTATCGCCATGCCGGTTGAAGAAATAAATGATAAAAAACTTTTTCTCATACCATTTTTAATGACTTACACTTAACATCTGCCTCAAGAATAAAGTATATATTCCACGGAGTGACAACCATGGTGCCTGAGGGATAGAGACTTCAGCATTGCTAAGCCAGGGCAAGACTTCTTTTACTAAACCCAAAAAGAGTGGCAAGAGAAGAATCTAGTACAATCGTATCAGTGTTACTTGGCATCGCAGACGATGATTATTGGTCTTTAAGATCTTTGAGATATAGAGATATAGAAGCCTAGCTATGGAAGTAGAAGTTGGCTTTGACTATATATAGTCAACATTAGTAATAAAGAGAAAGTAGAGGCAGAGATGCCGAGCATTTGCTGAATTATTAAAGTACATGGCCGCTTTGCGAGACAAAGTTAGTCTGTCAACTGTTCGTGGTATTAAGCGTGTCTTTAGGGATGATGCAGAAGGTTCTCTGAGAATTGAATGAGAATGGTAATGGAAGTGCGAAAAGAGAAGAAGCCTGTTATGCATGCAGATGATTGTGGGTTTTTTATTCAAGGACAAGCCTGTGTGCTTTTCTGCTGTTTTCAGAACAGGTTCGTGCTGTTTCAGAAAAGGTTTGTGCTGTTTCAGAACAGGTTCGCGCTGTTTGGGCAATCAGCTTGTGCTGTATGAGCGACAAGTTTGTGCTTGTTTTCTTCCAGCACGTGCTGGAAATCGGAACATCACGCCCTTTCTCTTCAGGCTCAGATCTCTGCGTGGATGCAAGGCAATGCTGCATACCATGTGGCGGCATTCCTTAATTCCCATCATCACTTCCCTTTAATTTAATGCCAGAAGGGACTGATGATTGTGAACGTCCTAGACCTTCCATGGAGCGGATTCATATGGGGACCCTTTGGCAAAGGACGTCAGTGAATCTAGGTCTCCAGCTATTCTTCCTTATATTAATCTAATTAGAGAATTGATAAATTGAGAATCACTAACACATATTTAGCTGTCAGTGTTTTACTTCATCTATCAACCTGAAAATAGCAGCTTTCTTTAAAAGATACAATGACAACAAATCCTCCTAAGGACACTGACGGTATAATACCCTGGACTTCGTTTCTTGGACATGTACCTGGTGCAGACTACTTCAAACAGTTGAAGCGACCTCATGAAATCAGATATCTGGATTATCTAAAGTTTTGCAATGTGCATTCTGAAGACATGCGTAAATATGATTCACATTGGAGGAACGTGATCTTGCGAGCGCTGCAGAATAGTGGATGTGCTATACTTGAGCAGGAATACTCCAGGCTAGATAAGGAATGGAAGAAAGATGTGTCAGAACGGGAACAATTCTGGAGAGAATTAAGAATCAATGAGATAGAGCAGGATGATGCTCGGTTCAATAAGGAACTTATGGACAGTGTTAAGCGTAATGCTGTTGACCAACTTAATATGACATACAAGGATTTTACTTGGAAACTTGATGCTGAGTTTGGTATGCATTCTGCTTATGTTTATAGGTGATACAATACAGTAATGTTGACTTATAATGTGATAAGCTAATAGCAATTCCTTTAACACGCAGCCCGAAGTAGAGATCGTCGTCTTTCTGCAATGGTATATCCAACTTATTGAGAAGATCTGAGTCATCGTAAAAAACATAATTGCTGCAAGAGTAAGGACGATAATGACGTCTCTTTTACTGAAGAAATGGCTTCTCAGTTTGTTTTCTTGGATTCCATGTAGAGTCTTTTACTCCATATGGAAGAAGGTGCGAAAATTGGTATGAGCAGAGAAGCCAGGTACAAGAATATACGCCAGATGAGGACGTTTATCAAGAGATCTTTAATGAAGAGAAGACTGCGGAGGATTTTAATGATATTATATATTTACCTGTTTATCTAATTGTTAGTGAATAGCTCTATAGGTTCTGAATATATCGAGATAGACCAAATAACACAAAGAGCGCAAACAAAAAAACAAAAAAAAGTCAGGACCCGAGTTACTCGTTTATGATACACAATGCAGCACGCTTATGATTGATGGATGGAATATGGGAATGAGGAGAGAAGTTGCTGCGCCTGTTGTTAACGTTAAAAGTTTAGTAACAATCTATAATGAATCATGAATTAAACATGTCAGCCATGTGGCCTGTGAATCAAAGGAGATTTTTAATCCGGGTTTATCTCTCCTTGATCATAATCATGAGTATGAGAATGAGCATGGCAGTACACATTATATACATGTATGATATTGATATTATGTATGTATTCAATTATAAATGTGTGTGTGTGTGTGTGTGGGGAAAAGTTTCTTTTGTGTAAAAGAAACATGAGGGACAAACAAAAAAAGGCATGCTTCAACTTTAATGCCACATGGCAAAGGGCACTGATATAAACATATCATATCCAGTGGCATGTTCGGTTCCTAGCCCCAAACGATGTTGACAATGGACTCAATCAAAGCCTGAAAGCATACAAAATGGCTACAGTGTTTGGTTTGTGCAGTGCAGTTGACACGTGCAGGTGAACCAGATGAATGTGAGAAAAAAGAGTGCCCCGTGCACCCAAGAGAATTATTTCATTTCATTATTTCATTACATTTCAACACAGTAGGGCGTTTGGATAGGCAAGTGATGTGGAAAGATAAACCCGCATACTGATAGTCTAATTTCTTTTTTTGTTTCTTTTCACTTTTCTCTCTCTTTCTCTTTTACACACATTCATTCGTTTATTCATTCATTCATTCATTCATTCATTCTTGGTTTATTCACATCCCCTTCCGTTGTACATTGCACTCTGATTCAATAGCTCTCAATTTTCCTCCACAATGACACAACAACTTGACCAAAGAGGCCCAATCTCGGTTCGCCCAATGGAGGATGTACCATCCACCTTTATATACGCTGGGGGCTCTACCAATAAACCAAGCTCTGGAGCACCAACAGCAGCAGGAGCAGGAGCAGAGAAAGGAGGAAGAAAAGAGACAGATGCAAGCGTTGGCACCGAGGGTAGGGATGCAGCTGATCGCTGGCCATCATTAGTGAATATCCGCCAAGTGATCACAGCTCTTGTCCTCGAGACTATTTCCACTACGCGTCCCCTTCGTGACAAGTAAGTGATAACGATAGTGATAATGCAAGCATGATATTGAACTCCATTCCATTTATCTGACAAAACAAGAATACCCTACTAACCCGGCTCATATATCCCACCCACATATCTTTTCTTTTTGCTAAAAAAAAAAAAAAAAAAAAAAAAGAATAAACGCCGTTGCACACCGCTCTTGGCAAGCTTATCTTCGCTATGCGGAGATGTATCCACTACTAACGGTAATTCCCAACTGCGTGTATACATTAATATGAATACAGGATATAGGAAACAACTGATCTACATGGCTCATTATTTGATCTTTTTTCTTTTTTTCCTTTCTTTCTTAGGCACTTCTATCCGCGATCATTTTATTCTCTGCGGGCCCTATCCTAGTTTTCGCTTGTGTCACAGGCGCGTCCTTGGGTTTCCTGGCCGGCATAGCAGCTGTTATCGTCATCATTATCCAATCCATCGTAGTTACAATCGCTGGAGCTATCTTGCTTTTTGTCCTTGGAACAATCGTCGTCCTGACAGTCTTTATGTTCCTCTGTCTTGTGGCTGGATACATGGCTTTTAAGGGCCTAAGAGAGCTCGCTCTCATTGTCCATGGACAACGTCAACAGTACCAAAACCTGCAGCGACATCAGCAACCACAACACATCAATCGTAGTAAATCAGATTCATCGGATGGCTCCACTGTCCATGAGTATTGAACGCTTGAACTTTTTGTGATCGTCTATCAGTGCAACAACAATAGCAGGCTTTTTTTTTTTTTTTTTTTTTTTTTTTTTCTTTCCTTGTCCACAATAAATAGTATGGAAATATACATACAAATATATAAAAAAAAAGGCTTTTGCTACCTGTCAGATTCATTCTTCTGCAAGATTCTATTCTGCTACTATCGAACCTTACTCAAAGTCTCCTCCAGCTCCCCTCCAAAGGCAGCGCCCGCAGTGCGTCTGCTTAGTTGCGAACATATTGTATATTCACTCGATACATGATCTTCCTGTGCGTCCACTACTACATATCCTCGTTCTTCTTCTTCATCGGGCTCTTCCTCGTCCTCAGTCTCCCTACCTTCTTCCTCTACAACTTCATCATCTTGAAGATCGTCCTCACTTTCAATAAGCGCCTTGGCCTTCATAGATTTCCGGCTTTTGGCGAAACGACATAAAACATCTATGGCAGCCGCGCTACCGATAGCGGTGGTGGTTGAGGAACCAGAGGATGATACACGCTTAGATGAGGTCAAGGGCTGTGGATATTGGGCTTTATAGCGCGTCTGTAAATGTAGTTGTGGAACAGTTCTTGACATTACTACAGACGTGTCATCATATCCTTCTTGATCTCTTTGATATCTCTGGCCTGATAAGGTGGAACATGACATCATAGAGGATGGTGGAGGAATATCATCAAGCCTACTTGATTGGCCTGATATGTCTGATCCTACAGTAGCCGCAACACTGTCCAAACTACAGCTGCTTGCCAGTGGATCCATATTTACTCCGCGCGAAAAGTCAGTGACAACATCGGTTGTGGTCTCCATGTGTCTGGCCGCCTCTTCATTTTCAGACAAGGACCCGCTATGATGCAGTCCGTTTCCACTGGTAAGTACGTTCGTACCGTCAGTAACCTTATGGACGCTAACCTCTTTCCCATGTTCGTCTGCCTGGATCACTACTGTAACGGGCACCCGGACCACATAATCCTTAAGTTTCTTAATTATGACACGACTTGCTTGCTGTTGTTGCTGTTGCGACTGATGTTGATGAGCTCCCGCCAAGCCAGATCCGGATGTCTTCTTCTTGATAGTCGCCATCAACCCGCCTCCACTGCCCTCTCCGCTTGATTTGAACTGTATTACACTTGTGGTCGAATCCACACCACTACTTCCTTCGCTAATAACACTAGCCGCTTGCCGGCCAGGCTTCAGCATCGACCCAGCAGCACCATGGCCTGTCCCTTCGCTTCTACTACTCTTGAGTGTCCCGAGAGATGTTTTCGAACCACGCCTTTTAGAAAAGTCAAACATCGCTCCAATTCTGGATGGGCTTGGAGGGTCGAATCCATGTGGGCCATTCACTTTGTCTATAGCGTCCATGAAGCCGGTTTCCACCTCAATGACTTTAAGCCCGCTGCTGCCACCAAAGTTTATAGGCGAAGGTAATCCTGGCCCTGAGGCGGTCCTTGGCATTACAGTCAATGGAGGAAGCCCTAATGGTATATGTTCCGCTTTAGCTCGGCTCTGGCGTGCAGGTGAGTTACAAGTTAAGGAGAGCATACTTGTGTCTTGATTGTTCGCGGGCAAAGTCAGATTATTGGTAGGTATTGACAAAGGGCTCAAGGGGGATGAGGTTTGTTGGGGATGAGCAACAGCAGCAGTACCATTGAATATGCTGTTGCTGTTATGGCGCAATGCATGTGTGACAATAGAGAGGTCGCCGCGTCCGTAGCTAGTTGTAGCACCCCATCGATCCCGTGCCTGTTGTAGGATCTGCTGTCCCTGTCTAATCTCTGCCTCAAACCCATTGCTTTCATGGTCGTCCTCTTCATCCTCATCCTCTTGCTCATATTCTCCTTCAAACTCATGTACGTCTATTGATAATCGAAATGTGAGGTAGTGTTTGACTTCAATCCTTACTTTGACAGGTGTACCGCTGTTTGCCGGGCCAATATAGTTCATTGTGCTGCTGCTGCCGCCGCCGCCAGCTGTTCTATTCCTATAATCGTTTCCGGGTTGTGATCCAGTTATGTCATTTGTGCTTGACTGAGAAGGATAATCTGTCTCGGATCCCAACCCTGAAGAATCCATGGTTTGAAAGTAATTCCTCTTCATCGCATGATCATTATAGCCTCTGCTAGCAGAGACCTCTGATGATGGCCAAATAAATGTCTGGCGAAGTTTGGGGCAGTTTAGAGGGACAGGGATCAGCAATGTAAATGATTTATCATTTGAAGACTCTTGTCGTTGCTGCTGTTGCTGTCCTCCGACGCAGTCCCCCGGCGGCGAATGTGATGGCCGAAGAGGGGGAGAAGCTATTATGGGCCTGGCTGAGATTCTTTGTCCACTCTTCAAGCCAGATGGCAATGCTTCTGCAGCGTTACTATCTGTCCCGCCTTGTAACTGCAAAAGATGATCTTTCGGTGATGTAATGGTAGGATCCAAAAGAACATTAGCACCCTGTTCTGCGTGCTGCTCCTGTGCTTGTTGCTGTGCAGCTGCTGCGCCTGCTGTTGCCATTGCAGTAATACCACCACCAGTACGATGTCGCTCTTTGTCGTCCTCTTTGTCCGAATATGTAAACACGGGGCCTAGCAGGTCTCGGACGGTGCGAGATGGGGCGCAATCCGCTGGGATCCTAATATATTTGAAGAAAAAAACCATTAGGCATGGGAATCAATGACACACTGGCGCTCAAGTTCTTGCTTTTACTGCTTTTTTCTTTTTTTCTTTTCTTTTCTTTTCTAGTCTTTTTTTTTTTTTTTGTTTTCCTTTTTTACCTGCAGGTTTCCTTTTGCCAAAATTCACATATGACCTTGCGTACGCGGATATCTCGCCTCCATTCCTTACTCTGTTGCTCTGTCTTTCGCGACAATGACGAACTTTGGGCATCTATACCTTTGTTTGTATTATTTGAAAAGATTGAAGCATCACCTGCTAGTGTATCTGCTCCTGGTGGAAACTTTGTTACGCCAGTATCGATATGCGTGCTTTCGTAACGCCTCTTGAGAATATCGTCATTGTTAATGTCCTGCTTTGAGACCTTACGGACTGTAAGCGCCACCTGGAAATTGGCAGGGTGCCGATGACTGGACGGCTGCTGTTGTTGCTGTTGTTGCTGTTGCTGCTGCTGCTGTTGTTGAGGCTGCTGGGACAAAACATTGAGGTTTATTTTGCTAACAAGCCCCCCTAGGGAACCTACTCCTCCTCCTATCCCAGCCTGGCCTTCTTTGTCTTTACCCTTCATCAATATTAGCCCTCCTGTCTTTGGGCAGGGCACCAAGCGCGATGAATATCCATACCCAGGAATGGAAATGATGGATGGGACCTGGATTTGGACCTGGATTTTAGCACCCGGGATGAAGGCCTTGAGCCGACGCGTGCTCGGAAGCGTTGGAAGGGACATGGATGGAGTAGACAAGGAATATAAGCTATTAGACGGCGCGCCGAGCTGTGGGCGATTGAAATACAGCTTGAGAGTCTTACGAATCAGGAATGGAATAGGAGCAATGGGAGACGAGGGCGATTGGTTCGTAATAGTGTCACTATTACGATTCCTCTGTGAGGTTTTTGGAGATGCAGCTGCGGTAGTAACCTGGCGGCCATCATCCTGGTTAGACTTTCTACTCGGACTTACAGTCTCATCGGAGGGCGTAGAATCTGACTTGAACATCCCCTCATTTCTGTTCATTACTTTCACGCTCTTAGATTTCGTCAAACTGTTCCTAACGTACTTTTCATGTTCTGATTCCAAATTGAAGTCTCCTGCGGTTGCAAGTTGGGGCATCTTGGTCTTGCTTCCAATACGTAGCTTTTCAAAAGCTAGAGTAATCGACTTGTTTGTCGAAACTAGATGATAGGTAGGCCCGCCATAATAGAGACAAGGCAATCAGCATTCTACACGAAAACAATATATATATAAAGACATACTAAGCAACCTGTCAAGTTCTTTTTTTTTTTTTCTTTTTCTTTTTTACCTCCTAAGCCTTTTAATAGCTTTCTCGACCCTGAAGGCGCGACACCTGATGCCCTCTTCAGGCTGATACCACGACTGGGAACTTTCTTGCCAGTTGGATATGGGTATTCGAGACCATTCTTGCGTATTATTGGTGCTAACGGCGATGATGATCCTTTTAGCCCGCCCGGCATCAATACTCGCCCTTCATTATCCACCTTATCCCAGCGGAACAAGCATTTAGCCTCAAGCTCATACCATACAAAGCCCATACTTCCTTCGAAACTTTCGGCTCGAACGTCGTTCTTGCTAATAGGCAAGAGCCATTCCCATCGCCATTCATCCATAGGCGTTGTTTCTGACCTTATTGATGTCTTTGTCTTTGTTGCTGTGAACGCTGTAGCTGCTGCTTCTGCGGTTGAATGGTCACTATCCGGCTTTTCCTCAGGCGAGTATTCTTTGAGCACTCCACCAGGGCTTTCAATTACTCCTGCCTCATCAACTTGTTTATCCTGGAATTGAAGCACTAATTTTTTTTCCCATAACGTCTTGGCCCAATGCTGTTTCTCGATCTCAAATGTGACCAAATCTTGTTTTGCCCAAGAGATAGATTCTTTGAGTCGAAAATGGAGTGTCAGCGACACAAAGTGAAATTTTAGTCCTGGAAGCCGCGGAATATATAATACTAGCCGTCCTGAGCTCACCGGCCGTTCAGTAGATAGTTCAATCGAATGCGGCTGGAACGAGATGCGAGGCGTAGCTCGGCTGCTGCTTTGATGTTGTAGGTGCTTCTGTTGACACTGCTGATGTTTTGTTTTCAGAAAGGAACGCTTTTGAGAATAGCGTTCTGTAACGCTGGAGAGGGTTTCAAGGATACTTTTCTCGCTTGCTTTTGAGTCATTTCTCTCCCTCTTACCCCTCTTGGTGCTATCATTGCCATTACTGCTACCAGTGATGCTGCTACTGTTAATCTTTTTCGAATGATCACGAAGGAAGCTGCCAAAACCTCCTCTTTTTAAAAATGAATTACCACCATTGCTGACACTCAATGCAGGTACTAAAGTCCCATTCCGTTGACTCATTTCCTCCAGCTGTCGCGGAGTTAGTAACGACTGGCGACGAGGCCTTTCCTTAAAGCTAGTAGTAATGGGTTGAGGGTAAGGTGGCGTTGCTGAGGAGGCTGTGATGGTAGCCTTGGCGATAACAGCGCTTGCCTGCAGGCCATTTAGACTATTTGATGCAGGATTAGACTCTTGGGAGGTCTTACCGTTGTCCAGTGGGTCCCATGATAATGATGTGGATGGTTTTTTGCCAGCCTCATCACCGATATGTGTTATTCCATCCTCTAGTTTTTGTGCCTCTCGATCGCTTCCTTGCTGCACCATGGATGCCTCTAGGCTCCAAGCTATGTCGCTGGGCTCATACACAGTTGGCTCCCCAGACTTAAACGGCTGTTGAGGGTCAGCAATGGATTGAGAAAGAGGTGCCACTGGTGTACAAAGGATTGATGGCAAGCTACATGAATGCCTTAGACGCTTGTGTTGGCTCTGCGGGAGCTGATCCATAGACTGCTGTTTGGGGCTCATTTGCTGGTCATGATGCTGATACGGGTGCTGAATTGGTAACTTTGGGTGAAACTGGGAATATGGACGCTGTTTTGGCCGATGGTCATGGTTGCTCAGCATGGCTGGAGGGAAGATGGGTGACATCGATGCGGCGGAAGAAGGCGACGATGGTACAGAGGAAGTTGAAATGGAGTCTGAGATCCCTCCTGCTGCTATTGCTGCTGCTGTTGTTGCTGTTGCTGTTATCACAGCACTATGTCCAAGTCGGTCGGCAAGCTCGCTCCATCCAGGAGTAAATTTTATGTATTGGTGGCCCTGATGGCTTTGGTGGATGTTACTGTTGCTTGGCTCCATAGCCTCGTTCCGATCGACAATGACTACTGCTTTTTGAAGCACTCCTTCATGACAACTCTTAAATTTTGTAGAGACCAAGTCTCTGCTCACAGCGTCGTTTTCTTTCTTGTTTCTTTGCGTGCTACTCAGCTTAAAAAGCCGACGATGTGCACTTTCAAGGACAATAGCTTTTCCATACTCTCCTCCATCTCTATCATTATTGCCATTGTCATGGGACTTGTAGTCGTTGATTAGATTTTGTGGTACTCTTACCGCGTCTCTGGCGGGCTCAACTTTGAGATGGTAACCATTGTTGTGGTTACAGTTGTGGCCGTTGCGCTCGGACTTGTTTTCGCAAAAATGAGCCTGGTCTTTTTTTACCTCTTGCTCAATGTTCACGCAGTTCTCTGTTGGGTAAAAAGCCTCTTCTGATGGACTCTGCGCCCATTTCAGGTGGCATTTTTGGCTAGATTGTTGCAGATTATAAGAGGATAGAGGAATCGCCGTTTGGGATGCAGGCACTTCGGCATTAGTATCTGGATGTGGTGAGCAAGCCCGAGAAGACGTGGCAGAGTCAGGCAATGGTATCGATATCGCCAATTGGGATTTAGCCAGAGTGCTATGGCCTCGTTGGTACTCTTGATTGGCATTAAGGTACGAGCTTGATACAGGCTTTGGAGAGGCTGGACTTGAGGGCAATGGCAATTCAGATAATAGAACTGATGTTGCCTGCTGAATCATTGATGCCAGGGAGCTACTCTCATCTTCTTGGTAATAATCCAGGCTAGGTTTTGAAGAACCTGGATGTGAAGGTATTGGGGATCCAGGCGATGGGTGCTGAAGTGTACTAATCAGATTGATATTTTCTTTACAATCTTGTCCGACCTCCTTATGCCTGTGCGTTTGCTCCAAGTTCATCTGGTATTCAGATGTGTTTGGTATCTGAGGAACTGCGGTGGAAGTTAGATCGCCATGCAATAAAATGTTTTGATTCTGCATAGTATTTGGCATAAGCAATCCTTCGAATAGACCCCTGACGCTCAGGCTTTCAACAGTTTGTTCTACGCCCATATCACTCTCGTGTACATTTTCTTCATACTTGAGTTTAGACCCTTGTCTATAACCCAGCTTCCCCTCGGCTGTCTCGCTAACGACAGTAAAGTCGACTTTGGATGCAATCTTCTCACTGGCCATGGCTAATCAACTGCTCGATCGAGAAAGTAAGATAGGTGGTTTTGCCTTTTTTTTTTTTTTTTTTAAAAAAAAAAAAAAAAAAAAAAATAGGATCTTGAGGCCAATTAATGTTTATTATATAATTCAATAAAAAAAAAGGGGGGAGGGAGGAGAGTCTGCTCTCGGTTGTGTTACCTTTGAACTTCTTAATCGAAATTTTATCGCTGAAAATTCATACTTTTTTATTCTTTTTCAAGAATTAAGAATGAGCGCGAATAAACGTGTAGATGTATAATAGAGGAGCGTTACGGATAGGCGATAGAGTGTTGGGAGAGGGGGGGGGGGATAGATAGGGATGAGTTGAAGATATGAAGATTATTTCCACAAAGTTTTTTTTTTTTTTTAAAAAAAAAAAAAAAAAAAAAAAGATCGTAGAAAATCAATAATCGACGAACAAATAGGAAAGGAAGAACAAATGGACAGAAGGATAAAAGGACACAAAATGGACGGAGGATGAGGAAAAAAAAAAAGAAAGAAAGAAAGAAAGAAGGAAAGGAAGAAGGTTTGACAATTGAGATGCTTTCAAAGAGTGGTCAATCCCAAATAAGCACAGATCCTACATTAGTCAATGCTTCATCTTTGCGGGAAGAAAAATAAATAAATAATAACATCAAAGCGTTCAAACCTCGTTTGCATTGTTCTGAGCCGACACAAAGGCATTGTCCAGAAATACAACAATAAGTGGCTCTGAAGGAAGAGAAAAAATATATGGATATATAAAAAAAATAAAAAAAAAAAAGGGAAAGGAAAGAAAAAAATAGGTCATGAAAGCAGTAAATGAAATCAAGAAGCTGGTTTAGAGCTAACTCCTAGGCAAAGTAGCATTAAAAAAGTGGGGGATCTCTTCATTGGACATTTGGGAGTACACGGGCCAGGTTTTTAATTATTACGGATGCGTTAAACTTTGTAATATAACGATCGACCCTGCCGTGATTGCACCTTTACAAGTTTCTAGTGATTACAATGGGGCAATATAGAGCAGTATAGAGCAGTATAGAGCAGCACCTGTGAATGTCCAAGGAGAGATGAGCGTAAATTACATAAATAAATAAAAAAAAAAAAAAACCGAAGTAAGCCTTTTGCATTATTTTTCGGCTCCTTCGCCTTTCCACTCTCTTCTCCAAAAAAACAAAACAAAAAAAAAAAAAAGGTCCGAAAAATTAACTGTTCCCAGTACTGAGGACAGAACCCAAGTCCAATTGAGCAGTCAGGGGCACTCTTTATTTATTTATTTATTTATTTGGTTTTTTGGTTTTTTTGTTCTTATAAGACGCGTTCCACTTCTTGAGTATAGGTTTTTTTTTTTTTTTTTTTTTTTTTTAAACAGTTCGTTGAACGTAAGCATCATGAGGAAGCAATCCTAAATAATGGGAAATTTTGAAACGCGCAGGACTAGAGATCGTGAACTGCAGCAAATCTAATCCCGGACCACGATGAGGCCTGTGCGTTTCATGAAGAACAGGGGTCCTGTTTTTTTTTTATTCCTTTTCATTCTTTGCATAACTATGAGAGTAAAGATTCTCTTGTGTTACAAGCCAAAAGGAGAAATTGAGGTCGTGCTTTACAATCTTTTTGAAGCAAACTTCCCTTAATTATTTTTAACTCTTACGCTGAAGAGGGAAAAGATATATATATATATATATATTTATATATGTAGCCGTTTGGATCAAGCGACTTTGTAGTGTAGATAGACAAGAGTTTTCTTTTTTTTATTTTACAAACGATCTAAACTTATAAAGACTCGTTGCGCGAAAGAAAAATAAAGCTTTTTCTTTTGATCAATTAACCCACATTAATAGTATATTAAGCGTACAGTCTTTGAATTTATCTACAAAAAGGCGTTGTGGAGATGGAAGATGTGTGGATTCATCTCTTTTGTATGTGTATGTGTGTAAAATAGATAGATGGATGGATGTCTAGATGTTAAAATTGGATGTCTAGATATTAAAATAATTATTTGCTATGGATATATGAATGAAGAAATGTGATTAAGGAGAACTAATGTGAAAAATGATTTGGGAATGATCGAAAACTTGTCAGTTCGTTTTTTTTTTTTTGTTTTTTTTGTTTTTTTCCTTTTTTCTTTTTTTAATAGCCTTGATCGTGTCCAAGACCAGATGGTGAAAAGGGCTGAGGAGTTCCGCGTCTATCCTTTGGTAATCTGGTGCTGTTCGACCGAGCGATCGGTGTCGGGTAATTGTCCATTTCGATCTGTGCAACAGGGGATGCTCCTCGTCCACCGTATCGACCATAACCATTACTATTGTTTCGTTCAATAGGAGAGTTTACGTTTGAGCCCGCACTTGAAGCCGATCGTGAAGAGTGATTGGATCCAGTGCGGCCAACAGCACCCTGGGTTGCAATCCTTGTCCTAGAAGACGATCCTGATCGCTCTACTCCGGCTGCTGCTGCTGCTGCTGCACGGGCAGAGGGAGAAGGACCTCTCGTTGTTGATGTAGACGCAGCGGAAGATGTATTGGATACGTTCATGCGATTCGAATCAGCTCTCCTGACTGGCTGGAGTGGACGTGCCTGCTGGTGTGTCGGCTGAGGGATCTGAGGTGCACCCGTTTCTGACGAGTACCCTCCAGTGTAGTAATCATCATCGGCATCCTCAAGTTCACGTCGTTCACGAGTCGCACGTGAGCGACCTGCTGATTCACTGAGAGTTCGATCTAGTCCACCACGACTGTAGTTGTTATTGGCCCCTCTGGATGCAGATCGTTGATGATTCGGCTTTCCAGTTCTTCCACCATTACCAGTATTGGAAGCGCCACCACTTCGGTTTTTATTCTCGCTAGGCCGGGCGCCAGCACCAGGGATAAAACCTGCGTGAGCTCGATCTTGACGACCAGTTCTGCTAGGTTCAGCATCGTGGGGACGAGTAGAGTTCTGTCGTTGCATTCCTCCAGGACCAACGTCCTCCATCAACGCCCGACGGCTGATCGAAGTCTGCTTGGAAAGATCTATATCACGCGCGTCCTTTTCTCTGGGGCTAGTCATCGTCCTATTACCACTGCTGCTTCCACCACCACGACTAGCACCGTTATTAGTAGACGGACCAGATCTAGCACCACTACCTCCTTTCCCTTCCCTAACTGTTCCTCTCTTGCCAACAGCGGCACCAGTGCCGGCGGCTACGCGACCTGTCTCAAGAGCACCACTATGCTTCTCAATTGCTCTACGGAACCGCTGTCGATACTGTGCACGTTTAATAGTCGCGGCCCCAATGGTGATGATGAAGATGGTCATAAAGGCGCTATAGATGAGGATACCCGAGGTCAGATTGAAGGCTCCGACAACGGAAGGACGACCAAAGAGGGCCGTGTCCGCCGAAGGATCGGCCAGGGGCGTATTAGTGGCAGAAACTGGTGAGGTAGCAGTAGAAGAAACGGAAGAGGAAGGAGATGAAGACATAGTGGGCCGAGAGCCTGATTTCGATGTGGCGGATGGTTTTATAGAAGTTGCCTCAGCAGAGGGTGCAGCAAGAGGAGCAGCAGCAAGGCGTTCCAGAGATTGCTCTCGAGTCGCACCAGTGTCAATTCCCTCAGGAACCAAGGCTGGCACAACCAAATGATTTGGAGAGAGACGCTCGAAGGACTTGACGGAGGTGGAATCGGGAATGACAATGGCTGGAATGGATTCAGATGTGGGGGAATGAATTTGGGATGTGACAGATGATTCCACAGGTGAAACACACAGAGACAAGCACAGACTGAAGGCAATAAAAAGAAAGAGATGAAGCCGATGTTGTGTGTGACGGAGGCTGTGAGCGTTTGTGGAGGAAGAAGAAGAAAGATTCGAGGAAATGCGTTGTTCTGGTATTGCTGGTGTTGTTGATGCTTTTGTTGATAATGATGTAGAGGAGGAGGGGTTTGGAAGAGTCAAGGAGTGGGATGAGACACACCTTAAACATGATGAAGAATATGACGAACGCATGTTTATGTTTGTGATAACAAGAAACAGCGAGCAACAACCACAACAGTTAATAGATCACTTGTAATCTTACTACTTGGATGAAATTGAAAAAGAGGCTGTACAGAAACGTTGCATGTATTGGAAAGAACGATACGGAAAAAAAAATAAAAAATAAAAAATAAAAAAAAAAAAAAAAAAAAGAACAGGATCTGGACAGTTTTTTTGTATGTGTGATTACACAGTGGTTGAAGGAAAGAGAAATTATAGATGCAGGAGAAATAAAAAAAAGGAGGAGGAGGAGAAAGCAAGATGAAGGAGGTGGTTAGGGTAACGTTTGTGGATGTGTATAACAAAGTTGCAGGTGTTTGGAAGCCAGAAAGAGAGATGAAAGAGCGTTGGAGAAGAGGAGCGGAAGGAGTGGAAGGAGTGAAAGGAAAAGGTCAAGAGGAGGAAAGTGAAGTAAAAGGGCCTGAAAAATCGTTAATCCGTGAATATTAAAGAGAATGTGCAATCGGGTCTAAAGAGGATAAAAAGAGAAAAGGAGAAAAATCGTTCCTCTTGAGGAACGAGGGGCATCGGCATGCTTTTATGGATACAACAACCATGCAGGCAGCACAGAAAAAAAAGATCAATCAATCAATCAATCAATCAAAGGCGATCTACTGTAAAAAATAAAGGCAGAAATATGTCGTAGTAAATACTTCAAGGCGTGGTGGGCGTCAAGGGATAGATGAGTTCACCTGTTCCTGTCTACAAAACAAATGAATATTACAGGTTGGCTGGTTAGTGTGTTTATTACTTGGAGTGGAGAGTAGGGGGTTTAAGAAAAATAGAATGGATAATGTAATCATATCATAAGACTATTCGCCTCTCTCTCTCTCTCTCTCCTTCAATCTCTTCAAGCATAGTTTATACATTACTTGTTTGGAGGGCCGATGACATTCCCACAACACTTGCAGGCTGTTTTAGAGAGATGCTTACTATGCTCTGTTTAACTCAGTCAAGCATTCATACATGTACATTACAGTATTCAAAAGATGTGATTAATAAATATCTATATTATTTATTTATTTATTTTTCATGTAAAAGCGGATGGTGAGGCAAGCAGATAGCAGACTTGTAAACATATTAACAGAGAGCATTGTTTATATTATCTTCCCTCTGCTCTTCTGCTGCACATGTAATGACCATAATGTTCAATGACCCATTCTCCTATCCTCCTATCCTCCTATCCTACAAAAATGCCCATGTTCATTTGTATGTCCACATCGACGGCCACAAAGCCAAACCAAATTATTATTGCAAATGTGTGTCGAAAACACTCCAATGGCAGTGATCGTGAAATGAATATGAAACAGACTGGACAGGGGTAAAAAAATATTAATCTTTTATCATTTACAAACAACTCAAATCTTATTTCGTTTCCAATCGACAACATCGCCTCCTTTCCTAACATCCCCCTCCCATCTCTCTCTCTCTCACCCTTCTCTCCGGTATGGAAAATCATCTCTCAAAATAAATGTAATAAATGCAATACAACACATGGCAGGCCAAGGACAAAAAATCAGAGGAGAAAATGACGACAAAGCTGTAACGATTGCATATCTCCATATCTTCCTTGCATTAGTCAAATCTGAACCACAGACATCACATCATTGCTGTGGGTGAGGAAAAAAAAAAAATGACGACGATCTTCAGACAAATATCAACAATCAAATGTAGATAATATACATAAGGATAGACTGGGAATTGGGTTGGACATTTTATGCCAAAAACTGAATAGCCTTCATCTTCTATTAAAAAAAAAAAAAAACACACACACACACACACAGAACTGTTGTTCTTTTGTTCTACTGTTTGTTGTCTCTACCTCTCCTGATTAATTCGGAACATTGCTCATGCATCGATAATTAATTTAAATACAGTCTGTTTATTGCCATATCCGCGACTTGTAGGCGTAGTATATACATGTAGTCCGGGAATCAGAGAATGGTACACAAACCTATTGTCCAAGCCTAGACCTCATGCACTACAACGTGGTTTTTTTCATTCGGTGCCTGAACATGAAACCATTTTATATCTTCACCCTCCAAGATTTTACCAAATGGGGAGCCACACACTGCGACGATTGTTCACTCCTGGATTATCCGAAATTTTGGTATGTCAAATATGGCAATCAATCCTGTTCCTGAATGGCTTATTTAGCCTTCGCTGCTCATCTAACTACTTTTGTCAATTTCAAAAAATGTTTTTATTCATGACCAAGAAATTAAACCAATAGACCGGGTTCGCCCAAAAGAAGATCTAATTGGACCTTGACATGTCCGTTTCCTCAGAAGCAGGTCAATCTTATATGACTGGCTGCAATGAAAATTCTTCCTTCTATGCTATACATTTGTTTTACGTCGGTCATTCCCTCTATGTGCAGCTGATTGTGGCGAATTGATAAAGTTATTAGTGATCTTGTTTTAATAATGAATAGACATAAAAACAATAAAAAGACATTGACTTTCTACAAAGCCACCACATCATAGATGTTGGATAGCAATTCAAGGCAGCATATATCCTATATATCTGCGAAAGTGAAAAATAAAAAAAAAAAAGACGTGTCTATGGGGGAAAGAATGATGCTGTTGGTTTCTGAAATGGTTATCAATCATCATCTTTCGGCTTGGCTGTTTTCAATCACTATTAGTTGACAGGCATGGAACAAGCCTCGCTCGATATGCCTTAACTTAGAAGAAAGATGGATAGGTGAAAGAGCAAAAGAAAAGGGGGTCCCAAGCATCTAACATAGGGAAAGAGGCATTATGGGCCAAACAAATACTCGTGCCTCAAGCAGTCCGGTTTAGCGCCATAACGGCACCTATGCCAGGATTAAATGCCTTTGTGCCCTCATAAGAGATCGGACGCGTGGCTGTTGTCACAAACGTTGAGTTAAGAATAATGCCTTCGGCTCCTAACATGACTTTTATTATTATCGGATTGAGGCAACTACTTAATTACTCAAAGGCTGTTCTCTGGAATGAAATATGTCAATGTTGTATTCTGGGTATCGTCCTTAATGTAGACATAAAATAGGATGGAATGGTTTGGGACGATACCTATATTGTGTTCAATGTTAAAACCAACAAATTAGCAGTCATTTACTCGGTTATAGATTACTTTCGAGCAAGCTGACAATCAAAATCATAGTATATACTTACTGCAAATCACGTTCGAAGGCTTCACATAGTGGCTCTGTAAGACCTTCTGCATGTCCGCCACTCTAACCAACACGCTCGCGAACTCTTTTGGCCTTATACGTTGTCTATCCAATTGGGGATGATCATCATCTCCAACCAGCATGGTCGGGTTGTGCAAATTTGTAAACCTGGTCTCGACATGGGCCTTCTCGGCCATACCATACCTAGTAGTGACAGGTTCTTCTTCAGCCCCACCTTCATCATTATTCTCCAGGTCACTTCCCGACCTTTGGTCCTGTCCTCGTTCTGGTCGTCCAGACTTGTAATAACTATTGTGGTAAAATTGTTGTACCCCATCTGACGTTGTAAATACCATCTCACCCTGGAGGTTCGCGGAGATGACCATATGGTCTGCTAAATTCTTGTAGCTGGCAGTAACGTGGCGTAGTCGATCCAGCTGCGGTAACATGATATGTACTTCGGGAGCGGGGACCATAGGCTCATTGAAGACTGGCGTATTAATGACCTGATTCATACTCAAAATGTTTATGATAGGAACATTCTGTGTAATAGCTCGTGAATTTCCATGGTGATCCTCAGAAGTGATGGAAAAAGTGAGATAAGCATCAGTTGACCGCCCTGACATGCGCATCACAATAGCAGTCGCATTATTGCTGGACCTCATTGCCAGCAATAGATCTTCGGCTTTCATCTCGAGATAGATCTCATTGTTCGCGTTGGACTCGATCCTGTATTCATAAAAAAGACTTTCCTGTCAAATTTGTGTGGGTGAAAGCTTACTAACGTCAGCCGCTCAATGCCTTTTCTGTAATGGCGTCTATCCTACGGAGACAACATGGAACTGCCGCTTTTCATTACTATTATTTTTATTGCTATTGCTATTGCAATCATACCTTTGAGAGACGCCTAGCATATAGGATGATATTAAGAAAGAGTTAACGTGTTTATACTTAACAAGGATAGTATAAAGCATTGAAAAAAATATAAAAAAAAAGAAAAAAAAAGAGATATTGTTCTCAATCTTACGACCAACATTGGATTAATCCACCTCCCCCTGTTGAATCATTGTCAGTTAGACTGTGGATGGCACCAAATGCCACATAATCAGACGTGAACTTGATAAAGCATGACCTGCCGATTTTCTCCACTGCTTGAGCAATTTCTAGCGTAGTATACGGATTTGTACAGGTATATAGAGCATTGTTTAATATAATTGTTTATAATTAACGAGGAAACAGATAGTGGAGGTGATATAAAACTCATACTAAAGAACAAAAGGTCCCTCTGCAATGTCGCTCTGAGTTTCATCGTGTTTGATTGATTGTATGAATGAGAAATGAGTGTGCAGGAATTTCGCAGAAGAATAATGGCTTTATTGCAAGCAAATGTAAATCTAGGAAGTTGCAGAAGAGAGAGAGAGAAAGAGAGAGAGAGAGAGGAAAGAAAGAAGGAGAGAAAGAATGTATGGGACAAAGGTAATGAAATGCTGCTTGGAGATTGAAGGAATAAAACATTTATTTGGTGGCAAATGATGGGTGGCGGCTTTTACCTTTTTTTTTTTTTTGCCACCATCAAAAAAAAAGAAAAAATTAATTCGCGTATGAATATGTTGCTTTATTCCCTCTGGCTGTTAATTGCATGATTTCGATAACTACCCTTTTTTTGGGAGTACGTTGCTACTGATAGCTTGTACAGAAATAAAACTACCTCTGGGCTGGGCTCCATTGTTCGCTTACTCTACTTTTCATAGATAAACTATTGAATTCAAATGGTATTAAATATACCCTCAATCTCAATCTAACACAGTGCCTACAAAAGAATGATGTGGATATTATATATTCTGTCTTTTCTTATTTTATTATCTCACTTCTTCAAAGGCCTAGACTCAGCTTCCATTGGCTTGTAAACTCTGGGAACGGTCGGCGTAGCTGGCCGTAGCATAGCTGTATATGGAGTATGCTTGTTTTTTCTATTCATGCGTGGGCACAGAGTCATTTCCTCCCGAGCACAGGATTTCCTTTATTAGTCGAATGTGCGAGTTTATGAAAACTAAGGTGAGGATATTCACGGAAAGATATGATATGGAGGGATCAAGTAATCATGCAAACTGGAACAGTGTATGCGGATGGTGTCTTTTCCTTCATAGCCAGAGCATGCGCTGTATGCGTCGAATACTTCATTATCTGCTCTCTATATTTATATACGTTTGTGTATGCATTGTGTGGGTGAGCTCATGGGAAAATGAAAAACAATCTGGATAGAGGCGACTGTCCGGGCTACATATGAACTTGTATCAACATCTGAACACTACCACATGCTATTGACTACCCTGTGCTCCTTGAACAATACTTTTGACATAGTCCTGCACTTCCCCAAGGATGGCTATGTTACAGCCCTTGGATCGAGAGAGTGCTGGGAATATGTGAAAAGCGGGACTATGCATGTATTTACTGATAACTGGCGTAACTTCAAAAAGCTTATCTCAGGGAACTAGCGCTGCATCTTCTAGTACACATAAGAGACGAGAATACCTATTCTGCGTCTCAGTAGCTACTGTAATTCTATTGAGGTGTCTTAAGGCGTTATTTTTGCATCACATTTTGAGAGCCGGCTAACTACCGGTCGAATTTTATTGTTTTGAACGATGCAGTGAACTCTGGTGATTCTAACTAGTTCTTTTGGATGGCGGTCATTCAAGAGAAACCAAACAATTCTGTTAATTACTGCTAAGTCCAGGCAGATAGGGAAATACAACAGGCACCGAACACCCGCCATAACCAAAACAGGCCTGTACGACCAAACTCATCGATAAGACACAAACTATTATTTAATACTGTTTGAATCGGCTTTGACGATTAGTCGGTTAGTGAGTTCATTGAAGAAGGAGGGGAAAAAAAAATAGATAGACACAAGATACATGACAGTAAGAGGCCATGATGTAACCAGAATGACATTGGAAGCAAAGACAGGTAAGAAGGAGGAAAGGTGAGGCATAGGGAAAAGCCGGTCATAACATTAATATCCAACAATGAACCAGGACCATGCGCTCCTCGCTCTGTTCTCCCTCTCTTGAGTTGGGAGCAACAATTGGACGTTGAAAAGCGCGGGACAGACTATTCCAGAAAGTATCAAATGTATTATTACCAGGAAGCATTTGTTTGATATTTATATGACATCGCGATCATAAGAGAAAACATATTATGCATTGTAACACGAGCACAGCGATAGAAGTATATGAAATGATATCAGAGGATCTATCTGTCCTATTTGTCTATTTATCGCGACTACCTGCATATGTTATTGCACAGGCCAGAAGTACGCTCAAAGGATGATAAACAGTATGGACAGTAGGCTGTCGAGATAAAAGGTAGTAATTTGTGAAGAGGGTCCATTATGAACGAGCGGAGTAAGTGAGTGTACCAAAGCCTATGGGAAAAGCAAGTGTCTTCCCATTGCTTCTATTGGCTTTTTATTTTGTATCGGAAAGTGACAAGTATATTTTTGATGCTCTTGCTTGCCCTTCCATCTTCCCAGGAAGTTGGGGGAAGGGGAAAGGGAAGGGAGAAATATTATTGAATAGGATACATCAGCATGTGAGTGTGGATCCCAGCTTACACATAAAAACACACATGTCACAAAAGGTCGATCGACTGAGGCACGCCGCATGCTGTCTCTTCCTTCCTCTATCTCTTTTCTCTCTCTTTTCCTCTTTTGTCTTCTCTTCTCCTTCCTTTACTTCAATTCCTTATCCTTTTTCATTTCTTCTCCTTCCTTGCTCCCTGGCTGTGTTGCATTTTATTCCCCCGCGATTCTTCTTCACTTCCGCTCTTCTTTCCTTTCATTTTTTTTTTTTTTTTTTTTTTTTTTTTTCATTTTCTCCCAGCTCCGCCAGCTAATTCCATTCTGCTCCTTGGCTACACACTACATTTTGCCCAACGGCCAAAGTTTCTTTTGTCAACCCTTTCAGTTTTCAGTTACCATTTCTAATCTCATTGCGGAGTGTTTAAGTGTGTGTTACTTTTCTTGGGCTAGAATCATCTGCAAATCCCATTCTCTTACTCCTCCACTTCTTTATTTTTCTTTTTCAATTGCTCTACCTCGAATCAATAATAACGCCTAATACGCTATTGGTCTTTACTCTCTTGTACTTTGTCATCACTGATACTTGCTCCTTCACCTTTTACTTTTTTTTTTTTTTCTTTTTCTTTTTTTGCTTCCTTTCTCCCATCTCTCCCACTAGTCTCTAGTCCCTGATCCAGCCTAACGCAGTGATCATCAGCACCCCCATTCTATCTCACTACTTTAATCGCTCTTGGCTACCTAGCATTGATTGTACTTCACCCTCACATACCCGTACAGTTTATCCGACTGCCTATCACCAACTGTTGTTACACTGCTATCCTAGGATTCAATTCATTTCAGTTGGTCTCACTCATTCATATACTGATCCGATTCCGTTTACACGTCCATTGTCTTCAACATGACCCTACCCAAGAGACCAAGTTTGACATTACAACGATCCATTCTACCTACTCACTACAACATAAAGATCGTACCCTGTCCAGTCAATTATTCATTCCTCGGCGAATGCTCCATTGAGTAAGATTTATTTTAATGTCTCTCTCCCTAATCGCTTTTTTTCCTTCTGTCGTGACATTGCATGCACGCAAGGCTGTCAGCAACTGTTGCTTGCAATAAGCTTTGTCTTTGAATTTTATTTCATCCCGGAGCTCTCCGATCCTCTTTCTATGTTCTATGCACTTCTGGGAAGTTTTGAACTATGGTTACACCCTCCGTTGTAGCAGCACCAGCCTTATGGAAGAACAGATCTGTGACATGAATGACTAAAAAAGTGTGGAATGGGGCAGACGACACGTGGCCGATTGGAACCAGAGATGTTTGCTTGCACACTATTCGCTCTCACGATAATAATTTCTAATGTGTTGTATGATTGTTTAATAATATAGAATATGTATTGCTGAACCAACATTTGGCATCACCTTGAATTCAAAAGAGCTCAACATTCAGACTGCCAATGCAAGAGACCATCTCAGAGGAATCAGGTAATAAGATAAAAGCATAGATATTCTTTTCCTGTGTAAATTCCACATACAGCAGTGTATAAAGATATTGGAATTATGATTGCTCTTGAAAATCTTTGTTCCTGCCAACTTCAGGCTTCATCTTTCTTTGAAACATGAAATGCAAAATGAAAGCTGCATGTTGGGTGACGAGAAGAAAATTGATGGGATAGTGGATAAGCATAGATCTAGATTACATGCAAACACGCATTCACCCGCTTTGTGTGTAACTTGTCACGAAATGATTTTAATCCTCGACGTTTTTTTTATACTTGTTGACTTTAATGCCATTTTTCATAATACCCAAACTTCTCTATAACATGCTTCTAAAATCCATTCCTGATCACTCAATAGTATCACGGCAACAAGCGTAAGCTATAATGTTGAAGAAGAAACCATCACACTTGAATTTCCGCAGATCCTTGATGTAGGATCCTCATGGATCCTCGACGTCACATACATTGGTCTAGTCAACGATAAACTCAATGGTTTTTACCGATCAGTCTATACAGATGCAGATAATCATGTCCAGTAAGTCTTTTTTTTTTTTTTTTTTTTTTTCCTATGATATCTCGTCACATGGCAGCCCTTTGTTTGTTCCCATCAGTTGCAGTTATTGTTGGGCAAAGCAGTTTATCGGATTGCTCTCAAATGTTTGTGGTCCTTTTTTTCTTTTGTGTGAACAACAATCAACCAATATAATGCTTGCTCTACTAACTATCTCTTTGTTGCCACTTATCTTTCAGCCAATTGACAACGACCCAGTTCCAATCGACGCACGCAAGGAGAGCTTTTCCTTGTTGGGATGAGGTAACACCCTTGAAAAATAAAGCGTCGTATACCTTCAGTATAGTTCGTTTACTGAAATGCTTTTCTGTTATTATAATGTTGTAATATCTAGCCTGCTATCAAGGCAACGTTCTCATTGACGCTCGTGGCTCCTCAAGGGATGACGTGTCTATCGAACATGAGCATACAATCGAGAACAATTCTTGAAAATGGGATGCAGGAAGTCACGTTTATGAAAACCCCCATCATGTCCACCTATGTACGTTATCTTCAAGGGTGTATACCACATGGCTATGGTCTTGAAAGAGATTAAGCAAAAGCATTGCAAATTTTGATGTTCTCTTTTTAATTTTTGGGAATGACTTGTCGTTCTAGCTGTTAGCCTGGGTGATTGGCGATCTTGATTACATTGAAGCATATGCCTCAATGAACCCTAGTGGAGAACAGATTCGTTGTCGTGTCTATGCCCCTGTTGGGCTTGCTGATCAAGGTCGCTATTCTTTAGACCTCGCCATAAAGGTACATTACAATGCTAGACTCTATTTGTTTAGCCTTTACGGAAAATGTCTAAAATGTGGCCCTCATACGTACTATGATGTGTATACCATGCCATCTAGTCGCTCGAATACTTTTCTCGCTTGTTTGATATACCTTATTCGCTACCCAAGCTGGACTTGGTGGCAGTACCTGATTTCGCGCCAGGAGCGATGGAAAATTGGGGATTAATTACTTTCCGAACATATGCACTTTTAATCGAAGAATATGGCTCCCAAGATCGTAAACATGAGATAGCTGCCACAGTAGTTCATGAGATTGCACATCAGGTAATAGCCATGATAATATCATTGAAGAACTAATCCTAACTATGAAGAGGAAAGTCTCAAGTCTAACCCATCTTCCTAACCCCGTATGATAAATAGTGGCTCGGCAATTTGGTTACAATGGAGTGGTGGTCAGATCTATGGTTATTTGAAGGATTTGCTACTTATTTAGCTTACATCGTTCTGGATGAATTGTTTCCAACATGGGATATTTGGTCTGAATTTGTGAAAAGTATCCAAGAGGTACTGAAGCACGATTCTCTTCGTACCTCCCATCCTGTTGAAGTCGGAGTTGTCAACCCATCTGATATCACACAAATATTTGATGAAGTCAGTTACATGAAAGGTGCATCTGTGATAAGAATGCTAAGTGCCTGGCTGGGTCAAGACCAGTTCATGCTTGGTGTTCGAAAGTTCATCCACAAGTATATGTGGAATAATGCAAATACAGAAGACCTTTGGGAAACTTTAGCGGAGGAATGCAGGGTCGATGTCCCTTCATTTATGAGTAAATGGACCAGACAGACAGGGGTTAGTTTCATGCATCTTCCTGGCTTCGTACTGTATTGCCTTGCGCTAAAAAGCATCACGGTCCTTTCAAACCTCATGCACAGTGTGATCTAATGTTTGTCTCTCCAATTGCTATTTAATATAGTATCCAGTGCTATCGGTTATCGAGATCGATGAAACGACTATTCTAGTACGACAGAGCTTGTTCTTGTCAACAGGAGATGTTAGGGAAGAGGAAAATGCTTTAATTTGGCCCATCCCTTTGGGATTAGTAACAGCCAACGACCCAACTCCCCATAACATCATGATGGACACAAAGGAAATGGTTTTAAAGGTGGACACGACTCAGTGGTATAAGTTTAACATGGATCAGACTGGATTCTATAGAGTCTCGTATCCTTCCAAAGCTCTTGACCTGTTAGGGCAGGCATTTGGAACAGGGCAACTGAACACTGCTAATCGAGCTGGTTTGCTCACCGACGCAGCAGCATTGGTAGCTAGTGGAATTGCCCCTACAAGCAGCTTCTTGACCCTACTCAAGTACTTTGAGGATGAACAGAGCTACATGTAAGTTTCATAGGTGATTTAAGCCTGTTCATCATGCCCTTTTTTTTTCTTTTTTTTTTTTTTTTTTTTTTTCATCTTTCATTCCTAGAAGGACGTACCATTTATATAATTTCTTTTTTATTGCTATAGGGTATGGACAGAAGTATCACTTAGACTACAGGAGCTTCTATCCGTTTGGCTTGAACAGCCAGAACCGATCATGGATGCACTGAAGGAAGTTCAAAGACGTCTGTTCACTAAGATCGTCAAGCGCTTGGGATGGGATTTCCCTGAAGGGGAGGATCCCTCAACTGGTAACCTTCGAGCGGTCGCCATTCGTTTTGCGGGACGTGCTGGTGATCCAGAGTATGTTTTTGATATCATTTCTGACATGCATTCAAAAGAAATAGAAAAAAAAAAAAAAAAAAAGTCACCATAACATTGTGCTCAACGCCTGTTTGTCCGTTTATGCTCTTTAGAATTGTGGCAGAAGCTAGAAGACGGTTTAAGTCATTCATGAAGGAGAAGAATATGAGCGCCATTCCGCCAGACCTCCGGTTCCCTGTATTTGAAATTGTCATGAGGACTACACAAGGCGTAGAAGAATATGAGGATATCGTCAATTATTACCGTGAAACCTTTGTACCTGCAGAAAAGGTGGTTGCGCTCTCATCCCTTGGTTACGGTAGCACACTAGAACTTGTTCATAAGACTTTAGCGTTTGCAATATCAACAGAAGTTCGAACACAGGATATTTTGAGCGCAATCGCCACGTTAAGATCATCTGTCGTTGGTCGCGCAGAACTATGGAACTTTATGCGGCAACATTGGGATGTCTTGTACGAACGTCATTGTGACGACATTGGGTTTCTCGACTACTTTGTTGTGCTAAGTATCGAGTCATTTTCGACAATAGAAAGATATCGGGAAGTACAGGCATTCTTTGCTAATAAGGACACTAGCGCTTACGAACGTATCCTAGCAACGTGCCTGGAAGGTATCCGGATGAATATTCTGTGGTTAGAAAGGGATTGTAAAGATGTGGAACAATGGTTGCGAAGTAATGGATATCTTGCAGATACCTATCGACCCATGGACGGGAATAGCGCTAATGGGGCCCACCGAGAGCAACGTTATCTGGACGGATCACCATGTACGATGAATATGAATGGTAATTCATTAAAGGTACTGCCCAGCCATGATTCAAGTTTAGGGGCCACCTCTAATGGTTCAATCAATGGTCATGGATTTTGTTTGACATCAAGTACGGTAGGGACATCACCATCGGGAGCATCCTCGGGTTCCTCTTCATCTCCAAATGAACATCATCAAATTTCAGGCAGTATCTACACCTCAGATGGGCTCCACGTACCTTCTCGAGTATACATGAACGGTACAAGCCAAAGTTTAGAAGAACAAGCACAACAGCTACTTCAGCGCCAGCAACACCAGCAACATCATGAATTGAGTCTACAGCATGAATATCAAACTCGTTATCAGCAACAACAACAGCAGCACCATCACCAATACTATCAGCAACAACTGGCTCAATCAGCTATAAGGCAAGGTGCCCTGACTCATAATCATAGTCATGGTCATAGCCATTTCGGACACTCCTTTGAGCCACGTCCCAGAACATTGGAGCGAGAGATGGAGTTACTTAGCATGAGTGGTGACTATGAGTTTTGATGCACTTTGTCAAATACTAATAAAATAACGTAATGAGGTAAAATATTAAGGATGAAGTTATTTGCACGGGCCCGTACACCCCTTATTTGTACGGCCCCCGTGCAAATAAATTTTTACTTATAAAAAAAATTATTTGCACTGCCCCGTACACACTCTATTTACACTGCTCCCCCCGTACAAATAAAAAAAAGTTATTTGCACGGGGGGTCTTTTTTTATTTGCACGGGGTCTCTTTTTCATCTACAAGCAGCAACGTGTATCCTACAGACTACATGATTCTGGCTTTATATAAATAAGTGGAGGTGAGTCTAGAGTAGAGAGGAGTCTGGAATTATTACTGGTGGAAGTTGCAGCGCCGTGGGAGCTGCCAAACAGCTCATTTGTGACATACAAAAATACTACCATTAGACCCATATAGCGTATACGATGATTTAAATTACCACTCACGTGGGGCAGACAAGAACCCTCTCTTTGTCCTCCTTCTTAGTTGGTGCAATGTTTTAACCTAATTGATATAACTTACTATGTATGTAATATGGAGCTAAAGTTCAATAAATTTACCCTTTTATTAATGAGGCAATGTGGATAATCACTGAAGTTTTTGGGCAGTACAGGCTGAGGGAAACGGCAAGAAATAAGATTGAAGACAGTGCTTCTCTTCATTACCATTTCAAGTGATTGTACAATATGAAGCTGGTCCTTTAGACGCAGTGAGCATCTACATGTGCTGCTGAGTATGCAATACTGCGTGCTAAAGACGAACCAAGGTAAGTTGGCTATGATAATAAACTTGGAATGTAATGAGACAAAACTAAGGATTGTTGCGATTAGCAGTCATTTATATGGGTTTTTACTATAGCTAAGGTTTTTACCCTTTTTATTTAACGAAGATCCCTGGATCATAATAAAGACATCTTTCTTTCGTTCTCGCTACTTATTATGACCCTGGCATATTTCAATAACAGAAAAGAATATTTATGTCTCTTTTCTATCACTATTAGCCACGGTTATGCTATTAAAGTATTTTAGTCACTAAGATATAGAGATATAGGTGATTGTGCACGTTCGGCTTTGAGTGCGAACTGTCACCAACTATCAAAAGACAAGTAATATCGGGTAAGAAGATAGATATTCCACAAAATAAGCTGAGGTCTACCCATTGTATTTTGATGAATTTGATAAACAGAAAGGGAAAAGAAAGAGAGTAGGTAGTAACACGGCACGCTATACATCGTAGAAATGAGTATGATTGTATGATTGTTTGTACATCTACCGACACAAACTACACGTTAGAGATTCCTAATAACTGAATTCATCGTTGTGTGCTTAATAGTGTGCGGAAATACCTAAGATGTATGCACGCGTTAAATGAAAGAAAGCATCGGGGAACCATAACAATGCAACCAACAAAAGTGCAAAGTAAAGCTGCATAGTATATTTCAACTATAGATAAATCATTTGTAATTCTGTATTTAGTCCCAGTCGCATAAAGAATGCCAACATCTACTCTGAGCTACATACGAACTTGATAAGATATTCTGGTCAGTATTTGATGCTTAGGCAGCGGCTCTAGATCTAAGCCTGTGTCATGGAAGGCTTCCTGGTTATGGTGTTTAGGGCTAAAATAAAGACCCCGTACAAATAAAAAAAAAGACCCCCCGTGCAAATAATTTTTTTTTATTTGCACGGGGGAGCGGTGTAAATAAGGTGTGTACGGGGCAGTGCAAATAGATTTTTTAAATATTTGTACGACCCCCGTGCAAATAAGAGGTGTACGGGCCCGTGCAAATATCTTTTTTCATATTTAGCAACTAGGCTGCCAAATAGATTAATCCGAAAATGAGCGTATGCAGTTGTATAAAAAGTTTCTTAAGGCAAAAGAATTGGAGAACCTGGGCATCGATCCCAGTGCCTCTCGCATGCTAAGCGAGCGCTCTACCATTTGAGCTAGATCCCCTTTGGCGTGCTAAACTCATGTAAGCAAGCTGGATCCCCGATTCGCTCGAGGTTGTTGAAAAATTTCGAGCGATCACATTTATATATCCTTTTCTGAAAGTGGAGTCACGTGATATGCAGTTATTGTATATCTTTGGTTAATGGGTAAAAAGATAGACACAAAATCAGGAAAAGACAGACAAGATTAACAAGAGAATAGACCTCGTGGGTCCTTGTTATCAAAAAAAAAAAAAAAAAAAAAAAAAAAAAAAAACAATGTGTAGTATTCTCTCCTCAAAAGCAGTAACCGACAAACAGACAGCATATCTCATCAATAACGTCCTCATACCCAAGGTGCTTTATAGGATTTCGGCACAGATACTTCCTCCTTCTTTTGTGAGACGAATGACAGGTAAGTATATGAAGCTATGTAAGAGCAAAGCACGTATGCCGTCAACCACACCCAACAGCATAATGCATCACCCTAGATTCTATGCAATTAAAAACTTAGAAGACGCACAGACAGAGGAGCAGATATCAACCCTATTCCTACGCCTAAATGACAATGGCTTGATGGGACGTATCTGTAGAGCACGTCTCATTGCCCTCCAGAAGCGCTTTAGGACGAGCAAGCTCCCAACTGCAGAGCCGCACAAAATAAAAGCATACAAACACAACTTCGCATCAAGTGTCTGTAAACTAATGGCCGATCGACAAGTGAAGTTTGACTTGCAACTAGCAAACGATTTTGGGCTCCCTGGAAATGCTCTCAATATAGCAGACATGCTTCATGGCATTGTGGATGACCAGCCTGTGCGGGAATTAGCAGCAAGAGGAATATATTATGCTGAGCAAACTCTAGACGAGGATTCGTCACTCAAATCCTGGAATGAGGTACGTACGAAAAGGAGAGACCCAAAGGCATCTCCAGCATGGTTCCACAATGTTCAAAATGCCCTTCATGAGTCCCTTTACACACACAACTTTATCGAAGTATGGTGTAGAGACAAAAAGAACATTCTTCAGAGACTAGACGAAGAGGAAGAGAGAGATTTAAGGGAGCTCCAACAGCTAAATGAGGCTGAAAACAATGAGAGAGCAGATGAACTACTCACAGAAGACAATATGTTGGAGGAGCAGCCCACTGAGGATGATGAGGATGATGAAGTTGGATATATAAGTTACCTCAGTGACGTGGAAGAAGACCCCAGAGAGCCACTTGATCCCCTAAGTGTAGAACAGCGGGAGGAAAGAGAAAGAAGAGCACAGTGTTACATACAAGAGGGTATGCAGGAGTATGAAGGATACACTGAGTCTGATCGCGAACTCCAAAAAGAATACTTGCGAGAAAATTTTGAAAAAAGAGAGCGTTTGAGAGAAAAAGAGCGCGAAGCTAACGAGAGGCATAGGCTGTGGAAAGATCCTCAAGGAAGGAAAATGTTACAATTTCGCGACCGTTTGGAAAGAGGGAAGAGGGAGCAATGGTTGCTAAGAAAAATAGAGTAACAGAGGAAAAAAGAAGAGGTGGAGAGAAGGAGAGTGTGGCGACGTGAACAGTGGGTGCAAGCCAAGCAAGAAGCCGCACACTCGAAGGCTATCGAAAGAGCTCGCCGTCAAGAACGCCTACGGTTACAGGCTAGGTTTCAAAGGCTCGATGAACAAGGAAGAAGAGAACAGCGACGACGAGCGGCTTTCAACCGAGCAAGACGTAGAGCACAAGAGCGAAACAAGATACGTGGACGCCATGAACTCGATGAACAAGCTCTCGATAGGAGGCTCAGGACGAAAGCGCAAGAAGAGATGGACTCCTCAAGAACAAGGAATAATAAAATCCCAGAGGGTCATCATCGGTGGTTTGGCTCCTCTGAGTGCCTAGGTGTAGAGATCCCACAGGTTGACATGGACAATATACTGCGTCAAAGAGAGAAACTATCAACGATGAGTCAGCTAACACTTTACTCCGATGGGTCCCTTGAAGAGGCAGGAAGAAGGGCGGCGCGGATGGCTTTCGGGGTGGTGGCTCAGATAGGCCCAGAAAGCTTCTCAAATGTAGTTTCAGGTAGAGTCGATGGGTATGCTTCATCCACCAAGGCAGAGCTAGTAGGACTGTACGCAGCCATTCTAGTCAGTCCCCGTAACGTTCCAACGACTGTCTACATAGACAACATGGCGGTAGTGGTTCAGTTCAAGGACCTTGCTCAAAAGCGAGAAGCAAGCACTGAACGGCAGCGATTGCGATCCAAGTACGCAGTGTGGTGGGCAGCCATTTCGAGAGCGCTCTTTAAGCAGGGCGGGAAGGTAACTGTGAAATGGGTCAAGGGCCATGCTGGGAATAGAGGCAATATAAGGGCAGACCAAGCCGCCAAAGATGCTCATTTTAGCGAAATGTGGACAATCAAAGGACTGGAACACAACGATCTGCGCTGTCACGCTATGTTCGAGAACGAGATGGTGGAGGATGATCTTAGACACCTGCTAAAACTCCAATCAGCAGTGAGAACACATTACTTGTGGGCGTCTCAGAACAGAGTCAGGAATTATATTGCAGACTGGCGAGAAGTAGAATGGAAAGCAAGCCTGCATATTCTTCACGATGGCAACACGCCTAGAGGCCTCTTCACCAGCCCAGCAGATTGTCACAAGAGAGCGCACAGAATAAAGAAGGTCCATGGTATGCTTCCTACACTCACTTATATGAGGCAATGGCGACCGGACCTGTATGAGACTGACATCTGCAGGATGTGTGAACAGGAGCAGGAGGACATAGAACACCTCTGGCGATGTCCCATGACACTGGACGAGCAATTGAAAGGTTGGAAGCAGGCCATAGAACTCATCACGAAGGATGGCAAAAGAGCATTAGTGAAGGAGAAGAAGCTCTGGGAAGACAAACAAGGGAAAACACAGGAGCCAAACCTGAATAAAGGAGGTCCCTCGTTTACACCTGTAGCCGACAACGTGATTTGGGGCTCTTTGGAAGCGATGTTCAAGGGCGTCAGAGAGATTCGACATGCGAGCACTCTGTTTGGTGAGGAAGAGGTGGATATGGGACGGAGGAACGAGGGTGAGGATGCTCACTGGACTGTCCAAGACTTGTACCACGGTTTGGTGCCGAAGGAACTGATACAAAAATGGAAGACGATCTTCAGAACCACAACATCGATCTCAAGGTACATTGTTTGCCGCTTTGTCAAGTCAATCGAGGAACTCGGCAGGACTGAAATCTGGAACAGACGCTGCAAAGTCGCCGTCAACTGGGAAAGAGACAATGGTATCACCTCTGTGAGCAAACGCGCCAGGGGACGCAACTGTGTTGGGAGGCACAGACGTAGCAGAGGTGAATTCTTTGGCTCTCACCAGGGACAACGACGAACAGCAGATGTGAAGGCGATCAGGACTGAGGCAGACCGGCGAGTGGCGGCAAGCTACCGGCAGCAGGGGGAATTGGCGATTATGGAGCGCCTGGAAAGCTGTAATTTTTTGATGATTGAGGACAGCGGCTAAAGGATGACCTTCGCGCACAACAGGTCAAGTAGGGAGTAGAGCCGTGCCACAGGTCCTCTGGGACCAAGGAAGTCTACTCAATGCTGACGTGGTTTATGAACAGGATGTAGTACTGTGGCAGTATGACGATGCGGCTTCGGCCGATTATTGGATACCGCTTTATTTGCGACCCCAGTAATGGGGTAACCCATTTATAGAGCTAACATCTAAATAAATCCTACATGACCTCGTGGGTCCTTATTATCAAAAAAAAAAAAAAAAAAAAAAAAAAGGCACCTTGTCTATGTTGACTAACGGGAAATAAAGGAGCATCTCTTGATCTATACTTGTTTTTGCCTCGCTCTTTTATCGATATGTTCAATAGCTTGCACCAAACATCACTAATTACCTCTTTTTGTAAACCTGCTAAGCGGCAGGATGATCTTATGTCAGTATCAGAAATTACAACTCTGACGCCTATTGTAACCGAGATACCTCAAGCGTACATTCCAGAACGTATGAAGAGTCTGGGAATGGCGATGTAAAATATACAAGAGAACTAAGGCTTTCAACACGACCCTGTGAGCTTAATCGATGAAAAGAACAGGCAGATGTCGGGACTAGCATCCACATGCTCACTAGAAACGGATAATATACGACCGGACAATATCATCCGCACCACGTCCCGAGTCTGTCAGCTCCACTGCACAGAATCACACACTCTTTTTTTTTTTTTTTTTTTTTTTTTTTCATTAAAAAAAAAAAAAAAAAAAAAAAAAAGGACGACCATAAGAAGCTATAAAGTTGAATTCACATCAGTGCTAAATACGCGCTGTCTATTTCTTAATATCCACAAGAGTCACTATAACTCCGATAAGTGAGAATAGTGAAACTACCAAGATCTGCTGTTATCATTAGCACGATCAGGCGTCGCTGCAGTAAAGGAGTAATTAGTATGATAAAGCTTATGGATGTAATTCTTATCTTTGAATTTGGGCGAAGCACTTGAGTTTGTGAGACACTTCTAAAATCCTGGCAGAACTTTCCCCAACTGGCTGGAATGTACACAATTTTATCTACGCATACGATTTTAAACATGTGATCGCTTCTATACTGCAGACGACTCTTTGAGTGGAGGCAATGGTCATGTGAAGCCAACATAAAACGAGCATTTCTTCAACGTGGCATAAGGTTAGAAGGTGATGGCGATTAAACAATAACCCGTAAGGTCTCAGTGAGAGAAGCATGGTGGACTTTGCACGACATTAACCTCCCGTCGCAAGGAAAATGTTTGCTACTTGTGTTGCATTCTGATTACTCCAGATGAAGGAAAAGAATAAGGATGCAGTACTCAAGATTCCCATAGATAACTGTTTTAAATCTGTCTTTGAAAGACCCTTGATTACTGTCCAAAGCTAGCGTGCTGGTTATGTGAGACTACGGGGGAGGAAATGGTAATGGTAATGACTGCCAGGACGCGTTCGCTGGATTAAATTTAAATGCGAGAAAGGACTATGGCTATGCCCTCAGTGGGTGTGTCCCTTTCTTTTTTATTTTTTATTTTTTCTATTTTAAATAAAGGGTGAATGCTCTCTCTATTCAGCGCATCTAGTTAATAAAGGTTCGCTTTTTTTTACTCTTCTTTTTTCTCTTTGTCTCCCTTCATTCTTTGTCTCTTCATCTATTTCAATTCCTTCATTGCCCTAAATAAGCAATCAAGTTTCATCTCATTCTAATGGCCATCCCCTCGGCTTATCCTCGCACTCACGATGAAGCGGTAATTGAACAAAGCACATTAACGAATTTGAAATGAGACACAACACTTGACATCATATTACCGCGTTACCTGAAGCATTTTTTTGCCATTGCTATTTTTGCTGTGCTGTGTTACCGTTTGCTTAGGCTTTATTTGAGCCTTACACATATATCTGCTCCAACCCTGGAAAGGAGATCCGTACTCAGTTAATTGAAGCCTTCAATATCTGGATTAAGGTGCCTCCAGAAGAGTTGGCTATCATTACCAAAGTCGTCAAGATGCTCCATACATCCAGTCTATTGTACATACTACATTTACACGTTTTTTTTTTTTTTTTTTTTTTTTTAATTTCTTTGCTTGTGAAAGAGTTTTTGTATTGATATGATAATCTTCAACTTTTCTTAATGTTATAAAGAATTGATGATATCGAGGATGATTCGATTCTGAGAAGAGGAGAGCCAGGTAAAAGGAATTAAACGTGTCCCTTTCTTTTAATGGGCCCCCCTATTGTTTCAAACAATGTCCTTCTGATCTGTCGTCTGACAAAGAATGTTCGCCACCATTTATTTAATCGTCCTCTAAAAATAACGTTTGCACCACACAGTCCTTGCCTTATCCGATAATTGTCATTGACACTTTTTATTTTTTATTTTTATTTTTATTTCTTAAGTTGCCCATAAAATCTTTGGAGTTCCAGCAACTATCAATTGTGCAAATTATGTCTACTTCTTAGCCCTCGCGGAATTGACCAAGATTCCAAATCCAAAAATGCTTACTATTTTTACTGGTAAAGGAGCGATGGATCGTATAAATTGGCAAATTGGCGCGAGAAAAAAAAAAAAAAAAAAAAAACTGTTTGTGCTACTTATTAATTGATTACTTTTTTCGATATGGTAGAGGAGCTATTATGTTTGCATAGAGGACAGGGTATGGAACTACTCTGGAGAGATACTTTGACCTGTCCAACAGAAGAAGAGTTCATCGCTATGGTCAACGATAGTAAGGATACTAAGAAAAGAGTTCTTATGCAACAAATGATTTGGCACTTATCATCCAGTTCCTCTAATATAGAACTCTGAATAATGATAGAAACCGGTGGTCTCTTACGTCTGGCTGTAAAGCTTATGCAAGCTGCGAGTAATTGTCAAGTGTAAGATCTAGCTAGTTGTTTTTTTCTTTTTCTTTTCTTTTTTATCTTTTTTTTTTAAAGCCTGTCTTGGATCCCCTATCTCATACTTGAATTTTTAATGGATAATTTATTTTAGAGACTATGTTCCTATGGTAGAACTAATTGGCATCCATTTCCAAATCAGAGACGATTATCTCAATCTTCAATCTAATCAGGTATTATCAATATGTCTATTAGTGATGACTATCTGTTTCTATCGTTCAATAATCCTCACTGACTTAAGTTTTTATTATTATTATTATTATTATTATTATTATTATTTATTTTCAATCTCTATTAAAAAAAAAAAAAAAAAAAAAAAAAAAAAGTATACAGCAAACAAAGGTTTCTGTGAAGACTTGACAGAAGGAAAATTCTCTTTCCCGATCATACATTCAATTCGCGCAGATAAAAATAATCGGCAGCTGCTCAGTACGTAATTAAAAAAAAAAAAAAAAAAAAAAAAAAAAAGTACCACATGACTTAATCAACTGAAAACTGTCTCCTTACTTACTCGTGATACTTGAATAATCCGTGGTCTATTAACAATTGTTTATTAGATATCCTTAAGCAGAAACCAACGACACCAGAACTTAAAGTCTATGCTCTCAATTTGATGCACAAGACGAGAACATTTGAGTATTGTCGTGAAAAAATGAGATTTTATGAAGCAAAAGCTCGCGAGGAAATTCGACGACTGGGCGGAAACTCCAGATTGGAGAAAATTATCGATTGTTTGAGTATTCCAGATCTAACAATCGATGCTGCTAAAGATGCACCAATCGTTGTTGCGCCATAGAAACCCAAGAACATAGTGTAGTACAGGGCCTCAGCAGTACTTTTCGGTCCTCACAAATAAATCGTGTTTGTCTAAATCTACAGGATCAACAAGTTGACACCATCTTAGGCGATATTGCCACGGAGACTTGCCAGTTTGCATGACTTTGGCAATTGAATACCAGTCATCACGGCCAATAAGCTTGACCAACTGCAATAACATATTGTCCTCAATTGGGGACCATTCGGCTGTGCGGACTAAATGCTGGAATGAGCTTTCCCAAACACGCTTGCATGGTAATCTTTTCCAGCCTGGCCCCATCTTCTTTTCAATCTCTGTCCATAGGTCAATGTTGTCCTCAACCTTATTCATAGTGTCGGGCAGTGATGCATGTGATATAGATGTTGTCGTTGCAATAGTGCCAGAAGTATCTTTGTCATTATCTGTCATATCCTGCACAGCAGCTAAGAGCCGATAGTACTCGTTCTCATCAATGGTCATTGTTTTATCCGAGATTTTATACCAGTGTCGCATGATATCATCTTTGGCCATATATGGTAGAAAATGGTCTCGGATTTGAGTCAGCCTTTTAGGGCCAAGCAGTCGAACACCTTCTTCCAGCTTTCGAATATCTTCTTGCCTCCAGACAACTTGGTTGGACGTGTCATGCAAGAATTTCCAGTGATTCCTGCAGATACGGCTGGTAGCATTTGGATGAACTCGGCGAGAGACCCACTGCCAATTGATTTCGTCCAGATGGATAGCTCGAGATTTGTATGCCTGCCGAATGAGTGTTTGAAGTCGAACGGAAAGCTCCTTATCCCAAACGAATGGAGGCGGTCTGACCATCGATGGTATTGATCGTGTTGAAGACATTTTAGCGGGCTCTGCACTCCCACTGGAATAGGAACTATCTCTCTGCTGTTCTTGTTCCAGTTGGGCGGTAGTGCCATCTTGCATCGAGGATACGACAGGCATATCCAAGTTCTTCCAACAGGTTCGACACTGCGCTGCTGTGAACCGATTTTTCAAGTCTTTCTCGGCCACAATATCCCATTTATCCAGACCATACCTCAACACAAACTGTATTAACACGGTTTCTTCTTTAGCGGACCATCCAGGATTCGTTAGATACAGTTGTGAGAAAGCGTCCATTTTTGATCTTTTTTTCCAAGACCTATAGTGATCATAACGCTGGTCATCTTTCAAAAGTAAGTTCCAACTCCGGCGATCATCATTGTCATCGTCATATCCTTTGTCAGTCGGACCAAGTAGACTCAAGTTTTTGATGACCATATCTCTCAAGCTTTTCAGTTTCTCCTGTTCCCCTTCAACATTGATTTCACGCTGTTGACTTGGGGCTGTTGTTGCTTGCTGCCGTTGATGCTGGTCCACTTCCTCCAGATGTTCTTGTCCAGCACCTCTATTTGTAACCGCAGGTTGAAGTAAAGGTCGTACAATTGATTTTTCTCGTGTAGTGCTCGCGTTAATGGCACTCTGATGGCTACTAGCTTGAATTGATGCCAGTTCATCCTTTAGATTCAATTGTCGCCAACGTTCCATACATGCTAGACGATGGCATCCTAGAGCCTGAGCAATCTCAGGCCAACTCTTGGATGAGGTGATCATGGCGTCTAATCGTTTATCTCGATCAAAAGTCCAAAAGTTTTCAAGTGCTGGATTGAGTGTGGATTCGAATCGATTCATGCAAGTAGCAGGTTCTCGTCCGAGAGCTATGCCAATCTCGGACCATTTTTTGTCCTGGACTGTACGCATTTCTAAGAGGAGAGTGTCTATCTCGGGCGTCCATTCTAGCTTTGTTCGTTTCCGAGGTTTTTTTTTGGAAGAGGTCGTAGTCGTAGTCGTAGTCTTAGTTGTAGTCGTATAAGTGCTAATAGCTTCTGGTGCTGGTAATATAGTGTTAGGGACTGTATTTAGCTTCGATGGTGATAACTCAGGTTTTTTAGTTGAAGAGGTGGTCGTAACGTGACTTCTTATGAACTGTCGATGTTGGACACTTCGGTGACAGATCTGTAATGTAGGAAGACCTGTTGAACGACAGATCTGAGTCCAAGCTATGTGAGGTGGAATAAAGGAGGCTCCAAATGACAGCCAGAGAGTAACGAAACGCTGCTGTAGCTGCTGCTGTAGCTGTTGGCTAGCAAGAGCTGAAGCATGGGTTCGTGGTAAAACCATGCGGACTGTGCGAGTCTAAAGATGTAAAAGAGCAGAGCACTTGGAGGGAGTTTGCAGTCAAAAAAAAAAAAAAAAAAAAAAAGTGGCTTTTTTTCCACACTTCTTTCATTAACATCACCAATTCAACGAAGCGAGTGACATCGGGTCATGGATATCGACATCGACATTGCTACATTCGAACCAAACAGCGATAGTTGTAGTAGTACCGCCAACAGAAGAGAAAATAACAATAGTGTAGAACTAATTGTCGACTCCGAACTGTCAACCAACTTACTGTCCTTTCCACGTAAAAGACCCTTGCGATATGATGATCCCTTCTTTCAGGAAGGCACCTTTGAATATAAGGCGGCATGGCTCCGCTTAGAAGACACGAACGCTTATATCCCAAACATTACAAGCGAGGAAGAGGAAGAGAATGATAAAAACAAGACACTATCTCTGTAAGGTATTATTAAACAATCAAAACGTTTGCTGTCAAGTATGAGGCCTAAAATCAATTAACAAGGAAAAAAAGGGAATGCTGGCTTTGATTGAGCTACTAGGGCATCGCAAGTATGCTATCATGACCGCTGTCATGGAGAACAGATATTCTCTAGCGTAGTGGCCTATGAGCACCATTATGAGACGAACCATCGCCATATATGCCAGAGTTGTCGAAAGTCATTTCCAGGCGAGAAGTGGCTTGATCTCCATATTCATGAAGTTCATGATGTCTTGATCAAGATCAGGCGAGAGCGTGGCGAGAAGACGGTAAAAAAGAAAAAAAGAAAAAAAGAAAAAAAAAGCTTTTTATCAGACGAGTACTAAGTACTTTGATGCGTGCTAAAGCATTCTTACAGATAAAAAGCTTTTTTTTTTTTTATTTTTTTCAAAAAAAAAAAAAAAACTAATATTTAGTACCAGTGTTTTGTTGAAGGATGCGATCGACTATGTTCAACTCCGGTCAAGAGACGGCGTCATTTGATAGATAAACATCACTATCCAAAGTGGTTCAATTTTGATCTTGTCCTTACAGGTGTTATACCATTCAATGAGAGAATGCGCCAGCTCCATAAGGAGCAGGCTTTATGGAAATCAAGGGCACAGCCACGTCAACAGCAAATAAACGATGTACAAAAGAGCGATCATCATCAACAGCAGCATCGTCGGAAGAAAGATCATAATTTAAATGAAAAAGGAATTGCAGGAAGTATGGATATTGAAACTCATTCGTTGACAGTGAATGGGGCCTCAAGGAAACCACAGAGCAGTAGCATTGAATTATCATTACCTTCTTCTTCAACACCATCCAAGTGTGGACTGACCCGAGTAAACATTATTACAACAGGGCTTGTACCTAAAACGAAAGCCTTTAGGCAATACCGGTCACCTCAGACGAACATGGCAGCAACAGTGAGGCAAAGAGATGTGGTAATGCATGATCAGGATATGGCGACGGATATTATCCATACGTCAGCAGCAAAAAATATAGCAGCACCAGTACCGATAACAACAGCAATAACGATGCACGGATCTGAAGACAAAATAGATATGGAGATAGATTCATTGCAGAAGAGCATGGCTCGGTTAATGATCCCACGATCTGTTGCTAATAAGATGCGGAGCAGTAATCAAAAATAGAGTGGTTGTTTTTGCTGTCAAACTCTGTCCCTTGTTTTTTGCCAATTTTGTCAGTCGACTGACAAATTAAAAAGATAAAGTTACTGTACATGTATAAAAAACCTTTTCGAATCTTTTTGTTGACATATAGATCTTTTATTCAACATCTCGGACATTTCCTATAAATCATGACTTCAGGACTCATTCACACAAGGCGTACAACGCAGCGACAGCTCAGCTCATTCTTCAGCAGACATTCTATAATAGTAAAAGATGCAATGACAACAAGCTATCGTGGTTCAGCCGCCGTCTCCTTCATGACGGTTGGGCGTCGAGGGTATGCTAATACCCATATACATGACCATAATTGCAACCATGATCATGGTCATGACCACAATCATAGCCATAGTCATGAGCATAGAAAACAATCCCCTTTTGCTCTCGGATCTAAGGAGCGCTCTCCCAGAAGGACAGCCAACACGAAGAATGAACTTATGTCTCGCCCAATAGCGGCTATTGCATATTGCGAGAATCTTGTCCGGTATGGTTTCCCAAAACTTTAGACTTTTTGGGTAAATAAGATTGAGCTTTGAGAATCAAATCTGACAAGAGAACTCGAGTTTTCCTCATAAATATTAGCAAGGCAGACTATGAGGGATTTTTATGCACACAATTCTTTCCGAAGCATCAGCAAGCAACACAAATGGCATTACGGGCATTTAATATTGAGTTAGCTTCGATCCGCGAGTCTGTCAGCAATACGGATATTGGGCGTATGCGTATGCAGTTCTGGAGAGATTCTCTAGATAAAGTCTTTGAAGGAAAACCACCCCAACAGCCTGTCGCATTGGCCTTAGCCTATGCTATTCAAGAGCAAGAACTGGGCTATCATCAGCAACAGCAAGGTGGTAGCAATGGTAGTAGTCGCCAGGAAGGGAATTCAGAAATGTCGCTCATCTGGTTCAAACGTATGATCACAGAACGTGAACAGAACCTGTCAGATCCACAATTCATGACTATTGCACAGATGGAAACTTACTGTGAGAACACATTTGGGTCGTTATTGTACCTACAACTTGAGTCTATTGGAATCAAATCTTTGGAAGCGGATCATGCCGCTAGTCATTTGGCAAAAGCTATGGGGATCGCCACCATGCTCAGGGCTTTTCCCTTTCATATGCAACAAAGCCGGATGATCATTCCTGCTGAGATCACTGCTAAGGTAAACCACGAGACTAAAAAGCGTCTTTTTTTTTTCTTTCTTTTTCTTCTTCTTCTGCAATGCTAATTCGAAATTTTAACTTTACTACAACATGATCCCTGGAGTAGCATAATTTATCACAAGAAGCGCTTTTCAGGAATCCATCGATTACACCTGCGCTTCAAGATGCCACATTAGAAGTTGCGACTGCTGCTCATGTACATCTTGCAACAGCTCAATCGTATATGGATAACTTACCTAAGGTAGCCCTCCCAGTGCTGATGGCTGGAATCCCTACAGAGTCATATTTGAATCAGCTACAGAAAGCAGATTTCAATCCCTTAGCTCCTAGTACTCAAAAACGTGAATGGTATCTTCCAGCAAAATTGTGGTATCGCTGGCGACAGGGGAAGTTGTTTGACATCAAATAGAGTTAATAAAAAAAAGGGTCACATGACTTCATGATTTCGGACTTTTTGAGCTGAGTCACACATAGTCAATCTCTGTCTTATTGGGCTCATTTCTGGATCCCCGGGAAATTTTGTTAAAAAAAAAAAAAAAAAAAAAAAAAAACGATTCAATAGTCTTAGGAAGAAGTGAAGGATGCATGCCGTCTACAACAGTTGACAGTTTGGGTGGCTCTTTGACTTCATATGTTTATAGTGGAATTTTATGGATCCTATCTGGATCTTTGATAAATGTAATTTGATAAGTGAAATCTAGACTTTTGTTACAATGTATGTGCTCCCTGTTCTGAAGATGGTATGATTAAAAAGATCGCAACAAAAGCAATAGCTAACTCAAAATCGGATTTGAGCACAGGGTGACACTGGTCCTTATCGCAGTGCCAAATACATCTGAATGTGAACACCACCTGACATAAACCCATCCAGCCGAAAGTTAGATTGACAATATAAAAGAGGCCACAGAAGACCTTTTTTTTTTTTTTCTCTTTCTATTTTTTCTATCAACGTTCAACTCGCATCTTTCGCTCTATCCCACAAAGCTCAAACCCCTCTAGCCTTAACAAAGCTACCCAAGCCTTTTTTTTTTATATTTGATATTCCCTTGTGTGTCCTTTTATCTTGACAGAGTAAAAGCCAGCAAGTGAATCATCTCTCTTTGAAGAACTTTTCACTCTTCAAGAAAGCACTCCATTACTTTATTCTTTCTGTCTTTTTAGTACAAGCGTCCATGTACTCCCACTCTCAGGAAAAGAACTCTGCCGATTACATCTCTGACCAAGGTAAAATGCTAGCTTACTGCCGTATACCACTCGAACTCATCATCAACTGTTGTTATTGCTACCAACTTACTAATGGCTAATCAATACGGTTATTTCTTCATCTTATTCATGTAGTCTGGAAGAACTCTTACAAGTTTTAAAAGCCTTGTATCGTCGTTTATATCATTCATTTGTTCGTTCTTTTTTTTTTTTTTTTTTTTTTTGTCTCCAGTTCGCAACTAGTTTTACCATCAATCTTGCACATCTACCTCACCCTCTGATTCACTCTTTACTTTCATCACTCTCTTACCATATCTCCGTTACATCCATTCTTCATCTTTGATTATTTCTTCTCTTTTTCTCTTTTCATCAATTTCAAGCTTTTCTCGACTTTTTTTTTTTTTTTTCTTCTTTACCTTTTTTCAGCTCTTTTTCTTCCCTCAATACAACCGCTCTCCACTCCTCTTTGTTTGTTATCTACATTTCTTTTTTTTCTCTTTGTTCTTCCACGACAAAAAAAAAGGTCCTGCAGATTAATCGTTCCGTCAGATCCAATTATTTCATCATCTCTTCTTCATCTCATCAACTTGCACGGATATTCGTACAGTTACCTGCTGTCTGTGCCAATTGAATTATCTATCAATCAATCAAGAAAAAAAAAAAAATCGCCATCGCTTCTATCTTAGCAGTCCTACAGCCACACTTTATATTTTTTTCTCCGACACGCGCAATCATCAAGCCCTATCGAAGATCAACTAAAAAAAAAAAATCAAAAATCAAAAATCAAACTAAACCCGATTAAGAAAAGAAAAACAACATGTCTATCCTTCGTCACGTCGCCGCCACTTCTTTGGCCCGCTCTATGCAATCGGTCGCTCGTCCTACGCTCGTTCGCTCTGCAATCAAGGCTACTACCCCTTATCGTAGCCTCGCCACCGTTGCAGACACGGTCTTCCCAGCTAACAAGGCTGCTCCTAAGCCAGCCCAGTACTCGGCTCCTTACCAATTCGACACCGATGCACCCAAGGCAACGCCTGCGGCCCTCAAGTTCAAGTCAGGACATGTCTTTACAGGCACTTCCTTTGGTGCTCAAAACTCGAGCTTTGGTGAAGCTGTATTCACGACTTCTCTGGTTGGTTACCCCGAGTCTATGACCGATCCCTCTTACCGTGGACAAATCCTTGTGTTCACTCAACCTTTGATTGGCAATTATGGTGTTCCTTCGCAGGAGAAGGATCAATTTGGATTGCTCAAATACTTTGAGTCTAACAAGATCCAATGTCAGGGTATTGTGGTCAATGATTATGCGACCCAATATTCCCACTGGACAGCCGTAGAGTCCTTGGGCGAATGGTGTGCACGCGAGGGTATTCCTGCCATTTCAGGAGTTGACACTCGTGCCATCGTTCACGTGCTCCGTGACCAGGGCTCCACCCTTGCTAAGATTGAGATCGGCGACGAAGTTCTTGAGAATAAGCAGGTGGTTGAATTCCCCAATCCTAATTTGCGTAACCTGGTTTCTGAGGCTAGTACCAAGGAAGTCTATGAACTCAACCCAATGGGCGATATCAAGATCGCAGTGATCGACTGTGGAGTCAAAGAGAACATTCTTCGCTGCTTGGTTTCGCGTGGTGCGGCTGTGACGGTGTTTCCTTGGAACTACGACTTTAACAAGGTCCTTGACCAGTATGATGGACTCTTCATCTCCAATGGACCCGGCGATCCACGTGCTGCCATGACCACTGTCCAGAACTTGGCGACTGCGTTCAAGAATCCCAATCCCAAGCCTATTTTTGGAATTTGCATGGGTAATCAGCTTATGGGTATGGCAGCTGGCTTGGATGTATACAAGCTGCAGTTTGGCAATCGTGGCCACAATCAGCCTGCAATCAATATGAAGAACGGCCGTTGCAGCATCACTTCTCAGAACCACGGATATGCTTTGGAGGATTCAGTCTTGGCTCCAGGAAAGACCTTGAATGGTTGGGAAAAGTACTTTGTTAACGCCAATGACGGCTCAAACGAGGGTATTCGCCATACAGTTAAGCCCTTCTCCTCAGTCCAGTTCCATCCTGAAGCTAAGGGAGGTCCACAAGACACTGAGTACCTGTTCGATGAATTTTTGAACCTGGCTCGTGCAGAGAAGACCAAGAATAATGCCAAGCCTTTCTTTGAGACTGCTGAGCCTTTGACCAAGGAGGTTCTTAACAAGCCCATTGAGATTGTTGCCTAAGCAACGTTACTCTTTTTCTTTCTTTCTTTTATATTTGTTTGTTTGTTTTTTTTTCTATCTTTTTTTTTATTGGTTTTACTACATTTTGTTTCGATATCATACTTGCTTGATGGATTCGTTTCGGAGGAGAAAAGAAAGGAAGTCTGCGTTGCCGACCAACTACGCGATCTCTGAATTTTTCGACCCAAGGAAAGATTTCAGTTTTTATTTTTTTATTTTTTTCTTATTAGTTTTTCAGTTTTTTATTTGAAGATTAGGTGTTTGTTTGTTTGTTTTTTTTATCTGACGGTGATTTACAATGAGGAGCGCGCCGGGTTGAGAAAAGGATTATGTCTTTAAAGGGGAAATGAAAAAAAAAGAAGCGAGAAATTCGACCAAATTATGAACAGAGAAAAAAAAAGAGAACATCTTCTGACCAAAGATGAAGAATTACAACGGAAGATCGGAAAGATGGGTGGAGCCCAAGGCAAAAAGAGAAAGAAAAAGGAGGCATCCCGACCAAACTAGTTGCTTTTTTTTCCTTCTACATCTCTCACGTTAAGCTTCCCCTATGATCCCTTTCGCATTTGAATTCTTTTTTGTTTTCTTCGATGGTTTATAATGATTTCTTTCTTTATTTTATTCGATTACCTATTTTCTCATTACAAAAGAAACGCGCCTTCCTAAACAAAAGTCAGTCATCAGTTTTATCCATCGTTTTTTTTTTTTTTTTAAAAAAATAAGAAAAGAAAAAAAAAATCAATAAAATTTATAACATGTGCAAAAAAAATTATAAATTTATACATGTATACTTACATGTATATGTAAGTATATAAATTGGATGCAGATATTTTTATCCTTGATCGATTAAAACAATGGAGCTGTCCATGGTTTTTCTTTACAAAGCATTTAGACATGATTTTCACCAGCAATTGCTGTTTGCTATACTCCGTGGGCACACAAACGGCGATTCTCCTCTTCTTCCTTTCCCCCGATCTCCGAACAAGACGTTTTTAATGAGCGGAGAGGAAAAAAAAAAAAAAAAAAAAAAAAGGTTGAAGGATGTCAAATGTCAAATGCAATATACACATTCATACAGGACTGTATACAGTATAATATATTATATATATATGCATATTATATTGGTCGTTGAACTTATTTAAAGGTTAACAACGTAAAAAAAACCAAAAACACTGCCCGCACATGAGACACAATATTCGTGTGTCTGTGTACAGTACTATATACAACATCCAAGACTAAGCAAATAGCCTTTAAAGGAGGATAGGTGAGGCTTTGCTTTTATGAATGGCTATGCCAGAAAGTCATTTGGATGAGAGTGAGAGAGTAAGAGAGGACAGGCGCATGTCAAATTCCCTCCGTCATCGCCCTTTCACTGTCATCAGTAATCACGAAAAAAAAGTCTATTATTACGTCTAGATGAGCAGTTCTTTCACTCTTTTCTCTTTCTCTGTTGTCTCTGTTGTTTCTGTTGTTCGGGTTTTTTCGGAAAAAAGTATCCCAATACCTTAAATTTTATTGCATTAGACGATTTTTTTAGGCTTTTTGACACATGCTGTTTGGACATGTAATGACTGACTACCAGACTGTAAATGTACTGTATACAGTTACTAACCACATGAGTATACAAGGCCCCATGAATAACTTATTTCATAACCGTTGTCCTGACACCTGAATAGAGTGTATACCCACTCATGTCATAATGACAACCCTTTCTGTTTATTTATGCAGGGCTATAATTTCCCTTTATAAATTTTTTTTTTTTTTTTTTTTTTTTTTTTCAGGAACACTAACAGCAGTGTGGCATCATCTATATACTTCTCTCTTCTTTTTCTTACACGACATCATCAGGAATGATCCTTCTCAAAGTGAGAGTTGTAAGTTAAAAAGAGCTACTTGATGTTGGCGTTCTTTTTTTTGTTTTTTTTTTGTTTTTGTTTACAAAGGTTAAACTAAACAAATATAGAATAAATCAACAGTTATACATTTCAATAGGTTGTCTCTACCCTCTTTTTTGAAACCACAATGTCTGTTCTAAAACATGACTCTTATTTTGCTTTGCTTAATTTTTTTTATTTTTTATACTCACTCTCTGTCTGTCTGCTCGCCGTCTAAATCTGAAGAAAAAAAAAAAAAAAAAAAAAAAAAAAAAACTATTCTAGGCACATATTGTTACTGTTATTGTTATTATATATTATTGTTGTTATTGTTGTCGTTATTAATGTTTTTCCTTCTTGTTCGCGTATTATTCATAAAAGATGTTACTCTTCTCGCGTTTCCATGTTTGGAAATGAAAAACAGAGTTTCAATGTGGGGTTGAAAATAAGAGGAGGCTGAGATGCAAATTTGTGACCAATCAACGTACAAAGTGAAGAGTCACAGTGTCGGAGCATCCTCATTCTCATATGAGTCTATGAAATTAGATGACAGAGAAAAAGAAAGGAAGAGAAAGAGAGAGCAACAGAGAAAGAGAGAGAGAGAGAGAGAGAGAGAGAGAGGACGAAAGAGGAGGATCCAACCCTGGTATGTCTTTCACCACGTTGATGAATAGAAATGGCCTTAAGAGGAAGGAGAATATCCCATTTGAAAAGTGGGAAATTTCTTTGTGTTCCCATTGAATTAATACAGGAATGAATAAAAATTAAAAATGAAATAATATATATATATATTATTCATATTATTATTTTTCTCACGGCTTTTTTTTTTAAAAAAAAAAAAAAAAAATTGGCACTTGCGCGCGGGGCAAGATGAAAAAAGAAAAAGTATGTATTCAGGTCAGGACTGGTTTCCCCCGCAATTTTCTAAAAAGTCCATTGCAGATCTATTATTATTCCTCAGTTCTGGATGGTCCATGGAGTCGAGGTTGTTCCTCTTGCGACATGTACTGGATGTAAAGAATGGTCAAACGCATTGGAATCAGGAACAAAGGAAAAAAAAAAAAAAAAAAAAAAGACGGATTATTTGTCTTGCTCCATTCCTACTGTTTGAATTGATTACCTGGTTGGTGCTGATGCTGTTGTTGATGTTGATGTTGCCATTGTTGACAATTTCGTACTCCTACGAGTTTTTTTATTTTTCATTCTCTCCGTCTTCTTTACTCTCGAAGACCATTAGTGTTGGTTATAATGTTATTTACCATTGTGTAGAAAAAAAAAAAAAAAAAAAAAAAAAAAAAAGCCTAGAGATGTTGCACCACAATTTAACACATTCACACAAACGAAGTGGGGGAATGGGTGGTCCATGCATTCCATTGGAACCATTGGAATTGACGTTTTCCTTTCCCTTTTGCTTTCTTTGTTGGGGATTCTTTTCAGACGTTCTTTTTTTCTTTTTTTTTCAGCCCAACTCGTATTTCCACTATGCAAAAGACACTAGTAATTCTTCCAGGGGGAACGCCTTCTTTCCTTTTCTTTTGCTTGTGGAGCAGCACATTACATTACATTACATTATACGAAGGAAAAGGGTCGGAGATGGAGGTTTATTGGCTTGGATCATTACATGTATACAGTTATTATTGGCCAGTTTTAGTCTAGTCTAGTCAAGTCTAGTTTAGCAAATTCTTTTTGGGCACAGATGCTTCTCCTCCCCTCCGCCCGTCATCGTTGTGCCTTTGTCCTTCCTGGACTATTCACCTTTTCCCCCTTTATTATTTTATTTACGTCCCTTTTACCTTTGCCTGTTGGGCCGTGCATCACATCCGAAGCCAGCCGATTTTGACTGTTCTTTCACTCCCTTTTTGTTTTTTCCGCTTTTCTTCAGTGTGCCCTTAGTATAAATGTATATATATATAAATGTAGCATGTAGATTTATATACATGTTTGTATATCGAGTCAATTGTGCCAATACTATAATAAAAGGGAATGAAGGTCAATTATTGTTTTTTCAAAGAGCGAGAATAGGCCAAGAGATGGAGTTGATGGTGGTTATGATTGTTGGTATGTTGTGAGACTGGTAAGAGAAGTAAATAAATATTTGTCAATCAAACATTTTTCCTTTTTCCCCATCCGACAAGTGAGAGAGGTGAGAGCATTGTTCAATCACAAATTGTCTCCGTGGCAAAAGAAAAAAAAAAAAAAGATGCACCATTTGTTGTCGTAGTAATATAAAGATGTTTAAGTTTCATCAATAGTTCATTTAGTCTGACGTATTCATTTCGATTCAAACGAGAATTGTTAGTCCGAGGCAATATACAGCAAAAAAAAAAAATAAAAAAATAAAAAAATTGAAGCATGATTGGTCGTAAAAATAACCAGTGTTTCCTGTCCCCCGTGCGAGGCCGATGTAAGAGTAAAGGCAGCCAGACCGCACAAGAGAATAATCCTCCATCTTCTTGGGCATGTGCAAAAGGAATGACTGATCTTACTGCAAGCCTCTTAACACTAATAATAAATATAATATATATATATATATAAATATAAATATATACTTAACTTATTCATATATAATATATATATATGTTATAAGTAGCATTATACACAGACCAAGTAGGTTCAAGATTGAATACTCAATTGAATGTCTCTGACCCCGAATACACAACCATAAAAAAAAAAAAATTGCCTCCACCGCACTTTTCCGTGTCTTTGTTCCTGTTCCTTCCGGAGACAAGCCTTTCATTTTATTTCAGTCTATTCAATCCATTCATTCATCTATTTCAAAATACACCAACATTATTGTTTCCTACAGATGCACATGCACTTATACTTCAACTTCTACAAACTTCAACAACCCTCTTGAGGCACTTGTCAATCCTTATAAATACCGTGCAACATCCCCGCATTTTATTGTTCTTTGACATTCATCATTCTTTTGCTTAATTTTCATTTAGCTTTCATCCTCGCCTTCACTTCCTCTCTTCACTTTCCAAGCGTCTTTGCTATAGCCTCGCCCTCCCCACTCTTCAAATACACTCTATCAAAGTCAAAATGAAGTCGCCTACTCCCTCCATCCACAAGCACGATCCCGAACTCGAGGCCTCCGTTGGCAAGGACGGTATTGACTACTCCCACGTTCACTTGATCCGTAATGCCTCTGTCGCCAGATTGTACGAGGATGCCCTTCGCTACGAGGCTGGCACCTATGTCTCCTCCACTGGTGCCCTCGTCACCTCCTCCGGAAAGAAGACTGGTCGCTCACCCAAGGACAAGCGTATTGTTGACGAGTCCTCAACCACTGAGGATATCTGGTGGGGCCCTGTTAACACAAAGATGACCGAGCAATCCTTCTTGATTAACCACGAGCGTGCTGTTGACTACTTGAACACCCGTGAGCGTCTCTATGTCTTTGACGGATTTGCTGGCTGGGACCCCAAGTACCGGTAAGCTTTAAAAAAAAAAAAAAAAAAAAAAAAAAACAATAATTGACTCGTAATTCATCCGAGTCACAACCGTGGAAAAAAAAAAAAAAAAAAAAAAAAGCCAAAATCACACAGAGCTCGGAATTTATATTTATATTTTATGTATTTTTGTATTTTTGTATTTTTATAGCATCAAGATTCGCGTTGTCTGCGCCCGCGCTTACCATTGCTTGTTCATGCGCAACATGTTGATTCGTCCCACTGAGGAGGAGCTCAAGAACTATGGCGAACCCGACTTCACCATCCTCAACGCTGGTGCCTTCCCCGCCAACAGATACACCACTGGCATGACCTCCACCACCTCAGTCTCTATCAACTTCAAGCTTCGTCAGATGGTCATTCTCGGAACTGAATATGCAGGAGAGATGAAGAAGGGTGTCTTCACCATCATGCACTACCTTATGCCAAAGGCTGGCGTTCTTTCCCTTCACTCCTCTGCCAACCAGGGCCCTGAAGGAGATACCTCTCTCTTCTTCGGTCTCTCTGGAACTGGAAAGACCACCCTCTCTGCCGATCCCGCCCGCGCCTTGATTGGAGATGATGAGCACGTCTGGACCGACACTGGAGTCTTCAACATTGAGGGAGGATGCTACGCCAAATGCATTGATCTTTCAGCTGAGAAGGAGCCAGAGATTTTCGGCGCCATCCGCTTCGGTTCTGTTCTCGAGAACGTTGTCTTTGATGAAGATACTCGCATTGTCGATTACGCTGACAAGTCTCTTACCGAGAACACCCGCTGCGCTTACCCCATCGAGTACATTCCTAACGCTCTCTTGCCCTGCATTGGAGCTCACCCCAAGAACATCATCATGTTGACCTGCGATGCCTTCGGTGTCCTCCCCCCTGTCTCCAAGTTGACCTCTGCCCAGGCCATGTACCACTTCATCTCTGGTTACACTGCAAAGATCGCAGGTACGGAAGAGGGCGTCACTGAGCCCGAGGCCACCTTCTCTGCTTGCTTCGGTCAGCCCTTCTTGGTTCTCCACCCAACTCAGTATGCCACCATGTTGGCTCAAAAGATGCAGGAGCACAAGGCTGATGCCTGGTTGATCAACACTGGCTGGAACGGTGGTGTCTATGGAGTTGGAAAGCGTATTGCTCTCAAGTACTCTCGTGCCATCATCGATGCTATCCACAGCGGAGAGCTCAAGAACGCTGAATACGAGACCTACCCCGTGTTTGGCCTTGAGATCCCCAAGGCCGTCAGTGGTGTCCCCGCCGAGGTCTTGAACCCATCTGTTGCCTGGCAAGGAACCCCTGAGGAGTACAACGCCACCGTCACCAAGTTGGCTAACCTCTTCAACGAGAACTTTGGCAAGTATGCTGATCAGGCTACTGAGGATGTTATCGCTTCCGGCCCCAAGCTTTAAACAAACCAAGCAAAAAAAAAAAAAAAAAAAAAAAAAAAAAAGAAAGTGCAACAAAAACAATAAGCAACAAACCAGCATATCTCTCTCTCCCTCCTCCTCCAAGCAATTGCATCTTTTCCACTTTGCATTTTTTTTTTACATCCTTAATATTTTCAGTTCTGTACAATAACCATAGTTGCAATCAAAATAAAAAATATAATTTTTTTGTTTAAAGAAAGAAAAAAAAAAAAATTACCCAATGATGTAAGATGTAAAAGTTTAAAAGTTTAGAGTTTGAAAAATGCGGGGAAGAAAAAAAAAGTCACGGTGGAACATTTTGTTGCACATGCATTTGTCTGTGGGGGAAATTTTAAATTCTTTTATTATGCTTGTTGACCAGTTTTTGAGTTGAGGCATCTTTTTTTTTTTTTTTTTTTTTTTATTTACCATCTCAAGAAGTGTGAAGGGCATTCATATCCAAATGGGTTCCTGTCCAGATACTTTTGATGGTATTCTTCTGCATCATACCAGGTGGCAGCTGGAGCGATCTGGGTGACGATCTTTTTCTTTTGGTAATGTTTTGATTGGATATCTGCAGTCACTCTTTCAGCAATCTCTTTTTGTTCTGGGGAATGATAAAAGATTGCAGATCGATATTGAGTTCCTCGATCTGGTCCTTGATAGTTGAGGGTGGTTGGATCATGCATCCGGTAAAAGAATTCGACTAGAAGAGGATAGTTGATTTTTTCTGAAGGAATGTACTCTATTTGAAGTGCTTCTGCATGTTCTGTGTTTCCTAAGCAGACCTAAGAAGAAGAAGAAGAAGAAGAAGAAAGAAAAATATTTATATATTAGTTAATGATAATATTAATAAAAAAAAAAAAAAGACTATTCATGAAATGGGGCATTAAGGTATGAAAGAAAAAGATGGGATGGCCCTCGCCCAGTTGCCTGGGAAGGAGACGTGTTTTTTTTTTTTTTTTTTTTTTTTTCTAAAAAGAAAAAAACATACCTTCTTGTATGTTGGAAAGCTGTCAATACCACCGGTATACCCAACGCGAGTTGTAATCTTTTCACTCTTGAAATGCTTCTGAAATGCTTTCTCAACACCCCTATCAGGAAAAAAAAAAAAAAAAAAAAAAAAAAAATTAGCTTTCATTAATTTTTTCTTGGGGAGGTGGTGTGCAAACATTTTTTTTAATTGACATTCTTTTTTAAATTAATTACCAGAAGCATCCTGCAGCAAAAGTAGCCTTCTCAGCTTTGGGAGCAGTAATGGATGAAGAAAACATTTTGCTTTCAGCGTTTAGAGCACTGGTTCCACCGGCGACGATGTTTCGAGGACTGATCAGACGATAAATGGAATTCATTGTGGATTTTTGAAAAGGAAAAGGCATCCTGTAATTCTTTTCTTTCTTTCTTTCTTTCTTTTTCTTTTTTCTTTTTCTTTGACCTTGTTGATCTCTCTGAATGGAATGAACAAAAAAAAAAAAAATAAAAAATAAAAAATAAAAAACAAATGAGGATTGAGGAATGAGTTGTTCAAGTTGTTTGGGCTAACTTTTTATAGCAAAAATATAATCACACCAAAGACAAAGATCAATCGAGGAATTTAAGGCGAGGAAGTGAGTAGAACCTGTTTATCTTTGCGACAAAAAAAATAAAATAAAATAAAATAAAATAAAATAAAATAAAAGTTAAAGAGTTTCGTTTGAATAATAAGGATAAGACAAGATATGCGCGATTGTCTGTATGTATGTACATTATATGACATGTATATATATATATTTATACCATATACAATAGCAATGAACATGGCATATATCCCCATAACCAGGATTCAGGATCAGGATTGGGCAAAGTTTCTTTCTTGTCCTTTTACATTATCATATGTTATATGCATAACTAAGTAACCAAGAGTGGTATAAACGTACTCCAAATCGGATGATATTGATCGGACAATGTGTAAAAAAAAAAAAAGGAAAAGCAGAGGCGTAGTATTGACTTAGTTAGCGCGCAACGGCAAACAGTTATTTGGTCCGCTCTTTCGATTGATTCCCCCCCCCCCTCCTCCTCCTCCTCCTCCTCCTCCTCTGTTCTATTCAATCCACGATCCATTGAACTGGAAGAGCAAGATAGAAAGAGTAAAAAAGAAAAGAAAAAAAAAAATAAAAAAAAAGACTAGCGCTCTTTCGCAAAGAAGCAAAATCCATAGTCGTCCTAACATTGTCCCGCCTATGTCCATTGACTATGTAGAGGACTGAACATTGGGCACAAGGAGTTTTTATTTCTTTCCCTTTCTTCATATACATTTATATATATATTTATATACTTTATTTTTAACTTTCTTTTTCTTTTTCCCCTCAGGGTCCTGAGAGTGATCCAATTCCTGGGAGGAAAGGGGCAAGGCTGACGAGTTCCTGCATACAGCAAAGTTAGGAATTTTTTTTTTTCTTTCTTTCTTTCTTTTTTATTTTCTACGAAATTCAGTAAATAACCAAAATATATATTAACCAAACCAAAGAAAAACAGAAAACCTGAAAGTGGACAGAAAAAAAAAAAAAAAAATGCGATTTGACTTGGGCTATACAATTGCAATTGTTGTTGTTGTTGTTGTGGGGGGGGGGGGATTTTTTTTCTCTTTGTCGCAAAAAAAAAAAAAAAAAAAGCGAGCAGTGTTTATCAATGGGTCGCAAAACGTATGGTTATTACATCATAACCAATGGATGGTGGGAGTTTGAGCAATGGGCCATGACCCTGATCTGGTTTTATATATATATATATATATATATTCTTTCTTTATACCATATTGTTGTCATTACAAACATCAAATATTTCACTTTACGCGCTAAATAGCGACACTTTCGCATAAGCAGTGGTCATATTGGTGTATTCCCTATCCTAGTCATTCGTGCTATTCCATAAGGTTGGTCCTCGAACTCTGAATCCAAAACTCTTTTGTTATCCAGCTAATTTTGTTGTTTTGTTTGTTTGGTTGGTTGTATATAATGAAAGAATAAAAAAATAAAAAAATATAAATATTAATTAAGCTTAACAGCAACACACATGGTATATATATATATCAGCTTACAATCAAGAAAAATAAATAAATAGAAAAAGAGAGAAAAAGACGTACAAATTCCACATGCCAGCCCAGGGATGCTTTGGATTTGGATACAATCTCAAAGAACCGTTCTTCGCCCAGTCCACGCTTTTTCCACAAGAGAATGACGATCGTGTGGTTGTCCGCAAACTTTGTTAATGTCTTGAGTAATGCCCGATGGAGTTGTGGAAGATACAAGATCTCGGAACAGAAGATGTATGAAAACGGTCCCTGGAATGGTGTACCCTCTGGAAGTGTAGGTGAGGTCCTATATGAATCATTTAAGGGAAAAAAAAAAAAAAAAAAAAAAAAAAAAAATAATAATAATTAGATAACGCTTCTTCTTTTCTTTTTCTTTTTCTTTTTCTTCATACCAGTCAAGAGGAGCAACACGAAGATCTTGACTCTTGAGTTCGATCGTCTGAAGCCTATCTCGTTTCCTCTGTATAGCCCTTCTCCGCATGATGGATGCCGTGGAATCATGCGCGAATATTTGTGCTTCCTGAAGAGCCTGTCGACGTTCAGATGCAATCCGCTTTGTGTTGAAGGAGGTGTTCTTCTCTACGTGCTCTATATGAGGCCCAGCTAAATCTGTTGCAAGAACATGACTTGCGCCTTTTTTTTATTTTTTTTTTTATTGTTAATTGAAAGAAGATGCAGTTAGAGAAAGTCTTTTTTTTTATTTTTATTTTTTTATTTTTGGCTCATCTTCTTACCTAATAGCCAAGCAACAATACTGACAAGCCCTGTACCAGCCCCTAACTCCAAGCATGTCTTTCCTTGCAAATCCTTGACCCATGTCTCCAAGTATCTGGCCATTAAATAAGCCTATATGAAAAAGGTGTAAAAAAAAAAAAACACAAAAACACACACACACTTAGGATATGGAGGAAGAAAATACCACTTGTTGTTTTTCTTTTTCTTTTTTTTTTTTTCCTTTATATTCCTTTCATTCACCTTACACCATCCCAGACCACGTTTCCTGTATTTTGATCAATAGTCACTTCCTCATCAAGACGTTGTTGGATAAAAACTATTAGGCGAAATATATAGAAATATTGATCAGCTTCATCGTGTCTTTTTTTTTTTTTTTTTTTTTTTTTTTTAAAAAAAAAAAAAATAGAAAAAGCAAAGGAGAGAGAATCTGTGAATAAACAGAATAAGGAAGACGTACTTGAGTGTCCTAAAAAGACAAAGAGTCGCTCAGGGCTTCTGTTATTGGCATAGACATTACAATATTTCCACGGAACAAGCCCTGTCTCTGTCCCTGTCTCTGTTCCAGTTGTTTCTGATGGCTCTCCCAATAAGGTTTGCTGCTGCTGGTGTTGCTGTTGTTGGTCTTGCATGGAGTCAAAAGTTCATGTCTTTTCAAGAATGGAGGATTGTTTGCAAGTCCTGGGAAATTGATGAGTCGGTGGCTTTAAACCATGGTCCGTGATCTGTGAGGGGGACAGGGACAAGTTTCAGTTGAGGACAGAATTTATGATTAATGTGTAACATTCAACTAGATCCACAGATGTGGGAAAAAAGTTTAGCGTTGTTGGGATTGGTGGTGAAAATGGAAAATGGTGCAAAAAAGGGGGAGGGAGAGAGAGGGGCGGGTGGACATTTTTGATCACGTTTAGAGGCCAACGTCTTTTTTTTTTTTTTTTTTTTTTTTTTCTTCATTCTTATCCGCAATTCATTTCGTTCTTTTTTTAATTCCTCCATTACACAATGTCCGAAAGTGAAACTGCACCTCTACTCGGTCGGGAAGAGCCATTCACCGAATGTGAGCATGCGTGTTTTTTTTTTTTTTTTTTTTTTCTTTCTTTCTTGCATCGTATAATCAAGATACTTATTAGTACCTTTCATAATTGTCTTGAAAATAAAAAAAAAGCCGAACTCGCCTTACTGAAGCAACAGGAAACAAAACATGTCCGAAGGGTAATAATAAAAAAGAAAAAGAAAAGAAAAGACAGTTCTCTTCCTTCTGCAATTCAATTCGGAAACTTTTTCCGAAGCTGCTTCTTCCTTTTCTCAGGGTCTGACCAAATGACACTACTATAAATGAATAGGACCAAATTAGAATGGGTCTATGCTTGATTCTGGCCATCATCTTGACCTCATCCGCCGTCGCCTTTACTTTTTTCTTCGCTAAGAAATCTTTAGGTATAACGAAAAAAAAAAAAAAAAAAAAAAAAAAAAAAACGCTATGCATAACGTGATATCAAAAAAAAAGAAGATGGCTAATTTTTTGATTGATGTTGCGACATTTTCTGTAATATCCGATTTTAATCAAAAAAAAAAAAAAAAAAAAAAAAAGGCCGCAGTCGCAGTGTAATTATGATGGTCTCGGATGGATTTGGCCCAGCCTCTCAGACATATGGTCGTTCATTCTATCAATACATTAATAATGCTACCGAGGGCTACATGTCACCTTTGGACAAGATCTTTGTCGGTACTTCCAGAACCCGAAGCAGTGACTCCCTTGTCACAGACTCTGCTGCCGGCGCTACTGCTTTCGCTTGTGGTATCAAGACATACAATGCAGCTATTGCAGGTAAATGATGATAATAATTATATATATACATATAGATATATATAAAGACAGAGATGGTTGGAGAAGATGAGGAAAAAGGAACCCTTCTGGATTTTATGCGTCACGCAAACCTCACTAAGAGCACGTGGAGCATTGCATCAAAACTATGTGTATGATGGTCAAAGTCTTGGGATTTCTTTTTAAGCTTTGCTCGTGAAAGTCAAAGTTCAAATAGATTGCCTGTTGGGGAGGGAGAGGACAACTATTGATATTAGATGGTTGCTTTTTTTTTTTTTTTTTATTTTTTTATTTTTTTTTCTTACTCGCTTTGCTAACAAACTGCTTTTCTTTTTTTTTTTCTTTTTTTTTTTTTTTTCACCTATGTATTATATGTATGTGAATGTAATAAATAGTCGATCCAGAGAGAAAGCCCTGCGGTACCATTCTAGAGGCCGCTAAAGATTTGGGAATGCTCACAGGGATTGTAGTCACCAGTCGCGTCACTCATGCTACACCTGCATCCTTTTCAGCCCACGTCATCCATCGTGATATGGAAGCCGATATTGCAGTTCAACAAATTGGAGACTATCCGTTGAAGCGTCAGATCGATCTCTTGATGGGAGGCGGTCGTTGTTTTTTCCTCCCCAATACAACCGAAGGTAGTTGTCGAACCGATCACAGGGATCTCATCAAGGAAGGTCAGGAGCTCTATGGATGGAAATATGTCATGAACAATAGACAGGATTTCGATCAACTGAACAACAACGATGATGATGGAATCCCTTTGCCTGCTTTGGGATTGTTTCATCAAGATCATATGAATTATGAAATTGATCGTAACCCTGAGAAGGAGCCCTCCCTTTCGGAGATGGCGGCTGCAGCTCTAAAGTCCCTTAAAGGCAATGCTGGAACCAACCAAGGCTTCTTCTTGTTGATCGAGGGCAGTCGTATCGATATGGCCGCTCATAATAATGACCCCGTAGGTCATGTGCATGATATTTTGGAGTACCACCGAACCGTGGCTGTTGTTCGTGACTTTGTGAACAAGAATCCGGATACGTTGCTTATTTCGACCAGCGATCACGAAACCGGTGGATTCACATTGGGATTCCAGGACGACCCCAAGACGTACCCTGAATACCTTTGGAAGCCTGAAGTGATCAAACGCGCACGTGCTTCGACTGAGGTTCTGACCGCACGATTAATGGAATATCAGGGCAAGGATCGTCGTAGTTTTGTCAAGGATGAGATTTTGGGTCCTCGAGGATTGATGATCAGTGATCCGACCGACGAAGAATTGACGTTCTTGTCCGATCCAAAGTCCTTACCTGCTGACATTTTAGTCTTTTTGGGACACGCTATCTCGCGACGTGCCAGTCTGGGCTGGACCACCATCGGTCATACAGGTGTCGATGTCAACATCTATGCAGACGGAGACAATGATGGCTTCAAGGATCTGTGGGGTAACCATGAAAATACTGATATTGGTGATGCTCTCATTAGATACTTGAACGTTGATTTGTCATATATCACCAAGAGGTTGGCAAAGTAAGTAAAAAGTGAAGAGCTAAAAAAAAAAAAAAAAAAAAAAAATCTTTTTGCTTGGAATTTGTCTGACTTTTTTTTTTTTTTTTTTTTTTTTTTTTCTGTAAAAAAAATAGAGACGCCGAAAAATGGTTCAAGTCCAAGCGTGATGGATTTTGGAGTACCAGTCATGCTCGCAGCCATCACGAAGAAACAGGCCATTAGATAGAATTAATATGAGTCTGCTTCTGCTGTCTCCTGCAGCGCCCTTCACTGTCTCAACAACACAACAATACATTGCTGATATCAATCATAATTGACTCTTCTTTTCTTTTTTTTTTCCTCCTAATACCCAATAATCAATGGTTTCCATCATTCCCTGTTATTTTTTTTTTTTAATTCTTTTTTATTAGAGTAAAGTGAAAGAACGCTTTTTCTTTTCTGATGATAGTGGTGGTGTATGTACTTCTTTTTGTGTGTGTGAATATTGAGTGTATGCTTGCTGATTGTACACAGGCAAGAAAAAAGCGCCTCACTTGTCTCCACCACCCCCGCCGCCGCTGGTTACTTCGCGTCGTCGGAGTTCTTCAAAATATGGGTCTAGAAAAAGCGCATTCAAGTATTGAGAGGGTTTCAAAATAATGTTAATAAACGAATAGACTACGTTTATAGTTCAGCGCAGATCATTTGTCTCATTTAGTCTGTAAAACACGTTTCCTGTGTGAACCACTTACGAGCAAGTGCTGCATCTGCTGATATCCTTTTGTCTGGGTTATATGTGATAAGGCGCTAATAAAGATAAAAAAAAATAAAAAAAACACAAATAGGAATGATTACGAAAGAATGGTGAGTATCAAACATAACAATTGCAAAAAAAAAAAAAAAAAAAAAAAAAAAAAAAACGTCCCCCCTATGACTCCCCAGCAGAAATCCATGAGATAACGCGCGTTGCAAACCAAGAGATAGCCCACGTTCACAACGCCTTGGCTCCTCATTTGTTAAGCTTAGGGTAGTACACAGTACGACCCCTCGTGCTTTTCCTTCTGTTACATCCAATGGTATGTCTGGTTCTTTGTTGACGCCAAATGTCCAGGCTTTCGATGGTGAACTGATATTATCCATTCCCTCCCTTGCGCTTTAATGATTTCTGCCAATTGATTGTTACTGACGGATCATCCATTCCATCATGATCATGCGTTAGGTAATCCAACTCCATGTATACAGGCATGATCGATCACTTCCTCAAACTGCTCCTAGGTCTGCTTTTTCTCATCCTAAATAGCCTGTCCTGGTCTGTGTTGCTAGTCATTTCATGACGGGAAATAATAAAAAGTAATGAAAAGACTTACAGAGAGCAAGTCAATGCCAGCGGCATCTAACTTTGGAACCAAATTTTCGAGGGGAATAGGATTATATACTGGGAAATCGGGGCGATATTCCGGTAGCCTTGATACACCTGTCCAAGTTTCTTCTGTTGGCGTTCCCAGAATTTTAAAAATTTTAAGCAATTGGTCCCTCACAGACGATCCTGGGAATAAAGGACGTCCAGAAGCCATCTCTGCAAAGATACATCCTGCAGACCAGATATCAATTGATGTCGAATATTGCTTCGACCCCATCAAAACATCCGGAGCTCTGTACCACAGCGTCACGACCTATAAGAAAACCAGAAGTCAACGGATCAATGATGAGAGAAAAAGAAAGTTTCCTCCAAGGGGAAGGTAGAAAAGTAATGAGTGACAAGAGGGTCCTCATTTTATGTAACACGCAGCTTTGAATTCTGTAAACAATCATGCAAATACCCAACTATCGATTCATCTTGTGAAAAGAAGAAAGGCCGCCTTCTCACACAATAAGAAAAAAAGAAGAAAAAAAATACCTCCATTGACCAATGCCCCACCTTCTATTACTTTTTTCTGCTCATATTTTCTGAAGAAAAGAAAAATCCTTAACCCCTTACCTCGTGGGAGTAACTCCTGACAGGAATACCGAAGGCTCTTGCAAGTCCAAAGTCACCCAGTTTAAGATCGCCTTTCTTATTGATCAGCAGATTTTGTGGTTTCAAATCCTAAGTAAACATTTTTTTAAGCGGTCATGGTAAGAAACTCTGGCCAAAAAATGAAAAAAAAAGCCTGACTCTTGGAGAAGGGAAACCCCATGTAGATCATAGACTTACTCTATGCAAGACACGATGTTCATGACAATATGCGATTCCTTTCAAGAGTTGGTACATTAATTGCTATTTTTTTTTTTAAACATAAAAAAGGGCAAAAGGGCATGTTAGTGTAAGCAAATATGTAGTAACGATCGTATTTTTTTTCAAGTCATTTTTATAGAGCAATAGTTAAACAACAATAGAAACAATAATTAAAAAAAGAGAAAAAGTTTGATCAGTAAGAAAATGAACGTACCTTTATCGTCAAGACATCAATATCGCCACTGTAGGTGTCCAAAAACTTTTTTAGATCCGAGTCCAAGAACTCAAAGACGAGTGTTAATTTTTTTTCTGTATGTAATACATCATATAATCTATTGAGTCAGAAAAGGGGGGTGAGGGATAGGGTAAAGAAAGAGACAGAGAAACGAGACGGAGAGGCGGGAGGATGAATGTGTATATTTGAGAAAATGGATAAAGAATAAAAGACCGATGAGTTTAGGTGACACGATGGTACACAAAAAATATTCAAATGCACATGCCGATGCCTTAAAAGAAACCTTCAACCTCATCCTCATCATTGGTACCTGACGATGTTGTTTTGTTTAAGCTCCTTGAGGAGCGAGATTTCACGGATAGCAGTACATGGAACCTAGAGTATTTCAAAAGGTTTGTAATAATAAAAAAAAGTATTTTCATCTTTGGTCAGTTCACCTGATCAGATTGCAAGAAAGAAAAAGATTAAAAAAAAAAAAAAAAAAAAAAGAGAGAAAAAAGTCTCCGCCTTCACGCACTCCTTCTTCTTCGTTATCTAAACGAATGCGCTTGAGGGCCACTACATCGTTGGTTTCTCGGTTCTGGGCCTTGTAGACAATGCCATATGTTCCTGAGAAGAATTAGCATATGCATCCATAAGCACGGATCGAAAGACGGAAGACAAGAAAAAAAAGAAAAAAAAAAAAAAAAACAAGCAGGCCAAAAGCATAGTATAATACAAAAAAAGACGGAGAAGGAAGGCGAGGAGAGAGTAAAGATGGAAGACAAGGGCGTGAGTATTCTAGACTAGAAAGAACCGAATCTTTTCTCCTCCTTAAACGAAAGAAAGAGAGAAAAAAAAAAAAAAAATAAAGTGAATGCTCTTCCTCCGAGCTTCATGCATGACGAGCAACATTAGTTTAGACTCCACTGTCATGACTGATCCATTTGCGCTTTTTTTTTTTTTTTTTTTTTGTCTTCTTATAGTCTCTTCTGTATTCTTGTATTTCTTTGAGTTGACGTCGAATTAAGCGATTGTCTTTTGCTCATGTTTGTCATTAAGCTTTTTTCTCTTCATCCACTGCATATAAGCTCATGTCGTCCAAACGCAGGTCTAAGAGAGTAAACTAATCGCTCTACTTCAAGAAATAGATAAAAAAAAAAGAAGAGCCGTATTGGCGGCAATGCACTTGAAGCAAAAAATTAGGTCTTGCACCATACCTTCACCGAGCTTCTCGATTTTCTAACAATGTTTGGAAAAAAAAAAAAAAAAAAAAAAAAAAGGTCAGTGTCGCGACAAAAAAAAAAAAAAAAAAAAAAAAAAAGATAACAGGGTCTAGAGTCTAAGAAGGATGTAAAAAAGATAAAGCCTATTACCTGGTATTTATCCATGGACAGGTTTTATGTGAGAAAGAGAAATGCAATGAAGTTTTCGATGAAATGGGGGTAAAGATCCGACAACTCAATGCACAACAACAGAAAGAACAACAAAAAATAAAAAATAA